ATTTTTCTCAAATTATAGATATGACTTTGCATGAAAATATACCCAGGACGATTTCTTAGGGTGTCCAGTGTCCAAGCCTTCAACAAATCATACACTGACTGTCAATAAGACTTTCCTGGAGGGTATATAATAGTATACTTTCATATTTTTTTACTTCAAGGCCTTTAAATGATTAAGCTGGTCATTTGTATAAAATGATTTCAGCTATACAGACTATATTAATAGTCCATATATTCACCGATGTCATGGCAGCTTATTCCAGCTCCCTTCGGACACAATGAATCTTCTAGAATAATGCAAAAAAAATCCTTACAAAATGGTAAAGTTTTCTGTCTTATGAAGGATAATTTTGTTCGCGTGTACTTGTCAGCAGCCCAGACCAAAATCTGCATGGATAAAAAACTGAATGTATTTCAAATGAAGCGGTCGCAATGACCTATCTCACCTAGAATGCGATTAACCGCAAGAGCATTTAGACGCCCCCTGCAAAAAAACAAGATCGGTACTGAATGTTTGGATTAAACTTGGGCACAGCATGAACTCTCGGCGTATATATTAGTTTGTACATATACAAAATTGCCACGGGTGTTAGAGTGGGGGCGTTAATTAACCGCGCAGCTTTGAGATCACAGCACGAACTGCTGAGTAGACGCTCGCCTTGATGACCTGCTAAAGGGTGAACTCATTAAACACTAGAAAAACGAATAACCTTAATAAATTTCCGCCCTATCGTTATAGATTGTCGTTCATTGCCGTTGGCGAATGCGTGTAGATGCACGGACTTTCTCTTGCGCGCTGGGATTTCCAGTTTAAAAGATCCAATGCGTAGATGCACGTTTCTCAACAATTACAACAAAGCAAAACCGTAATGGTCAAAATAAGTTTTAGGCTTAGTCAGCTGATTTAACAATGAAAACATGAACTGATTTTATTCGCTTGTCTCCAAAGTAAGAACAGTAGTATAATAGTAGAACTATATGAGCTTTCTGTACATTTTGAACTAACAACTTCCTGAAGAAATCTTCAAAATTTACCTATTCTCGTTTGGTCTATTTTCGTTTGATAAAAACACGTCAACACAGTGGTTAAGACGTCATCGATCTAGTTAGTCATATATAGAAGACACAAAACAAAGACTAAACCCAGCACGACCGCTATACACCTTGATAAACAACTCACGTTAACATGGGAATATCATCCCTATTGTCTTTACGCGTTGATATATAGCCATGCGTAAAATAGTCATTGCCCTAGCTATAGCATATACCCCTCTAGCATTTATTAGTAGCTATTTAAAGTCTGGTGTTCTCTGGTTATAATCAGTTATATTTGCTCCAGGAAACCAGTTTCGCCGCCCTGGTTGTCAAAATATTTCAGGTGGCGTCAACTGCAAGCTATAGGCTTTAACGAGTGTTCTTCGAACCTTCGGAAGCTCGTTTTTATCAATTGCAATGCAATGTTGTACAGTTTATTGAAATAGATAAAAGCATAAAGCGAACATATACACCTTGAAGTTACGATAAGTGGATCAGAACTAAGCAGTTCCAATTCGTCTTGCGAAAGACAATTGTGATTATATTCCCGCCAAAAGGCAGCTATAGATGGGGGGCGGTTACAAAACTAAAAAGGATCAACTGAAATCCTCTTAAGAAGAAACTTCTCCAAGTAATCGTTTAATCAAGGATTGTTAAAAATCCGATTTCGTTAATAAATTACACACTTTGTTGGGTGCAGAGAAATTAATAATGCAGAAACTATAAGACATGTTTAAAATGTCTTCCTTCTCATGTACCGAACCCATTAAAAGCAATAGACGACCTGCTGAAATGTCTCATTAATAAGTTTGCTACACAGAATAATAACCTCATAGACTGTTACAAGCTGACTCCACGCAGATCTATATATATAGCATATAGATGACTGAATGCACTTCAAGTAAGTTTGCAACAAAGGTCTGTATAATATCTAAAATAATACAATTTAAGACAAATCTTGCGATGCATGCATATAGAGTAATTATAATCTTTACAATGAAATAAAATACCCAATTTAATAAGCAAAAATCCAACATATGTAAACGTTAGTGGTTAAACATGCAGAACCCTATTGCAAATTTTCTAAGTCTAAACTGGCCGAAAATTAAATCCTCTAAAGTACATATAAGAGAACTCCAGGTATTCTAATATTTTATAATCAGTTACGCTAATAAAAATGTAGCCAAATCAATTATACATAAATTCAGGGAAATATATTAATATTTCTTTCAAGTAAAATCAAGTAAATTGTACTTGATTTTACTTCATCTACACGTTCGTAGCATGCTAATGATCAGATCGAAACGACAAAATTTGTCTTGGACATTTCTGTAATGAAAAAGCCATGCAGTGAAATATGCAAACATTGTACTAGAAGGTACAAAATGACGTAAATAATTGCTATTAATACTTTGCTAGACCCAAAAGCTCAAATCCTTAAGTTTAAGCTATTTCGTAATGGCTTAATCAAGAATATAGGAATGACTGATCTCAATATTAATTAAACAGAAGATAAACTAATTGAAATTTCAAAGCCGAAGCAATATTTGCTATAGAACTAGTATTTATATTACTACCACAGAACAGTTGAAATTTTCAAATTTCGTGAAATGGCTAAAACAAGACCTTTACTTAAAAATATATTTGTGGTCTGGGTATATATTATAGACATATGGGAATATTATATGCAACTATCGTTGCTATAGCAAGTATAGTTAAAGGTATAATGTGGACACCAGTAGCCTCGTGAGATACCGTAATAGGGAAGGGTGCATCAATGAAATCAAAACCTGTCAAAGACTTGGCAATCTTGCGGAATACAAACACAGCATCTAATATTCCCATGATTCTTTTCGCGCTCATATTGATCACTTGACTATTGTTTGTGATAACTTTAATCGAAAGAGATGCGTAAGGGTTTTTTGAATCTTTGTGGCTGACAAGCATACTGTTTATTGTTGAATAGGAAAGCAAGTTACCATAGCGAACTAAGCAAAGTTAACCTTTGCAACCGCTTTGATCGCATACAGCAGACCAATAAGACAACAGTTAATGATCAGGCGAAGGGTTTCTTGTTGAGAATTTTTCCCTGACCACTTGCTGTTTTTTGTTTTGACATATCTAATTGAATGATTAATTCAAACATCTATACCATGGGAATTAGGAAGGTACAAACATTGGTTGTTGAATGTTTACTAAAGTAAAAGTATAACTGAGAATAGACTATATAGTTAGGCCGGTATATATTGTTGAGGTGGGCCCGGTATTTTTGGAGACCTTTTGGCTTCTGATTAATGCATGCAAGTGATTGAGCATGCATACGTGCAGTTAACTCTATACAGTGTGACTAATGTGCTAGTAACCTCTTTTGAGCTATATATATACCCGAGTACCAGGATAGAGTTGTCTCCCTGATAGCCTCCTGCACGCTCAGGTTACCCGGTTCTTATCCTAACCCTAATGCTAAAGCTGGAACTATATATACACTAATTCTATATACTAATTCACCAACCGCAAAATGACTGCATGTGTATGCTATATAGAGTAAAAATATGCTTCATATTTATAATGTGAAAGAGACATCCATCTTTTCTGCAATTTCAAAATTTCAAAATCAGCATTTCAAAATTTCAAAATCAGCATTTCAAGACTTCATGAGACCTTCTATGTTTGGGATTCCCCAGAAAGTTCTTACTCATTAGGAATGTCGATGGCGAAATATATGCTGTTGGCACAAACGCATCTAAAATCCCACGATCTCCTGTGAAGCGACGCGGAGACCAGCCAGTTTTCCCACCATTGTTCTAGACATAAGCCTGACCTAACAATTTATTCAGGTTAATAATATATCGACGATATTGAGCCTCGGTTTACAGACAATGCAAAGTAATTAAAGATTTTCTAGAAACACTAGGTTGTTATATAAACTTGTGAGAATGAGCGACCACTCGCGGTGGCAAGCATTAAACCACGTTTAACATCAACACTATTTACATGTAAATTAAGTTTACATGTCGATAATTTTCTGTCTCATCGACACCAAAGAATCCATTCCGTTGAATATCATACTTTATCATTTCCTTTGTGCTGCCATAATTTGCATGGTGTTCATATATCAAAGTGCCCTAGCTTATATCTATTCAATATATCTTATTGAAAATTTCTCACGATATGTGACAAGCAAATCTATGCACCATGCCATTTTCGGTGACAAAATAATCGATTCCCCTGGACTTTGTTTTGTCAAACGAAAGCAGAAGAAAATCAGTTTTGTTTAATGTATTTTTACTGCAGATCCTTAATTTATATTTCAGACAGGATATATGTCAATTCAAGAATCACAGGCATTAGCGTAAATATACCGTCGATTATTGGTTAATTTTTAATATTCATGATGGGTGATATATAATATAGATATTGCTCTCAATCAGTATTTATTGAAATTTAGTATATTAATTTAAACATCAACAACATGAGCAACTTTTATAAATTATTTTTTAAAGAATTGTCAATATATTAGCGATGCACTAAATCTACGATGCAGACAGCCGTAGTTTGGTACTTCTAAGAGTCAATGCCTTCGTTGTTCAGCCTTTGACCAAAACTGCCTATGAGGCTATGATATAAATAATTCTTTTTTACCCAGAATGAATATATTAGATTCATCATACAATCTTTTCTTATTTAGACTTAGTGCAAGATTTCACTATACTTCAGGTTCATATTGTAGTACTTAGTAGGATTGATTACTCTTGCTTTGAGAAGAGTACAATATTCGTTATATTGTTCGAAAGGCGTTTAGCTTACACGGTGGATAAGCCAAAGTTTAAAAATACTCTTATAGATCTTGTGAATGACCAAGCTGCATCTTATGCATTAAATATGTATTTCCATTGAAAATTAAACTATTTACATCGAAATATTTTAGCTCAATTGTTCAATAAATAGATCAATTTGTTTTCCATTTTAAAATTATCCACCGTCGGCGGTTTAAGCTAAACGCCTTTCGAACAACCGGCCCCTGATAAACTTCAAAATTAACGGGTTACTTTTTCACCAACATATATGCAATTGCGGTGTTCTTTGATCTCTGTAAAGCGAGACCGCGTCTACAGTTGTCCAGCGGAAATAAAATCAATATTTAACTAAAATCAATATTTAAGGTGACAGTCTTTCGGATCATCCGCTCAGCTAAGAGTCTTCGTAGTGACTAATCAGTATAAGGTCTATTTCTTAACTTTTTTATATGCACTTTCGATTAATTGACCAAAGCAGTCAGGTCTGACCCTAATTTCATTTCGGGAAGATTTTGTCCAGGTTTCTATTCCATTTTTATCGAAAAGATCCTAATCGCAAAACATTAAACAACTCAGCCAATTTGATCATATTTACATAGAAGAACCCAATATTGGAACTCCCTGATGCAAACATCTTCTCCGGCAGTCAAAGGTATGAGAACAATCCCACAGAATACTAATTAGGAAACATGCGCGAACGAACACAAGACAACATAACCAGCGGTAATATAAAGACAATTAAGGCCAACCACGTCAATCATAGAATGATACAACCTCAGGAGTGATTCCTTCTTCGCTCAGACTTTGTAGGATTGGTTGGTAGATTTCTCGCATTGATGGTATCACAACACCTTTGCTTTTAACTTTTCCTGCCAGTGATGAGATAGAAAATTTTAGCGAAGAGCTTTCTACATTTTGGATGTAGAGTATTATAAAACACACTTGTGCCGGTGGGCCAGTATGCCCATGCAGCTTACACTAGTTTCAGCTTAGAGATGACAACAAATTATAAAGTTCTTTCTTAGGGTCATTTCTTCAAAAGGTTTTATTCCGAAAGTTCCCACATATTAAACTAAATGTGTGGGCGAATTCAACCACTTTTGGGCGTTTTCGTCGTTGTCTTTCCGAAGAACTTGATGTCGAATATTTACCTCAAATATTGTCATTGATCGGGGAAGGTGTAATTTACTGATTTCTGGCCCGCACTTTGAGATCAAATTCTATTGACTATTTGGTATTACAAGATACATATAATAGAAAATAAATCACACGTACCGCCAAGTACCATCTTTGCTCCTATTCCAGCTGGGAATCCGACTGTCCTAGACATGGCTGAGTATTTTGAATCACCATAAGCAATAAGACTGATGCGCCGAGTTTCCTGAAGAATGTTGAAAGGAAAGAAATAAAATAATCTCCCCGAAGATCAAGACAAGTCCTCATGTAGCGTGGGATATTTGATTAACAATATGTTAACTTGTATGCCATGCATGCAGCCATGTAGTGTTTGGATATGAACTATCTACTTCGTGGTTAGGAGTGCATGAATAAGCTTACGAAATAAGCTTAGACTACGAAATAACTGTTTTAAAGGAAGTAATCGTGACTGTAATCATTTCAAATGTACATGGTTGTGAATTTGAATAAAAAATTTGAATACACGACAGAATAGTTAGTTGTAGAATGGTTTTATCAACAGCCCAAGATATACAACGAAAATTCTTTTCACCCACGTCGAGACTCTTGTATTTCAAGGGCAAAACACACGGGAAATTTTGGCTGCGACTTTCTCCATTTAACAGATACATTTAACGGGTAATGAGTTTATCCCCTTATTTTAACATACTCCGTCATTTATCTACTCTATATCCAAATCGCCGACAGAATTAACTGTGTAAATGGCCACAAGGCAGCTGATGAAACTCATTCATCGACATGCTTAGAATATTTCAAGACACTACCACGCTGCTAGCTACTTGTCCAGAAAAGGTTGGGGTTTACCTACTGACCTTTTTATTATCAGGCCATTCAATTCCTACTTCATGTCGCAATAACACAAGATCTCGTTCTCCGTTTTCTAAAAAAAACAAGAAGTGAAAGCGACGCCTTAAAAACGAGATATTTGAGATATTTTATAACAAAAATTTTCAGAGATATCTCGTAACGAGACACGTGTGATAAAAACACGTTTTGACCAGATAAGAAAAAAGGCTTTATGCCCTTAAAAAAGAAGAAAAAGTAAGCCAAAATTGATCACATATCTACCAAAAGGAAGTTTCTCGCTCAAGTGTTGGCTCAATGTGTCCAGAGGTGATGGTTTTGGCACAACAATCTCGTTTGAAAGCAATCCAAGGCTAAAGTGGAAAAATATGAGCTGAATGGAAACGTTTTTATTGACATGGAATACGGGATTCAACGGTATTTGGTTATTTTTATATTACACCGTTCCTACCGTTTAATAGCAGAAAATCTTTTTTCGTCCTCACCAACGAGTTTAAAAACTTTTTCATAAAGTTCTGCCTTTGACGATGAGCAGCCGATCATTGTGCTCAAATAGTTAATCTTCATAAAGTGAAAAATAACTTCAATGGATTTCTTAATAAAGAATACACTTCCTAGGAATGAGTTAATTCGAACAGAGAACCAGTTTGATAGCGAAATATTTGCATATTTTCCTTTGAATTTGGACAGCATAAATAAATTAGTTCAACTTCTCATTTCGAAAAAAAATTTCGCTGGCGAACCATTTCTCTGCAAGTGGAAATCTAGCCTTAGGAAGATGGTGGATTCTTCCTGCGGAAAATGAATGAATGGCGGCAGGGGATATTATTACCATGCAAGTGCATTTATAACTATGAACAGCAATGACAGAGACCAGAGATAAGTTAAGACTTTGACAGAAAATATTTACCCAAGTAACTGGTTGACTCGTCAGAGACTTCTCTTCTACACTGAGCAGACCTAAATTCTGTAGTCCGATACAAACATCTGCGTAGCCCTAAAAACCAGATTCAGAAAATATCGTGTAATTCACAAAGTTTACGGTATTTGCCGAGAGACGAACCACGAAAAAATTGGAAAAAAATCGTGGAAATCACTTTGGTATTATGGTATACTCCGTGTCCTGGTCAACACCTGATTCTTTCTCAATAAAATAATCGATAAATCGTAAACTTACACGGTATCTAAGCGTGCCACGGATCATAGTATGAAGATCAGGTAAGCCATAAATGTCTTTATATACAGTTGAATCACGATTAGGATAACATTCTAAGTTATAGCCTGGTATCAAATCTGTGGGTTTAACATGATGAAGAATTTCTCCAGCTGGAATTTCTTTAACCTTGAAAAAAAGTAGTAATTTGTAGATGCTTGTACTTGAATATTCCCCTCAAGTTGTCAGTTTAAATAATTCCATGTTGAGTAACTCCCAAATACACTTTAATCCTTGTGAAGGTTAGGATTAGGGTTTAATTTAGGATTAAAGTTAGTACTTAGAAAGTTAGAAAGTTAGAAACCATACATTAATATTAGACCTATTCTTAACCCTGATCCTAACCTAATCTGAGTAATTTCAAGGATTAAGTTTGGGTATTTAATGAACATGAAAATATTTTAGAAAAAATGTTGTTTGACATTATAATTATAAAGAAGTTTTTTGTAATGAAATACAGTGCGGTGTTGTGTTACCTCGCCATTTTCCAAATACTTAGCACCATTTTGAGTTGTTGATAACACACCTCGAGGACTCCAGCTAGAAGTTAGAAAATGAAACGCTGGATGCTTCGGATGAATATGGAAGAAAAACTAAAAATGTCATGAATTATACCTGAATTTCATTCTTAAAGGATTATCTGCAAGTTCAGGAGCCGGTAGACCTCCACAATATGACATGAACGACACAACCTTTAAAAGATGACGCCAAAAAAGAAAGGCAATGGGATTCATATATCGTGCAGCACTAAACATGCACTAGCTATATACAAAATTGAGCAAGACAGAGTCCTTTTATTTAGGCCATTTAGTTTAGGTCTTCTCAATTCGTCCTAAAATGGAAAGACCCTCCTAAAATGGAAAGACCACTTCCTAAATTGGGTCGTTCAATTGTTGTAAAATGGACCCTCTGTATCCCAAAGTGAAAGCTGTCTCTACAATGAACCCATAAAAAGGAAGTGTCTTGGAATCTTCCAATCTTGTCTCGCAATGGCGTCTCGGAATTTTGGGGCTAAATAGAGGTATTATTGGGAGCCGTACTGAATGCACCTTTCCTTTCTCGAAAATATGGTTTACGTTTCTTTGTCTAGGCTGCTCCGATATCGAGAACCCTATTTAAATTTAGGTGGGTCTTTCAATCGATTCGTTTGGCTGTATCTATCCAAGGGATTTCCCCTCGAGGTTACTATCTATCCAACCTAGTACCCAGGGGTTTCTCCTTGAGGTTGTTATCTATCCACCTCTATCTAATTAATATTGAAAATACAGAGAGACCTAGCTTGTTTATACTAGTCGAAACTATTTTAGTTCTGATATATCTACCGGAAAGAACTGCAAAGTGCAAATAGAGCAGAACGAACTGAACTCTCTATTCTAATACCTTGAAGAGGCTTCATTAGGTTCATCTTCAAACTTACAAAGCTGGAGTTTTAAATTGAGCTAATTGGGCTCCTTGATAACGCGAAGGCTCCTTTTGAAACAGGGGGCCGTTCTTAAAGGTGGCTTCAAAAACCATGCTACACTGATACAACTAACTTACTGGACTTTGAATTTCTACTCCGACCACTTCCTACCAATATCTTAGCTAGCTGTCCACCAAGCCGACTCATTTTCCCACATTTCACGGCGTTCTACAAGTTAAGCAGACTAGTAACTATAGCTACACAGTCCAGTTAACGTATAGCTACACAGTCCAGTTAACGTATAGCTACACAGTCCAGTTAACGTATAGCTACACAGTCCAGTTAATGTATAGCTACACAGTCCAGTTAACGTATAGCTGCTACATTGTCCAGTGCAACTGAAATTTGCTGGTCGTTTTTTAAAACTCTTTGAAGTTTCAACCAAGCAAGCTTTACCCGAATTGGTTATTACACTGCACTAAAAACAATAGCGAAAATAAAGAGCAACCCCCTGTATAGGTGATCGTTTTACGGCCTTCTCTAGCTCTGATCTACGTATAATGGTCGCTGAACGCGACCCGGTCTCTCATAAACGCGCCTAGGTACGAGTATACATACCTTTCCTCCATTGTCATTCACTTCATCGAAACATTCCATCGCCGTCATATGATCAATACCAGGGTCCAACCCTACTTCATTTAAAATAGTAATCCCAGCATCAACAGCGCTGAAATACGGTCAGAGGTTAATGGCGTATTAGGGAGATTTAGCATGAGGACGTGAACGTCAAATACGACGTGAAAATGGCGAGTAAATGGCGTGGCATGTCCATATTTGGGTGCTGATCACGCCATTTATTCGCCATTTTCACGTCGTCTTTGACGTTCACGTCCTCATGCTAAATCTCTCTATTATAAGGCAGCCAACGCCTCAGCTGGTCCTGTGTTTTCTTCGGATATCCTACCTTTGATGGAGCCCCTTTAAATCAGGAGAAACGTAACTTGCGGTGACGAGATTTACTTTGTGTTGTATACACATCTGAGCGACATCGTGATGAAATGAATATGGAAGTAAACTACAGAATACCAAAAAATAGAAATATTTTGTTAAAAAGAGACTCGAATTTAATTCATTATTTTACTAGATTCCTCAATTTCTGTAATTTCAACACTTCAAATAATCAAAAATCCCCAATACTTATAACTTCATTCTAGTTCAATAATCTGTTTTTGCCATGTAAATTAAGCTTGACATAAAAAATCTATAATGTGGTACCTTATAACAAGCTCGTGATCACCAACCAGTTTATTCAATTTATTTTGCTCGTTTTGGACATCAATAGACACTGACGAAGCATTTGCATAGGCGTCGCTCAGTGCTGCTGCTTCCTCGGGTTCCACAGACGCTATGAAGAAAAAAAACACTTTGAAACACATATACAGTTGGCCAGCAGGCTGGGGCCAGCTTTTGTACAACCATAACCGACTTGTTTCACATACTGACTTGTTTTGATTTCAATTTTTGGGTTGGTGTTACTGACTTGTTTCGACTTGACAATTTTTAGGTTGGTGTTACAGACTTATTTTGACTTGAAAATTTTTGGGTTGGTGTTACTTGTTCCAGCTCTTGTTACAGCTGAACCGCACTAATACTGACCTACCACAAGAAGAAGTGCCATGGATATCTAATGATTACGAGTGCCGGGCCGGGAATTAGGTTTGTTGGGGCAATGATTAACTATCTCGTCCATGTTAGGCTAAGTGATATATTCCTCATTCTATTTGTCTGATGCATATAATATAAGTAAACACAAGTTGCCTAACACTTTATTTAAGAACTTTTCAATCATGCAGTTACATGGATACACAGAGGCGGAAAAAATTGCGGAGATATGACATTAAGACAAAATCCGTGTGATTTTTTTCGTGATTTTGGACAATTTAATAAGAAGGCTATTATTATCATATACCAACCTTCAGACACATAAAATAGTACAAATACAGCTAATAATTAATAGTACAATCCTACATGAATCCTATATACTGGGATTAACGTTTTTACGATGTTGTTATGTACTTCTTATATTTTTGTCCTATAGATCGATAGTCCTAAATATTTTAAGCGGCAGTTTTAAAACGAAATGGAGAATTGTCGGGAAGCATTAAAGACCACCCTTGAAATGGCTGAACAATCGGAACTTCTTCTTCGTGCAATGTAAAACCGAGCATTCCTGCCACCAAACATGCTGTATCTGACTGACTACCATCAGGACTTTCAATTTCAAGCGGCACAGATAACAGACCACTGGTAAAATAGATCGATGACACCAGTCGACGGGTACCTTCAAGAAACTCAGTTAACCAACCAAAAAAACCAGACACTTCACCAGATCCCCCGCCCTTGTATTCAATGATCTTATCCCACCACTCCTCATCTGGAGAACCTATAATAGTTGAAAGTTATAAATTAACATGATATAAGGCCCTGATTCCACGGGCACAGGCGAAAATTTTAAGCGAATGGCGAAATATTTCGCCTGCTCCTCTTGAATTGCGAGCAGAAATAATTTATTTAGACTTTTTTCGCTCACCAGTAACCATGACGGATTTCGGTTTTCGCTACGCGTCGCCCGAACAAATTTTGGTAGTAGAAAACGAGCTTAAGTCATGTAAGCTAGGTAACCTTCCTCAAACATTGCTCTAAATATACCTGTGCTCAAACATTGCTCTAAATATACCTCTTATTTGAGTTAAGAGGTTACTGATAATACAATAACAAACCTCTATAGGTTTTCAACAATTCTGTAAACACTTTTTCCGCATGTGACCACCAATCAGAAGTCAAACCAATTCTATGGCTTATCGGTTCCAAGATCTTTCTCAATGCTTGAAGTTTCTCTACCAGTCTTTCCCAGTCCCTTTCACTTCCCAGCATTTCAATGGCAGGTATACCACACCTAGTCCTCATGCCGTATCTAAAATACTGCTGTAAAGATGACATGATACTAATTTGGGACACGATTTTCATGGTTGGCGTTGTGCTCGTAAAATCAGCTGTGACTGTGTCCAGGAATTCCGGTACTTTCACATTTTTGGAGATTTCTTTGGACATCTTCTGGAGGAATTTGCTATTTTAAGTTAAAAAAATGTCAGTTTTGCAACAATTGAAAAGGCACATGCACAAAATCACAGTGGCAATGGAACAACAAAGAAATATAGAATGTAATCTATGGAAGAAGCAACAAAACACAATGACTATAAAGGCCATGTTACACGGTGCAATTTTTCTTGCCACTTGTATGCAATTCTACTTTTAAGAGATGTAAATTAGTGAAGAGTTCTCAAAATGTAAGTGTAAGAAACGCCATGGATTGTAATAAAGACAAAAATTCGGTAGTAAGCTAGTAGCCAAATTTACATCTCTCAAAAGAAGAATTGCATTGATGTGGCAAGAAAAATTGCATCCTGTAACATGGTCACGTTTCTAATAGTCGGCACGCAGACTTCTGCTACCACTAAGTTTCCAAGCAACACAATTATAGATTTATAGAACCGGTTCGCTATCCTGATGGCACAATTTAATAAGCACAACAGTATACATAAAGGAAAAATTTGAAAAACATATCCTTCCCCACCTATAATCGACATCGTATATGTACGGTGTGTCAACATCAACAGTCAGATTCTTCTTTCCTTCGTGTTCAACAAACAGATTGCGCACTGCTTGATCTTCGGCATTTTTATCAATGGCCAAGGAAACTTTCTTAACGACACAGAACCACCAATCATCTGGCGAGGTTCTCAACTTCCAGTGGTTATTGTAGGCTACCAACACGGCCGAGAAGATGCCGTTATCGTCGTCGCAATAAATCTCCCCATCCGAGCCCAGAGTGGCGACTCTATCGCCAACATTTTTCCTTGGAGTTTCTCCACGATATCCATCGCGACTTTCCAAAATCTTTGCGAATTTCTCAAAAGCGTTCCGGGCAGACAACTTTTCAAAACGCCGTTCGACGACATCTTTGACATTGGTCGGAGCCGAGGTCTTCGTTAATTCAACGCACTTCATGATGATCAGCAATCACAAAACAATAACGACGGAACGACGGCGAGTTATAATTTACAAAGACCAAGAAGTACTCTTTCTCCGCATTCCAAACAGTGTTTCCACATCCAAATTTAAAAAATCCTTCTTTTGATCCCTAAAATTCCTTTTTTTCTGCAGAAATTCCTTGCAGGCACAGATAAAAATTATTGCGTATTTTTCGCTTTATTACTACACTTTTTACGAATCGGAATCATCCATATTTATGACATGATTAAAATTTAAAATCGTTTGTACTTACAGTGTCAGTGAAGTGGGCAGCGAAAGTGAGTGGACTTTGACCGACCCCCCAACACACTGAACTATATTGAACTATATGCACAATTTGCACACGGGAAAACACCACTGAGCTATATAAGATTGACACTGCCAGAAATTTAATCCCTTCCCCACACAAGTCAAGAAAAATGATAAAGTTATGGTGCATATGTACCAAAGGGTTGAAAATAGTATATTTGCTGTTTGTACTATAAGTTCTGATGGATTTATTGGCTCAGAACCTTTGGTAGTCAGTTTATACTAATAGTCCAAAGGCAAAAAAAAAATTGTTATAAAAACCGGCTTACCTGGATGCTATAAAATATCAGCTAAATGAGAAAAAAACTCTACCGATAAGTGAATTAAGCCATTCACAACGTCAGACGTAGGGCACGAAGTTACGTCTCCTTTCCATTTGTTGAACAGGGAAAAAGAGGAACACTTTCATTCTTTTTATATGAAATACAAAAAAAATATATACCGAAAGCCGAAATTATTTCATAAAAACCAGGAGGGAGATGGACACAGTTTTTCACCTTGTATCGCGGTATGTCAGTGGTAACTACCATGAGCAAAAGGAACCATGTGGCGTCAGCAAAGCTCAAAATCCGCCATCTTTTTGGCGACACGATTTGGCAGCGAGCCGGTCCTCCAGGAATTATTATATAGCTCAGTGGAAAACACGGGAATAATCAGTAAGACCAAGTTAGAGTTACGTGTATTGTGCGTATTAGGATTGTGATTCGTGTTTTTGTTCCGAAAGCCTCTCATATTTACAAAAGCCGGTTTATGTTACTGTACTTTTTTACTATTTTACAAGATATTATGAGTATCCTTGCAATATCCCTAGAGAAGATAATTTTTCCTTGCAAATTCCTTGTGTTTTTCAATTCCTTGCATTTTTCCTTACAAAGGGCTAAAATTCCTTTTGCATGGAAAAATCCATGCAAGTGGAAACGCTGATTCCAAATGTAGTTGGATTTCAGGTTTTACCCATGATGCGTCTTATAGTATCTTCAACAGTTTTTGTGGGTAGCCTGCGCATGCGCGGCTAACCACTATGTGTGACTATGTAGTCGAAAAAGTGTCCGGATCTGTGTGTGATTGTGTGTGTTTGTGGCAATCTTTGGCAATCGTCGGACATACGAAAGATGACGAACGGTACGTTCTACTTCCGGAAAATTTCGTTGTTTTCGAAGGACGGAAGCAACCGAAGTTACGTTAATACGTTTGTCAAATTTTAAAGCGAAGTTGAGTACTTTAAAGACGAAAAAGCGGTGATCGGTGAGCGTTGAGTCTACAACTACAAAGTTACACTAATAGGAAATAAATAGTAACAAGTTGCCCTGTTTTATAACTTTTATAATGCAATATTTCACCTGTCAATTTCTTGCTTGTGGACATGCAGCTATTAAACCAAATACATTACCTTATTGCACATGGTAGTAACAAGTTGCCCTGTTTTATAAATTATAATTTGGCAAATGGTAGTAACAAGTTGCCTTGCTTTATAAATTATAATTCAATATTTCACCTGTCTTTCTTGCTTGTGGACATGCAGCTATTAAACCAAATACATTACCTTATTGCAAATGGTAGTAACAAATTGCCCTGTTTTATAAATTATAATGCAATATTTCACTTGTCAATTTCTTGCTTGTGGACATGCGGCTATTAAACCAAATGCTTTGGAGTTCAAAAAACAAAACTGTTAACAAAAGTGCATTTCAACTGATCAAAAATCTTTAAAATATTGTTCAGATACATAGATAAGTCCTTAAAAAATGTTAATGCAAAATGTTTGAAACAATTTTGAACTCTTTGTTATGTGACTGTAAAATAATCTGGCAAATCAAGTAGTTTATCCTCAATGAAATCTTTGTTAAGATCTTTCTCCTTCTAAACTAAGCTTTATGTTATCAGACGATGTGTGCCACCATGTGTTCCACCATCCCCAAATGAAATTTATAATTTCATTTCCTATCTCTTGTAAAAATGCTTTTATATATGTTTTTATCTGTCATTAAATGTATTTAATACAATAAATATTATAATATGTAGATTGCATAATAAATCGACTTTGTTATAACTGTATTCAACCAGCTAACTATAGGGCGTTTATTCCGTTGTCTATGGCATTAGAACATAAGACTAGAAAATAATATTTTATTGCATCAGTTGATATTTACTCGCCACTATAGCAGCTTTATCGCATTAATAATGTTTTACAGGCTACACATGTACGCATTGCGGACCTTTTTTTTATTTTTAGAGCTTACAGTGATCGCTAAATTGTGACGAGGCATGGATATAACTCCAAAGAACTCCACATTCAGATGCGCGGAAATATGAAAAATCAAATTTTGAGAAGTTGAAATATAATCAGTGTAATGTACACTTTTTCTTGCTTGCGCATTCATTCAGTTGAACATCCTGGTTACCAGAGCTAAGGTCATGACATGTTACAAACAATACTTGTCGCAAAATAGAAGTCAGTTCTTGACACGACGTTGTCTTATATACCCTTAGGTTAATTGCTTTCTTAAAATTAATTATTTTGACTGAGCATTTTAGTGATATTTCATAACGAATATGGCTATATATGTTTTATTTAATACGAAGTACAAATTCTGCTATCGCCATATCAACAAAGTCGTGACCCCTTGTTGGGCCAAAAATAGCACTTTTAGCAAAAAACATTGCACGAAGAACCACGATAAAACAGACATTAAAGACGTTAAGGTTTAGTTCCTTATGCATCAGCCTATGATGGGAACCAAAATTTTTCACGCCAAAAGGCGTGTTTCTTCGCTCTAAACATGTAACTCGAAACCGGATCATAGTCACATGCAATGATGACTGTTTTTTGTAAAACGACTGTCGACTGCCGTACACAAGAATTTAAGAAAGGTTGTAACATATTTATCTGATGCACATGCAATATAAGTAAACACAAGTTGCCTAACACTTTATTTAAGAACTTTCAATCATGCAGTTACATGGATACACAGAGGCGGAAAAAATTGCGGAGATATGACATAAAGACAAAATCCCGCTAGACTGCTTCTTTGTGATTTTGGACAATTTAATAAAAAGGTTATTATCAACCTTCAGACAAATAAAATATAGCAAAAAATTAATAGTACAATTCTGCATGAACCCTACATTCCCACACTGGGATAAACATTTTTACTATCTTTTATTTTTGTCCTGTAGATCGATAGTTCTAAATATTTTAAGCGGCAGTTTTGAAACGAAATGGAGAATTGTCGGGAAGCATTAAAGACCATCCTTGAAATGGCTGAACAATCGGAACTTCTTCTTTGTGCAATGTAAAACCGAGCATTCCTGCCACCAAACATGCTGTATCTGACTGACTACCATCAGGACTTTCAATTTCAAGCGGCACAGATAACAGACCACTGGTAAAATAGATCGATGACACCAGTCCACGGGTACCTTCAAGAAACTCAGTTAACCAACCAAAAAAACCAGACACTTCACCAGATCTCCCGCCCTTGTATTCAATGATCTTATCCCACCACTCCTCATCTGGAGAACCTATAATAGTTGAAAGTTATAAATTAACATGATATAAGGCCCTGATTCCACGGGCGAAAATTTTAAGCGAATGGCGAAATATTTCGCCAGCTCCTCTTGAATTGCGAGCAGAAATAATTTATTTAGACTTTTTTCGCTCACCAGTAACCATGACGGATTTCGGTTTTCGCTACGCGTCGCCCGAACAAATTTTGGTAGTAGAAAACGAGCTTAAGTCATGTAAGCTAGGTAACCTTCCTCAAACATTGCTCTAAATATACCTGTGCTCAAACATTGCTCTAAATATACCTCTTATTTGAGTTAAGAGGTTACTGATAATACAATAACAAACCTCTATAGGTCTTCAACAATTCTGTAAACACTTTTTCCGCATGTGACCACCAATCAGAAGTCAAACCAATTCTATGACTTATCGGTTCCAAGATCTTTCTCAATGCTTGAAGCTTCTCTACCAGTCTTTCCCAGTCGTATTCACTTCCCAGCATTTCAATGGCAGGTATACCACACATAGTCATCATGCCGTATCTAAAATACTGCTGTAAAGATGACATGATACTGATTTGGGACACGATTTTCATGGTTGGCGTTGTGCTCGTAAAATCAGCTGTGACTGTGTCCAGAAATTCCGGTACTTTCACATTTTTGGAGATTTCTCTGGACATCTTCTCGAAGAATTTGCTATTTTAAGTTAAAAGTATAAAAATGTCAACCTTGCGTCAATTTAAAAGGCACATGCGCAAAATTACAGTGGCAATGGAACAGCCAACAAAATACAAATTAATATGAGTATGTTGTTGAAATGAATATATATGTATAGTTGCTATGGCAAACTATGGGCGCTTTCCTTCGGACGGAAAAAACGGCTAGACCGTTCCTGTTGTATTTCGGTACAGACAGATCACTGGTATTTTAGAATGTTTCAAGAGCTCTGCATTCAAATATATCGTTAATAACATCTGCCCAGCACGGGAAATATAGTTTTATCGCCATATTCTTAACGAAATACTCTATTTCAATATAAAATATGACCGGTCTGACCATTTTGGCCGCCTAATTGAAAGCGCCCTATGTTTCCAACAAGACTATCAGAACCGGAGGGAGTACAAGTAGAATATGGCATAAAAATAAAGCAACTAAAGTCTACAGATAAATGGTTACTTGCTGCCGATCGCACAGCTGAATAAGTACAACAAAAAAAAACCATTCTTGCTCACCTATAATCGACATCGTATATGTACGGTGTGTCAACATCAACAGTCAGATTCTTCTTTCCTTCGTGTTCAACAAACAGATTGCGCACTGCTTGATCTTCGGCATTTTTATCAATGGCCAAGGAAACTTTCTTAACGACACAGAACCACCAATCATCTGGCGAGGTTCTCAATTTCCAGTGGTTATTATAGGCTACCAACACGGCTGAGAAGATGCCGTTATCGTCGTCGCAATAAATCTCCCCATCCGAGCCCAGAGTGGCGACTCTATCGCCAACATTTTTCCTTGGAGTTTCTCCACGATATCCATCGCGACTTTCCAAAATCTTTGCGAATTTCTCAAAAGCGTTCTGGGCAGACAACTTTTCAAAACGCCGTTCGACGGCATCTTTGACATTGGTCGGAGCCGAGGTCTTCATTAATTCAACGCACTGCATGATGATCAGCAATCACAAAACAACGACGGCGAGTTATAATTTACAAAGACCAAGAAGTACTCTTTCTTCCGCATTCCAAATGTAGTTGGATTTCCGGTTTGCCCATGATGCGTCTTATAGTATCTTCAACAGTTTTTTTTTATTTTTAGAGTTTACAGTGATCGCTAAATTGTGACGAGGCATGGATATAACTTCAAAGAACTCCACATTCAGATGCGCGGAAATATGAAAAATCAAATTTTGAGAAGTTGAAATATAATCAGTATAACGTACACGTTCTTCTTGCTTCCGCATTCATTCAGTTGAACATCCTGGTTACCAGAGCTAAGGTCATGACATGTTACTTACATTACTGTCAGTTCTTGACACGACGTTGCCATACCCTTACATAGGTTAATTGTTTTCTTAAAATAATTTCTTTTGATTGAGCATTTTAGTAATATTTCATAACGAATATGGCTATATAGATTTTATTTAATACGAAGTATTACTTCTGCTGTCGCCATATAGTGATATTTCATAACGAATATAGCTATATAGGTTTTATTTAATACGAAGTAGCTACTACTTCTGCTGTCGCTATATAGTGATATTTCATAACGAATATGGCTATATAGGTTTTATTTAATACGAAGTACTACTTCCGCTGTCGCCATATCAACGAAGTGGTGACCTCTTATTGGGCCAAAAAATAGCACTTTTAGCAAAAAACATTGCACGAAGAACCACGATAAAACAGACATTAAAGACGTTAAGGTTTAGTTCCTTATGCATCAGCCTATGATGGGAACCAGTGATTATTTGCTCCATACGTGTGACTCGAAACCGGATCATGATCACAATCATGACTGTTTTCATAAATTATTTGTCCGTTCAAAACTGTAATTGCAAATCCTAATAATATAGGGTCGTGTCCCTTGAGTTTAATTTTAAAGGTTTATGTTCTGAAAGGACAACTTTGCAATGTCATGACAACAAAACATTCAGCTCACAGCCCTTGTCCTAGGCACCAACATTTCCTGACCAGTCTACATGTTCGCTAACTATTAATCTAGATCATCACCTAAGCAACTTAATTAGCACCGATTGAACGAATTTATAATACCTCTTAAAAATATTGAATTAACATAATCTGTTATTACCCACCGTTAAGGAGGATAGTGATAAGTATAATGAATCTTAATCATGATCTAAACACCAGCTTTTTTGAGAAATATAATAATAATAATAAGTATATATAGGGTGCTACAACAGCTTCATAAACCTCTTTTACAAACTTACCTATTGTTAGACGAATTGACTGATCTCTCATAAGATATTCCACAACTGGACCGGAAACCAAGCCAGAACCCAATAGTAATACTCTATGTTTGATATCAATGTCTTTTGTACCAATAGGGGCGGTCGTGGGTTCTTTAACAGTCTGGATTACTGGTTGTACTGGTTCTTGACTAAAGTAAAAATATGAATAATATATCAAGACACTTCTCAGCAATGAAAATGCCGAAATTTCGCGCCTATCTTTCCGTCACAGCGATAACAAAATTAATTTTTATTTCTGCTACGAATGCAGCTCCCCTGAGGAGTCAAATGGAATAGCAGCAGTACCGTCAAAATCTACACGATTTCATAAACCTGTACGAATTTACACGATCGACTTGAGAAATTAAGCAGCTCACCCCTTCCTCAAGTCCTCAATATATTCGTAATTTTTGGTCAACTTTCCATTCGAAGTGATCACGGCCTGTGGGAAAAGAAACACACGCCTGATTTAGCAAGCTTTAGCAAGACATAGCTAGAAGGAGGTGGGGGTTGACTGAGCAAGCTTCAGCAAGACATAGCTAGGAGAGGTGGGGGTTGGCTGAGCAAGCTTTAGCAAGACAAAGCTAGGAGGTGGGGGTTGACTTATCAAGCTTTAGCAAGACATAGCTAGGAGGTGGGGGTTGACTGAGCAAGCTTTAGCAAGACAAAGCTAGGAGGCGGGGGTTGACTGAGCAAGCTTCAGCAAGACATAGCTAGGAGGTGGGGGTTGGCTGAGCAAGCTTTAGCAAGACATAGCTAGGAGGTGGGGGTTGACTGAGCAAGCTTTAGCAAGACATAGCTAGGAGGTGGGGTTGACTGAGCAAGCTTCAGCAAGACATAGCTAGGTGGGGGTTGGCTGAGCAAGCTTTAGCAAGACATAGCTAGGAGGTGGGGGTTGACTTATCAAGCTTTAGCAAGACATAGCTAGGAGGTGGGGGTTGACTGAGCAAGCTTCAGCAAGACATAGCTAGGAGGTGGGGGTTGACTTAGCAAGCTTTACCAAGACAAAGCTAGGAGGTGGGGGTTTACTGGGCAAGCTTTAGCAAGGCATAGCTAGGAGGTCGGGGTTGGCTGAGCAAGCTTTAGCAAGACATAGCTAGGAGAGGTGGGGGTTGGCTGAGCAAGCTTTAGCAAGACATAGCTAGGAGGTGGGGGTTGACTTATCAAGCTTTAGCAAGACATAGCTAGGAGGTGGGGGTTGACTGAGCAAGCTTCAGCAAGACAAAGCTAGGAGGTGGTGTTGACTTAGCAAGCTTTAGCAAGACATAGCTAGGAGGTGGGGGTTGACTTATCAAGCTTTAGCAAGACATAGCTAGGAGGTGGGGGTTGACTGAGCAAGCTTCAGCAAGACATAGCTAGGAGGTGGGGGTTGACTTAGCAAGCTTTAGCAAGACATAGCTAGGAGGTGGGGGTTGACTTAGCAAGCTTTAGCAAGACATAGCTAGGAGGTGGGGGTTGACTTAGCAAGCTTTAGCAAGGCAAAGCTGGGAGGTCGGGGTTGACTTAGCAAGCTTTAGCAAGACATAGCTAGGAGGTGGGGGTTGACTTATCAAGCTTTAGCAAGACATAGCTAGGAGGTGGGGGTTGACTGAGCAAGCTTCAGCAAGACATAGCTAGGAGGTGGGGGTTGACTTAGCAAGCTTTAGCAAGACATAGCTAGGAGGTGGGGGTTGACTTAGCAAGCTTTAGCAAGGCAAAGCTGGGAGGTCGGGGTTGACTTAGCAAGCTTTAGCAAGACATAGCTAGGTGGGGGTTGACTTATCAAGCTTTAGCAAGACATAGCTAGGAGGTGGGGGTTGACTGAGCAAGCTTCAGCAAACATAGCTAGGAGGTGGGGGTTGACTTAGCAAGCTTTAGCAAGACATAGCTAGGAGGTGGGGGTTGACTTAGCAAGCTTTACCAAGACAAAGCTAGGAGGTGGGGGTTTACTGAGCAAGCTTTAGCAAGGCAAAGCTGGGAGGTCGGGGTTGGCTGAGCAAGCTTTAGCAAGACATAGCTAGGAGAGGTGGGGGTTGGCTGAGCAAGCTTTAGCAAGACATAGCTAGGAGAGGTGGGGGTTGGCTGAGCAAGCTTTAGCAAGACATAGCTAGGAGAGGTGGGGGTTGGCTGAGCAAGCTTTAGCAAGACATAGCTAGGAGAGGTGGGGGTTAACTGAGCAAGCTTTAGCAAGACATAGCTAGGAGGTGGGAGTTGGCTGAGGGATAAGTATGACCCATTGTAATCTCTCCAATTTATTCTTGGATTTCACGTTTTTCACGTAACATCTCTAGAACGGCAGAACCTGTTGTACGAAGCCTGGACGCATGCATGGATAGTGCAATCCACCATTGTAAAATTGCATGCTTAAAAAGCAATAACGCTAAAGATATATAAAACCAATAATTAAAGAGAAGTTTGAATTAAATTAATATAGTTTTGGGGTTATACCGAACTTCGAGCAATTTAAGACTGGAAATGGCTGTCTAGATTTCGTACAGCTAGTCTTCAACATTAAAGCGCTCGTCAACTACCAAAAAATGCCCATTTGCAACTGTGGTAATAGCTAAATCCATCCCAAAATTTTCCTAAAATGCAAACATACGCATGCATGCTAACTTACGTTTCTCACAGTTTCTGAGAAATGAGTTTGATCATCAAAAGGTGATTTGGTGTCTGATTCGACCTAAAGATAATATGACAGATTTATAATGACCACCTATCGCTTATTTGTATTTTTGTCGAACAAAATGCAAGACCATTGCCTGTAAAAAAAGATCTCTCACTCTCAAACTCATTGAGTGGAAGATCACTTGGATCACTTGAATCACTTGGTAGCGGCGATTCCTTTATGGCATTTCGGCCATTTCCACTTGAATAATGTTTTTTAAATGATTTAAGTTAAATTTTTCCGATGATAAAGAGAAAGGACGTTTTCATTGAACAGTGATAACAAAATTCCACACTCGATGAGTGTGAGTAAGCTTTTTTTATAAGCGAATCTATCCATATGATATACGTGTTGTTGGCACATGCTTGCAGGGAATTGTGCAATGCTTTCCATGTATGCGTAAGTTAGCTCAAAAAAACAACAAGTCAACTCTATCATATAGCGAAACTTCAAAGAGCCTAAACTTACCATTTCTGGGATCCACGGCAGTAATAATTTTCCAAAATAATCGGTAGCCTCCCGAGGTAGTTGTGCAGGAAGATTGTCAATAGAACAGATCAATATACCATCTCCAGCCATGCTGGTACAGCAGAAGAAAATGGGGTCAAACGCAACAAATATATGACAGTCAGAATTAAGGAACCTTTTTAAAAGACAAACTCGATACCTTACCCAATTTCAGACTTGTTTTCTTGTGGATCAAACAGTTCAAATGGATATTCAATAGTTGTACATTCTGTCATAAATTCTAATGATCCCTGTTGGAAAATAAGGGAACTATATTAATAGCATAATTTATCATTAATGGCACCGAACATCCCCCAAACTGAATGTGTATTTCAAAATAGCGTTGGTTCATGCAACAGTTCTAACGATCAGCAATTTTCATGGGCTGCAGCCCATAGTGTTTTGTCTAGGGCAAAAATTTCTGACTGAAGACTGTTGTTTTGAGCTAGTATAGTAATAATATCCTTCAGTTACATTTATGTCAGCTGATATATCGCAGACTGCAAGAAAGCGATGCGGCAGAGGAGGACAGCCATCACTGACGCTGTATGACGTCTTGTGTTTCGTCAAATGCTGAATGTCTTCGTTGGTCAAAAGACGAGGAAAACCAGGTTGCCAGTATACTCCATTCACCATCACTGACATATACGGAGCAATCTAAAGATATGTATTGCAGATATGATGTGAATATGAACATATTGATGTGACACCGCGGAAATTGGTGACGTTTCAACCCGAAAACCTAATTGCTGGTTCACAATTGTGCATTTCTGTATCGTGCTAACAAAGAGAAACCTTTTGAATATCTTAAAAAATCTCAATTTTTCTTCTGAATTTTACACATTTTGCAATCTTTTTTTGTGCAAGAAATATTTTCTTGAGTAGTTGCAAATATTTTTTCTCACCAAGTTTGAATTCTAAATATTCGTTTTTATATATAAAGGCTTAATATTGGTAATAGTACTCAATCTCACGGTTTAGTGTTAAAACTGAAGATTTTTTCACGGATATTTCGAAGGACGTTTTTATCATCTCCAACTCGTAAGTCCGACCCATTTAAGGTGGCCCCAATTGGGCAGAAATAATTACGAGGCGCTTTAAAATTTTTACGGGACAAAAGCATCGTAAATCACCTTTTCTGCAAATATAGAACGATATTTCTCGGGATACGCATCATATTCTTCTGCATCAAACTTGCCACCAGCTTTAGGAACTAAATAATCCTCTCGTCTTATCACGGTTCCGATCAACTTACGATGATCTAGAAATGAAAGTCACCCAGTGAATGACTCCTACAAATGGCAGATTATGCCACACTGAGCCTAATGCTGGACTTTATACAGCTCATCAATATGCTACTGAACTCTTATTTAAAGGAAAGACCTAAACTATAGGTACTACAAAATCATGATGATCAGATTAAGCTACTAGTACTTATAATTTCTATAATTATTTCCCATAGTAACCATGCCATATTGCAATTTTATACCTCCCTTTTCCACAGCTTGTTTTAGTTCCTGAGGTGGGACATACATATGAGGCAGTTCTTGAAACATTTCCTGTGCTCCCTGAAATGTTGGCACATTCATGGATATCAGAGAAAAATGCATGTTCAACTCATGCACAGACACTGTGTAGAAACCAGGAAACTTCTAAGTTGGATGTGATAGAATAGATCACCCTTTACCTGAGATACATTTCCAGAACCAGTGAAAACAAAGGAGAGAGGTCCAAAATGTGCTGGAAGTTTGCCCATTGCAATATCTTCACCAAGTTCAAAGATTGCCAACTTAGCTGCACGACTATTTTTATAGTTGTGTGTACCACCCATGTACTGGAAATGAATGGCATGGGTTACATACAAGTGTTTGATGAACAATAATTCAAAATAATTAGAATAAGACACATTTGCCTACCATGAAAGGTGTATGATGACCAAGAGCAAGAAGTCGTAAGCCAAGCCCATGAAGAATATTTATCATTCCTTATACAAACATATATTGTATCAATATACTAATAAAGAAAGCACATGAATTGTTCCGGTCTGAAGCTTAAACAGTTATTTAGTAATTTTTATAAAATCAGCCCTCTACCATGAGGCTAAGCAATGCAGTACTAAAAGCACACTGTACCTGCTACACCTGCAAATTTGCCAAATGCAGCAACTCTCTGTCCTTTAGAATCAAGCATTCTTTCATAATCAACTAACCTTATATTCTATATAAATAACATAATATTTTCTTAAATAAGGCCATGCAAGTTAATTCATGACATTAATGTTTTATAGTTATCTTCCAGATAAGTACAAAATGAGAAAAATGGATGGAAGTTAGAAAAGTGACAGCTGTATACAAGTAAAAAGATCTTTGAAAGATTGCATGGCAACACACACAGACATATTAACACTGTACAAACATATTAACATCAATATATAAGAAGAAAAAATCTCTAGTAGAATAATTATTTGTGACTGATGACTTATTTCAATATCCCCCTCTCATACCCTTTATCTTGAATGACTATGCATTAAATTGTTGAATGGACCCTATATGTATATACTATATATATATATACTATATTATAACCCATAGGTTGTGCACCATGATACTGTATTATAACCCATGTGCACTGGCCATGATTTATACATACACAAGATACTTTTTTAGAACATGGTACTGCCAGATTATTAATGTGCCTTACCATGCAAATATGTTATACATCTGTTTTACAACAGAGTAATTTTTCTGGTAAACAACCCTAATTAATTACCAAATGTCAACATCTTCCTCAAATAACAATGTACTCTTGTTGTGAGGAGGTGTGTGCCTTTCCAATAATATAATTCAAAAAAAAAATGTTCATCAACTCTACCTTCACCAGCATTGCATCTAACAGTGGCATATTTCCCGGTTGAGCTTTAATAGTGTGTGAAAAGAAAGCATACGTTTTATCTGGTAATAACTGGTTGATCGGTACAGCCTTCACACCTACGATCAGTGAAGCAGGTGATAGGTCCTCCGTAATGACTGCTCCGGCACCTTCGTATTCGGCCATCGTATATGCCCTTCGTGTTGAAGGCTGGACAAGAACCTTTATACCGTTATCTACCAGGTCTTTAACATGTGCAGGGGAAATGGGGGCTCTTCTTTCCCAGACGTTTATGTCCTCGCGACGAATTGCCATAACTTTTTCACACGTTTTGAGACTCGTTGAAATTGATCGTTTTGGTACGCCAATCGCTGACAAAAGCCTTAATTTTCGAATTTTTCCTACACCCCACATCTTTGACGATTGTGGTGAAACAAGTGCTTGATAATATTGTTTAGAAATTACCGTTTTTAAAAATATTTTCTACAAAATAGAAATTTTGGAAATTTACGTTACTGGTGTTGGTGTTGGTGTACTACGAAGGATAATAATGGTTGAAACGAATTAACACGTGATCTCAGTGGATGACCACTGACATGCCCACACCACGCCCATCGCACACGATCTTCGTTCGCAGCACATGCAAATTTCTACTGCTATTACGTCACAAACAGCTAATAATTGACGCACCAGTGAGACTCACATGTCGATTGAATAGTCATGGTAGTAGTTAAAAGAGACAATGACAATGAAAAAGACAATGAAAACGTTTTGTTATATGTTCTTTGCAATCCTTGTGATTTGCATTCCGCTTGAAACGACACCATTACAGGGTATTGATGATTTTTATATGGGTTTTTTCTCGAGTAATTTATTTGCACAGCAACCTATTAATGAATTTTAAAAATTTTTGCTTTTTCACAGACGATCATGGCATCCAGTTAAAACTTGATGATAAAAATGAAAATGTAAACCACACTTTGAAAAAGGGTATAGAGGGAACTGCAGTGAATGCGAAAGGTCAAAAATCCATTGCCAATGTTAGAAAAGAATTTCATGGAGAAATCATCTATGACGACACGGCGTCAGTAGACATACACAAGCAAAATTCAAATGACGAAAACAGGCAGACAAAAACAGGCAGAGAGATAAATTCCATCGAGAATATGAAAGAGCTAAATATAACTCTACCAAGTGGTGGTTCTCAGGTTAGAAATGTTGCATCCAAGGTTCAACTGAAAAAGACAAGAATTATAATGAAAGGAAAAATATCCGAAAGCCCGCCCACACCTGGCCTTAACTCCACTGGCCTTAACTCGACTAAAAATCAAGCAACCAACAGTACAGAAATGAAGTCAAATTCAATGTTTCTCTTTGAGAAGATTAAACGCGAATTAGATGAAATTATGGCAACATGGAAAAATCAACACCGTCATTTCTTCCAAAAAATTTTCAAAGCTTCTCCAGAAGACCGCTTTAAAACTAAGAAACTTTATGTTTTGCGATTCCTGGGTATAGGCTCTAGAAAAAAGCGAAGTGCAATTCAAAATGAGAATGGTTTTAGTAAAGAGGTATTGCAAAGGATTGAAGGTAAATTTGAATTTTCTACATATCTATTTTAATTTTGTATATGTTCATTACACATACTTTGAAACTGTCGATCTGAGGGAACTCTGTTGAGGAAACTCTATTAGTCTAATGTCGCTACAGTGCTTAATAATGACTGTAATTCTTTTAAAATGTTTTTCAGGTAATTCGTTTAAATAATGTTTGGTAATTTTATAATTCGTTTTTTATCGCATCTATGCATCCGTATGCGTACCTAAAATTTTGCCTTCCAGAAAATTTCCCTTGTCGAGACCCAAGAACACTGGCTTTAATTACGAGTGGCACGACATTTTTCAACGAAGCAGACTGCTTGCAGTGCACGTGTCACATGTCAAAACTCACATGCAAAGTAAACCAGAAGAAATGCTACCCAAACGCCTGTCATTTACAAGACAGAGAAATTGTGCAAAATTTCGCTATACATCACGATGGCTGCAACAATTGCCTGTGCTATTTTGGTAAGACTTGACATGCTCGGATCACAAACACAAAAAATTAAATACGAAATTGGTGTAAATTAAGGCTGGTCTAAATTAAGACACGATAAAAAATAGTGATGGTCTAACATACCTGAATATGGTTGGTCAACCTTGGCATATATGGTCGAATATAACGGAATATGGTATATTCGACCATGGTCGAGTATACCATATTCCGCTATATTATGGTTCAAAACATCGCATCAGTCAGCCAAATTTAATCCAAAATGCTGGGCCCGCCCTTGGTCAAGATCATAACTCAAGATCATCATTCAAGCTAAATATCTCATTCAAGTTAAATTTCAGGTGAGCTCATGTGTACACATCTGCGCTGCCCTGAAGCAGGTCACCGCTACACAAACTACGAGGCCATGGGTTTGGGGGATGTCGAACCTGAGAACAACCTCGATCTTTCAGAAGGGAGCGAATTGCCAACCCGCATACCAGACAGTTGCCTGGAGTGCGATCATCTGACTGGTTCAAGTGTCTGTGGGCTTAAACAATGGAAAACATTCCCGACTTATTGCCACGCGATATTTTGTGGGAAAAATAACGACGAGAAAATTGACGACCGTGGATCTTGTGAAACATTGGTACAACAGACTGCGTAATTACTGAGATTCTAGCTTATCTTAGTGTCTGTGATCACACTTAGAATTTGAGGGTGAAGTGTGAAGTTTTGTAATTGCTATAAATGCTTAGGTCAAGAGGAATGCTATAGTTCAAATGTGTTTATTTTCTTTAGAATCCGTGTACATCATCCACATGCGGTGAAGACGACCTGTGTGTCTCGTTGCATCAACCTGCATGTATTGGCAGTGAACTTTGCCGACAGTATAAATGCAGTTGAGTGACCATTCAAAAGTCACTGTGAATTAAAATCAATACATTGCTTGTGCAAAAAAATTAGGCCTATGTCGAAAAAGAAAAAAACTAAATGTTTTGGCAACATAGCTACATGCATTTATGCATGCAGTGAAACCATGAATCATCTTTCGAGAAACACTCAAAACAGCACTATATTTTTGATATTATAGGGGATGAAAATATCTACTGATGATATAATAATCTCTGACTCTGACTATATGCTTTTCCTAACGGTTATTCTCCTCAGCATCAGTTTAGATCGTTTGTTTTAGTTTCACAAGAAATCAAGTGTTCGGATGAAAATACAGGCATAGTTTGCGGAGAAGATGGTCAGTCATATGAAAATGAATGTGAATTAAGACGGAAAGGCATAAACTTAGCGTACAAGGGAAGATGTGGCAAAAACTGTCGATCTGAGGTTTGTGGTTCTTGCAGTATCTTTGTATCTTTGGTTTTCCAAGAATACCAGGAAGCTCAAGCTTTCACTATCAATTTTGTCTAAACCAAAAGCGCCGGCATTTTTTTAGGGAGGTGGAATTTTAAAACACAGTTTTTTTCTGGCCAGTCATAAAATTGGTTAAAAATTGACGACTATGCAAACCAGGAACACGAATGTAAATTACATAGCCGATAAACACAAGTCACTGATCTAAACGGCTCACTCTATAGCATAATCACTGACCTATATTAGATACTATATAGTATAGGTCAGTAAGCGTAATCGCTGATCAGTGCAACTGGAGTGTGGTTCACACTCCTGTCGACCTTCAGGCAAAGTGCGAAGTTGATCCACCTTTAGCGGTGACTTTCTCGTCAATGCGATGGTTGAAGATACACCCTTCATTAAACGATCCTAAGGATATAATAAGGACACTTTCAATTTTGTAGTTGCTTAGATAAAATATGTCTTCATTTCAGGTGTGTGGAATCGAAAGTCGTACTTTTGCAAGTCGTTGCGATGCACAACAGATGAATGCACACGTGGATTACAACGGTCGGTGTGAATATCACTTCAATTCAGCTGTGATGAAGGATAATGAAAAAGGAAGTTTTTACGAAAATAACAAATGTGAAATGGTGTATGAAAATGGAAGATGTTCTCCAGTGAAGTGTGAGGCTACTGTATTGCCACCAGGAGCTTGTTGTCCAATATGCGGTAAGTTCTAGGAACTGTAGTGGAACATGATGTGCATGACTAGTGCTGGTCATGTGATGATTACGGACAACTGGCTCGTGTAATGTTCTCATGCATGAAGAAATAAGAACATCTACTGTTGGTATATAGTTTTGAATATCCACCATGCAGATGGCAAATTCCGTTCGTTTTTGCATGGTTTTCCCATGCAATTATAGGCCAATGGTGACTATCTTTACACGGTGCCCGATACAGTGTTAGCCGGGCAAAAACATGCAAGGGCGCTTTGCCTGTGTGGATTAAGAGGACATGGAAAATTGCATTTAAAACTTGTGCAAACAAAAATACAACCGTTCACCTTTTACGCCGCTAATTTCAGAAAATTGGAACATGACACGTTGGCATATCAAAACTTAAAATATAAATTAGGCCAAGCCTAGTGAGTCTAGTGATATCGCGATGACGATGATGGTGGTCGCTTATAATAGTTATGTTCGATAGAACATTCTAGTCTTTGTTGAAAAGCAACAACGAAAGTGATGGTTTATTTCGTATAGGAGCTGCGCTAGTGATCAGCATTAACCATAAAACGCTGACCGTACAGAACGTTACCTATCGCCTCCATGATATCCACACATTTCTCACGGAAAGTCACATCAACACACATCACTGCAAGATTTCGGTAGATTTGACTTACTCCATGGATATACTGGTCGTCATACTGCCCTACAAAAGACACCATCTCGAATCTTGTCAAAACCTTGCTGTGGACGTTTCTGATCAGATGAACTTTGAAAGGAGTGACAAAAACGCAGGAATATTTTCAATACTAGGCGCGGCTACGTTGGTCAAGGAGAAAGTCAATGAAAGGCTGATATACATGATTTAAAAACTCTTTATCGTAAACAAACAGTAACCGGCAATCTGTAGCTAAAAGTCACAACCCCTTTTCAGTGTATAATATATGTTGCTATATTTAGATACATGGTTCCTAGTAAATAAAGCATATATCGTGTAAATACGACGTCGAATGAAGCTTGATTGGTCCCGGCGAAAGTGTGGTTTGAGCCGCCGCAAATCCAAAAGTCCAATAAAAAAGGTCACCAAAAGTCATAGTTAGTTGATCCATGTAATTCTGTAACGCAATAATGCATCGCCTGACTTTTTGCCACGGTTATTTTTCGAGGATACATGCCAAAAAAATTTAAAGAACAGCAGATGCGATTTCTTTCGTTTCTTTGAGATTTCTAATTTCAAATAAGATATTACATTTCTGAATTTTAAAAACCCTAAAATTATTATCTAGAGGAATTATTTTTCTAGTAGTAAAAATTCTATATCTGTGTATGCTGCTCTGTAGCCGATGTCCAGCAGGCTCAAACATGGCATGCGGAACACCTGCCGAATCACGTCGAGGGAGGTCGTGTTCAAATGACGTTGCTAGGCGGCGTCATCACGGCGATCGTGCATGCCTTGCGGTCCACCAGGGTCCACTGAGACACGTGCATCCGCCTGGTGGATGCAATGTGATGACACTGCCTGGCAACGTTCAAATGGTCAATGACTTGACGTGGATTGACGGCCGCCATCTCCAACATCGCCCCAAAGGTCGCCATGAGGTTTTCTTCGTTGCCGTGGTACTAAAGTCTAAGGTTTGAACAATACAGCGATCCGGATCTCGTCTTTCGTGTCCTGTCGTTGTCACCTTCGCCTCTGGCTCCAACACCAAGAGAACCACCTTAATATAACCATACAATATAGCCAGTTTTTTTGTGTATTTTAGGCAGTTGTTATACTGACCACAATTGATAAATCAATTGATGCAAAGTTGTTTGAAGACGCTGCTACGCTGCTTCCTGGTTATATTAAAGTATTCCTTTTAATCCTGTTGCAAAATTCGTACGGACAAAAATGCTTTCTTCATGAAAGTTCCCAAAGAGTTTTTCATGCTATTTTCGAGAATGCTAAGAAAAGGGTAAGACTTCAAATCCTTCAACTACGCTACATTCATCTTCATCATACACTTTACTGGAGGCATTTTTATCCAATTCAAAATTCTCATCCAACTCTTGATGAATATACAACATTTGTTCGGGACAACCCCCTTCAATCGTTTTACTGTTATCCTCAGAACAACCAATCTTTTTACGAAATGCCATACAGTGAGTGTGAATATCTTTCTGGTATTTCCATCTTAAAAACCCGATACTTTCCACTGCTGTTTTCCACGATTTAATCATAGACATGTTCTTATTTTGGTGACTGGAATCCGGGGTGATAATTATAAGCAAACCATTGTCTTTTAATAACTCATGTGCTTTTAAACAGCAAGTCCATCGCTGTTCCCTCACGGGCAGGTAGCTTAAGAGCAGGCAAAAAACAACAACATCAAAAGTGTTTTGTGGAAGTTTGGTGATTTTGTCACCATCGATGTAGCGTTCCATGTCCTTTGGTAATGAGCAACGTTCAGGTATCAAAGAGCAGGAGGGTGATGAATTGCCACTGCTGGATATATTATTGTCTTTTAAAATTTCAAGGAATAGGAAATCACAGGAAATCACAGACTAGAACAAAGTATTTGTATTTTAGATGAGGTAGTACTGACTTCCCTATCTAGGCTTTTTTCATAAGAAATGACAATAAACTCAAATTACTCAATTTTCCTATTTTTTTCGCACAAGTTTAAATGGTACACTTTTCTTGTCCAGCAAATTCCATACTCACCTTATCTGCAGGACAGAGGTCTATTGCTAGGGAATGAAATATATCTGGAAATGCTTGGAATGGATTAAAACAACTACCAACATCCAAGAGAACTAGTTTGTCATGTTTAACTGGATGCCGTGGATGGTCATTCCTACAAAATAATTTATTATTCTTACTGTAAACATATATATTCAAGTAATATGACTGTTGCATATATATTTGATAATGACTACATAGGGTTCATTTTTGTTTGAAATAATCGATCATGCAACTGTTATTCATGAGTAATATTAATCCTTTCAAATTACTCAAGAACAATATAATACATTTCGTGCCTACAATTTTATCTGTAATATAGTGTAGGTGATTAAAATAAATAAATGAATATTCAAATAAATGATTCACTCATTCACCTATTCAAGCTTGATTGCAACTCTTCAGCCTCACATTGACATTTGCAATTCCGATGTTTGTCCAAGTTAAAAAGGACCCGTTTGCAATCTTTCTGCAAGCATTTCTCACGACCTCCATGATAAAAATATTCCAGACATATTTCTTTGCACCATTCTATTCTTCTTAGGTTATTCTCACCCCAGTGGTTAACAGCAAGTGCTTTCATGGATTTTGAATATTGTTCAAGTAAGGATGAATTAGTTAAATGTTCTTGCCAAACTGAAGTGAAGTTTCCATTAGCTAATGCAAGGTGTAAAAACATTAAAGTGTGTTACAACTGAATTAATACTTCCTCAGAACTGCCAGAAAAGTACATGAAAACCTCTTGAACAGGACTTCATTCATAGGTGTCCCAGCAAACAATATTGATTTGCATGGTTACTTCATTACAATGATACAATAATGTGCAAATCAACATTGTAAGCTATGCTTGCTTATTCAATGGGAAAAAGAGGATAAATAAAAAGTTCTGACAATGATAAATGGGTGATCCAAATTGAAAAGAATAGCAGTTTTTGTAAAAACCTCAGGTGTGAATTAAGGGCACCTTGTGAAGTTGATTTCTTTAATGTGTTAATAATTATGTATAATGTAGGGATGGGTATAGGTATGGATACAAGCACCAGCCGTAACAATTACATAAAATAAGATGATAAGGTATTATTCTCAGGCCCTTAGAAAGAAGTCCAGAACTGTCAAATACATGCACAAAAATTTTTAGATATATTTTTATACATAATCTACCCAAATTTGAATTGATATGCAAATTTGCACCCTTTCAACACCCCTTCTGCACTAGACCTAGGGGTACACCCCCCACCAGTTGCCACATAAAAGACATTTAGCTCTGGAAAGTTTGTATTGTCTGACTATTGAAATAAGAAATACGGTGGCTCTCGTAGCTAAAAATGTTTTCTGGTATATTTTAGGTTTATAAGCTGCCTACTTCCTAGATTCTAGTTCAGAATGGAAAGTTTGAAATATAATGTTCCAATGACAAGTGACAAGCCTAAAAATATCTAAAAACATAAGTTGCCAAACCTTGTCGAACTTTTTCTCGTAAATTACTGTGAACACTTTTGATAAAATCAGCAAAATTTTGTCTCTCGGCAGCATTAGCGGTTAAATCTTGAAATTCCTCACTTGCAGCTAAATTCAGACATCTTGCATTATGATCCGCCATCTTGAATTTAACCATGGTGAGATCATAGATATATCTATGGGTGAGATGGTAACCAGTGGTGACCAGTGACACCACTGACACCGAATTGGAGCGAGTACTGTGGTTTGTAAAAAGAGATGGGGTGCACTACGGCCCCTGACCATGTAATGAAATTGCTGAATTATCAAGTAGTTTTAGACAGAGGCTTGGGGGCTGGGGCCGTTTGTTTGAGCCTCACACCAACGCCTCCACCACCAGTGGTCACTCACTGTGGTCACCACAGAGCTCACTCCGGGCGCACTGAGCTCTAAAAGTCACTGCGTGCATTGACAGTTCACTGGCATTGACTGCGCCTGCTCGCCCCCCCCCCGCTTCATTTTAATTCCACAATATATAATCCACATGCCACATGCACTGTCATTCATGCACATTTCCGGAGAAACTTATAGAACAAGAAATCCAAAGTAGTGGCCAGAACGCGTTCAGGATTGTGTTGGAAACAAAGTTATGTTATAGTAAATGATGTAAAGACGAAGGAGTTCACGAGAGAGTTCTTTAGGATCTTTGACAACCTTCGTATAAAGTTCTCAAGCATAAATTATTCTACGAAGACAAGTGTTTGTCTGTCTGAAATGGAAAGACTAATAAAGTACATATCTGCTGGAGCAATTGTCACGTTTCTGGCAGGCGGATTTTTAGGCATCTATAGCCGATGGCAACACCACTCGTCTGATAAAAGTTTTATAATATTTGGCGTAATTGCAGGGATTTTTCTTATCCTTGCTTTTGTACTTTATTTGTTTAACCGACAAGAACTAGCCAACGCCTTTGTCAATTTTTGGATTGGTATAATATTTAGTGTTTTAACTTTCACATCTGTTGCTTATGATCATATGTTCGTGTCAGCACAAGATTTGGACGTTGTTGATATGTTGTTGATCGGGAGCACTTGTGTTTATTCCTGTGGAACATTGATTGACAGAATTCATAACTATGGCAATGTACAGTTCCATTTGCTCACTGTAAGAGAATTGCTTTTATTAATTGGCTTTGCATTTGGTAGCATTGTCTCAGAACACTGTGCAGCTATGGTGTTGTTAGCTTTAGCTGTTGCTTGCAATCTGATCGCAATACATTTGAAATCGGCATTGTCATTGGTTAATGCAGTTATGACAAGTGTGCTAGTGGCAATGGAGTTCTTCCCAGCAATTAAAGTGCAATATAATCCATTCTGTTTGGCCACATTTGCAGTTTGGCTATCATTTGAAGCAATCATCGACATGTACTTTTCCAAGTACTCTACAGTTGACAGGTGGAAGGGTTTCCTCACCTGCGGAAAATGGCATAGAAAATCCATAGTTGTTGTCATATTTTGTGGAGAGTTTCTTTATGTCACATGTGCTGCTCAAGTAACATTAACGCACCATCGGGCTGTTGTCATTGTGCCAATATTTATCGCCTTTTTACTATTTTGGATAGCTGGACATATAGTGTTCCTTATAGATTGTTGGGGTTTTTTAATCAAACTTGAAGAATGCTCAGAAAGTCTCAAAGAGGAGTTTGATACAAATTCAATGTTAGATGTACTTGCTTCCAGAGGTGTTAGACATTTTTGTCTAATATCAAAATCTATTATCCTTATCACCATTGCAACAACAGTCTTGCTAGGGATACCATCATGGCAAGTAACAAATGCCTGGTTTATAAGTTCATTTTTGATTGTCATGCCAGTTGAATCAATGGCATATAGTGTGTTATCTAGCCTAGGAAATTGTCTTGGAGGAACAGCTATTGGTTATGCTATTGTACTACCATGTTATAGCTACAGAAAAGATGGTTTAGTTATTGCTCTCCCGGAAGAGGAATACCAGGGAACTAATAGGATTGCTGTTGAATTAATTGGTTTGCTGTCCAGATTCTTCTCTGAACATATTGTGCATAATTTTGGGACAGAATTATGCACAAGTGGCCTATCAACTCAATCTTTGGAATCAAAGTTAGAATCATTCTTCAATCAGCGTGTGCTTCCTGGTCTGCCCTATGATACATTTGTACTATACTACAGTGGTCCGGTACATGATAATGGTGATTGGGCATTGTTAGAGAATAATGCATTTTCTTTAACACAACTTCTTAGCATATGGGAAAGGCTTAACAGTGAAACTGGAGCAAGGTTAATCATAATACTTGATACTGAAAATTCTTACAAGTGGCTTCCAGAAATTAAAAAGTCAAAGATGTTTGTTGGTGCTCAAGTTGGAATAGCTTTTAAATCTGATGATATTGAAGCAGCCATCACTCAGACAGTTGGTGAACTGACCAAACAATGGGTTAATTTTAATTCATCACATGAGCACAATGACATCTTAGATCCTAGTACAGAGAGTAGAGTTAGACCAACATTTGCTGTTTCAAGGAATTGGTGTGAGTTTAAATTTCATGTTCCTACTCAAAAGGATGTATCCTTACATATAGAGGAAAGTTTTCCAACAATAGTTCAACCAGTTATGAGATTCTGTAACATGTTCCCACAAAAAGCTGATTTGTTTTGCTTATGTGAGGAATGTGTTGCTATGGCAAGGAATTTAAAAATGAGGTGGTTGCCACCATTGACACTTGACACTGGTCATGGATTTAAACTAATCAGGACCATAAATAAGATTTAAATTTGAACAAATGAAAAGACTTTGCTACAATTTAGCTTTAGTAAGTTACCTATCATCATTTAGTAAAAGTAGAAATCTTCCAAGATAAAATTGAGAAAATAATTTATTTTAAAATATTTTATTTACTTTCCCCATATTTCAATATTAACTTTAACGCTATAAGTAATATTCCTTGCAACTATAATATGAACTTGAGCGGACACATTTAGATATGAATATGATACAGTACATATTCTTGAACAGTTAATAATATATGGACCTTGTTTTGTGCATTGGAAAACCGGCAATTGTATTCTCATGGGCTTTAGTATAGTCCCACAGAAAAAAATCAACAAGAACAGCATTAATGACTACCATATCACCATTCCCATTCCTACAATTTTGATCTTGCATTTTTCGTAACTCCTGGCAAATTAATTCCACAGCCCAAATGCTACAACCTCGAATTTCCACTTCCAGCTCACTTTTATTGGGAAGATGCTTGCCCTGATTGATTGCACTTTGTAGCGTGTTTGAATATTCAATAACATCTAAAAACTGTAGCCCTCTTGGAACTAAATAGTCTGCAAACATTGTTAAGCTATCGATGTCTGAAAATTCCCCAAAACCTTTTCCCTCAAAACAAGCCCAAATGTCTGCAATTAGGATCTGTGGTCTTTTGTGTAGGCCAACCCTTTGACCTTGAAAATTTGCCACATCACAGAAACACGGAAACTGGGTGGTTATCAGATCAAGCAATGCTGTTGCACTTTTGTTGCAAGATTTTAGCATGTTGACAAAACTGTTTTTGTATTTCTCAACCAGAATTCTTCCAGTTTCATTTAGGTTTTTTACTCTCTCTTCAATGAGTGGGATTTCTGTCAATGTTTCAGATTCAAATACAACTTTCAACTTTTCTTTAGTGATTTTCGCACAATAGGAAGGGGTAGTTATTGGAATACCATTCTAGAAAGAAATATTACTGTAAATGAAAAGTATAAGAAATATTGCCAACTAAACTTTCCAATTACTAAGTTTAGAATTTCATTTCGAATCCAGTTTTACTGATGAATATTCTTAGTTCTAAATTCAGTTTAGGGAATGGTCTATTGGGCTCTCCTCACAAAGTTTACCTGGAGCCAGTTGTATAAAACACTTTAACTACATTTTACATCGTTAAATCCTAGTTAATTCAGAAATACATGACTGTTTCAAAGACAGTTTTAAATTTTTGAAACAAATACATCGGTATAAACCTGGCTTGATATAAATGCAACCCATAAAAATATTCTGAATTGATGAAGCAACTGTTATAAAACAACTAGGTTATGATGCACTATTAAATAGGATGTTCCGGGGGGAGAGAAAACGCTATATAACGGTATTGCATGGTCGAGTGCAAATTTAACTGTTTATGATTACAAACCTCTAATGCACGATTGATAGCCGCACATAATGCCCAATATCCAGTATAACATTTTCCACGATACTTGACAACAAACGGTTGGGTATCTTGTTCCACCCAGAACGAGAAATTGAGCGTATCAAGTAAAAAAATCCAATCCACGGTCGCTTTATTCCATTCTTTCGGGTGCAGTTCATGCTTACGCCAACTTTTTACGGAGTACAAGCTCTTTGTTAGGTCAGGGTAAATTAGTTTAGCGACCTTTTGTACACCTTTTGATTTGATAGACACGTGTTTAGCACAAGAAGCAATAAACTTACCAGATTCACGTGGTGACAATGCCGCCATCTCGTTCTGAAACATGCCGTATCCGTATTGCGCCCCCCCCCCCTGACTCTAACTCCCTAAGGCCTAAGCCTAAAGATGCATATGAAAATTCGGGGACTCCAAACATGGAATTATTGAATCTCTATTATCACACTGCGGGAAAAGACGCAGTGTGAAAGAATTAGAGAATCGTGCAGAATAGTCTCCTCCGCAAGCATCGCTTGCCTAATAACCTAAAATAATTTAGTACATAAGAGAAGCCTGCGGAGGAGGCTAGGTGCAGAAATAATAGAGATTTCATTTTTGTTTGTGTAAAAGTTCAATTCTGTCAATAGATATGACGTCCGTCATATTTTTGTTCGTCTAAACAATCCCAGAATTCACTGCTTTAGAGAAGCTATAGGGAACTGATGAGAAGAGCATTGCGGCATTGCCTGATAATTTTAAGAAATATTGCGTGATTAAAGTGATCCAACAGAGTGAACAGAGTAATGCCGGTGTCCCAGGAAATTTGGCCCCCCCAAAATTTGGCCCCCCTGGGGGTCACATTTCCTAGGAAATATGGCCCCCCTTTCGGAAATTTGGCCCCCTCGAAAACATATACTTTATTACCATGAGTCCGAGAATCGCGAAGCTTCTAAAAGCAAGATCGTAAATGTTTGTTTGTATTCATACTTAGTTTGCTTCATTTATTTGTGTAAAAGCTTTTCATCTCGGCGAAGAGCTAAGACGAATATTGTTAATGTGCACGTGGCTAACTTCTAGGATTATCATAACATTACTTGGGGCTTTAATCGAGAAATAAATAAATAAGTGGTAATTTCCTAAAACAACCTTTCCTATGTATGTATAACCGCTAAGCCTATAAATTTATAGCCTTTATAAGGTCGCCAAATTAAGAATTTCTGGGGAGGACAAATCACGTATTTCACAGTTCGAAAATTTGGTCCCCCTCGATAACATACTTTATACTCTCAATATATATATATATATAAAATATATATAGTTTTGAAAATCGCGAACTTTTGACTCAATATTCAACAAGTTTCTGAACCTAATATGAAATTCGTCAGAATAACAACCACACTTTAGCAAGCGATGACATCATGCGTTGGCGAAAGTGTTAATGTGCATGGGGCTAACATTTAGGGAGTAATTAATACAAATTTGCATAAAAACGTTTAAAAACAATCGGCAAACACAAAAACAAGGTTACATGCACCATACAAAATCCGTCAATGCTGTTTGTAAGTTGTAACTCAAACAAGAGTACAGCTAGATAGACTTTTATACACTTAAAACTTTTATACACTTAACGGTTCTCTAGCTCTAAAATGGTAAGCTAAACTATGTTTTTTAGAGGGGGGCCAAATTTCCGAAGGGGGAGCCAAATTTCCTAGGATATTTGGCCCGGAGGGGCCATATTTCCTAGGAAATTTGGCCCGGGGGGGCCAAATTTGCGGGGGGGCCAAATTTCCTGTGACACCGGTCAGACAAGATTCCTGTGTTAAAAGTTCCCTGTACGGTTTTGAGGGATTTCCTCAATCTGGCCGGGGCTTTAAAAAGCACCATAAGTATTACTTTTTAATCTTAAAGCTATAATTGATCTGTTACTTGGCAGTAGGCATTGGAATTATTTAATGATGCAAATTAACTTTACTCGTCTGTATATTCTGTATACGTATGGCCCAAGATTAAGATACTATTACCACGAATCATTTAGTTTGACTGACCAATCTTTCGCGAGGGAATTGCTATTAGAAGCCTCGTCGTAAGAGACGGTCTCTTTTAGCATAAATGTTTTTTATCAACGAATCATCACACAGCCATGGTCCTAGCCAGTTTCTTTAATTTTTTCATACAAGACTACTGACGGCTTTCATCGCAGCTTCATCAAGATCTTCAGCGGTTGTTACTGGAATACCGCTAGACTTGAGAATTTTTTTGGCGTCCACGACATTCCTCCCTACAAACAAATTACCATTTAACCAGTTGGGACCATAAGTTCTAAACTATCTCACTCGGTAAAATGCGCATGATTCGACGACTATTTCGTACCGTAAATACGATTACTATGAAATGTCTGAAATCATATATTTACAGAAAATATGTATTTACAGTACCTTCCAATCGCACGATTAAAGGAATATCAATTTTCAGTTTTTCATAAGCAGCTTGAATTCCTTTTGCAACCATTTTGCAATCAACAATACCGCCAAAAATATTTACAAGTATTGCTTCCACCTGCAACAAAAGATTAGATAATTGGTCGAAACAAACTGCTTGGTCGAACTGGGTGCATGCCAAAGTGATAGTAATCTGCTCTTGTAACCTGCAACCTCGTTCTCGTGTCGCTCGCGCGTGTACGCGAGTCTACTCGCGCGAGCGCCGCGAGAACGAAAACATGTCTGGGCTGCCAATGGACAAACCTACATTTTTATCCGAAATGATTATTTTGAACGCTTGATGAACTCCCTCTTCTTGAATGCCACCACCAAGGTCCAAAAAGTTCGCTGGCTCACCCTCGTGAAGTTTAATCATGTCCATGGTTGCCATGGCAAGACCTGCCCCATTTACTACAAAACAATTGACGTCAAGCATAGGATGAGCAATGGTAACGTGAAATTACCCTGGGTACGAGGTTGTGGTAACGTGGGATCAGTGGAATACAATCTGTTATGAATTCTGGACAGAAGTTCGTAAATAAGATTATAGTGCCTTATTCATTTAGAATTAGTGAACAATGCAATTATTCTAAGCCCCGTTTAAGGTTTACACAATTCTCAGTGAAACATGGCACAATACAGACTGAATCTCTAATAATCAAAGTAAACTACAATCGGCCCAACCTCGTTTTCGGGTATTCGCTCAGTCAGTCTACACTCGAGCAATCGAGTGTGAGCAGAGCGAATACCCTGGAAACGAGGATACCATGAGTCTTGAATCATATGTATCGTTCAGAAGTACAGTATTACACCTTCGTGCATGCTTGCTGCATCGATATCGTGGAAAGTTCTTCCAAATATTCCAGCAACTAGCAGAGTGGCGAAGAAGTGTCTAACCTTCTTCTGGGAGATTTCTATCTAAATGAAGGTCTGCCTCAAAAATGTGATACTATTGTTCTTATTTAATGTATTTGAAAACAAGCTAGGAAGCTGTTACCTATACATGCAATGTTGCCGTCCATTCCAATGTAATTTAAGTCGTATTTCCTCGCCTCAACTTCTCTCGGGTTTTTCTCGGAAATGTCTTCACTTGCAAACAGATCTTCCTGTCGAAACTTGGCGTTGTCATCAAAATTGATTTTTGCATCAAAGCATACGACTGTAATAAAACAATAGAATGTCAGATGAGACGAAATCCGTCATCCGTAGGCAGACCAGGGCCCCACACTTAGGGGGGGGGTGCATATACACACATTCATATTCACGTACCGTTGGAACAACAGCTTTCGGGCATAATGAATACGTAGGTATATAAATATGCACCCGCTCCCCCTAATCGCTTCTAGTTTTTGTTAAAAAATTTTTTGTCTTGGCTTAAATTTACATTGTCAGTTGGTATATACACTCTAATATACCCAGTCAGTAATGAAGGACATGACGAAATCCTTACAACTTTGTGTAAACTCTTGTTAGAATCACACCGACTTTAAAACAATAACTTCATTGAAATAACTGAAGACAAAATAGAGTCAATATCATCAGGTCGTACCTCGGCCATCATCAGTTTCTCCAAACGGATTTACTTCAACTTGAGTTGCATCGCGAGCGATGAATAATTCGTACAACTTCTCAATTTGAGCTGCAGCCTACGAGTACATTTACATTTTCAATAAAACAGCTGATCTGGTTTTATGTACAATAGTAGGGAGGTACAAAGATAATCTCGTGACTTTGTGAGACACTATCTTATCATGTAAATTGTGATTGTCATGTTTCTGAAGAGCGAAGTGCGTCTATGAGAGTGCGTCTATGAGGTTGTTCTAACTTGTGTGTGAATGGTTCAAAACTTTTATTAGACGAATCACATAAAACAAGATTTGAGAAAACAAATGTCTTCTGATTAGGTTATTCTGTGTGTGGTCAACTTTCTTCTCTCTTTACTTCACAGTTTGTGGTGATTTTAAGAATTCTTATCTGTGCTGTTTTTTTTTAAATTTGTCACACACCAAGGTTTTCAAAAGAATTGAATTTCTTTTTGTCATCTTTTTGTGATCTTTTTTTGGGAACTGGTAATAATTTCATACCCAGAATCCAAGAATATGATCCTTGATTCTAATCCTTTAGTATAAGTAGTTGGGTTAAGATTAGGGTCTGGTTTAGGATTAAAAGTCAGGATATATTTAATAGATTCTGCACATGAAATTAGCACTTACTTCCTCTCTTAACAGTCCTCTGAAATTTAATTTATCTGCTAATTCCAGTGCTTGTTCTCTCTTAATTCCAGAATTAATATCAATTGGAAACTAAGAATGACAGGAGAAACACATTAGAAATCATTACTGAAAAAGGCCTAAATGTCATCTAAAATGATTAATTTAAAGTCAGATCTGTATGTCATGCTTAAAAAGACTTGTAGAACTTTTTGTCCTTTATTTGAAAATAAAATGCATGTTATATATATAAAAACCACAAAACACATACTTTATAAATTTTATCAGGGGTTTTTTCAGCCACTTCTTCTATATCAACTCCACCTTCAGGACTAGCAACAATTACAGGACCTTCATAGGCACGATCCATTAAAATTGCCAGGTAGGTCTCACGACTAATGTCTAGTGCTTCACCTAGCATTACCTTGACATAGAGAAATATAATAGGCATATGGCTCAATGGATGTTATATAGCAATTTTCAGTGCAATTATTCAGTAAAAATCCAATTAATTGATAAAAATTTAACAGTTCTGGTAATTTAATAAATTTAATTTAAAAGTTCTGAAAAGATGCAACCAAGTTTGAATACCTTTCGAACAACTACACCATCCTGGCCAGTTTGTTTTGTAACTAAAGAATGGCCAATCATCTGATCAACAATAGATGGAATTTCATCAAAACTACACAAGAAGATAAATGAAATTTCATTTCAAACTTGTGATAATTAGTAATTGAAGAGAGTGCCAATAAGACAACTGCTTTTACTAACTTCTTACTAAGCTTAACTCCACCCTGTAAACCACTGCTGAATGTTCCTTTACCACGCCCTCCAGCCAGCACCTGTGCTTTGATTACAACCTCACTCACATCTGTAACACAAATTATCATTACATACCTCAAATCATTGAGTGGTGGACAAAAAGAGCGTTTAGGTACTTTCAGTTTGGATAACATGAGAACCATTTATTCATGTATTACTATCACTAATTTCAAATCTTCATAGAATGATGTCGTGTTAGCTAGCAGACAGGCACAAATTGCTAATTCCCTATAATTACTTTCTTCATAATTTATTCAGATAGGGACTTCCGAATTAAAAAATAAATTTACTTGACAATGTATACCTAATTGTTTAACTAATTCAGATACATCATTTTCACCATCAGCTACTTGAAACTTTTGCACATTAATTCCATGACTTTTCATTAATTCTTTACTTTGGTATTCTTGAAGATCAAGGAAACACTTGCTGCTCACACTGAGTGGACGTAACTAAATACAACATGATACTGTTGATATATTTTAAATTCCCATTCTATGTAATTAATTCGCTGCAATCCTGAATCCTGCAAGTCATGACGTCAATTAATTTCTCTGTTTGTTTCATGGTTAAACACACGATTTGTATATAAATAATTATATTTAAAGACAAAAATTTAATTTGCAAATCATTTTTGTGTAAACAGTTTGAGAATAAAAACGATGAGGTAAAACGAATACTGACCCAACGTCCCTCTAGATATCTAGATACGTGTAATAGTTTTCTGCAACCAGAAATGCGACCTAAAAACGCCGCCATATTTAAAGATCTTCGAAAAGATGAAATACTTCATCTTACAAACAATTATATGGAATACTGCCATCAATTCACAACAATCCCAATAAGTACCCAATATGTGTATATTTGTACTATTATGTACATTGTTTACCCTCCTTTAATCACGAGATTTTTTAATTTTTTGTTTTTGTTCTTCGATATTTTATGCGAAGATGTTGTACAATTTAAAACTCATTTATTTTTGGTATATGACTGAGGAAATGTAGACTTGAAACGATCATATGGCTACAAGTTTGGTGTAATACTTTACAACTCTTTCAACTTCCAAACGGAATATTTTGAGAAACACCACTCACCATTTTGGTCATTTTTTCATACCCAAGTGATATAAATATTCACTATTTCATTTGAAAGGGAGTTAAATCTCAGTTAGACTTAGAAAGTAAAAAGTTCCTGCAATATTACTGTGAAATGTATTCGAGTGATGCCGATAGGCCTTTATTTGGCGAGGCCAGGACACAGGTATTCAATGTTATTGTATGAAATTTTTACTGACCCCCCTATGGCCCCATAGTACGGTGTGCTAAAAGCCTAAAACCAAAAGATGCCAAGGTGACTTCTTAAAATCCATATAAGAGGTAGCCTAGTTTCAAAATAATATTTTTTTTGTCTCCTTTGTAAATGCAAGAAATAATCCCCAGGTGGTCAAAATTTGTTTATGTTTTAATTATATAATCACTTTCAAGGATCGTTACCTTAACTATGGTGTTGGTGCAATAACTTGCCTTATGGTTCTGGTGAGTCTTTGTATTAAAGTTAACCTCTGCTGCACATGTTTTTTTGCATGCATAGCTTTGTCAACAAGTAAGTTGTTCAGTGCATGTTAATTATGAGAAGATAATGTTTTACTTTTGTCTGTTGCCTTATCATTTGTTTCTTCTATTTAAGGAAACACTTGTCAGTGCATTTGTATTCCCATTGCCACCTAAAGGACTTCATATATTTTTAGCAATTGTTATTGTAATGGTGTGTGTATCTGAACTACTTCTTGTAAGTGACAATTTATGCTCTGTTTGTGCAAATTTAATTCCAACCAATTCCTAATTAAAAAGGCAAATTATTATTAGCCTTTTCATATCAATTTTTAAGTGTTTCCCCCAATTTTTTTTAGATTTATTGGTATCGACAAGGGGACTTGGAACCGAAATTTAGGAAATTAATTTTCTACAATTCATGCACCATATTATTATTATGCATTGCTGGAAATTTAATTTTTCACGAAAAAAACTAAAGTCTCGTAGACATAAAGTGGATTGCACATTTGTTAATTTAATACATTTAGCAAATTCTCCACACCTTTTGCAGGCTCATTTTATACATATTAATTCTCCTCTTCTTACTTCATTTTTGGCATAACAATAGCAAAGCACAGTCACTATTTATAGTTCAAAATACAGAACAACTAAGGCCAAAGGGATTACCAATGATCCACATTGGATAATTTTTATAGTTTTTTATAAATGTTGACGAACTTACAAACTTCAAACTTGTGCCATTTGCTATTTGTTCCCACAAAATGAGGCACCAAAACAAATGAGGCAAGAACAATCTATTGTGAAAATGAAGCAAATTTAATAATTGGGGAAATAATGATTTCATGAATGTCTTGCCACTTAATCTGGGAAAAAATCTATACACTGCAATCTGATAAGGATTTTTTCTAAAATTCACCTACCATATGTGCCTGGATTGCGCATACCATTTTTTTCACATTGGTTTTTCTGAACAGGAACAGGTATAACGAAGTTCAGATTAGTTATATAGTTGCAAAGTGCTGCCATCTTTGTGCTGCAATTGGTGGCTTTATTGGATGCGCCATCCAGGAGCCGGAGAAACTCAAAAGTGCTATTTACTTTATAAATATAGTAAACATTCTTATTCATCAGTGTTTTGCAAATAGCAAATGAAATAGCAAAAATATTAGTAAAAGAGAGATTTATGCCAATATTTACGCTTGAAATATTTTTCGTTTTTCACCTTCGATTGGCGACTACATTGAACAAAATTGTAAAAATGATCTCAATAATGGAGCCAACCAGGATATTGCATACACAACAGACTTCATTTTTGAAATGTTAATTATTTAATGTACTTTTGTCGTTGTGAATTTATACTTAATATGGATTTTGTAAAGTGTGATTTGTGTCTATAGTTCTTGGGCACTGTGACCCGGATCTTATTCAGGGGTGTCTGGGCATACCACAGGTCATACTATCGTCATACTAAGCGCAAAATGAAAGGAAAATATAAAATAGCCTTACGGAAAGCAAATCGTACTTGAAACCACTATTATATAAGGGAATGTGGGAACTACATACAAGGCGAACTACACGCACTGGCACTGCAATATGTTGCGAATAAATTACTAAATTCTAATTAGTAATTACTTTAATTACCTATAACCACATAACGAAATGTCAACTTGATCCCGCTGCACGAGGGGGCGTATATAGTAGGTTTCTTCGCAGACGTCCGACTATAATAAAGGCCAATCAAAAGTTAGAATTTTCGATCCTACTTAATATGTATTACCGGGTGCTTTATTATAAAAGAAGATCCATTGAAATTGTAGCACATCGATTTGATTCTTGAACAAAGTAAATCATAACTTGTACGAAAAGAAAGAAAATTTGAAACGAAAATGCCTCCCAAACCTGGTGTTGCTTCAAAAGGCGGAAAGAAAGCAGGCAAGAAAGCTGGAGTTGGTGGTGATAAGAAGAGACGATCAAAACGTAAAGAAAGCTATGCCATCTACATTTACAAAGTCTTGAAACAAGTTCATCCCGACACTGGTATTTCCAGCAAAGCCATGGGCATCATGAACTCGTTTGTCAACGATATATTCGAGCGAATTGCCGGCGAAGCTTCTCGATTGGCTCATTACAACAAGAAATCAACGATTTCTTCCCGAGAAATCCAGACTGCTGTTCGTCTGCTCTTGCCTGGAGAGTTGGCAAAACACGCCGTCAGCGAAGGAACGAAAGCCGTGACGAAGTACACAAGCAGCAAGTAAAAAGGTTTCCAAACCTTACTAAAAAAACCGGTTCTTTTAAGAACCAACAAATGTGTAAAAGAAGTAGACGAATTCTTGATTTTACATATTCTAATAAATTCTGTTCGCCGTTCGCTCAACCCAGCTAACAAAATAAAAATCTACGTACCGAGTGGAGATACAAATGCCACAATTGCATACTGCTGGTACTGATATTTCGAGAAAGCTCTAGATGTTAGAATGAAATAGTGTGACGACTTCTGATTGGTTAAAAACGCGGTTAGGATTAAATATTGCATGTGGTAGATAGCAATTAAAAAGTTCAGAATGGCCAAATGTAGCCAGGTTTCTCGCCAAAAATAGAAGTATATTATTATATTCGCGTGGAGTACATTCCGTGCATCCTAGACAAGTGAATAAAAGATAATACATTTTTAACCACTGGTTCAACTGTATTCCAATTGCTGTATGGTAAAGATATTTATATTACAAGCAACTATCTATTAAAGCAAACTAAAAATAATCATTGGGACAGTTGGTATTGCTGTCTTATTTAATATAAGCACCTGACAAAGTTAAGCTCATCTTTTAATATCTCAGTTGACTCTGAAAAAATTGGCAAATATGTGATTATACTTGAGATTTTTTATACAAATAGGACTGAGCAACTTGATTATTCACTGTTGCAGCAAAAAATATTGGGCATACAGCACATAAACCCCATGCAACACTATAGAGTCCGACATTCTTTACAAACCAATTTGAATAGAATCCTAGGAAGATTACAAGACAACTTAAAACAAAAATAAGTGTTCCTGATAAGGCATGGAGTTTCTTCAAGACAGCCAGTTTAAACATATTGATTATAGGTAGTTTTGGATAAAGGAGGCTTGTACCCATGCATGCCTGAAAAACAGCCATAAACACAGCAATCCCACCAAGAAAACCATGCCATGACACAAAATGTAATTTGTTACGCTGGTTTTTGTTGATGAATATAGCAAGGAAGCCTCCAACTGCACAAGATGCAGCTAGAAATTGCAGGATCCAATGGTACTTGACTTTTGTTTCCCTTTTAGCTGATGGTATAAGGGAACTGCTCTTGGAGAATATCAAAATTGCTTCAAACATGAAGAAACCAAACTGAAAGAGCAGTTGAAGAATTTTCATTAATCAGTATAAACCATTCAATATCTATAAAATAAAATCTATTCTAATCCACTGTGTTTTACTTTTCTTTTCTGTTTCCCTTTTCCCCAACTTTTACAATAACACTCCAAGCTATCTTAACCCATGTAATCTCTCCCCAATATAACTTCTATATGACTAGCCTATAATTAGGATACTTTCATCTCCAATAAAATTATCTTCCATTAAGCCAATTTAGTTGAGACAATAAGAGGTGCCTATCTCTCAAGAAAAATTTTGAACACATCCTACAAGGAGGTGGTACAGGTCTTGTGTTCAGGGCAAGGACATAGGGGAGGATTTCTTACATAATTTCAACAAATTTAAAGTGCCTATATCACTTGTGGGATCTTTACGGATTTGAATAGGGCTTGAAAAATTTGTTTATAAGTTCTACAACCATTTTTGATATAATTAAATAGTTTCGAAAATACGTCGGTTGGGGGGACTGGGACTCAGGAATGATTTGCAAACACGCCGTCTTTTATAATATAAACATGAAGAGTTTCACTGGCGATATAGTTTGCGCTTTTCAAGAAAAAAATTCGGGAACGGTGCGTTGTGTATGGCTGTGGCAACTGGGCGAGTTTTTCTCAAAAAATTTTTCGTTATTGAAAGATCGAAGTAAAATTACAAAGAACTCGGTTCCTGAGTCCCAGGCCCCGAGCACGACGGAAATTTAGGCAAATCGTCATGCTTAGATATAAATATTTCCGAAACTATTCAACTTTATCAAAAAGGGTTGTAGAACTTATAAACTAATTTTTCAAGCTCTATTCAAATCCGTAAAGATCCCACAAGTGATATAGGCACTTTAACTGAAACACAATGAAGTCAAATGACATAGTGTCCCACCCCCTACCAACAGAACTAGAAACTTCTGCTCTTTTTCAGCTATGGTAATTTTTGCTGGTGACATAATATTGGACTCCTTGGTTGGATACTTACACCAAATATCATTAATGTTGGATGCCATGAAAAGAGGCCTAGAAAATTGTTAAGAGAAATTGTTGCAAACCCAAATTACAGTTTACAAATTAAAACATTGTGATTTTGATTCACAAATAAATGTACTTTTTAAAATGTAAAATTATGAGATAAAGAACTAGAGAAACTACATAAATCCTGATATTGACTAATGAATATATTATTTATGCCTGGAGAAATACAAGTATATCTTTACAGATGCAAAAATAAAATATAATATAAAATATGTAGAAGACATCAGTTGCCATCAATGCATTTGCAACATGCTTGAAAAACCTCTTAAAATCCCTTGGAATTTACTCATTTCATTTGCTTCAAATATTGTATATTCCTATTTATGGAATTAATCAATAAACGCACCTAACTTTAATATTAATTGATATATAGATTGCTTTTATTGTATTTAAAGCGTGCTATACATGTCGAAACTCGAAGAATTAGAATAAAAAAATCAAATGAGGCAAATTAGCTCCATTTTTGAAGTGTTCATAAATTCGCCTTAAGTGATTTAATCTATATTCCATGAAATCCTTCTATCTCCTAGTGAACCAACCACTCAACCATGATATGCGAGGTTTAGTGCTATTAAAAACTGTGTGAAACTTACTTGAACCCGGTTGGGCGTGCCAGGTAATGAACAACACTAAAGCAATTGCAATAAAGTGCACCATAATTTGGAATAATAAAACATAAATTGTCTTCTCTTTTGACTTTGTTGCAGGACGAACAATGCTTTCATTGCTTTGTCGTTGTTTCTCGTTACCCTCCATGTCCCAATATGCCACCTTCGGGAAACTGGTCTTTTAAATGTCTGGAGTGATCATAGATTGCAAGCGTAAAAAAAACAGGGTGCGCGCACATGTTGATAAGTTTTTATTGCTACACACTCCTCTGCAGTGTTAGCGATATCGAGGTGAAACTTGCAACTACCTGTTACCAACTTTTTTTGCCTTCATTTTACTGGGCCTCAGCAGTGGCAGATTCAGGGTTTAAAGTAGGGTTTAAGGTACCTAGGGTTTAAGGTACCTAGTAAAAACGTAATTATTCATTCTAATTAATTTATTATTAGAAATACTTGCTTTCTTAGGATTACTGTAGTAAGGCTGCGTAACTGCTATTTTCACAGCAGTTTTGACTGGCTAATAACTAGAATACCTTCACTTCTCGGATTATGACATTTAATATGTATATTGGATTTTTTTGTATCAACAAGAAAATAAGGCAATGATATTATAAGTGATTAGTCAGGCTGTTTCATATGCTTAATTTTACATGTGGTTGGATATTTGCAAGTTGCTCATGCATTAGCATTCAGAGAGATGTTGTTATTTCCAGTTAAGGGGCAAACCTTTGGCTCAACACAAAAAAGGTTGGGGACCTTAGGATAAGATAAAGTTAGTGTTCATCTTTATTTTCACTACTTCTAATCATGTTTGAAAACCTGTATGACAAAAAAGCAACACTTGATCAACTCTTTGTAAAATTAAATTGTTATATCTAACTTGTTATAATTAACAAAGGACATAGAACTATCAAATTTAATGCAAATGCACATTCAAACATCCCAATGTTCAGACTATAAATTACTATATTAATGTAGGCAAAAAACAGTTCCAATAGACAGACAAACAAAAACTGATATGCATGTAGGGAATTTGTATGAGATTTAGCACTTGGCATTCACAAAAAATACAGCTAATGTTTATTAGAAATTGCTAAACTAGTAACAATTACCAACTGCTGTTAATTGTCAACTGCAATAGTAATGAATGAAATTTTTTTATTCAATAATAGAATTATTCAGGATAATATTAAGGCACATTGCACCCTTCAAAGAACAAAGTAAATAATCCAGTAAAAATAGTTGCTTCTTTCTTATGTTTTAAACTGGTGATGTTTTGCATTCCAAATAACTCAAGATATTGCAAATTAACCTTGGTACACTATTTCTACATTAAGAGATCCTAACACACACAAAATATTTATGCCAGGCTCAACTGCATTTCCATACAAGTTTTACATACAGAATCAGTGTACATTTACAAAACCAGGTTTTGCAAATGTTTGTTGTCTGCAAACATAGTGAGGTTGACTATTAACAATACTTGTGAATTTCAATCATTAAATTTTATACAAAAAACCTACGTTTCATTAGTAGTGTTGTATCACATTCGTCTCTCGGCCACAGAAGTCTGCGGTGATGGAAAAAACAGTTTAACGAAGTACAGTTTGTGTTCGATTGTTCATAAGGAAGGAGTCCAGCTCAAAGGATCATACATCCTTTCCTCTTCTTCTTTTTCACCTGGAGAGCGGCTCGTGTTGCTGTTTCAAAAACCTCTCTTACACCCTCCTTAGTTTTAGCAGAGCATTCAAGGTAAGCAAAGGCGTTAATGCGCTCAGCCATGTTGCGACCATCTTCGCTTTTCACAGGCTCTTGTTTCATCTTGGCAAGCTCTCGTTTGGTATTTTCATCATTGCGAAGATCTTTTTTGTTCCCAACTAAGATTATTGGAACATTAGGGCAGAAGTGCTTAACTTCTGGAGTCCATTTTTCAGGTATATTCTCTAAACTATCCGGACTATCAATCGAAAAACACATCAATATGACATCGGTATCAGGATAGGAAAGTGGACGCAGGCGATCATAATCTTCTTGGCCAGCTGTGTCCCATAAGGCCAATTCTACGGTTTTCCCATCGACTTCAATGTCGGCTACATAATTTTCGAACACTGTTGGTACATATACCTCTGGAAACTGATCCTTTGAAAAAACAATGAGCAAGCAAGTTTTACCACATGCACCATCACCAACAATCACTAACTTCTTCCTAATGGCTGCCATCTCTTTGTTCCCTAGAATAAAAACAGACCTTTACATTAGCTCACAATTCCTTGGACTTCCCAATTACTGACCTAAATCTGCAAGATTGAAAGTTTGAAGATATGCAAGTATTGCCACTAGATTACAAATGAGGAACCAAATGTGGAACTTTTTCTAATTTTCTATATTATGATGTACATTTAGATTATGTACATTTTAAGTGCATACTGTAGATTTGCAGAAAAAAAAGTAACTTAAGGTTGACCATTTTGCCGTGATAACTCATTATATACTTCTCATTTCTAAGTATTTTGCTTTTAACCCTGCTGCAGTGTTCCGCCTGCATTAGCCCGCAATATTTAGGACGAATTTTCAGCAGAAAAAAACTCGTGATTAAATATATTTGATTGTTACCTCTCAGTGAGTTCATAAAATAAGAAGCTATCCATTTGGCGGCGCAAAAAATTCAAACCATAATCGAGGAAACACTTTGGTTGTATTTTGGAACTTTGGACAGTAGCCAGAAAATCAAGAATTTGACCGGCCTGCCTTGCTCCTACAAGTCACATCTTTAGCGCCAGCAAATTACAGAAGCTTTGTTTTGGTTCGTACAAAAGTCGCAAAAATCTCGGTCTAATTATATATCTTTTCCGTGCTTTATAATGCATGAAATAATGCAATGACTTCAGTTAAATACCGAGTCATTTACAAGGAACTTTATTGTAGTTACAGAACATAACTTAGCACCGGTTGGCATCAGGTAAAATCCGCAGTCAAAAACAAGAGCACCTTGCTATTTAAAATTGCGAAACTTTGACAATGATAATGACTCTTTGAACTACCAACAAAACGAGCTTATTTTTGTATAGAAGGTGATAGACAAGCAAGCTTTGTCGGTAGAACTTTCGTTCCAAGTCAGCACACCCCTTCCGAGTTCGTATGACGTGCATTATAGTTCGGGAACATTTGTCAAGTTATTGACATGATTTTTTTGCTTTGTAACGCCCAAATACTGTCCAATTTTACTTCAAATACACCCTTCAGTATTCGGCTAGGCTTCCAGCTTAAAAATTCCGAACCGTAGTTGTTAAATTACTTGTATCCAACGACAAAAGTGTGGTAATACAAAAATCACGAAGGCGACAAATAACCCGTGAAGTAGATAGAAACTTCGTTAATAAAACGGTACAAAAAATGCCCATAAACGATCAAAAACACCTACATATGAAGCTAAATGCTTACCTCGACGAAGGAAGGTCGATTGGTGAATAAAAACCCAGTATTCCCCAAATATCTAAAGATTCTTTTCACTTCGCCTGTTCAGACGAATAAACCACACCTTCGAATAGAGCCGTAGAAAGGCTTATTAAAATGCGGCGGAAGTGAAAGCCTCGTCACATGACCACAGTCGCCCTTCAACTGCAATCTGATTGGCTCAGGCAAAACAGATTTTCTAAGGCTTAAAGCCAGGAATTTACTTGATTTCGATAAGTTTAGCAGCAAAATGTGGTATTTGTCACACCATTTCCGACATAGAAATTTCTGGCCCAAACAAAATTTAAAGGCCTTTGGCATGAATTTTTTGTATTCTCTGTGGGGTCGTTTGTATCCTTCAAACAAATGTCGCCCACGTTGACAACAAGATGTTGGTCAGCGTTTATGCATAATGTTTCCAAAAATAGACTCGGGCAAACTCGGGCTATAAAAGAAACTCCGCTCAGAACTAACTTCATTTGTGCTTGGTGGTCGCCAGGGAAAGAAGTGATGGCATGCGTAACCATTGGCTTTTACGATTGCTATTATTTAATCTTAGTTTATAACTTAGCTTCTCCGCTGTTTCATTATAATTGTTTTTAAAATTCCTGTTAGTAAAAATGTTGTCCATGCCATGACTTTCTCTCATAAATATAAAATATACTCTATAAATGGTATGCTCTGGCAACTTTGCTCAAACCTATATCACTAACCTGCCCTCTTATTAAATTCAAAACCACAATTTACTATCAGAATTGAGTATAAGAATTTTTACTCAACCAGGCCCCGTGGCTGATAATTCACTTTTCCAAAACAGAGTATAAATCTAAAGTCGAAACTTGCATTCTCAGAGGCGACACTTCTCTTCCAACTAAATGAAAAGACACTAATTTAAATGTAATCTATATGCAGGATATAACTAAGCAGGCACATCATAGGAATACGCAGAGTGAAAAAACAGAAAATTGCTTTAAAATCTTCGCTCTGCGCTTAGCAAATGGAATAGGCCAAAGGTTAATTGAGAGGACACACCCCTGATTAGCACAAATTCTAACGATCATTTCAAAATATAGGCATGCGGTGAAGATGGATAATGATGTATGGTTTTGTTTGACCAACTATAGCTGGAAAGCAACCTCAAATTTATAACCATTTTCTGGAGCATATGAAATGGCCTGGGCACGAGGAACAAGGTTTATCGACAAAGGATTAAAAATAATAAACAAAGTAAAATATTTCAACATCACTATTTGTCTTTTTAATTTTATCTTACAAAGAATCTTAATTTCTTGGTGATTTTGCTGAACAGCATAACAAGGAAGTAAATCGACAAAATATATTTATCTAAACGGTTTATTCTTCTTATATTCTTGTCCAGTACATTCCAGATCGCACACGATTGTAGTCAGGAAGTTGCTCAACGGGGCCTAAAATTATATGGCATAACATATGATCATATCCTCACCACTTTCCTCATTAATTCCTCACTATAATCATGACACCCTCACAACTCCCCATAACAACGTATCCTAGTCACAATTCTTATATTCAGAGAAGTATGAATTGTATTATTACAATTTCTGTTCCACCCGTACCCGTAGTGAATAGAAATTAGGTATCTTATGTATCTTAGCCCATAATGTAGCAGAATTCCCACGCGTGGCTAAAAGTTAAAACACACGAAATAGGTTTCCGGTTGCTTTCCAATTAATTCCAATAATAATAGTATAATATTACCATTATTCATCCAGCGGTGTTGATATTCATACGTCCGAAATGCAAGTTGAGGAAATTTGCATTGATAGGTTTACTAAATTAAAATTTTCCTGGCTGCTAAATTGCTTCTATTCCAACCTCCCCCCCCCCTCCACCCTCTCTAGTGGTCTCTGGTTTCCCTTTTTTTTTCAATAAGTAGGCCCTTAACTACCCATCCTCTCGGATCATGTTTCGATCACGCCCTTTCATCGTCAAGGATGATCCACCCCTCCCCAAGTTTTAGACCCTCAACATCAGCCATATTTATAATAAATTGACAGATGAAATGGACAACACAGCAAAGTCATCTAAGGTTTTCAAAACATAATAGCAAAAAAACTGACCAATTGCAGCAACAGCAACACAACGGTCATAAAGATATTTCGTGGCAACCTCTCTCACAGTCTTCGCATCCACCATCTAAAGAAAGATATTATACCCAAGACAATCAACACATAGTATTAAAAAAGTATAAAAAATCAAAGATAACTTACATCAATTCTTTTATCTAGTTCAGGAAGTGGGATTCGACGACCATATGTCAACATTTGTCTATGGTACAACAATATAACGCAATTTTTATACCCACAACAAAATATAGGAAACATCTTGTACGTAAAGTGATTTTACGTGGATTTTTATCGGTTACAAAACATTTACCTGCCTATATCTTCACATATTGGCGTTGAACCTGCGAAAAAATATTAACCACCTACTTAGAAAGGTATAGTTGCAAAATCCGGAGCAATATAAGATCAGTGAATGTGATACAATAGATCAAAATATGAGACAAATCACTACAAACCATCAAGTTGAAACAGCATATTGGTTTTTAAAATATTACGAGCCCTTTCAACTTCGGCATCTGTTATGCTTGTACAAATTCTCATCCTGTAGGTACAAAGTGTATTTTATTTACACGATGAATGTATATCCTTAGAATAAAATTTACATCAGGAAGACTGAACTTACCAATCTTTTTGTATAACATAGATAAGATTATCTATCGTCATTTTATCACACACCATGTAAATTCCCCTGAAAGAAAAGAAATATCATTATCCTTATCTTCGCGTCAATGTATTTCTGAAGATGCATATCTTCAACATACCAAAGTCCAGTATCCGTGTAACAAGTATTGAATGACATGAAATTATGAGCCAAATTGTGTTCAGCAACATCCTAAAACACGAATATTCATCTTGTTTCACTTGATTTAAACGAGGCAATTACCCTCTTTGATAGGTTTTTCCAATGCCGACAGAGAAAGTCTCATCCAGCAGCGCATAGTGGGAATCATTAACCATTTAAAAAGAAAGTATTCCTTTCTCTCGACAAACTACATTATGTGAACATTTTCTTTGCCACGCGTTTCTCATTTGATGTGAAAACGCGAAGCGTTCTTTGTCAGCGACTTACTCACGATGATTCATTTATAAACGTGTAACGATAAACCTCTTACCTGGGCAAGTTTACTGGATAAATTGTGGGCTCCACTGAACGAGCGATCCCAGTTTCCCACTAACTAAAATCAGGATTAACAAATTATGTTATTAGCTACCAGCAATACCTATTCATCCAGTTACAACAGTATGCCCCAGCAACTTACCACATTAGCGACCATTAAAGCAAAGTAGTCAGGATGAGTCCATCCACAGCCCTCGACCGCCATAGCGATGTGAGCGAACGGCATATCATCATTACGTACACGAATCTGGATGAGAAAACATTGAATTAATACTTACTTCTTACTAACCGAGCACGAGGTCTTTACCGAGAAATATCGGGCCTTTTTGAACAGACCGAGGCCTTTTTGAACAGACCGAGCTCGAAGAGTGAGGTTTGTATAAATATATCGAGCAAGCCAGGTTAATAAAAAGTTCATTATATGGCATAAGGCATGTATTTGCACTTGAAACAAACAAGAAATGCATGAATTCGTATTAGTAGCCAGGTACGAATTTGATAAAAGCCAAAATAAAATAATTTATTGAATTATTTAGTTTACATAAACTGTCTGGAGACGTCTTATTAATTTCAAAAGCAATTAAATTTCCTCTTGAGCATTTATTTGTGCCTTTTTCATTTAAAATTTCTGTTTTTCATCTCGTAATCCAATCGCCGGTAACGCCGGTCCATTACGAAAGAGTAATGAACCGCTGAAAATTCTTCTCAGTCAACGACTTAGCTCCATTTCACCGGAATTGACGCTTGCCATATAATAATACTCTTTATTTTTTTTAATGTTGTGCCTAATTCTCTCTTTATAAGAAATTCAATCATAGTGTACTAAATATAATTGTAAAAGAATTTATGACTGTACCGTTACTGAAACAAAAAGCATTGCCCACCTCGCTACCAGTAAATCTGCAAGGTTCAGGGACATCTGTTTCCTCGTATGTTGATCTCAGTCCACTGAACTGTTTCTCAGCTAATTTCACTAGTGCATCGTGATCAACACCTACAGAAATCAATACGTCGAAAAGTTAAGTTATTTGGTAGCAACACTAAACTAAGGGGCTGTTTACATGGTTCCGCCACAGTTAATTGAAGGGGATGGTTAGGCAAACTTTAAAGGGGGCATATTGGTTCCGCTTAGCTGAGATTCAACGAAATGTGAGATGACTTTGCATGGGGTATTGAAACAAGTCTTCATGAAACAACTTCAAGAACATGCTATTGCTACTGCTAGAATCGTGTTATATACTCATTTCAATACCATTACCTCGAAGTCATCTCACGTTTTGTTGAATTTCGGCTAAACGGCATCATGTAAACAGCCTCTCCTAAGGCAATATACATACGAGCGTCGTTCTCGAGCGTTTTCAAAATAGTTTATGTCTATTTAACGTTTCGACGCCCTGTCCACACGATCCAAGGAAAAATATGCTTAATATGTTAAATTAGCTTTTTTATTGTAAATTGACGGTGTTTGAAACCTTTTGGTAAGAAAACGAATGCGAAAACGAACGAAAACGTTACCGTGCGCACATGGTCTAAGGCTGTGTACACACGGTAACGTTTTCGACCGTTTTCATTTTCTTTTTCATGCCAAAACGGTTTCAAACACCGTCAATTTATAATAGAAGTTGAAGCTAATTTAACATATTGAGCATATTTTCCCTTGGATCGTGTGGATATATTTTAACATACTAATTTAACATATTGAGCATATTTTCCCTTGGCCGTCATAGCGATAAACTAGACAAAAACGATTTTGAAAAAGGTCGGAAACGAAGCTCGTGTGCACATAACCTCAGTCCAACAAATAACCACGTTTTGCGGCGGTAAATCTTATTTCCAAAATATAACATGAATTTGACGCGGTAGAAAAGAATGAAAAAATGTTTTCAGGACCGGAATTCCAACTCAAAATTTTCGGTTTCCCGTCTAAAACTTCAGATTATCACTTCCCCTTTAGACTAAATTATAATATTTAACCCTATATGTGGCATACGACAGTACAGTCATTACAAACACATCTGACCTCCTGCAGCAGCTAAAACCATCCTGGGTGCACTATAATGCTTATTGATATAAGCCAATAGGTCATCACGATTTATACTCCTATACAAGGAATAATACAAAAAATATTATGTTTGGATCAATTCCAATGCATGGCTAACAAGACCAAGGCTCTATTCTGAGTTACCAACTGGACAAGCAGAAAAATTAGCTTGAACACGCCGGAAACTAAGAAACGAAATGTTTAGCTGGTGGACTAGCAAACAAAAAGTGGTGGGGTTTTATGCCATGAAAAGCAACTGATATGGTTCATATAACATGTGAGAAAAATGCGTCATAAACCCCGACTATTTTGCTCGTTGCTGCAACACTCGAGTTTTCTCTTGCCAAGTCTCTATATATTGGCTCATCAAGCACTAGAGTAGTCATATTATCATCATACTTGATATTTTCTGTAGGTCCCAAAATTGTTCTTCCTAATGCAGTATCCTGATATGCTGTTGCATGTAAATGATCAAATATGACTTCTTCTAGTTGAGTATCAACTTCCTAGAAATATTTAAGGAGGTATTAGGCATGTTTTACACTTATGAGCTTTCTAAGGGCTTTCCTTGTCCATTCAAACTGACCTGCATTTCGCGTAAGATAACACCTCGCTCTCTCTCAATTTCCTGTTCACCAAGTTTTGAATTTTGAATGATATCAGCAAGAATGCCAACAGCTGAAGAACAATATTTTGATTTATTAATCTTATTCAGTGGCTTAGCCGGCCTCGATAATTGGGGGGGGGGCAATATTCATATATTCATGTTAACAGACTGTAAAGACAATTCATTTGAAAAGAAGTTAATCCTGTGTATCACGAACATATTAATTACCCCCCCCCCCCCTCCCCCAATTATCGTTCTGGCTATCACACTGATCTTATTGTGAATCATATTGGTGTTTTTTACTTCTTCTCCCAGTAAAAATCGTACATTCTAACCCAATCAGTCAGAAAACAAGATGTACAACTTACATCGGAACATGAAAACTACGATTACGGAAGTGAAAAATGAAAGAGAAAACACCAAATCAAGTAGAATTTTAAGAAAAATAACCTTTTTCGACGTGCCCGTCGCTTAAAGGGCGTTAATTGACTTTCATTAACAATTTAAAACACGTTTTTAAAAACGGTGCATCATGGCACATCTTTTTCGTAAACAAGCTTAAAAGAAATACCGAATGGTTTCTCTGCAGGCTTGCTTGATCTATGCGCGAGGAGTATTTCGATTTTCGAGTCTTTTCGAAAGCGGGAAAATACCTGAGCAATAATAGGCACCAGCGATGTTACGATTTTGGAATGTCGGGTAACATCCTTCTTGCCTGAATCAAGCAAGTCTGCGTGGAAGAGCCATCAAAATGGCGTGAATAACGTAAAACTGGTCTTAATATTAACTTTCTCGAAAATTCCGTGCATGAACCACGTTATTCTGCACGACAACTATTTGATATGAACATTCTGAAAGTCATAATATTGATTTCATCATCTCAAACGTGTAAGTCCTGTTTGAAAAGCAAATTTCAGGTTGGGGCAAATGTTGGGGGTTGAATATGGTCCGAAATCAGGGCATAAACGGGAATCATATTTCAAGGATTGATAAAGCACCCACAATGATCAACAATATTATAGCATACTGACCACTTTACAAGCATTTGTAAGTACTAATCAAATGTGAAAAAAAATTGTACTTTTCAAGAGAAAACTAAATAACAACCTTGATCCATATCTTTATTGAAACATTTTGCATAGTAAACAGTCTGTTCTCGGGAAGTGTAGGCATTCAAGTGAGCTCCTGCATTCTCAACTTCAAGTTCCAACTGTAACTGTGTTCGCCGTTTGGTTCCTTTAAATGCCATGTGTTCAAGAAAATGAGCAACACCATTGTTTTCTTCTGTTTCAAATCGGCTTCCTGCATCTATCCACAAACCAACCTAAAAATGAAAATGATTTGGTGCAATTTCTTAGTGAAATATCACATTTGAGGCTCCGAAGGTTGCATATGCCAAGGTAATTCTTTTATAAATACATTATTGATCACAGACTTACTGTTGATGTTGGGATACCAGAATTCTCAGTGGCCACTTTTAAACCATTTGACAAAGTTGTAACTTTGGTTTCCGGGACATTATGCAATGACTGGATAAAGTAGCCAAACACAAATAATAAAAATTAGAATAAAATAATACTTAAATGGTGTATACATCTAATTAAAAAAATTGAAGTATAATATTAGGGTTATTATGATTACAGGCTGGATCAATTGCTTGTAATAAGGCTCTATTTTACAAAGAGACAGATGATTGCATCACAATAGCTCTGCTAACATTAACTGCTTCAAAGAACAACATTCGGGGCACAGGAAGGTACCATTATCTCTGTTATGTACCTTTCTGCTTTGCACTAAAATTTAGGCCCAGCAAAGAAGTGAAAGAACCAACTTTACAGTATTAAAGGTTGGTTCCTTTATTTACCCATAAACTAATAACCCATAGGGGTCTTAGCAGGCAATAAACCATTAACTATTCACTTCATTTGAACATTTCGTTCCATTTGAACGATTTTATAATATAGTCACACATTCGAAAAACAAAACTATACTGTGTGCAATAAATGTACACATATAAATTTTATATTTGTACCTCTTGATAGGCCGCTGAAGTACCAAAACAGCGCGCAAATGTGGCCTGGAAAAAAGTGAAAAAGAATCATTGTAGAAAACAACAAACATAGGACAGATATCTCTGAGAATTACAAAATATATTTTCGTGTACCTTAGAGCTATTACGAAGAAAAGAAGCGGCAGAAATGCTCCTTAAAATGGGAATTTTTGACGCCATTTTCTCGTGAAAGTAAAAAGATAAAAAAGTTAAGAAGACTAGGCACGAGTCGTCCCCAGACTCTTTCGGTTTCACGCTGACCAACAATTTGCTGACTCATTTCTCCACATTTCTCCACATTTTCTTTTGGTGAAAGAGAAAAGAACCGTCAAATTTTGGAACTTTTTGCTCAATCTTGGAAAAATAAACAAAGGATTATGTTTTTAACACGTTCAGAATACGACAGGTACGCTCAGATTTGCTGATATGATCTTTTAGTTGTTAAATCTGTTCATGCTGATTTCCCCCCTCATCTCTATCAATGATCTCTTGACCCTTGCAGAGGAGTGAACACTTTCTCCCCCGAAGGAAGGCTTTTCCAAGTGGAATACGCCATAGAAGCTATAAAGGTGAGGGCGTAACAAAATCATTATGATTCACGAGTTAAACTATTTGGCTCTACCTACTTCTACACTCTTCCACAAGTTTGCTCACCAGTTGACAGTAAAGAATGGTATACTACTAATAGTGGTTGATCATGATCCTAGTCTTTTGTACACTACCAAGAAATCAATGACTTCCTAACAATGACTTTTGTACTGAGAAATCTGCTGCAAACTCAGATTTTATGTTGTAAAACCAGTAGTTTTTATCAGTTCTAGATCACAAAGGTCATACCACATTTTATATTTATAGCTTGGTTCTACGGCTATTGGTATTCAAACATCAGAGGGGGTTGTTCTGGCTGTGGAGAAGAGAATAACATCACCATTAATGGAAGCTTCGAGTATAGAGAAAATTATTGAAATAGATAGTCATATAGGTTAGTAGCTCTATCACTATAGACAAAATTCATAATAAACATCATTGATTATCGTTACCTGTCATAACAGTCACCTGGTCAAACACTTTTCAATGTTTTATATTTCCTAAAAGTTCACAATACTTCATATATCACTAGGATGTGCTGTCAGTGGTCTCATAGCAGATTCCAGAACTATGGTTGATAAAGCAAGAGTAGAAGCACAGGTATGAAGTGCAGTGTCTATGTAATGGTTGACCCTAATACAGATTACTACAGCTGTTATATAAGTTATGTATATATATATTTGAATTTAGAACCACTGGTTTACATACAATGAGCCAATGTCCGTGGAAAGTGTCACTCAGGCTGTTTCAAACTTAGCTTTAGAATTTGGGGATGATAATGCCAGATCTGGTGCAATGGTTTGTATACAGATTTTTCTTGTGAAGAAAGGAATTCCCAGGCTTTGTTACTATTTAATTGAAATACTACAAAAGCTACAACACATCTCCTTTTTCAGAGTCGACCATTTGGTGTTGCATTATTATTTGGCGGATTCGATGAAAATGGCCCGCAATTGTAAGTCCTATTTTTTAGTTTTTCATGTCTAATCCATTTAGAATAGTCAATCTTACATAAACATCTGCTTTAATTAGATATCACCTCGACCCATCTGGAACATTTATACAATATGAAGCAAAGGCAATTGGTAAAATACTATAGACTTCTGTGTATTAATTAAAAAATGCCTTATACCTTTATCATAATATATATAATTGTTGTGGAAATAAATGAATATTTATTAAATATCTTTTACTTTGTTTTTTCTCTAGGGTCAGCCTCAGAAGGAGCCCAGCAATCTTTACAAGAAGCCTACCATAAAGTATGGATTTTCTTTCATGCTTAGATTGCTTTCTATTGTGAAAAGATACTTACTTGCAGCTTGTTTCACATACCATTTTAGTCAATGACCTTACAAGAAGCCTGTAAGCAAGCACTAACCATTCTCAAGCAAGTTATGGAAGAAAAGCTTAGTGCAACAAATGTCGAGGTTTGTATTGTAGCAGCTGGTAGAAATTAACATACTGGAAGCTTTAAGGTGATAAAAGTAACCTTTACTACCCCATATCATATCAACTATATGTATTCAAAAATTAATTTCCATATATCAACCACAGCTTTAGTCAACCAACATAATCCATATCTATCCCCTTTAATCAATGCTATTATTTCTTTTTTATAGTTGTGTACAGTCACAAGAGAAAATAAATTTAAGATGTTTGAGAAGAAAGATATAGAGGACATAGTTAAAGACATCAAATAGACTTGAAATTATAGATTTGACTCAAATAGACTTAACTGTCCATAGTTTTTCTCAAGTACTAAACATAAAGCCTAAGATATTTCAAAATCATCCAAGGTCTACCATGCAACAAATGATGGTCACTCAAATAATATTTCCGCATTTTGTTTCAGTTGTAAATTTTTATCTCTATGACCATCTTCAAAGTTGACCAACATCTGATGCACACTATCATCTGTTAATATGATTGCATCTGATTTAGTCTCAGTTTGACAGATTTGCTGGACCAATCGTATGTGAAGATTTGCAATTGAAACTTAGTACCTGAGAGATCATTGTTCGACGTCATGAGTAGTGTCTACTGCATGGTTTAATAATAATTAAACGATTATCAATCAAAAACTCTGAAGTATTGCCACATTTGACCTGACTAGTTGATTTAGCGCCGCAGGCTGGTTGTTGAAGACTCGATTGTTCAAAAATCTAATTCTGCAAGTTAGAAACTTTCTAGGAGATCGTTTTCAAGTTGTTTACTACGGTAAGACATTTTTTCGTTTTAACTAAACGCTAGTGCCATAAAAACGAGGCTGGAACAACCGGTCCTGTAGTGTCTAAACTGTGAAGATACTTGGATGAATAATACTTAGATGATACTTGTACTATAAAAGCCGTCCTCGGGAAGAGTTGCGAAAAAGTCTTCAACATTTGTCCGAGAAGATTCCAAGCAGGTCACGGATTTTACGATCTTTTTAAACATAGACATGAGGTGATCGCATGATCCTTCCTCGAACCTTCATATAATATATATACCATGAGTGCATTACCTGATGACCCTTCAAGTTCAAGGTTTCAAGGTTTTTCTAGATGTTCATTTAATGTATCGCAAGAAAAGGGTTATAATGTTAAAATGCGTGAAGTATAGACCTTCAGCGAAATTATTACACACGGCTGGTAAGTTGAATATGCCTAGTCTACGCATAGAGGGCCTATTTCGGGCATGGGTCTGCGGCGCAGGCTAAATATGCCAAACACCACGCTACACTAGCCCTGTGTCACATTATCTTAGGTTTCAACTATGACGTACTAACAACGATTTGGCTTTTCCAGCCTAATATACCCACCCTGATCAATACCATCGTCATAGCTATAAATTGAAACTGATGTGCTCTCGGGACATTTTCCTATAAATATTGGCTTCACAGTTATCTGTTTCTTACCATTATTTTCCTTCCTAAACTCAAGTACTGTAACAACTTCCTAAATTCCTAATTCCTACACTGCATGCCATCGCGCTTTAGAAAACGCTTTATATTCTGTCATTTTCATGTATTCGAACTCACCCATCCTCCCCTAGACCTCTAAATGGAATCAACTTTATCGAAGGCAGGAAACTTGTTACCATGAGGCAGTTCACATGGCCTATTTGGCACTACCTGTATAAATTATATCGGATTTTTATTTCAGCCCTTTTTTTCCTTTGAAAAAAGTTTTCCTAAATAGAGGATAAGCCGATGATATTAACTGGCCGACAATCGTGCGTGATACGATATACGTGAGGAGACAAACTTCAAAGGTTAAGACTTGGGTTGGTATAGTGCTCGCACTTCAACTTGCCGGACAGAATAAAAACAATTACAAGTGATACAAAAAAGAGAATTTTTTTTCACCGTTGTTGCCCATACTATGTTCATCTGAATTGTCGCTGCGGGGACAAGAGCCAGTTGTAGGCTCGTGATAAAAACATTTATTTCAGTGGTTAATATATAGTATGAAACTTCGTACAAGAGGCCCGGGAAGGAAAATTTGCTATATTTCAGAAAGATTTATTGTAAAATTGAGGCCTCATTCAACAGCAAAATATGGATATTCAGGTCACCAAATCGTACAAGACCCACGAAATGACTAGTTAATTTATTAGGTATATCTGAGCCACTGCATGAGAAGAGTTTTCTACTAACTCTGTTAACACTAGACATGGTGATATATCTTACTTCATGTAACAACTGTTATAACATTATCCTACTTGGTAGATAGAGTTTGATTTACAGAGAACTCTATTGGCTCTCACCCAGTGCTCACACAAATCAAAAATCGTAGAGGTTGCAATTGCTTCATTTTTACCATGCTTATTGACACGTTACTGGCACGGAGAGGAAACAATACAAAAATAGTTAAAATTCATAATCAAAATATCTAAACATTTCTTGTCTTAGTTAAGGGTATGTCTGACACTTTTGCTCCATCCTTTTTAAATTAACGTGTGGAATAATCAAGTCTGATATGGTTTCATTTTAGTTTGATTAAATAGTAAATGTCAGGAAACGTTTTTTATTTTTCAGACTGAGCACCTCTCAGTCTGTCTCATCTTTATCAGTTGCTCGCATTTTTTTCCAACAACTTAACGTATATACGTGCAGTTGGTCGGTCGGACTCTTGACCTTGTGAACAGTGGCACATTTTTTACAGGATACAGCACTGACGTCGCTTTAGTTCTTCCGTGCATGCTTTGACGGAGTGCGTCATTTTTATCAAGTGGCTGCCTGCTGGTATGAATGTTGTTTAAAGTGTAAATAATTATTTGCCAGTTTCCATTAATAGCTGTGATGTGTGCATGATGTCAATTTGTTGGTGTTGTAAATTAATTTTTTAGGAACGAAGTGCATTGTGGACTAGTGGCCATGATGCTGCGCGGTCTCTCATGGTACGCTTTTTCAGTTCCTCTCTGATCAACAATGGTACATGATTTATTACATGTTTTATTAGTAATGAACTTTGAATTCAGAAATTGAAGAAAATCAGTATGAAAAAATATTTAAAATTCCAAACTATTCCCCTTCAATGAATAATTTTCAGGATTGTTGCCTTCGATCGAAGACTTTCAGTTCACACTCATAAAGACTTCCAAGAGACTTTATTAGAAAGCAGGGTAACGCTAAAATTTTATAATTTGCTGATTTCTAAATTTACCGCATATATATAATTGTGAATCCATGCGACAAATCAATTTGCGACAGATTTTGGAACACATTTCTATACTAATTTTCTTGTATGATTGCATGGCGACTTTAGTAATTATAATAACTTGTAGGTACACCACGTAAGTATTAAATACTGCAAAGCTTTCGGTCCGTTAACCCGGACCTTCATCAGTGCAATTACTTGAATACACGTTTGCGCGTCACTTAAATATCATGTTAGTCGTGATTAGTCGTTTAATTAATAGCGCGAGCAAACTAATCACGACTAACATCATGATATTTAAGTGACGCGCAAACGTGTATTCAAGTAATTGCACTGATGAAGGTCCGGGTTAACGGACCGAAAGCTTTGCAGTATTTAATACTTACGTGGTGTACCTACAAGTTATTATAATTACATTTCTATACGTTTATAACTCTGTGAACAGAACGGCGAGACATCATTATGTTGGGCATAGCAAATTGAAAGCGTAAAGTCAAGAACTGTATCGTCCAGGAAATCCTTGAGTTTAATCTACTTACGGGTTACTATGCTGGCAATGGGACTTTATCGAATCTATGATCACGGTCATGCATATAAACCCCATTTATACAACACTCCATTCATTTATCGGCACGCCACAACTAAAATGGTGGGCACCCGTACTCCCATTTTATCCGTGCTCGGTCTTTGTATTGATAGCCTAAACACTAATAAAACTGGGCAGGCATGTACCAATTTTAACCGTGCATTTTGGATAAATTGATTGCAGATTGTGTAGTGTGGTTATATATATACTATAATGTAATAATGGTTCATAATGGACGGAATTGATTTTTTATCAACCCGGCTTCATTTGATATTTTACTGATGCGGCAATTGAGGAACAAAACCCACGCAAAATCGTTCCCATGCAAGATCAACTCACACGGTGTGAGGACAATGTGAAATGACGTTACTTTTGTCTCCTGCATAACGTCTCTCACCCTGACAACTTCCTAACACATAAATTAGATTACTTCGTTCCTCGCTTTGTAAAATGAGAATGTTGGGTATGGGGAGTGGTTTCCCTCAAATGTGATTTTCTCATGAGAAACATTGAAGAATTCCTAATCAAAATTAAGACTTGCCCGAGGATTGTGCATGAATAATAGTAAAGTATATTAACTGATTCTCTTTTATTATAACAGCAATCATTGGTCAGAAGATTTTAGAGCTACACTCAATCAATAATATCAATTGAATGTGAATTGGTCGCAAAAGCAGTCGAAAGTTCAATGCAATAGATGAATGTGCAGTTTTGAAAAATTAAAATCACATTGATATAGAATCCATGCAAAATAATCCTTTAATGAATAAGTGTTTTCGCTTTTAAAAGTTCGGTTCAATATTTTTCACGCACCTGCATATATTTCGCAGGCAAGTATTTATGGAATTCAAGTCTGTCATTTTACAGTGGGCATGCATGCAGTAGAATTTGGCAAGATTAGCTTAGCGTCTGGCGATGCCGCACGGACACAATAGGTTTTTATAAACTTTCCGGTTTTTCGGATCAAGTGTTTGTTTTCTGCCAACGCTCCGTGGAGAGGTAATTTTCTGTTGTATAATAGCGGGCGAAGCGTACATTGTCTTGAACAGGATCTTTTATAAGCTTATAACAGCTTTGTGAGAAAATTTTCAAAGGCCTGTTCCGCGTCGCGAGGGCGAAGCCGAAGCAATTGCAATGGGAAATCACCTTGGGAAATCAAATGGAAAATCCAGTTCTATAAAGAATAATGTATATATATTTACGGCTATTGTGAAATTTTTCGGTTTTTCGAATTCCTTGAAATCTGCGAAAAACTAAAAGTTAAGCCCGGCGCACACTGTTACATAATCTATTGAATAGTTAATCATCATACATGCCGTGCGATATTGTAATATTTTACCAAACAAGTTTAGAGACAAGAAACAGTTAGGGTCTATATTCATATATGTATACCGAACAAGTTATCAGAGTTATATGCACTGACTTTGTACACTTTTCTAACTATAATTCTGTAAAGTCCAGTTATTTCTGTAAAGTCCACGTTTTGATATAAACAGATCACTTGAAAGAAGAAGTATATTCCAATTAAATTTGAAGTAGTTGTATTCAAATTTGCGCCAAGCGGGCGAGGTGACCGGATATGGGGATGGTTGTTCCGTTAATAATAGATAAGAGCATGTAAATTGTAATTGTGATGGAACTGCAATAAAATACTATGGGATTTCATTACTTGAAATTGTGAACGGCTAGCTATACCTTTTAGAAAATCTTTACAGGTTCAATTTCTGTATTTAACTACATAATAACTTTATCTATTCACGAATGAATAAAAAAATAACAAACTATGTCGTCATACCGGAAACCACAGGATGTCGTGGGTCATTGACATTGACTTAGAGGAAGGTGTTTCGTTTAAAAAGCGACTGCGCGAACCATTCTGTTATCAAAAGTTGTGAACTTGAAAGAAAACCAGCCACGTACGAAATTATTGCTCGCCAAGCCGATCACGTAGTATTGGGTAAAAGGCAACGATGTCGGTGAAGACATTGAAAAGAGCGTTAAGTTTTAGACAGGATAAAAAAAATACTAGTAAGTATATTAATATTTGTACCAATAAGTTATAGCAGGTGTTATTGCCTAATCAAAAAGGGCCCCGATAGCATTTGCGTACAATTATGTCTGTAGTGTGCTTAGGGTTTCTATATATGGTAGTCTATAATGGTTACGTTTCAAAACAGTTATCGGACTGACAAAAATATTCCTCATGGTACAGTATATCATATGACCTGGCTTAAATAAATATATATAAATGTCATGTGAACATTGATTAATTGTATAAATAGGTATAGTTAACATTACCTATATTGGGTCGATAGAGTTGTGAAATAATTTGTTAATCAGAATTGCCTGAATCAGAGTTAACTGTATACGATTTAACTCACAAAATATTGTGAGTTTTATAAAACCGTTTCCTGGCGAATCAGAGAAAATGCCAGAAATGAATAAATATAAATGCAAGCAAGAACCCTTTATTTGTTTACTAAGGTGTGAAGTCAAGATCTTTCGAGATCTAACAACAGTTTTTGTCCTTTAAAAACTTTATTATGACTTGATTATTGTTAAACATTATTTTAGGATATTCTTTTATGCATGTTAGGCGGCATATATATAAAGCCATCTAGCTATATCATCTATATATTGATAAAACAACAAAATCGGATGATCAAAATAAGGCTTCACAGCAAAACATCGAGATTCATTTAATGGTCAACAAATACTTTTGCTTATCAATCATTCAATTATTGCTGAAATTGTTTTGAAAGCTTGCAGTTATATCAAGTATTTGAGATCAAAAGTCCGGAAAAAGTTTTATAAAAATTATGTCATCACTATAGATCTGTCAAACATGATGAGTTGTAAAATATTGATAACAGTTTTTTAAACATCCATAATCAGGGTGATCAACATTTTTTAAACTTCCTCGTATCTAAAGATAACGGGGGGTTTTTTTCGCATTAGATCGGATTACGATACCGGAAACATTGGAAGAAAAGACGTAGCCGTTGTCGTTTCAGAGCCGACCGCGTCTTCCCGTTGTCTTCGTGTATGTTTAAACTATTTAAAATGCTTGAACCAGCTTCAACGTGAAGACAATCTCGCACCCAGCGCAACGCATTCTGACTCACATAGGGAAGGGAAATGCTCTGTGTACGAAACTAGCAGGAAATAAATTTGGAGCATTATAAATCTTCTGCGCTAGTCAGGTTGTCAATCAAGTCTTCTCTTAAGAATAATTGGTCCACCGTTGTCTATGTCTCTACGTCCCAATGTTCAAGCGTGAAAATTAATTTGAGCTCAGTGGATAAAATTATTTTTTAGGTCCAATATACAAATAATGATGAAACAAAGAGAGATCGCGTGCATGCTAATATAATCATGAACTTGATGATTTGGCGTGGTTGCTTGATAGACAATGATAACAGTTAAAAAAACTTTTGAAAAAGCTCTTTAAGATCAGCCATGATTATGCCAAGTGGGAAACATCCCCGGAAGTCTAATATTAGGTCAATATGAATACTACATCTTTGATAGTTTATACCTACCACAAATTACCTTTCATGCACGGGCATAATTGTGCCTCCTATTACCCCCCCCCCCTCTCTTTTTCTAATGCTCGTTTCAACTTTCGAATTAAGATGAAAATATTTCTGCCCACACAAACATAAAGTATAGTAAACATTAAGAATCATATTAGCTATCGTTGCGTAACTCATACGACGCGCTTTATATTGGGCTTGAACGCCCTTCCGAAATTTATAGTTCAGTTGACAAAAGTCAACGGATACTACGCTTTTAGGCTCATGCATAGCTCAGATTATTAGTAGGAATAACATGGTATATAAGACTAATAACAGACAGGAAAATGCCTGCGAGACTGTCGTGAGAAAGCGGTAGATTAGAAATCATTCTTAAAAAGAACGAAATTTTACCGCTCATTTTTACCGCTCATTTTTACACTCGTTATCTTAGAAAACAATCAGTTTCAGACATTTTAAACACGTGGATAACTCTAATTGTCCGAAACCCCCACAATCAATAGTTTCGAATGCTGTTTTGTTCCCTGCTACTGTGAATCAGCATCTTTAAACCATCAAGAAATAACGACAGTAATACACGACACTGTCAAATCAATAATGTACGAGTACATCCTCTTTATTCCTAATATATTGTTTTCACTTTTTTAGTCAAACAAGGTCCGAAAAAGACTTTGAACATTGTGATAGTTGGAGATGGAGATACGGGCAAAACATGCTTATTGATGTCGTTCAAAGGACGACCATTCCCAACGGACTATGTTCCGACCGTTTTTGAGACCTACACACGTGACATACGTCTTGACGGCGAGGCTATTCAACTTGGACTGTGGGACACCGCTGGTCAGGAGGGGTATGATCGCTTGCGCCCTTTGGCGTATCCTCATTGCGATTGTTTCGTTATTTGTTACGCTGTGGATTCACCCGACTCACTTAAAAATGCCAAAGAAAAATGGTTGCCAGAATTAGAACACTTCAGTCCAAATGTGCCAAAGATTTTGGTTGCGACAAAAAAGGATATACGAAGAAGAACATTGGCTATAATGGATATTTTGAACGGGAACAAAACTCCCAGTATCGTAAGCTATGAAGAAGGGTTGTGCACAGCAGCGGAGATTGGTGCTGCGAGGTTTTTGGAAACTTCAGCGTTATGTAATGATGGTGTGAGGGAAATGTTTGCGCAGACAGCAAGAGTTGCATTGGAAGCAAGAGAAGAGAAGGAATGTAAGAAAAAAAAGAATGAAAGATGCTCCATTATGTAATGTGCTAGCTAAAACATCAAATACATTCTGGAACAATCGTATTGAGATCGATGCCATAACGAAACTTGAGTTTACAGGCAACTGACGATCGCAACAATCTTGTAGTTTTGGATCAAATAGCACCAAAGAGACTATGTTGAACTATTGGCATTCAAAAATCCTGGAAAATTATAATCATGACCTTAATTAGATCATTTGCTTCTTACCTGAAGAACTGCATTATATTGTTTACAAATTCTCCTAAATGAGAACTGAGAAGAGTATATTTTTGTGAGTTGTTTGAAGTTTTTTATGCAATCATTATACGGAAAATCTATTTACTTTAAAAGTTGTGATATATAATACTAATTATGATAATTAAATATTTATTATATTGTATAAACATGTATTAATAATTTAAGTGACAATGTATATTATCCAAACTGTGTATATAGTATGCTATATATAGGTCTATTATATTAATAAATTGTATTTGTAATTGTATTATTATAATAATGATTATTTAAAACTGTAATTTACATTAATTCAAAAACAAGAAAGTATATGTTTATAAAGTTATTACATGAGTTTATCATATTTATGCATACTGTGTTCCAAAAGGAATTAGCATGCAATGCGTATACTGCAAGACCGAGACGACGAAAAGGATAAAAAAGTTTGGGAAGAGATAAAAGACAACGCATTGATATCATGCCCGCGTTCCTATGGCTTATATATGCATGTATAAGCGTACGTCGGTAAACAAAAACCAATAGTCAATACCAGCCAACAAAAACTCCAAAAAAATATACAACAATTCCACGAACACTGGTCGTGGTTAATGATTATCATGCAACAATATAATAACATGATTATCAACAATACAATAACATGATTATCAACAATATAATAACGTAGCTATAATCGCTTAAAAACTGAAAAATTCGTAAAAGTCAGGAAGTGCTAGCATTGTTGCAATGAATTGCTAAATAAACTTCATAGTTAACATCTCCAGCACACACCTCCTTAAATATTTACTATATTAGAGAAGTTATTTACCAGAGCCCGGCAGTTGTTCAAAAGACGTTTAACTTAACCCAGGGTTAACGCAAATCTTTAATTACATCTTTTTCATCGCTTGTTTAAAAAAGCTGAATATCTTTTCCATTAGTATTTTCTGGTTCAATAGAAGTGATATTTTCTAAAGTTTTAAAACGAACAGTGGTTCAGAAGCACATAAACTAAAACAGTGCATGGATTAAAATTGAACCCATGCAAGAATTAGCGATAACCTATAGCTTTGAACAAGTGGCCCCAAGTAGCCTATTATCATTGTAGTTATCCTCATAACGTGGCCTCATAACAGATGAAGGCGCGATTACATAAGACTGCGAGTTGAGACATGGTGGCAAAGAAAAGTCTACATAGACTACTTTCACCTGTATGCATGCATGAGAGTTTTTGGGGACTCTCCATGCTCGATCAAACGAGAACAGGGGTATAGCATGCGAGTGGGTGAAAGTGGACTGGAAATTGACCAGAAGAAAAACGATTTTCATCCCAACTCTCATACAACTCTCATGAAGATTGACGAGTTAAACGAAAAAACTCTCGTAAACTTGTATTAATTAAAATATAATTTGCGACAGATCAATCATCAAAGCGGATTCGAGCTGGCGGTCAAATGTATGTGCGAGTTGCAACTTTCTATCAACATGCATTAACTGCATGCATTCTCGTTTGACAGGCGCTAAAGTAACAGTTGCCAGCCATTAATAAAATTAATGAAATCTTCCATAGGTATTTACTCGTTAAAATATCAATAATGACAATCCGTTCATAATATATTCCTGGCTTAGGGCCTGTTCTTATGAGAGGGCCAGGCTCGCTTTTGCCGGGCCAACTTGTATTCGCATTCATATGAGCCGGGTCTCATCACTTACAGCCCTGTTCAGCCTGGCTGACTCGCTTGACGTTTTCATTTGGGCCCGTTAAAGGCGAGATCTTACTTCGTTCAGGCTGGATCCCGTCACAGCCGGGCTGGCCTGGTTCCATATGAATGCAATTTTACAAATATAGTATATAAAAGAATATGCGAGGCGAGATCCCGGCACTGCCGAGCTAGCTCGGCTAAACCGGGCTGGCCTGTCTTACCATAAATATAATTATAAGTTAATTTGTCAAACTGTATCTTCATCATCTACTTTCCTGGCAGTAAACTACGAATCAGTCCAGTGCTACCACTACGACTTTGTTTGCTCTTCGACTTCTCTTCTTTTTCACTTTTCAAAACTGCCCGGATTGCTTGCTCAAAAACATCCCTAACTCCATTCTCGGAAAGGGCTGAACATTCCAAGAATGCATAAGCTCCTTCTTCGTTGGCTAACTTCAAGCCTTCGTCAAATTTCACAAATCTTTCCTTTGGAACTGGTCGATCCGAATTCAATCCGAGAGAACCGTTTCTGCTTAAGCTGGTGCGTGGTCGCACATCCAGTTTTGTGCCCACAATGATGATAGACGCTTTTGGTGGTCCATATTTCTTGACCTCGGGTAACCAAACCTGTGTTACGTTCTCAAAGCTTTTTCGACTGTCCACCTGCAATATATATATAAGTGTTGGTTAAAGCCTTTTGTATTTTTCATATGAACTAACTGCATTGCGTATCATCATCATGTCAGGCTTGGAAGGTTTGGTTTAGACAAGGATTATAGGTTTTATCAAGAATATAAACTCTATGGGGCTGGTTGTATAAAAACGTAGTTAACTTAACTATAGTTAATGACATAATTGACCAATTAGAGTTAACTACGATTTAACTACGCAAAATGTAGTTAAGAGTTTTATACAACCGGCCCCTGGAGTTTTAGCCTTTAATGTGGATTAGAGAAAAGACTTTCGTAAACCCTATGAAAATCCATTCAACGTGCCAAAGTGCCATGCAAGTTGTCAATACATGTAACAGCTTGTCAACCTCGGTTCCCATTTCTGCCGAAGGCGCCATAGTATAGTATTATTTGTATATCTATTGACAGTAACTTCATAAGGAGTTTTTGCAAAACTGATGGTGTTTTTGCAAAATTCAGGTAAAATTACATACCGAGTAACACACGAGAAATACGTCACACGTCGGATACGCCAGCCGTCGGAGACCTTCGTATTTGGCTTCGCCAGAGGTGTCCCAAAGCCCAAGCTCCAGTTTTCGGCCGTCAACTTTAATGTTGTGAGTAAAGGTTTGAAAAAATTCCGGGATTTCTTGGTCGGTCAGTTTTCCATCTTTTAAAGCGCACAGTAACGACGTTTTTCCAGCCTTACTGTCACCAACTGTGACCATGTTAAAAAAATCTTTCAGGAAGATAAATGAATAAAAATCAGACAAGAGCTTTAACACACCTCCGCACTAGGCAGGTGATTATAATGTTGACACATGCATGGTTAAATATAACAGCGCACACTACTTTGTGCATGGCAACAAGAATTTCAACTTTTGTAGTCGTGACGAACTGTATATATACAACAGCTTTCTGCATGTTGTTTTGAACCCCATGAAAAATATCGAAAAACATTTATCATAAAACTTTCTTTTGTATCTAATGAGACTGCTTAGATCCTGGTTCAGACTGGTTCACACCCTGGGCAGTTCAGAACCTTTTCCACTAGAAACCTGACCCCAAACAGTACGATATTTTTGCCACATCATCAGTTCCATTGACTGAACGTTTGTTCACTGTGTTGTTTACCAACAACGGAGATATTAACTTCCCTAATTTCCCTTTCAATGTAAGCCTTATATATAAAGCCACTAACTCTACTAAAACACTTCACAATAGGTAAGTCCTACAAACTCAATCAGTAACTTTTTAAGTGCTCAAACTAAACTAGGCATGTCAGAACAGCTAGGAAACAGCTGAACATTTTCAGGCAAGGCCTCACCAGGGTGCGTAACGAAAATCAAGTTCAAGGCTATATATAGATGGTCTGCTCAGACGTAGGTTGTTGTGTATAAACACGACTTATGCATGTAAGTCCTTCACATGCAGGGTAGGATCTCAAACAAGTCTTCAAGTTAAAGGAAAATATGAATATAATACAGACAGAAGATTGTTTTTGAAAATATGAACACTTGATTGCTTTGCTTTATTTCGGCCTCGATTTTACCGTTCTTCATTCACAGCGTTAACCTTTCAGACATTCAAAGACACAAAGCAACCATATGAATAAAACAAAGACGACACATACTCTAGCTATGCCTATGGCGCCGCGCATTCCACTTAAATAAAATGCCAACTTAACACATTCTAGCAACCAATCGTGTCGAGCGCGTGGTTTGTTGACGGTGCTCAAAACAGCATTATTTCCTAAATTACAACAATTATCTTTATATAACCTCAAAAATTCCGAATATATTTTTTACATATTTTTAATTAAACGTTTCCGCTCATTCATTAACAAAGTGTAAAATTTTTTCTTAACAAAGATACCGTATTTCATATACTAAATATATCACCAAGCCATACAAAAATTTAAAACGTTTCGAATTCTTTGCTACTGAACTCCTTTCTTCCTGTAAATAATTCTAGACAGTTTCTCTAATTCCAGATAAGCTTACAGTCAACACAGATTTGCCATATTTATCAATACAAGCCAAAATTGTAATCTGAAAAAGAGGACAGATTTCCAGGCCCTATATATGGACTTCAGTATTATTCACATTGCTAAAAAAATATTTTTAGTACGACCATGATTTTCTGTTCGGCTTTAACAACATTCATCGGTCGACAATTTAATGCGAGTAAAACAAGAAGTCCGACATGATTTATCTTTTTTTCAGTCTTTGACAACAAAAGCTGTGCGATTTATCTATGCTTAGTACATGCAACCTCCTAGCAGGCGAGACTGTTGTATAAAACTTATCTCTAACGCTATTTATTCTCGCCATCTAAACAGTCCTACAGCAAACTTTCCTTCTCCGTACCTTGGAGAATATTTGATATTGAACACTGCGGGAAATCGCACCATTTCACTGGCGAGCGCCGAGCGACCGTGACCCCTAGAAACAACCGCACGAACGAACGCACGATTTTCAGTCTAAAAACTTTTGCGGCCTGTTCAGTGCTTCTGAAATGCGCCTGCAGCAGAACTGTGCATGAGTTTATTATCGTTTGTAAATATGGTACAAATGGCTCCAATATTAAAATTGTGAACGAATCGAGTCTATCGGCTCAATGCTTTATAGTAATTATAGCCGATTCATATAGCGATGTGAAAGCTGTCTTAACTTTTGCTTTGCTTTCAGTTTGGCTGCGAACTTGTCACAGTTGTCAGGAAATATTTTAAGAAAAATTCAATATAGTATTGCGACATCAATTTCTAACTTTAAGGAAAAATAGGCTGCTTACAAAGTGAATTCAGTTAAGAGCAGGCCAGAATAACACACTAAGTACTTGATCTATGCTCTACGACCACGCATACTAAGACAGCACACTAATGCCCAGTTTAATGACGACATGAGAAAAATTGTACAGATTATATCACGCAATTGAGATAATGAAGAAAAGCCACCATCTGACCAACGTTTTCCTCTCACTAGTTGCCATATTCTTTTACTAAAATCAATCTGGTGTTAAACGTGGAAGCCTCCTAATTATATATATATGGCTATATATATATAATACATATATATATATATAGTATTATCTCTATAGCTATATATGTGTCTTGTCTACAGTAACTTCTCGACTTCTGCAAATAATGAATGACATTTCTCAACTTTTCTCTCTCTACGTACGATTACGATAAAGCGTAGCACGCAAAATGAACCACCATCAACACATGTATGAAACAAACGAGAAGAAAATTTGTGAATAACATACATATATATGTATTACAGCTACCAATAACAAGCATCATCTTATAGTAGGTATTGGAAGAATTCATAGTATGTTCACATACCTGATTGCTTCACCGTTACTTTCGCGTAAATTAAACATTGATATTAAATAAATATTAAGTAATACAAGACTTTTACCTTTGCTTTTCGACATATCAGTCCAATATTAAACAGCGTCGCTAGTTTCGAAGGAGAATACTATCAGCATGTGATGCCTGATGTGAAGTGAAGCGTATTTACCATTCAACGATTTAAATTAAAACGGAAACTAGAGCCCAGTTCCTTATCTATGTAAAAAAAAGGTCATGACATGTCTCATGAGCGTCTGTGGTTATGACGACAGGACATGCAGGAAATTCTGAGGAAGAGATATAAACTGAGAGACGGCTGAGACGCAGAGGGTTAGCTACTTCACATTGTCTGCATAATTTCAGATTAGTATATTTACTTTATAGAAAGCTGCATATATTCTAAATTTTTAATATATAGTACCTAGAGCTACAAAAGACATTTTTAAATATTCTTTTTATCCAAGAACACTAACTGAGTGGAATAGCAGCCTCCTGGAAGGAATAGTTTTATCAGTCTTTAGATATTTTTCAAAATGAACTCAAGAAGTACACTAATTAAGAAATAACTTTTTTAATTACATAACTATTGTTAGGTTTTATAATTTTAATTTGTAGTTTGGTGTGATAATCTGATATGATTTTTACCGACTTGATAAAATGTAGATCGCAACGTGAGTTTGCAATTATGGATAATAAGCATAATTCATCCTGAGGTGACATGCATATTGAGAATGCGGAACAGGAACTCGTATTTTCTTAGCATTTGGATAAAGGTTTTTCCAAGTAATCGCAACGTATATATACAGTCTGAGAACAATACTCATGCAAAAAAAATGATGCAATTATTCTTGTTTATCAAGTCTGAAAGGTAATAAATCACTAATCGATTGATAGCAGTGAAGTCTTGTAGTCTACCAAAAACAAATCATAGTTGTCGGTACTAAGACACCGGGTCGGTAATTTGTATTACTACTTGCATTACTACTATTGCATCCGTGAAAATAAACGCGAGTGTTGTCCTCAGATAATAAATGCCTTTGGTACGGCTCTGATCACGGTTAAACGTGGCATGACTATATATACTGCAATCAAGCACTTTTTGGGCCAGGAACTTTTACCTAACGACGTCATTTAGTGAGGTTGAATTACGTAATCTGTTTAACTTTAAGCATGATTCTTCACTTTTCGCAGAACTAGATCAGCGGGCAACATTGGAGGCATCCGGAAGACGAGACGAAGCAAAACAAAGGGGCAAAATAGGGATGTTATTAAGTACTTCTGGCTTCTATTCAAGGATTAAAACTTCCTGGCTAGATATTTAGTCAAGTATCATGATTAGACATCAGCAGATTTCCTTCTTCAATTTAAAATTGAAAAAGCCGACTCAAATCATTTAGCCGTACAAGTCCAAAAGACCAATATGCCGTTAAATTTGAATTTCGAGAGGCCACACATGCTATTCTCTTCGAGGAAATAAGTAATCACTACTCAGCAATATAGAAGACTATATACTATATTCCTTTTTTCCTGGTTTAGACGGTCAAGCGACTAACGCGACTGTGATCACAATTGACATTTTCTGTTGGTAAAGCTATTTGCACACAAACGTCGTTTCAGTCGAGCGTTTCATAATCGTTTTGACGCCCTGTCCACGCGATCCAAGGGAAAATATGCTCAATAATAATAAATTCATACTTCAACGACACCGTCTTTTATAAATCAACGGTTTTTAGCATGAAAACGAAAATGACATCGCTCGAAAACTCTTTTTAATGAAATAAAAATTTTCGCTCGATTTTTCTTTTCGGTCAAGAGAAACCGTTTCGTTTGCGAAATGAAGCGAAACACACTTGAGATTCAAATAAAAGCTCGCGGAATAGCCATGTTCGGAGAGATGTTAAAACATCAACTACGACTTGATATGGAATTAACTAAGACGCGATGTCTTGACCATGAATGCCATGCCTCCCTATTTCAAAGTCTCAATTTGCGATTCTTGTATGCGCGAAACAGACAGTCGATGTCACGTTTACTTAGAGCGCCAATCCTAAATGGTACAACACGTTTCCTGGTACTTTTTCTCATCATGGAAACGCAAATACGAGGAAGAAATCGAGGCAGAAATTTTTAAATAGAGAAATTTTTATATCTACGTTAATAATCCAGTACAATAAACAACGTATAAATAAACAACTTTACTAACTTAGGACATCACCATTTCGTTGTAAGTGCACGAAGAATGGACTAGAAAAAGTACTTCATACATCATGGCATGCCCTATTTACAAACATTTACAATTACTATAGCCCCAATTACACTTGCAATTATTACTGCCATTTTCATCTTTTGATAGATGTGCGCGAGCGGCTAGCTACAGGACTCTGATATATGCCTCATAGCTTATCTAACATCCCATAACTTATATTTACTCGTCCACTTATCCACCAAAAGAAGAAAACCGTATGCATGAAAATCGCAGCAAAAATTGCAGATGCCTTTTAAAGGAATGTCTCATCGCTTCATGAATTGTGCAATTCATGAGTCTGTAATATAGAACTTCATTATCTCATTTCATTTATCCATTTTATGTAGCAAGCAACCTAAAATACCAAAGCCTGAAATTACTCATATATATACTTATATATATTTAATTCTATAAAGCAACAGGCAATCCACCCACGCAAAGGTTAAAATTTGTCATGTGATGGTTTTAGAAGGTGTATTGTATTTACAATTTTGTACATACTTTCAATTTTTTCAGTATTACATAATTTCAGGCGTGAAACCGGTGGCATTAAATATTTCATGAAATTGTAAAAATTTCCAGTCCGGTGTGGGTAAAAGGGCTAAATTCAACGAGATTGTTTCTCGTAATTTATGGCAAAGTATATGCGAGTGCATGTGTGTGGCTTGGTATTAGGAGTTCAGGCATTGTGTGTCAACTGCCTGTTGTACCTACTACATTGATATAACACGCGAAACAAACCTTCACTTATTACCAAAATAAATAACACATCACCATTACATCGTGACCGCTTTCCATGTCAAACGGTATACCGAGATGAAAACATCTTCAGATAATTAACATTAAAATACGCAGTGCGAATACTTTTGGGTCAAAGCCAAATGTACGCATATTTGCAGCGTCTCTGTCAGTTATATAATCATTCTAAATTTTATGCAACACTATAATTTATTTGGGGATAATTCGTAGTGGAATATCTTTATCTTTCAACGGCTATCATGGGATTCATGTTTGTTGCTTGTTCAGTTAGAGTTGGAGACTTGGTGAATGCTTCGGGTAAGGGGATAGCTGCCGGATGTTGTTTTGTGCTGGTGGGCGATCTAGGAGAGCGTGGTGTAGTAGCGTGGGGAGTGGTGCTGACCACATCTATATTCGAGTCGGGGGAAGTGGCGTTGGACAAGGGGTCATGTGAGCAATTACAGTACGGGCATACATAGGAATCCAATTCCGCAGCAGTTTCTGCAGTGATGCCTACACATAAATTATGATACCATTGCTCGCAAGTATCACATTGTACCCAGTCAACTTCATCACTTGATGGATGTTTACAAGGTCTGGCTAGACAAGCCTCGTCTTCATCATCGTCGTCATCACCCTCGACGTCCACAATCTCTGCTTTCTTTTGCTTACGGACGTACTTTCTTTTGGGTCTATCTGGATCATCGTCCAAAAGTTTCTTGTTTTTCTTTTGTTTAAATTTTTTGTTAACCTTTGCTGTGTTTTCTTTATCGTGTAATTTCTCGTCGTTTTTCTTTCGCTTACGTCGTTTCTTCTCCTCTGTTTTCTTCGGTAGGACAAGCTGCAAGACAATAATTTTTTCTCACAATTACTATTCGTTTAAATTCGTTTCCGCAAACTCATTTCTTTTCGAAATTCAGATACAACACGCACACCGGTAGATAAAGACGTGAAGAAATGAAGATAAACTTCATATGAGGTTAAAAAATATATGTTATAGCTAGAACAATTGGAACTATTTACTATATATTGGAGATACCCACCTGTATCTTCTGTTCAGTTTGTTTTCGCTGACTGACTAATATCTTCCATAACGTCTCAGTCTCATCAAGAGTGACTTCCAGTAAATCACCTTCCATCATGTAGTCTTCAACTTCATCTACCTCGTGTTGCGATAACTTTATTTCAACACACCCACTATCACCTTCGTTATCATTCTCAACCTCCGTGTTATCCTCATTACCATCAGAAACCCCTTTACATCCTTCTTGAGTGTTCCCAACCACATCAATCTCCATCCCCGTGTTTTCAGAGGCAATGGCCGAGGCGTTTGGAACTGGAGGCGCATTTTCTTGAAGTGTTTTTTGAGTCTGCGCAGTGATTGCCATGGCCATATTTTGCTGAAGTAGCGTCGTTGTGGTTACCGGTGGAGGCGCAGACGAGCCTTCAGCATTCGGCTCTTGTTTTAAAGTTTCCGCAAGTAGAATTTTTTGCCAAACTTTAGAAACATTTCCGATTAGTAAGAACTGCCTGACACGATCTTGCCAGTTCATCGCACGCTCAGTTAGAAACTGCAACGCTTCTCCTTCAGCTAAACGCACCGGGAGTTTCTGGAGCGAGACTAAAAGTGACAGAATTGTTTCCAAGCGAGGTCTACGTGAACGGTGACATAACGGACATAGGTATTTCAGAGTCCGAGATGTTTCACTACTAGGCACATTTTTCGTGGTACCCTTGCTGCTAGGTGTGCGTGGCAAAGGTACACACGTGCTGTGAAACCATTCCTTACACAGTTCACATTGAAGCATGTAACCGTCGGCCGCTTTGCGACAAACGCAAAACTGCCGGTTCTCCGGCTGCAGTGAGTTGAGATCGTCAAAACGCGCCAGATTGCGTTTTCTCAGATCGCGCATTTCCTGCAGTTCTTTTTGCTTTGCGACACGAAATAAGGCGGACTGTTCCGATGGCTTACGATCAATATAGTCCTCAAGGTCGGCTAAATCAATAATGTCCCTTTCCTTCTCACGATCTTTGTCTTTCTTGCGGCGTTGTTTACCCAGCAGTTTGTAAACACCGATGTCTTTACGACAGGACAAAATCTGAAATGACACATGACACATACGGTATAGAATTGCTTTTTAACAACACTAGAAGCATCTGAAAAGCAAACCTTGGCAAGGAAATTACCAGAATGTATTAAAACGTAAGGCAGACGTGCCACTGTAATGTTTAACTGACGACTTTATTTTTCCCTTAGTTGAGGTGTGAAATATTCCACTGCACAATTACAACAGTTATCATATAAATTGACACGAGAAATATTCATTCGTGCAGGACTAATAAAACGCACCATAAAAATGTGCACTGTCTACGAGACATTGCATTGTTCATCTATAAAAAGCGTTGCAGAAGGATTGGAGAAACGTAATTAGCATGTTACCTCAAGCAATGAAGAGCTGGAGTTTTTCTTGAGGAATGTTCTTCCAGTACGATCCCTCCAAGCAATTGCTGCAGCAACTTGTGATTCCATCTGAGGCAACTGCTCTAGTCGTACAGGTATTGGTCTACCGCGCATCACCAGAGCATCAAGTACTTGTAAGTATGGATAGTATTCATCATTCTATACAAAACCATGAGAGATTTCGTAAGCCTGAAGAAGGTAGTTACATTTGCACACGGGCGGTAATGGTGTAACATCACTGCTTACGAGCCTGCGAACAAGCGAACTTAGGAGAACGAGGCATGCGCAAACATTTTTTTACTATTTCTAAATTACAAGGGACTGTCCCTTTGCTCGATCGGAACACACGCGCGAGATTATGCATAAATGACATTTTTAGAAATACAGATAACATTTATGTAGCGTAGATTTAAGTCTGGTAGCTACTACGTGTACGGCGGTTGGCAGATTCGAGGAGAATTTTTAACTTCAGCGTTTTGTTCAAAGAACATCGTTTTAATAATTACAAATCTCAGTAACAACAAATAGGGATAGAAGTGGAATCAATACCTGCACGTGATCAACTTTGTTCGACCACTCACGTGCTTTGTCTAGAGCCTCCTTCAATGCATCGATGTTAGGTAAGTGGACTGGAACCAAAGATGCCTCACGTATTATTGCCTGTATTGAGGACATCAGATGACGTGGCCTGCAACGCAAAATTTGAGACTAAGCTAGAACACAAAACTTAATTCGACGAAAAACGCACCAGACCAAACTCCTTTTTATACACTCTGGATAATATAACCACAGATATATTAATGCTTAACCTAGCCCCCTGGGGCCGGTTGTATAAAGCCCGTTTAGCTTAAACGGTGGATAAGTCAAAATCAAATAACGCTCTTACACCTCTCTTGAATGAGTCAACTTGAATATCATGCACTGAATATGTAGTTGTAAACAGTTCCTTTGTATTAAGGTCAAAAACATTTAGTTTGCTTGTTGAATAAAACGATAGACTTGCTTTCTATTTTGAACTTATCCACCGTTTAAGCTAAACGGGCTTGATACAACCAGCCCCAGGTATATATCACTACCGTACCTAGCCTGCAAACACAGCTTGGCCTTCGATTCCCATTCCTCGCACGTATTCACAAGACTTCGTAGTTTCTGAGTACTTTTCTCAACAACTGTAAGAAAATGCTTGAATCGTAAGCCGTCTTGCAATACTAGAAGAATATAGCATCCGGACGACAACCTCGAAGACGACGCAAAAATGGCGAAAAAAAGGCGTAGCACGTCTATATATGGACGCATCATATCGTTTTTGCCCCCTTTTCCCGTCGTCTTTGACCTTCCCGTCCTCATGCTATATTTATGGTTTTATCAACAATCACCAAGCTGGTAGCGTACTTTGTTTTTTGGTCAGCATAGAGGCCTCATCGAGTAACTCCCTCAAAACGTCCAATGATACTTGTCGTGTATCTTGCAATGTTTCCTCGACTTTCTCAAGCCAACGGCACTGATGGAGTTCTTGTTTTAACTTTGGTATCTCTGGGAGGTCCACATCAAGAGCTATTGCCGTATCAAGAAGTTGTTTGAGTTTGATAGCACTCGGTTCAGCTTCGCACAAAATTTCCTGCGCCTCGCTTTGAAAACTTTCCACTCGGTTCATTAAATCCTGAGAAGTAAATGGTTATAAAATATCGTTTTAAAGCACTTACACACTAGTCTGGGCATCGGTTTGAAGACACTACCTATAAGGTGTCTAGTATGGTGAGAATAATTAATAATAACGTTTTAATGTATACGTATATAAAATATAGCAGCGTCATACCTGAACAAGCTCTGCTTGGTCTATAATGCAGGGTAGCCGTTGGAGCTGACGACAAAATTCTTGCAGTTCTTCCAAGTTTAAACTTGGCGTGATTGTGTTGTTACTAAGAACATCAGCAGTCCTGGTGAAACAAAAATTTGGTTTACAAAATTCTTGGCAAATACAGTTTTTTTATCAGATTTTCTTCACTATAACAAACCTCGACGTTTTAAAGGAGATCTTAAAAAATATACACATTCTGTTGCTGAAGGTGGTAACATTTGATCGCACGTTTTAAACGTTCAGTAAGTTGCAAAGATATTAAAGGGGGCCAAACAACGACCTCAGACCTCTAGCTCATATTCATTTAGAAGCATAGTGAACAAATATTGTAAGATACTCAAACAGTACAATATATTTTGGGAAAAAAATAGATATTCAAATTGTAAAGATATCGTGTATCATCCTTCTTCAACAAAGAATCATTTGATTGTCACTCTCACCTCGTACGATGTTTCTTAGTCACTAGCTGTGTCGCAACATTACCGCAGCGTTCAGCTTCTGCCACAGCAACCTTCAGTTCCTCTAACAAACCACATTCAGGAAATTGACTTTGTTCAGCAGTTGTGACCAACTCACGTAGTACACTTAAAGCTAGGAAAGAAAGAAAAAGGCAAATTCATTAAAAATATAACAGGACAACATATGGTACTTAGCTTGAGAAATATTCACACTAACAAGAGCGAGAGTATTACATCTTAACTGCGTGTAGATGACAAACCAATTTGATGTATGTACTTACAGACTTTGGCTCCAGCAGATGCATCCAATGATTGTCTAACTTCATTTTCCCAGTTATCAAAGGAATCGGCTCTTTTCTTCAACTGTGCTAGCATGCCTTGCAGCTCATCCAGACTGTAACGATGTCTACACGAAGAAGGTCATCATGCCACTCAGTCAGAGATATTATGCATGTACACTACATCAAGTATACTATGTATATATATCATACGGTAGTTGTATAGCTAATGAAGTTCTGAAGATAATCAATGTGACCTACCAAGGACAGATAAAAAATAATTTACCTTATAATCAAGCTCTCAATGTCACATTCACTGCAATGTTCTGATGCACACCGGATACAACTTAGTTTTTCTGTACAAAATACGGAATCAAATTCAAAATCTTCTTCGGATAATAGAACATAGTAATACACGCACACACATGCATGCATAGCGCAGGACTTTCTCCTCCTTGCACTTACGTTTATCGCAGGGGCAGGTAACCGCTGAGAGAAAGCATGTTGTATTGCAGATACTGCACTGTCGTTCATCATCAGGCATCAATTCAAAGGCTTGTCTTTTTGTCTCGACAACACCCTGCACGAGAGAGGTAAAATAAAACCATTAAGAAATACCTCCACATGATGATCTTAAAAAAGCTAATATTGAAAGTTAGATATTGAATGTATGTTCTACATATATATGTATGTATGGCGAGCACTTTCAGTTTTGGTAATAAATAGAAACGTCAAACTTTAAACTCGGGATTTCTTCTACTAAAGTATATTACCTTCATACTATGATAAAGTCTATATGTAGTACTGGACATCTTCGTGAGATGAAAAACCCACCTTGTCCTTTAGTTCCTTGTGTAGTTTACTTTCTTGATCAACCATTGTGACCATATCATCATAAATTGCCTTGGCTAAGCTGAGATCAAGATTGTCAGGATTTGCCGCCATATTACACACGAGTTCTTCATGTGAGAACACGGTCGTGCGATTCATTCGACGGTAGTGCGAAACACAAAGATGTCCCATTGAAAGCTGAAAAAAAATATAGGGACAAAATAAATTTCAGATTTCGGTTTGGAAGTCGTGTTATATATACATACAGTAAAATAGTACCTGGAGAGGTCTAAACTTTTTGAAACAAAATTTTGAACACACAATTTTAAAAAATATAAATTTCTTTACAAGGGTTGATATTATTCTCGAGCAAAGCACAAAACAGAATGACTCAATTTGCTAGCGAGAAAAAGACTTCCTGACGATAACCGCGCGCCTTTTCGAGATCACCCTCCTTTCTTGGCAGAATTTTTGAGACCCCCTTCAAAAATATGTGCTATTACACGAACTATTACTAGACTACATGCACAATTCAACATAGCTATTTGTCCAAAGTGTTACTGCACGTACACGCAGTCTCACAAGTCACAACATGCACGATATCGTGGTGCATGTGAAACTGCATGTTTTCAGTCTTTGTCGCGTTGTTGAGTCATTCTAATACTGGCCCGCATAAATTAGCAATCAGCTGTTGCGGAAATCCAGCCTTACAACGTTGATTGATTTGTTTTATTGCCAAAGTTATTAAATAAAATAAATAATTCGGTGATGTTTGTCTGTAAGCGTTGAAATATTTGAGGTTAACCCCAAATTATTTTACTGCGAAAATGTTTAATGAAACCCATCAATAGCCCTAACAAAAACCATTCACTTTGCCTCTTCAGCGACAAGCCATTGCAGCCCTCAACTTACCCAATCAGCGGTAGCAAAGTTGACAGCCTCAGCGAGATTATAACCCTGATTAAAGCCAGCGTGATAACTTCGTGGAAAGGTAACAATAAACTCGCCGGCTTCTTGGTTAGTCCGAACGACCGGAACGCCTTTTGTCATGAGAACGTTGGGGTTAACAATGGTCACCAGGTGATGCAGAAGATCAGGATGTGCTTCGAAAAGCTCTGGCGCAATTTCTTGAACGACGTTCTCAAACATCTCAGCGCAGTCACCGGGGATACCATACCATGTCTTGGGTTCACCCCAATGAAGATAATTAATAGAATAACTCCAATGATCCTCCGTATGCCAACAGAAACTGGAGAAACACATACCGACGTAGATCCAAGGAACCTTGAAAAACGAAATAATATAACAAGTTATTAAGAGTGAGAATATGACAGGAGTTTGATAAGCTTGTTATAGGTACTATTGACCAGACAGGATGAAAAACAGACTATACTTACCTTCATTCCGGATATATTACCGCACACATGACTTAAGACGGAGTTCGGAAGTGTTGGTAAATTGTTCAGATTCCACTTTGAGTTGGCATAAAACTAGAAACGAGCGAGGATTTTTCGATTAATACTTGTTCTACACATGCGAGCGACTTGACAATCATTGAGGATTGTCATTGCATTCGTGCAGTTAGTATAATATTAACATACAGTACCTCTTCAATGTTATTTGTAACATTTTCTTTCACCGGAAAACCACTGCCATGGACCGCGGTATGGAGGTCAGCACCATATTCAATTGATACCTAAAATAGAGCGAGTAGTCATTAAACTAACTGAAATATTTCTTGGATTATCATCTTACATCATACTTGTGAAACAGCACGTTTTAAGCAGTTTCCTTGCGAGTATACCTCTTCATCGACAGAACCGACCAATCTCCAAAATTCTTTTTCCGCCACATCGTACGGTACGGACTAGAAGGAATACAGTACAATCAATAAAAACGTTATGAAACTGGTTGTCGACGAGACATTTCTAGCTCGAAAATATAGGCAACTTCGTGTAGTTTTTAAAGACTGTAAAAAATACACTTATTATACGTTATACTGCGTTTACTGACCTCGGGAGGCAAACCAAAATAATCAGCTTTAAATTTGTCCGCCATTTCACCAAAAGATTGTAAATTGTATTCTTTTTTAGACTGCTCAAATCCATACATCTCTATAGGTTTGTCATATTCCTATATTATACGTAGAAAACAAACGTTTTTAGACATTTACTGATTTAGCTCAGAATACACACCCCCCGGAGGCCTCGCTATTCCAGAAATAAAGTGTGACAATTGACAAACAACGTTTTGATTTGAATGTTTCGAGGAGGACACATGGTCAGAATACAAGGGAGCTAACAGAGCATAAGAACGTTGAAATTGCGTGTACAGCAAGCGAAATCCCGGACAATGTTTATGACTCACGATCTACATAACTTGCCATTACCTTGTAAAACTACTGTTCTAATTTGCAAACTACCGTTAGTTTTTATGACTATTATAGCAATGACATTGATTGTAAATTGTAATTCAGTCGCTAGTAAAATAATATACTGTATGTGTATATCATATGTTCTGAGTTAAAAATGAAATCATTAGCATATTGGGTTATGCAAAATACTGATAATGTCAAACGTTCTCCTAGACATATTCACACAATGCAATATAAATATTTAAACAAATTTCACAAATATTCATGCATATAAAAAAACTTACCTGTGCAATACACTTTGGACATCTCCATTCTCCCTTAGGCACAGTTGTGATTGGAGGAATGAGACAGTATGTATGAAAACTAGCATCACAACCATCACACAACAGTAGGTACTGACCATCATCACCAGAACTGCACATATGACATAAATAGTCATCCTGAAACTGCCACAGAATTAGGTAAATTATTATGTACTTTTAATAGGGTATCTACAGAACAGTGTACATACATTACAATATGCATGACTCACCAGCCCAGGGTTGTGATCTTGCAACATCTTTTTACTGGCTTTGCGGACAGGTCTTCTTCTTTGACTTTTTGAATCTTCATCAGAAGGAATGATATCCTTACTCTCAACAGTTTCAGGTTCTATTTTAACACTCTTGGATGGTTGGTAATTGTCTAGAAAACCAAGAGACAAAGTGTTAAAGACAAAGTACTTTTTTATTTGTGAAAAAAGTGTAGTTTGTTGAAAGGTAAGATAATAAGTGATGAATAGCATTTAATGTAACTATAAGTGAGTCAAACAATAACCAATTATTGATGATATAAACAGTTATATATGATAATATATACAGCCTGGGGCCAGTTGTATAAAAGGCTAGTTAACTTTTAACTGTAGTTAGGGACAGAATTGGCCAATCAGAGTCATGTATTTCTGAGTTAACTAGGATTGAACTATTCAAATGTGATTAAAAGTTTTATACAACTGGCCCCTGGATGTTTAAACAGTTATACCAGTTAAATGATTGATAGCTACCTGATGTATCCATTTCTTCTTTTACACTGTCTGATTCACAAACAGTTGTCATTTTAGGACCTGGTGCTAGGAATTGTAATTTCTTTAATTCTGGATTTCTTGAATAGTCAATTGATTGCTGCACCTTAAATTTACATACATCAAACACCATATTTTAAGCTTATGACCATGAAATATCTTAATCTCAAAATTTTATGTGTGCAATAAACCAAGCATGCAATAATCACCTGTTCTTGTCTAATTTGGCGTGCAGATTTTCTCATTCTACTTTCAGGCTCTGCTTTAGGAGTTCTTGTCGGTTTGGGCTAAAATTATATAAATATAAAATTAACCCACTAAAAAGTATCAAATCTATTCTAAGAAGCATCATGTTAGTCCAAGATAAGGTTTTTACAAACAACAGCATGAATTTTTGTTTCTATAAACTCAATTGGTGGTTTTAAATTGACAAATGAACTTTCTTCTTGCAAGGATAATATTTTACTGTTGGTCATTTCTGATGAAAATTTATTTTTTCCATTAAAACAATGGACAGCATAAAGCCTGCTCACATGTACAAGGTAGCATGAAAAAGACTGATTATTACTGCAGGGTGAAAATGATTGCAAAGATAGGGGTTAATGAAACAACAAATTGGTTAGGAGCAACAATAGCTATACATTCATAAAATGTAATATTAACTTAGAGCTCTTCCAAATCTTATCATCATTGTTACCCTCACTACAATGTTATTCAACACCACCTTAACACAGATGCTTTCTCGTTTGAGCTCATATTAGTTTGCTGCTAATTATTTTGTTTTATCCAGACATTACCTCTGGTGTAGGATCAGTATCTGTCATTAGACCAGATTGGAAGACATCATAGGGAAAAAGTAGCTTTTCATAATGATTTCGAAGGCATGCTGGGACTGATTTTATTTCCAAATAACCCATCTAAATAATATAAGAAATGCAACTGCTACAGCAAGTAAAACACCTAGATCATTATGGTATGCACAAGTGTGTTAGAATGGCTTTTTGGACCAAATACAGGCAGGTTTGACTAACTGAAGACGGTTACTTACTTTGCGGGCCACTACAGGCCATTTTCTCTTTGTTGTCACATACTCATATCCACCTTCTTCATGAACAGTCTAAAAATTGTTTTTCATTATATTTGTAATTACACCACTTTTAACAAATTTAAAAACCTATATATTATATTTACAATGATAATATTGGCCCTCAATGAGTCAGTCCTACCTATCATCATTTTTGTATGTTAATTAGTGATTAATCAGTGTAGTACGAGGAGATTATCTATTTTATCATTGCTCTTCTTGTAGTGAAAATCAACTAACTTCTCACTCTTTTGTTACATAAGCTATGCACAAAGTTATTAAACATTAATTATTGTTACACTGCCACCACAAAATTTAGGTTGCAAGCCAAACTCAAAGTGTGGAGATAGGCACCCGGGATTTGAAAAAAGTAAATAAATGTAAGACATCAAATTACATGCCCTATATCTGAGTTGCACAGTAAATACATTCAATACTGTGTTGTAAGGTAATGATTAGTTATGCACCCAGCACTATGCACCCAACACTGCTTGTTTGAATTGTCTGATACCTTATACTAAACAATTCAAAGGGTTTTGAGCAATGATTCAATAACCACAAGGAAATAAAATCATCCTAGTTCGTGCATTAACTTGCAATACTCTTTCATTAGACCAAACTGAAGTGGGCCCACTAATTACCAAGTTGATTAGTCGGTATTTGAAGCAAGATTATTTTACTTCTGAGAGTTATGTTATTGTAAAAGTTACATAGGTGGAATATTTCGCATAAAAGATCATGGATAAGACAGGTTGGACCAATATGAAGTAATTATTTGGTTAATCTTCACTGATACCAGATCATGTTTCATTTGGTAGAAACAAAATATTCAATTTAAAAATTATTAAACCAACAGCACATATGGCAAACCTTGTTCGAACATGTTGGTTTAATCATTTCAATTGAAATTTAAAACAAAATATAACTCTGCACTAATAGAAACCTAAACCATTATCATCACTGAATTCATTTTATTGTTCCTATACACTATAAACAAAAAGCTAGATGCCTCATTGGCTATTATACAAGGTAAAATCAGGTTAGAAATTCAACACAACCTGTAAGTAAGCACCACAGACAACCAAAATCAACCAAAATGGTGATATGAAATTGGCAGTTGCGTGTACGTGCATACTAACGTGTCGTAATTTCAATTCTAAGTGCCATGCTAGGTTAGGGCAGACACAGTTCAACTATTGTTCTGTAATTTGGCCTCACATTGTATTATTATTTGCCAATATGGCATCCAAACCTAAAATTTCGTCAAACTCTTTCAAAACTATTGTTATTTCAATGATTAGGGCAAATATTTTGCACGAAATCATCGCCTTATCGAACAATGAAAGGAAAAAAAACGGCAGAGAAATTATGCAGGCTGGCGACATGCGTTACATATACCCACCTTGTAAAGTTTGAAAATATCCAAATTCTTCTTGTCGACCATTGGGAGTTTTAAACTTGTGCCCTAATTTTAATAAAATGGTTGATGTAAGCAGGATTAATCAACGAACTTTCCACGGAGAATCCATTCAACAACGATCTAGTTCGTCTAATCAAGTCATTGTCGAGAGAAAGCCCTAATGCCAGGGCTACATATAGCCAATAGACCTTACCTGCAATTCCCAAAACTTGGCAATAGCGTCCAAAAAATTGAATTTTACTCTTGTTGTTGCCTACAGAGAAAGCGAAATATAACGGGCATTATGAAAAAACATATCAAAGATCCGAAATAGAGTCAGTCTTTGGTGATTTGTGTTGAATTCATGAAGATATAAACAGAAGAAATTGTATACAGTCGGGAAAGATCAAATATGGCCACCGTACAGCCCAGTTCACGTTAGTTGCTATTCGTGAAGAAAAAGAAACATCTACATTTTCGTTTCGGCCCCAGAACCCTGTCACTTTAGTTCCTTTTATGTTGTACAACTTCTTTGCTTTAACAATGAAGGGATCCAAAAGTTCGATCCTTCGTTATAGCTCTGAATATGGGCAAAAAAAGAAGTGCGTTCGCGCAAGTATGTCTGAAACGCGACTTCACAAAAGTTGTATAGCTTGAAATTTACCTCGAGTTCATTGAGTTTTTGCACTCGAGGAGTAAATCTAAATTTCTCTACGTCCACGGAGAATGGTGGCTGCCATTCCTAGATAAAAACCAAAGCAGAAAACTTGTCAAAACGCTGGTATCATCCGTGAAACTCCACGAAAAATCCTCCAAAGTTATAGACAAGCTTACAGGCGGAGGGCGAATCTTGCAAATTCCAACTTTTTCCACATACGGCCGTATTTTGGTAATAAACGCTAAAGGATCTTGAAATTCTTCTTCAGTCGGCTCAAAAACAGGAGCTTCTGGTGGAGGAACGAACGTGTGCCCTTCCATGAGGGAAAATCCTACATTACCACACACAAAAACAATTTAAAGCACACACTACGCAACTATCGCCATATTTCTGCCAGCTTCCCAACCGGTAAGCCCGGATAATATAAACCACCTGTATCACGTGATGTAATCAACACACATGATTGGTCAAATCAAACGGTAAATGGTTGTTGATTGGTTGGATGAATGTTAATAAGTTTCCGTAAGGGAGAACAACTACGCAATCTCGTGAATTATATGGTCTTTATCGGTGACTGGTCTATATCATTAACTGTATATAGTTATATATATTGATTCAGAGATATTGCTCCATACCGCCTAGGTCAGTGTCTACGCACAATTTCAATTTTTTTTCCCACGAAATATCGCTTTCCAGTTTCCCGTACTATGTTTACGACATCTTGCAACAAAAATACCCTTGTACCTTGTAGAGATTTAATAGTAAATATACAATGTAATATAACTATTTGCGTTTTCAGTTACCATGCTTGTCGGTAAAAAGGCATTACGACAACAACACAACAAAGCGAAAATAAGTTATTGCGTTATTGTGAGTAGAGGTTTTTTTATCAAAAATTGTGACCACGCGGCGCACTACCCGTTGACGATTGCTCTTTCCTCGGCTCATTCTGAATTCCGGCAGCCTTTATTTCTATAGTTTAAAATACTTTAAAATGATTGGTAACATGAGTTTCGTAACATGATTTCGGAACATTGATAACATGAGTTTCGTAAAAATTCGAATTCATTGCAAAATTTATTGGTTGCGCCAAAGGTTGCGGGAATTTATCAAGGAGCTGAAACGAGAAAAAAATAAAATTCATTACACTGACTATAACATGACGTCTTAACGCTTTTCAAACAAACGGTTGTTATCAAAGATGGCGGATTTCTCGGACGTCGAAGATGTAGCGTATTCCACTCCTTTACCGACTATCAACCAGCGTTTAGGTCACCTGAAACCATCCAGAGAACTGTTAGAGTATTATAGGAAAAAGATAGCAGAATATGACGGTGAACATGAGAATGTAACGAGAAAATTGGAGGAATATAAATGTACCTACGAAGAGCAGGTTCGGGCGAAGGAACGGACGTTTCAATAGATTTCTTGAATCAAATCTTATTAGACTTTTCGTGTGGTTTTATTTAGACTAACGTATTTATAGGACAAATGTAGGAGAGATTTTGCTAATAATATCATGTATTGTTTCCCACAACTCCAAGACTAAGCTAAGGGCGTCATGCGGCCAGTCGGCCACTGTGCACTGAGTCGGCGAGGTGGACGTATTATTAAGGGGGCTAAGTGGGAATAACTAGTACTAAAGCTATTTTTAAATATATCCATGTATCCTCAAATTATCCCAGTGATATTTGTTCCTTGCATATTTCTAAGTGTGAAAATCTAATCTTCCCACATGACATGTTATCTAGGAGGAGGCATAGCTCCTCCGGCCACCACCCCCTGTTTTGCCCACTCAAACAGTGGATACCCAGCTAAAGAGAAGTTTATATAAGAGCATTTAAAACTATCTTTTCTTTTGCACCTTTCAAGACAGAAATCCCACCACAAAACCACGGGAAAATTTTCAGTGTATACTGGCATTAAGTGAGGGTTTAGAGAACAGAACAAAAATTTGGTTTTAATTTTGTGAATGTGTCTGTTTTCTAAACATTTGATTCTGTAAAGCTCAAATGTAAATGACAAACTTTACTTTCCATATCACATAGCACAAGATGCACTGGGAAATGAGGCAGCGTGAAGAAGAGATCAAAGAACTTCAGAAAGCTTTGAGTGACATGCAGGTGTATCTGTTTCAAGAAAGAGAGTACGTTCTACGACTGTACGCTGAGAATGATCGTTTGAAAATACGAGAGATCGAGGACAGAAAGAGGATACAGCATCTTCTCACTTTAACACATCCTTTAGGAGGAGAGATTACGTACTTTCGTAAGAAGACTTCGGAGAAACCCGTTGTTGTAAAACACAAGAACGTAAAAGGGCGGAATGCGTTGGAGGGTCGAGGGCCAGGAGGCCACAAGAAAGGTAGAGAATGACGCAGTGTAGGAATCATCAGGCATTCAGGCTGATATTTTTGTTTGAAATTTGATCATCTTCTTTAGATCCGACGCAACAAACGTCACGCAGTAAAACACACGCGCATGGAAATGTTAGTCCTACCCCTGAAGAAGACAATCAGACATTACTATTACAAATCGAGTCTCTTCAAGCTCAACTAGAAGAACAAACAAAACTTTCCAGGGAAGAAATTGAAGGTCTTCTTGAGGATAAAAGGGTACGTAACGAGGAACACAATGCTTCGACGGAACGAGATCAAGACAAGATCAAGAGTCTGACAGAAAAGCTTCACCAAACTCAAGACTTGTTGTATCAAAGTACAAAGGATTTTCTCGAGTTAAAGTATGATCTAAGAGCACGGGAGAGACAGTGGATGATAGATAGGGATAGATTGGTACAAGAAATTGAGCATTTTAGGCAACAGGTGGATGTGTCAGGCAGCAGTGTACTAGAGGCTACCGGAGTATCTGTGGAACCCCAGGTTATTTTGTTTTGATGTTTTTTAATAAAGCGAATACCTCTTCTCGCATGTAATTGCTCTTTGAATCCTGATATCAGTGGAACTACACTGGAATGTTTTACTCAACTGGTTTAACACAATGATAATTTCTTCGAAAAGGTCGCACAACTACAGACAATCCAGTCACTAAAGGATCAGGTTGAGCAGGCGCAGAAACTCGCAGACATGTATCGTGAACAGTGCATTGGTCTGGAAGATGAGTTGGGGCGAATCAAGGAAGAGACTGATGTTGGACGGGAATTATTTAAAGAAAGGAATGATAAAGTTAGCAGAAGACTGACATTGATGAATCAAAGATACAATGCCTTGGAAAAGAGACGAACGTTGGAAGTCGAAGGGTTTAAGAACGATATCAAAATGCTGAGAAATAAACTGAAAAATGTCGAGAAACATTTGTTCAAGGTAAGTGCATGGTTCCGTTGCATATTGTGAAAGGCGGAACCTTAATTGTTTCGTAGTTTATGAAGAGACCAGGACACAGCTAGGTGTGAGACATATCCACCCCAACAACGCGTCATCTTTCTCTCAAAATTCTGTTATTTCTCAGGTAACTGTGGACGTCCCAATAGACGGCGATGTTGATCAAGAAGTACTACGCAATGTTCATGCTACGACAGCAAGATCGAAATATTTAGTTGGAGAACTCCACCACCTTAAAGCTAAAATTTACTCCTTGGAAAACGATCTAAGACATTGTGGATAAATAACTAAAAACTGCTATTTTTTAATGTATTTTTGTATAATAAAGACAAGCGTTACTACGGTCAATCGTGATCGGGCGTGTAGTCAGTCAAAAGTATACTTTTTTGGATTTTCAAACGTAGAAGAAGGCGGAGAGATAACGAGATCATAAGGAGATGAATACATCTTCCATGACCACGCTTAATTTTATTAGCCATGTCCCAATCGAGCAGGATATTGGGTCTAGTGGAGAAACGGTAAGCATCTATGGACTCTTTGGAGGGGCAAATGATTTCAGACTTATATTTCCTGTCCCTCCAAACTATCCATATATTTAGGAAGAGACAACAGGCCCTCAAAATGGAATAACTATAGTAGTGTAGTGTCGAGATTAGCAAGCAAATCAGGATATTGTATTTTGAAGTCAGCTACGAATTAACTTCCCCTAAAAATAGTCGTAGCGACCCCTGGATTGCAAGGTAAAGTTCACTCAAACCTCTCACATGCAAGCCGGGGTTTATGTAAAGCTTTTTTGAGACGAGGCCAGGACTTGGAGGCAGTTTAAACGAAAAATAGAATTGTTGAAAATGCGTTGAAAATAGAAAATGCTCTGCATGGTCTTTCTGGGCCGATTCGTAGCTACGTTAAAAAATCCTACATTGATTACCATTGTTTCATCATTCGTAACAAATTTCATTTTTGAAATGATTCCCTATCACCACAAATAACCTCTAATAAATTATTTCATAGATAAATTACGTATAACATGATAGGTAAATTCAGCAAATTAGTAGAATTTCTTATTTATAGATTTTATCATTACGTCAATTATTTTAACCAGTTTGGCCATTTTAAATTATCTGATCGAGAATGACGAGTATGGATATTCAAACAATGAGTTCCAGCGTGGTAGAAGGTCAAGCGATCTAGAATTTAAAATATAATTAATAAGCCTGTTCTGAGTTCAGCCTCTTAATCAAATGACTTGTCCTACGTAAAATTGCTGTTGAAGAAAGAAAACTTTCTGTTAACTGGGTGAACACCAGAAAAGAAACCTAAAAATAGTTTTAATGTAAATGGTATTTTGTCCTTGTGTATCGAATAGCCAGAAGGAATTCAAATTTTGTAAATTCAGTTCAACAGCTTCATTTTGGTTCGCAGCAGGAAAACAGAACAGGCTTGTCAAATGTCCATACAATTATTCAATGTTCTATGTACAAAAATTCAATAGCTTTAAACATAAGCAAAAATGAAATTATTGCTTAGCTTTATATAGTAGGGTGACTTGTTCATTGAGTATTAAAGTCGCGGCAGTAGAAGAAAAATATCGAGCAATTTATTTGCCCAAATTTATCAGTTTGCTTTCAGAGTTCATAATATACTTAAAGAAACTGTTTGAAAAACTTCTTACTTGCTTGTAAGCGCATTTTCACCAATCATTTTTTCCTTTATTATTCAGCAATTCGTATTGGGCATTTCAATGACCATTCAAATTTGAATTTATTTCTTGAGCAATCCTGATTAGTGAATAAACAGAAGGTAAGGAGTTTCTCAAGAAGTTTCCGAAAATATTTGACAGATTGTTCACACTACTTATGCCCGTTATTCGCTAATCTGTTCGCTCAAACTGATAAAAAGAAGGGATATTAGGAAGGGATTCTCCGCTTTCGCGACAGATTCCAATTACAGTTCGCGCAGCACGAATAAATTCGCGTTCAGAACGGAGCCTGGTCTCCATATTGTGCCGAGTTCAATGGACCTTTTCGGTATATAATGACGTCACAACATTACCACTTTAAATTTCGAACCACCTTAAACGAGATGGATTTCAAGTTTTACTTGCACAAGCTACGTGCAAAGATGTAAAACATCCTTCTTTAACACATGCATGAAAAATTATTTTGACAAATAGTATGGAAATACGACATAACGCGAGAACGAGGCTTGCGGTCTTGGCCCCTGAACCTCGTTCTTATTTCCACATTTATTGGTCAAAATAAAAGTTCTTTTTCATGCATGTGTTGAAGAAGGATGTTTTGCATCTTTGCACGTGGCTCGGGGGAGTAAAACTTGAAATCTATTTAATTTAAGGTGGTTCTAAATTTAAAACGTTGTGATGTTAAAATCTTGTGACGTAATTACCGAAAAGGTTTATTGCCGGCGATTGCCGATAGCCAAAAAAATGTCGTGAGCAAAATTCGCTCATTTAATAATAGGGTAAATAGATCATACCAATTACGAAGTTTCACAACATTATTTTGTTACTATAACCAGAATACTTTGGAAGTACTCGCAATCAGTAAAGATACTGGCAAAGCATTATGGTCTTATGTAGTTAAAAAATACTATGGGAAACGTCATAATGGGTAAGGTCTATATTACCCACAATAGGAATCAACCAGCAGTATGTGGATAACAGGCTTTGAAAACCCATCCCTTGAGCGATAGAACTAATATTTTTACCCAAAGTAATTGTGAATTCTCCTAAATGTCCGATGAATTTCCGTGAATTAATTTATACAATTTTCGTTAAATATGTCGTATGACTCTTCTCTCTTCCATCTCAGCGAGTTCTATACTGCGCCCAAACCAGAAAACATTTAAAATATTTAACTTGGAGTAACTTCATAATGGCACACAACGAGTACCCACGTTCAAGCCATATATCATTTTGCTCAAAATTTAAGACTGGTCACGTGGCAATCGGTGAAGTCACAAAAAATTCCGATTTCCGTTTGTCAGAAGAAGTGCTGGTCTTGCGTCGCATTGACTGAATTTCCTCCAAACTCCCGGCAGATTTAGTCAATTTTCTTGAATTCTGGGCTGCATTCTTTACACGTTTTGAGCTGAAGATTCCAAACCTTTTCGTTAAATTTTGCATCGAACCGTTTGAGGAGGAGAAATCAGAACTAATGCCTGATGTCGATCCCTGGAAATAAGAAAGGATCATAAGAAACCTATATGGAAACACTGAACTTATAAGAAACGTATATGGAAACACTGAACTTATAAAAAACACTCAAAGTTATAGTCAGTGCGAATAAGACCGTTAACACTTTAATTAAAACTGCCTAACTCTCTGGGGCTTGAACCTGCAACCTTCAACAGCCGAGCAGTCACAATGTGAGTTAAAAGCAACGTCAGAAAGTGTTGTTAGTTTCGGCTACGTCATACATCTTTTAAGTGGATGTGCGCATGTGCAATTACTGTACAAAACTGTAGGTAATGCAAGACTTACATCGAAACAAAATCCTCAAAAGTACCCAGATGCCCTGAAGCCAGAATTGTTCACTGATCTGTATAACCAGGTCACAGGTTCGAGTCCCACAACAGCAATTACATGTAGCATCTAAACGCACTCTAGCTCAAACAGACATCAACTATATTGTATGAGTTAGTATATTAGGTGGTCAGTGGTTATATTCATGCAAACTATGTAAGAATTAGTAACCAAGAAGTCGGTTAGAAAAAGATGCGTGTGTCTATGGTGTTATTCCAAGTTGATTTTCAGAAAAGTCGGGAAATTTGACATCCCTACAAATTAGTTTTGTCTTAAAGTCTCCTGGTAAATATTTACTCACGACGAAAAAAAGAGAGTAGGAATCACAAGCGCGCACCAATGAGATGGTGCATAAGAAGTAGTCTACCCGAGAAATATTAATCTAGATTCTTTAACTTATTGTATTTCATGAGGGGCCAGTAGTTTATCAGTTTTCTTTATACGAACTGCAGTCATCTGTTATCTTTTTAAAATAAAGTTTTTAATTCAATTTCATTTAACGAGAACTTCGAGCCTGGCAGGTATTTACGACAAGAGTTCGCTGAATTTGAAAGACGACTTTCTAAATTCGTACACACATGCAAATCCGTTAACACTTGTACCGACGATTCGTTATGTATTTTACTTTATTTTGGAAGATATAAAAATGTACAAGATTATTGATGAAACATTATTTAAAATAAAAATAAAATTATAAATCTCTTAATATTTTTATAATTAAAATTGAATATAGTTTGCAATAAGCATAATTATACACTTGTAGAAATCGTATGTAGACCGGACAGTGCAACAATTTATCCATTATTCTCTATATTTGAACATTCAGTAGCAACCCTGGCATTGCAACAGTGGTTTGACTACCATGAAAAACGTTCATTTCATGAATACTTGCTGCGTGATTCACGTATTTTACATTTACGACATTAAATTCTTAATCATTATATTTTCTATGCATAAAATGTTGATTTTATGAACCAATTTAATGAACATTGGTCACGAGAAGATGATACAGCGAAGTATAAAATGGCACCACCAAATTTGTATGCTGTTATGCAAGCCCGTAAATTGTTCGATTTGAGGATTAAAAGCACAATCACTTTCATCCATATAATAAATAAATCCAAGAGATATACACTTTGGAAGGAATGAATGGTACACATTGATTGTTTAGCAATCATGGAGTTTATAGCAATACGTCATTGTCGCAAAGACGACGTGCATGTGTAATAAGATATCTTTCTAATGCACTACACTATTTTGTTCTGTTTTTTTTCGTCGAAATCGTCAAATTAGACCAGTAGATCTTTCTCATTACGCGGAAAGCCAAACTTCGTGTTACATCAGACTTTCCGCGATTGACGTCATTGTGAGAAAGGTTGATCTATCATGCACTCGTGAGCATTTTGAAGATTGCAAAATATAATAGTGTTTGTACCTCGAACTCAAATGAAATACTCACAAGTGCATGTTTAACTGAAATCGCATTTGAAAATATATTGCCCATACAACTATTTTAAGGGTTTCCGCGCAAACAACCAATTTGCCCCAAACTAGCGGTGCTTGGACAAGGCCATTTAAAACTGGTAGATTTCAACCGGAACGACACCGGATAAATTCCAGTTAAGTAATAACATCATATGTTATAAATAGAGTGCATGTGTTCAAACTCTAAGCAAGAGCTAGTATTGTCTTTCACTCAATATTTTATATCTCCTGATAAAAGGCGTCAACATTATTCGTACTTACACTCCCAGTTAATTCAAACGACGCCATGCTTGTACTTTTTTGAATTTCACCATAAAAAGTACCACCTAAAACAAGGATATTATAATGAGAACTACATTCAATCACCATGACGGTTCACCGATGACAGCCAGTGCACTCAAAAGAACTTCTTTTAAACTCAAAAGAACTCAAACGAAGGACTCAAATCCTCAAAAGTTCTCAAAAGAACTCAAAAGAACTCAAAAGAACTCAAAAGAACTCAAAAGAACTCAAAAGTTCTCAAAAGAACTCAAAAGAACTCAAAAGAACTCAAAAGAACTCAAAAGAACTCAAAAGAACTCAAAAGAACTCAAAAGAACTCAAAAGAACTCAAAAGTTCTCAAAAGAACTCAAAAGAACTCAAAGAACAAAGAACTCAAAAGAACTCAAAAGAACTCAAAAGAACTCAAAAGAACTCAAAAGAACTCAAAAGAACTCAAAAGAACTCAAAAGAACTCAAAAGAACTCAAAGAACTCAAAAGAACTCAAAAGAACTCAAAAGAACTCAAAAGAACTCAAAAGAACTCAAAAGAACTCAAAAGAACTCAAAAGAACTCAAAAGAAGTTCTTTTGAGTTCAATGATGACGGCTCACCACGACGGCTCACCGATGACGGCTCACCACGACGCTTAACGGCTCCCGATGACGGCTCACCGACGACAGCTCACCGTGACGGCGCTCACGATGACGGCTCACCACGACGGCTCACCGATGACGGCTCACCGACGACGGCTCACCGATGACGGCTCACCGATGACGGCTCACCACGACGGCTCACCGATGACGGCTCACCGATGACAGCTCACAACGCAGCCATAAAGGTCTCAATTATATTGCTATAATCATGCACGTTTTTGCATGATGAACTCATTTTATTTACCTGCTTGATTGAGATCTTGAAGTGAACTTGAAAGAGGATTATTTCTTCTTAAAGCCACATGAGAAATAAGGCCGCCAGGTTCATTGACCAAACTTACAGAATCTGGCGCTTTCTTCTTGTTATTAGAACCAGGACGAGGCAAAGTCAACGATATTGTATCTGCATCTGCATCCCGTCTGAAACCCATTAATTGGCGTGTCTTTTCACAATCAGCTAAAGGAAATTTGAAAAACAATCAAAATTGCAGAACTTCAGCTGACCTTACCTGCTTCGGGTATGGAGGCCACCCTTCCCCTGATAGGTTTGTACTGGTAATGGGGTGGGGTGAAAGCCTTGATTACGGAATGACAAAGTTCAGTAACACTTAAAGAGTAACTTATAAAACATGGAAAAATTCGAAAAACCTAAAATCCCACCCGGCGTATGTTCGAAAAGATTTTCCAAATTTCCAAAAAATGCAGCATTCACAAATTGTTACAAGTCAAAACACAGGCAGCCTAACCACAGCATAGGGAGAGAACAGTAGGGCCACTTCATTTTGCAACCCAGTGCTGTATGTTGAAACAGTTACTGGCTGTGGTTAGCCAGCTCGAAGACATATACGTCAAATAAAAATTCTTACTTGAGACTTGAGTGGCCTAGCTAAACCAGATACATCATTCTACCTTATATATATAATTATCCTAATTATTCTAATCATACACCAGAATAATTATACATAAGATAGTATGGCATAGCCGTATTTGCTGGACTGCCTATTAAAAAAGGTCGATACGGATGTGTTATGACCATATAATTATGTATACAGCCTATACTTACTGATTCGCTCATTTTCCATGACACAGGTCTAAATATGATGTAGATAAAATCAGTATTATACCATTAAATAAACATCGTTATGTTAAAGACAGAAATATAGCGCTTTTTAAAACAATACCTCCTCAATACAATCTCGAAGTTCTGTGTAAAATGCTTTTCTTATATCTTCCTTCTTCGCGTGAAATACTACCAGAACCTGCAAAATAAAACGTTACTGGATTTAAAAATGAAACGCGAGATTACTCTGGTTGTTCGCGCATGTCAGAAAGTCGAAATAAATACATTAACTGGGCCATAAACTTACCTCACCACTGATTTTGTTAAGAATTCGCATGCCATATTTATAGTCTAAAATAAATGTGTTTACTTTTATTAGATAAAATGTAAAACACCCGTTTCACGACTTGTTTGGTGTCTTAAATGTATTCAGAAACATGTTTTTTTTTCAAAATTCAAAGTTGAATAACTTTGTAATATCGTGTCGATTTCTACGAATTTTTCAGAGAAAATGCACGCTAAGAATTTCTGTAAACTGAGAAAATTTGGTTGACAGATATGGACCGGAAGTGACCTAATCACATTTTCATTTTTTTAGGCAATTGATCGACGGTCCCCGCATAATGGGAAACTGAAATTCATTAAGATATTGTTGTCAGCAAAATTCTGAAATGCTATTACATTATAACAAATTTACACTGCGATAAATAGTTGTAACTTACAATTATTATTAAAAAGCTGGTACTTGATATCGCAAAGCGGGTATGAATTCTTATAACTGTAATAATGGATTCCTTTCTGGCCAGCCTGTCCTCGCTCTTTTGTTACCTAAGAAAAATGATCGCGATTTGATTTGTGGAGATATATTTATATCTTCGAGATCCCAGACGATTTTTTATGGTTTGTTTGAATGTACTACACTAAATACGATAACGAAAACTCGTCATTCAATACGAACATTAATCAAAATCAATCAAAAGTTAATTTAGCCAATAAAAATGGGATAATTCGGACTGATTATTTGCCCTAATCTTTAGACTTCCTGGGCCGGTTGTTCAAAAGCAGGTTAAATTTAACCCTGGGTTAGTGCTAAACCTGGGTTAAAATCCTTAACCCGAGGTTAGCTAAACCTGGGTTAAAACTGTGTTGTTCAAAGCAGGGTTAGCGGTAGGGTTAGTTAACCCAGGGTTAAAATATTTAACCTAAGATTAAATGTATTTTAACGACTAAATTGAATATAAGAAGGTTTTCGATTGGTCAATAAACGAGCGTCAAAACTTTGCCCGACGAGGATATATTGTCAGTCGAAAGATTATATGCCGTGAGGGCAGGGTCGAAGGGACGTTGTTTTGAACAGCAATTTCCGTGCATGGAATTTTGGAAAGATTCGAAATGAAAGGCCATTTTGTATGATAAACAATGTCGCGATGTGAAACAAAATTAAGCAATGCATATTATAAACAATCTATTTTAAAATTTCAGGCATTCTTTGATTATTCAAAATTCAGGAACAAACGTAGCCTTACCACTTGCTGCTAATCAAAAGAATCGAATTTTGGCATCCAAAACAAATATTTCGATTACGATGTTTCAATTTGTACGGTTGTATTTATTTATCGTGTATTGCATTGAAGCGAAGATAAATAAATCAATACATCAGCTGAAATCGAACGAAGTCAAACTTAAATAATTCTTTGCTGTCGAAATTATTCGTAAAACCTCTCAAAATTGTTTAATTCATGACGAATTATACGTGTTTACGTGTTTCAGCTCCTTATTCATCCATTTTGAATCGAAGTTAACCCACCTAGCTAGCAGGGTTAATTTTTTTGTCAATTTTAACCCAGGATTAACGCTAACCGAGCTTTGTGCAACACAAATCAACCAAGGTTAAAAATTTAACCCTGGGTTAGGCATTTTTAACCCTGGGTTAGCGTTAACCGGCTTTTGAACAACCGGCCCCCTGAGAGCAATCTAGTTGATAAGAAGTATTAAAATACTTACGACCATCATATCATTGAAAAGAAACACAACTCTGTGATGTGGTTTTTCTTTTTTCTTTCCGCCATGTTGAATTTCATAAAGTGTTGTTACTTGACGTAGTTGGCGATGAGGCAGGGCGAGGGTCTATATAACAAAGAGATGGAGATTTTAACAACTGCATTTTATATACTCAACGAGAGAAATTTATTACACACAGGAGTTAAAATATTATGTAAAGACATGAAATCTTTTCATTTATCAAAAAACACGTCTTACCGTCCAAGGAACTTTCCCAAGTATTTGTTTTTCATATTTATAAATGGCATCGAGATTGTCTGGGCCAGTCCTAAACTGTTTCTAGAAGTAAAATGAAATTTCCATTTCAGTTAATATCTATTAATATCTACTACTTGGAGAGGTTAGTGCTCCTGGCAGCCACCAATTAACCATCACCTCAATAATCATTGGTATTTTGTAATTCTTAATAATATGCCAACTAACCTTTTCCACTCTATCGAAAATTGCAGACAACAATTCAGACGGAATATCCTCACCATCATTTGTGCCTATAGACAAAAATATTTACCAAAGTTGCAATTATATATAACAACCCAACAATTAATTAGCGTCGGCTGTCTGTTCCTACCCATGCATGCAATTGCTCTAATGGTAAGTTGTTATTCTGGATTTTTGAAAGCAACATCTTTCAGCCCAGGTGATTTCAGCTACAGGCTCAGAATTTTTATCAAAAGGAGACAGAACGAAATCCGAACATCTAAGGCTAAGCCACGGAAAGAAGGTCTTACTCGTGGTTGCTCTAGCAGGCTGTTTTGTTGAAATTCGCCGCCTTCCTATCTATACATCAAAACTTCGTACAAACAAAGTCTATATTGTTGCAGTTACAAAGTGTGCTTTTATAGCCTTGCCTGACTTGGACCCAGTCGAATGGTGTTTCGACGATTCAGGGGGGGGATTACTTATACGAATCCAGTAGTTATGCATGCTTCCTGAATATACGGACAGCATATTGACAAATTTACAAACTTGCATGCCTGCATGCAGGCATGTTGCAGACACATTTTGCCGGTTTTAGTGATGCAGAATTTATATAGAACAAGAACTTTGTCGACACTCTGTTACGTTCTGTACCTCTTAAATTCCGAATGAACTGTTCCTTGGACATTTTTCGTTTAACATTAGGGCTGTGAAGATCAGTGTTCAACATTATGATAGCAAATGCCAACACGAGGATTGTGTCAGGAGTGTCTGAAATTTTTCCTGGATTTGCTTCCACGTATACGTTTGCGAATTCCTGAAAAAATATAAGATTAGATCATCGGTTAATGGAAAGTCAAACCACAGAGAAGTATAATTACACGACATTTTCTAATTCATTACTAATTTATAACTACAAATATAGAATATACATACTATTGATACCAATCTTAAAAATTTATTAACAATTAAAAACCACATCATGCCGTGATGACGACAAGTGTAGAATAAAAAAAATTGAAATTAAAGATTTTAATCAAGGTAAGAGAGGCGTTTTAAAGTGCAAATGTTTGACTGAAAAGCAGAGTTTAGTGTTCAGACACGCAAAGTGTGAAACTCTTCACCTGACCTCCTACATTCCGTCCTACATTTCACAACTGTTCTACCGCTTCCTTTCGGCTTTCACATGGTGTGTTGTATTGTAAACTGTTATGGTTTGGAATTATCTATATAGTTGCATCATACTGTGAGGCTGGAGAAACCTGTGGTGCAGACACTTAAGATTTCAAAGGCACGACAAGGTGGAGCGGTTGAAACCCAATACCGCTTTAAAACGACAATATAGTTAATGCTCACCTCGACTATTCTTTCAATCTTTTGTGCTTCTCCCTAAAAGCGAATAATGACAAGCCTCAACATATTGGTCTGAAATAGCCACTTCACGAAGTCATTGTGAGTTCATATAATATACACGAGGAAAGCTCAGAGCAACCGCATTTTCATTTGCATGGATTGTCTGACGTCTGCAGCAAGAGTCACTATCTCAATGGTTTGATCTGATAAATGCTGCATTGAATTATTCCCAAGAATCTTGGAAGTTAGTCTTAAAACGAGAAGTTAAAATATTTGCATATTTAACCTGATTTAACGTTGTAAAAAACTCACCGGCATACGAAAAAATGTTTGAAAATGTCTCAATGCTTCATCAACTTCTTTCCCTATCATTGGAATAGTTCGAACGAATAATCTAAAAAGAAAATAATTCTCACTGTGTACTAATTTATACGTTTTGTTGTAGCCAGTTAATTTGGTGATATCGGCACTTCGTCTCATCCATCCACTAAAGAGTATTAAATGTTCACTGCGGGTACATATTATTCACTGCAGATACATAATGTTCACTGCAGATACATATTGTTCACTGCAGTACACTGCTCACATTATACTTACTGTAAAACCTCCATACTGAGTGGATTACGTAGGTTTCCTAGATATTCTCCAATTTTCTGTTTATTTATACCAGGTTCTTCTCTCAAGAATTTACATACGCCTTCAGCATCATCTTCATCAATTATTTGAGTATCCATGAGGTAGTTGATACCTTTCTTTGGCTTCCTGTACAAGAGTTGGAAATGATTGGGAAATAGGAATAAAGCAAAAAATTATATAAAAATGGCGACGTGCTCTTAGATCTAACCTGTTAAAATGATTAATTCCAATACGGACATCCCTCTCTTTATCTTCATAAAAAGTTTGCATGATACTTGAGGAAGGTGAAAGGCTGTTTCCACTGAGGCTGATTGTGTCATCTTCATGTAATAAATGGTCTAATGCTGGCCAACTGTGTGAATGACTGTCCTCCATATCAAAACTGTCACAACTACCTCCAAGTTTATCTAAAAGGTAAGATTACAAATTTAAAATTTCACAAAATATTCTGGGTAAGAGCTCATCACCTGATCTGATAATATATAATATAACCTTAATTAGCAACCTTGTTGGCCAACTAGCCTCTATTTCCTACACTGCTCTACAAGGAACCTGGTAAATAATTTTGTGGACCATGTACCAATTAAAATTAAATAGCACCTAATTACTGGTAACGTTTAGCTGCTATTAGCAGGGTTTTTACAAGAGACTGAACCTGGACAACATGACCTGTGTCAAAAAGCCTTCATAATTTTCCTAGCTATGCAAGAGCAAGCCTTCATGATTTGCCAAGTGAAGCAAAAGCCTGTAGAGTGAAGTCTACAGTAAATATTTTAATATGATTTGGCAACATACTTTATATATGCAAACTACAACATATTTAACAAAATTTTTCACATTGCTTTTTTCTTTGTTGAACATGTATACCTTGGTCCTTCACAGAAAGATTATCAGATGTTAATACTCCATCCTGTGTTGGTCTTTCATTCATCATTTCAGCTTGTTCAGCTTCTGCAATATCTACTGGTGCATCTTCAACCTTTGCTTCTTGTGTTTTATCTATTTGCTTTGTGTCATTAACATCATTTGTCCCTTTCTTCCTGGTTTTTCCATCAACTTCATCTGGCACTGTCTTTTCAGATGCCTCTTGAAGGATAGGAACAGATTCGGAAACCACACATGTTTCCTGAACTATGCTCAGTTTTGATCTAAAGCTATCACTCCGGTTTGCAAGAGAGATGCTATCCTTTCTTGGAGATAAAATTTGTTGAAAAACCTCATCAATAATCATTTTTTGTCCAATACTATCATTCAAGAGATTTTTGTTTATTTCTATACTTGATATATCCTCACTCACACGTCGAACTGAAAAATCCGCTGGCCCTGTATTGACATGTCCAAAGTTCGAATCAATGTTTATATCAGCTTGAATTGGCCTGAATTCATCTTTTAGGGTATTTTGATGGGGCCGGATTTCTGCTTCTGGTGATTTCAATGTCAGGTCACTCCGGTCTAAATCAAAATTAAGATGCATTGGTTGAGCAGTAGGACTCAAACTGTCTGAACTGGATGGGGTCCGTGTAGAATTTCTCTTGCTTAGCCGCCCTTTCAATGATATCCGTCGTGCTTCACTTTGTGTTCTCAATCTACAATAGGCCCTTTGCATTGACCATTTTCTATAATGTTGCTGGATGATCTTTGCTGCATTGTTGGCTTTCTCCTTGCCTCCATAATTCTTTTCCAGAATTTGAACATGCTTCTCTGAAATATCTGGTGAAAGCTCGTAGTATGATTTTCGCTTTTTCGTCCGGCTTTCACCTCTGCCTAGTGTAGCCTTCTTCGGAGATGTGGAGTTCGGTGTGCTTGATATTGTAATAGCTATTTGACTCTTAGCACTAAATGCTTTGCCATCACAATCTGGGCTTGATAGTGCTGTGGTGTACAGTTCAGAGCCAGTTGTATTCGGTGAGCAGACTGTTAAAGTACTGGAAATATAAATAAATAAATGTATAATACATACAATATATAGATATATAAAAATATAAACACACAGCCACATCATGTCTTCAAATGAACCCAGCATACTGGAGAAAAGACAGTAAAAATGTTCAAATTGATCTTCAGATAACATGTTTTTAACAAAATAATATATCAGAATATTGTGTTTGGAATAGAATATTTAGAATATTTTTTGCTTCAATGACTTAATTTGGCCTAGCAAAATCCATAAGACACCTAAAACTGAATAATTTAGGCAAGATTATGCAGATGTTAGCCAATATGCAAACATAAGTCTATTATGACATCAAACCACAAATCAAGTACCTATGACCAAAAATCCACAAGCATGCTACCAATTTAACTTACAGTTAGCATTAAACAAAATAAATTAAATCTAACAAGTTGATCACAAAGAAATAAATTCTATAACAGAAGATATTGACAAGGAACTAAGTTAAATGCATATTTGTTCGTGGCAAAACTCCTCAAAAGAAGAATCTAACATTATATTGCTATACTGGCCTTTTATATTTAAAATTTGTAATAAATTAACTCTGACATTCAGTCTACATGTACATGTGTGTACATGTGTGTACATGTGTGCACTAGCTGTGAGTTGCCAAACAAAGCAAACATGTAGAGGAATATTTTATGGGAAGTTTTTAATCGTCAAATTAAACTCATAAAAAGATGAGTGCACTTTGGAATGGCTAAGCAAGGCACTACTGGGACAAAAGGTATGTATTTCTGGAATGATAACTATGCACCATACTGTGAATACAAATTTGAATGGTCTAAAAATAGTGCAAATATTAATAACACTAATTATGTGTATTGAAAAAAGAAAAACAATGCAATGCAAATAGTCTAAGGTTGGAAGGGGGGTAATTGTAATTTCATAATAGGTTTCTCTTCTCTGCAAACCTGATCAAGTTATTTCTTATTCAGTTTTGTCCTAAAAGCAGGTGGTCTATTAAAGTAGCACTAGCCATTTTCTGTAACCCCATTGTTATTAAATTACAAGGTATGAAGCATTAGTGTTGAAAGAGATTACAAAACTATGCTATAAAAAATACTAATAAAGTTGGTTAGTGAAATTCTCATCAAATTGTCTGGTGATAAAAAGATATCTGCATGCTATTGTAACTTTTCATCATACCCTTTCCTTAGATTATTGAAACTACCAGCTCATGAATACACGAACAGCCCCCTACTCAACAAATGTGAAGTAAAGCATTTATTTGCACATTATACAAGTCAATCCCTTAAATTTTTCTTGTACCCAAATTGCTTCAAAAAAAGTTCCTCAAATGCCAGAAGTCCTATTTTTGAGTAATTTGTATAACAACTGCTTAAAAATAGGCAAAATGTTTCTTGATGTTTCAATCCAAGGGCATTAGTCAGGAGAGTTAGTGTCACTATAAACCAGATTTGATACAAAGTTGTTTGAAGATGCTGCCACACTTTTCCCTGTTTATCTTAAAAATATTTGCATGGTATGTCTTAACCCCTTCCTTATACCCTTGTATATTCATGGGAATCTGGTGTTTACTTTAAAAAAAATTACAACTAAAAGCTAAAGCTAAGACTCTATGCCAAACATAATTCTAAATATATTATATATATATAATTCTTAATTAATATTTCAAACAACCAGATTCATAGCTATGATGAAACACTATTTATTAAATCACACTTCTCTTTACCTGAATTTCAGATGTAAAGGGTTAACATAGATTAAACTTAGAGAAATAAAAGACTATGAACTATATGATACAATATCATTTAGGGCAGGGAGGAAGTAACATAAGGGCTATTTATATAATGAAAGTGTGCTGTTTATATCAATAATAAACATCAACTATACTTACTTTCACATTTTGTTTGTGATTGGTATTTTTATTATCTGACTAAACAATACCATGACAGTTACTAACAGTCTATCACATGAAAGCCATACTAAACTCATTTGATTTTATATAGCCACTAAAATTTTACGGTCTGTTAGTCTCTTTGTGATGAACAAAAGTACACTGTTATTTTGTTAAATATACATGTTACAAAACATACAATACAAATACATTGCATATTGTGTTTGTGTGAGTATCTTCAAACATATTTTTGAAGTGGTTTGCTTTCCAAAGTATATCTGCCCTTTTTTAAATTTGGTGACAACACTAAATATCTACCAGGTTGGGTCATTATTAATTAATTGTGTCCATGCTACTTTTACAGAAAAAAGTAGGATGTGTCTTATTATATAAACTCCTTCCCAAGGACAGCCTAACTCCTGGTGGGGTGATATATTATAAACCAATACTTTTACCATGGTGTACATACTCTTAATAAATAACCTGAGTATTAAAATATAGACCTGTCATTGACCATTAATAATTTGGCGTTAACTAATAAACCATGACTTTATATCCGTTTGAGGCAGCCTACTTCAAATCACCAACTTTTCAACAGACTTTACTGTCGAAAAAATACCCCAGGAATTATTTGGCTATGGCCCACCGATATTGAGCTATATCGCTAGAAAGTTACAAGCCCGATGCATTCACCGGTGGAAATTAAATTTTGCTTGGTTTATGTTTATATAAATGGGCACCAAACATTTCATTTATATGTCTGATCGATGTTTAAAAAGATTAAAGACCCACTAAATGTTTGTCCTTAAGCTTTTCGTGACTCATTAAAAGCAATAAATCGACCCACATCTCTTACTATCCAGTATTAAATATTAAAAGAACAGTACACTTTCTAAGAGTCCATCAAATATTACCTTGGCCGTAGAGTCCCATTGTCGGTTTGACCATTTTCGGCGACCTTATGTTCGCTATCCGTCTGATATTTCGCCAACAAACCTTTCAAGCCTTCGTTTTCAATTTCCAATTCCTGAACAAGCCCAGTAAGCCGTGAATTTTCCTCACGAAATGTTTTCAGCTCGGTATGCTTCTGTCGAAGTGATTCATTCTGCGCCTTTAGCACTTCTTTCAATTGTTCGACAAGAGAAACTTGATTCATTTTTGTTTATTAGTGAATTTACATTGTAATTGAAGGTAGAATAACTTCATTTAAACGACGTTGTATTCGTGCAATAAGAGATTGCCTCATTTATGTTTATCTTGCTAAAAACCGAGCGGAAACCATAGCACTTCCTCCAGCAGTAGGCAGAATTTCAAAACAGCCATGTTCCAGTCGATATTTGAGACCAAACTTGGCAAAGCACGTGGTGTTATTGGACCAATCAATGTGGTCAAATAACAACTTCCGCCTCTGCTGTAATTGTTACAAATTTCTGAAAAAATTACGTAAATTATTAATAAATTTTGATTCAAAGGTAATTCAGAAACTCTACATAATTTATCTCATCTAATCGAAGATGGAATATGCGAAATTAAAATAACTTTTATTTTCACAACACATGCACTAATGAATCCGTTCGTTATTCACTTTTGTCAAATTGCCTCGTTTTCGTGCGGATATAAGGTCTGTGAAATCTAAACAGTTAAGTCTAAAAAGTGTAACGAATTGCGCATGCAATTATAAGTCAAATCGCAGTTGGCTTTTGCCAACGAAAAGGCCGGAATGATTTAATATTCTTTGCTATATATTCTATTACCAATGGCCTACAAATGTTACCGTGTAAAAAACCTCTTTTTCTGCCATCACGATCTGATACAGTATAACAGTTTGCTTCGGACCATTCATGCTGAATTGATCACGAAGTAAAATATGTGGGGTGTGGTTCCACTAGCCCGTTTCCACTAAAAACGGATCATATCCGACCCCGTGAACTTGGGAAAAGAAAAGTAGTTCACCTTATAATATAAACTGTCATTGAGTATTCAAAATTAGCATGTTAATACTCAACCCTCAAGTGAAGTACGAGAACACCGGCCAACCGAAAGAAGAGCTTTTTTCTGATTTTTCACTGATCAGTGCATAGATACCTTCACGGTCAGAAACATTCACCGGTCACTGGTTTACCAAGTGCTACGACTGACGACACGTAGTGCTACGACAGAAGGAAAGTCGCCCTCGAGTGATTGGAATAGCCATAGTTCAGGAAGTCAAGTGATTGAAAGCAAACAATAAGAATTTAGCATGATACAAGATTGACAAAGTTGTTCACATTGAAAAGGGGTGGCTGTACCCCAAAGGAGTGGGCCAGACTTCGGGAATATGAGGAAACGATACCTCTTTATCTAGTAGCAGCTTAGTAACTTTTAATACATCATACAAATAACAAATGAGCCGAATTTCTTAATTTAAATTGTAATGATTTGTTGATTCGATTGCCCTCGATTGTGTATTTAGCAGGTGTGACGCACATTAGGACACAGGAAGGGGGTCTTCCTTTCGTGTAATGCGCAGATAAAAACCGGCTTACAATAGATATTGTCACATTTTCTTTAATCACACAATAAACCAGGCACACCCGCCAATCACCAGAAAGGATGAAAGACCAAAAGTAAAGGTGGTAAGGAACATACAAAAATAAACATGTTGTGGGTGCTGTCCCACAACATCCGAATGGTTTAAACAAATATATTTCACCACTTTGGGAGCGAAAAGATTTTATTGCTTATTTACATTACAAGGCATTCCGTAGACCACTAAGCGCCCTGGATAGGGCGAAAAGCCAATAACACAATATATCTACATATAATGAACAATGCTAAAAATACAGAAAAAAAGCAAAACAAGATCATTTTGTGAAGTCCGCGTATCAAAAACAAAAAATGATTTACTACAGACTGTACTGTAGTAACTTTAAATTAAACACCGTATTTTCCTTGTAAACGAAAACGTAAAAGGTATTTATATAAATATTTCAAAGAATATTCCGCATGTGATTGAAAACTGATCTGATGATCATTGCATTATCGCATTATCCCTTAATTTTAAGACATTTTTGACGGAATTTAACATGAAAAGCCCGCGTGAGTTGTTGTAAGATATTCACAGTGATTACTTCCGCATTATTTCCTTAATGCGTGCTTGAATCAGTGTCGTGCTTGGATACAATACAAGACAAGAATAGATCTCCTGAAGAACAATATACCACCAAGGGTGTCGTCAAGTTATTTGTTTACTTTAGCAGGGCGTGAATACATCATGGGTTAGATGTAAATTTTAAAAGCGTCACAAGAGATTCCGTAACAATGTCTCGAGGTATTAAAACTTGATGGAAAGTACAATATAGCTATAATCTATGTATAGAATTAAATGACAGTAAAGCTGAGACTTGGCGATCACGCAAATTTCGATTTTAATTATCATTCCTCTTATCAGGAGCAGGGCGTTTCTGTTTGTGCTTCCATGTTTTCAAATATCATTCTCCCTAATAGAACAACTGTCAATGTCCAAGTGACATCCATTAACTGCAATGCCATAAGTTGCATGTATCGGTGAATAACTGGACGCACTCCAGCTGCACATGACCAAGCGTGCAGTTGCCAACTGGTCACGTGGTTTACTACTTCAATCACTGTCATCGCTGTCTTCCTCATTTGATCTCAGCTTCGTCACCATATCTGGAGTGTTCTCTGATAAAATTCCATTTCTAAAAATTATACAATTATACTGGAATAAGCAATATATACTTGGTTAAGCCCAGTGAATCCAAGATAGCGGCAATTCTAAAGGACGTATGTTTGCAGTTTTATGACACGCGTTGCTATACCACGCGAACGAGAACAATAACGAGGAATTGGTGCGTTGGCCGTTGGACGTGATTTCCGCCGCTATCTCGAATTCCCTTTCGGCACATCAGAACTTATTGGGTGGAGAAGCTCGCCCACCCAAAAATGGTTTATCTAGTAAGTAAAGTCTTGCATGGAATTTTCATTTAAGGGTTCTGCTAAGGAGAGTAGGGTAGACTTTTTTGTATATTGTAATCAATCTCTATACTTCTTGATTATTGTCAGTACAACAGCATTCAGCTAGGTCAGTGTTTTCATATTTCCACCATTTAGTCATGAGTTTTGTTTTCGAAGCATTCAAGGTGAAATTGAATATTTTCACCCAAACGGATGTAGTCTGCAAATTCGCGGTGGCGGAGATACCTACGTATGTCTATGATACTAAAAACAATGCAGCGTTTTTCAGTATACGAACAATTCCAAGTATACAACAGCCCCGAAAGACTACTTGAAAATTGCCTTTCCTATGTTTGTGGTAGTTTTTTCCAGTACTATTGATATAACACATGATCTTTCACGCATTATTATTTTCCGTGTTCTCAAGATCTCATGTGACGGTCACGATATATAGGAACGAGCCAGTGAATAACTGGGAAAGATGACTGGGAATGAGCTTGAATAGAGCGTTTATTAAAATTTTCAATATAAAGATGAATATTATAATTGCCAGATGGAAAAAATGTGCAAAGTGTAACTATTTCAATAAGCTGGACATTTAAAAAATATTTACATGCACTAATAATTTCAAGCATGAACTTGGATCAAGTACAAAATCAATATTACAAAACGAAATTAATTTATTAAATTGATAAATTTCCTCAGATAATATAAGCCTTAGTTGAAGCCATAATATTTAAGATATTTATCGCGATGTGCGTCTCGAATTGACTCATATAAAAGGGAAAAAGAAACAGAAAACAACGATGTCAGTTTGCCCATGCATGCATGAGGTGAACTCAACTGACAAAAATGGACATATTCTTATAGTGGTAGCGTTTGCAGACATAGCTCCATCCTCGGATGATTAGAGGAAGATAGGAGACGTTTATTTGTAACGTTTATTATCACATTACAGCAACCGGTGTAAGGTTTAGATGAGACAGTGACAACTAGCTATACGCAATCGCTGGACATGACAAATAGTTCTGTTCGTTAATCACCGGCAGATTATATCCCATTAAAGCCCTCCTCTTTGCTGATGGTATGTTTAGGATTTCCTTTCTTGGCAGAGTAAGTAACATTGTATTACCATTGTATACATCAGGGGACCACATGCTACAACTCGATACACTTGTGGCTTTACTTCCAGGTGTTCTGCGATTTTTTCTACGACTTTGTACTCGTCTTTCCGGAGGGAATAAGCTGAGGCTATCATTTTCATTGGAACCATTATTGTCCACCTTTTTATTGGGAGTCTTTCTTCTGTATTTCTGCTCAACGACGTGCACCTGGCAAGTTGCCACATCAGAAGAGAAGTTGTTGACCAAAGTTACTTCGTCGATATCATTTTTTATCTTCTGTTCGGTCGGTTTCCTATCAACTTTTCTTTCGGATAGTTTTCTGAGCTTCAGCGACCTGAAAAAAATCAGATATTTGCCGAATCTATAGGAATTAATTGAAATGACTATACTGCATAAAAGCTTATATAGAAAGTCCTAAAACTTTGCTATGGACATAATTATAGTTAAATTGAGAGGAATGAAATAAAAATACTATCTTAAAAGGTAGTTAGCAGGCTACTATAGGAACTTTGTATGGGAACAAGCCAGTTTTGGTATGCAGTTTTAGAGCAAAGCTTTTCTCAGAAATCTCTCAATTCATACAATAGAATAAAAGGATCTATATATACCTGATATAAATTGGACAACGAATGAGACTCATTAATTTCGTATTTGTCGCCAGCTTTTCTTCATTATGATTTACTTTCTTTCGAGCACATTGCCCCCTCTCGTTAACAACAGAATTTCTTCTCGATTCATGTTTCAATAAAAAACATTTTCGTCTCTTGCCACTCGAATGAACACGTCTTCCCAATACACCATAATGACCTGTTGTTTCCTTCATTAATTTCTTAATATCCGAGCTAAGCTGTAATGCTTTTTTTGAAGTATCGTCAACTTCATCGAATTGCTCAACCATTTTTTGCCTCGTCAATGCCAGACGTTCTTCGGGACTATGTTTATAAATGCTTGAATTTTTCCCGCCAATACAGTTGTTGTAATATTTTTCCAACTGTTTTTTCCTCATTGTGGAAATCTTGGCAAACGGGAGTGTGGCCGAGGACGTAGGATAACCAGGTAATTTATAATAGATTATCATATCAAACTGAGTGAACTGACATCTTTTTTACTAGGGACTCGTACAGAAGATAATTATCCCTCCATATGTTTTATTATGACATCACAGTATCTGAGAACAAATTTTTTGCGCGCGCCGCCGCGTTGATGTGCGCGCGACCGCGTTCATGTGTGCGCGACTGCGTTCATGTGTGCGCGACCGCGTTCATGTTTGCGCGACCGCGTTCATGTTTGCGCGACCGCGTTCATGTGTGCGCGACAGCGTTTATATGTGCGCGACCGCGTTCATGAACCGACCGCACTCGGCTTTAGCACGGTACACGCTACATGATGTTTCACACGACAAGGGCGCTTATATGGAGTGTAAGCGCCCTGCACACAACAAACAAGACGAACTCTCTCTACAACTTTAAAAAAGTAAAAAGTCGAAAACTTACTCTATAAGGAAACTTTCAACGTCTGTAGCATAAAAATCGTCGCCGAAAACGGCATTCATTTTCACGTAGTTCCCAATCAATTGTTTGTTTTGATACACAAGAAGAGCTGGTAGTCCATTTTGTACCTGGAGAAAATGAAGGATAAGGAAAGAATCCTCAAAACAAATATTTGTATCTTAGTCACAATATATTATTCCCAACAGTACGAAGTTTGGGTTCAGGACAATAAAAACCCTATTTAGTGTACTAATAAGTAACTCAGCAACTCGAAGTAGTAGAAAGATCATCTTTCTATCAAGATGTCTATCCAACCATTGTTTCTTATAAACGTGCTACAAGGCTATCATTTTTGTCGGGCTGGGCCCCAAATCAAAGAGGCTCTCTTTCACTTTGATACCCCCCAGGTACGCTACTGGGGAAGACTCATGTTTTGTGATAACGTAGAATGTTGTCGGGGACTAAATGAAACATTCCTTATTTTGCTTATTGACCACTGGAACCTGGTTTTTTCAGAAGCAAATTCATTGAACTCAAATGAAGAAATAAAATATTCATCTTGGTAGCACTTCGGCTTAATGGTTGAAAACAAGGATGCCACCTTACTGCAGGGTTTATACTTACAAAATATTTACTAATTCCTGTTTCTGTGGCAGGTACTTGGCAAAATTTTACCTGAAAGAAATTTAGGAATGACAAAAATATTAATCTTCCTGAATATCCAGAAAACAATGGTTGAAAATTTTTTAAAATAATAAGTACGCTTACCCTTGGATACTGTTGGGAAAGAACCTTTAAACACCCTGTCATTGCTGAACAGCCTTCAACACCCTGTTTGCAAAAAGGTTGAGAAATTTAAAAAATTATTTATGGATTTAACTAGATACAATTTTTGTAAAAAATCTAAGGCAAAAATAATGCTCCAAACAGATGTGGTGAGTTGCAATATTATGGTATGCGATGATAGTTCGGCCATAATTATGCACAATATTTTAGTACTTCTGTATACAATTTGGACAGGAAACTATGAAAATATGATTCTGATCTTCATTCCCATCATAAATCATAAAACAAAAATTGTTATTTTTAACTGATAGAATTTCCCAATCAATAATTTACCCTATCTATGATTTTCCCTATCTATAATTATAGACAGGCATGGGTTTAAAAGGGAATATTAACAGAATAACTTGTGAAAATTTATACTTACTGGCTGGTAAAGATGCATCACAATAACAATATTTGGGTTTTCTTTATCAATGCAATCTAGAAACTCCTTGCCTGGAATATCCTTTAGGGAACCAAATTGTGGTCTAAATAGTAAAATAAAGATAATGAACTGGCTCCTATTTTTCCAACACCTTTGTGATCATAGTACAGATATAGTTACCTGATTGATGAAACATATTCCTCAGCCCTTTTTCTCATTTCTTGCAGTCTTTTCATGTGGTACATTTTTACAAATTCATCTTCTTCATCAAACTCAAATTCTTTCTTAGCATTCTTTTCCTTTTCTTCATCTAGCTGGAGGTTAGGAGACCAAGGTTGAATTTGGTGTAGTTGTACTTGCATTTACAAGGCAGCAATATAGAAATTATTCATTTTCTGTTTTAAATTTGTTGTATGTAAATCTGAAATTGACATGTTTTGAAAACAGATAGTCTTAAAAAGATCTAAAATCCAAACTTCCCATGAAAACAAATCAATCTCTTTATTGCTGCTATTGGTATACCATATTTACTTGTTTGCTCAAGCACCACAGCACTCTTTAGTTTTTTAGAACTTCAGATGCGGCGATTAAGCGAGGGCGGCGCTCAATCAGGGGCGGAGCTCTTTAAAAATATTATTTGTGAATTGTAACAAGAACTTTTAACAACATTTTAACAGCGAGGATTTGGACATTTTACAGAAAACAACCTCACACACATCACTGGAATCTCATGGAACCTTCATGACTGACCTGTGCCTTATGAAAATTCTAAAGACCAATTTAACAATAGCATCTTCAACAATTCTGACAGCGCATCGATTAAGCGCCAAATTTGAAATTCGAAAATAATTAGTGCAGCGCTCATTCGGGGGCAGCGCTCTTTAAGAAAAATTGATCGCAAATGCGGCGCTTATTCGGGGGTGGCACTCAATCAAGTGAATACTGTAATTACAATTTCAATCAACCAAGAGCTGCCACCTTTACTTCAGTAATAATAAATGCACAAAACATAAAAAAACAGCAATGAAAAAATAACTTAATCATTTGAGTTATGATATTTCCATGCAAAAGGTTGCTGTACCATATAAATAGTAAACTTACACTACTTTGACAAGTAATGGAAAATTTTTTTGCCAAAGCTTCCAACTCTGCCTTCTTTTCTTCACGTTGCTCTGCTACAAGTTGTCGATATCTTCTATAATCCTCAATCACACCTTTTGGCCCTGTCTAAAAGATTTTAAGGATTAAAGAAATTGCTGGGGAGTTTCCTGAAAGGAAATTACTACCAAATTATAAATATTTTAAGGTATTTAAAAGTTAAAAGTCTTCACTGAGGCTCTGGTTATCGAACCAACTAAATAAATTATTTTGGTTTTTTTTTGAAAAAACATGCCCTAATATATCTATTACAGTCAGTGCCCCACCCTTGGCCAGCAGCTGGCCTGTACCTCCAAACAAACCACAAAAATTATTGGAAAACAAAAATCTCAAGCAAGACGATGGCCTTCTTCATATGTTTTGTAGCATATTCGAAAGCTATTGACAGTAGCAATCAATTTAAAACACTGTATTTATGAATTAGTCAATTAGAACACATAAGCTATGGCCTATGAGCATAGCCATGGAACAGAGCTCTATCATTTTTAGAAAAATCAAATGTCAACATCATTATTCATGGACGTTTTATTTAACCTGATAAACAATCGAAACCATACAAATTTTAGAGTAAAGAAAATAAAAACGCCTTTTTATTTCATAAATAAAATATTTCTATATATATTATGTACCATTGGTCCATCAACGCGAAGGTCAAGTTGTGGGGCTTCTTCGGCATTTTGGCTCCCTACTTCACCTCCACTCTCTCGCCCGCTATCTTCATCATCTTCTCCTTCACTTTCTGAGCTAGAAACATAATTTTGAGCTTTATAACCCAGCAACTTGTCTTCTAAATCCATTGAAATCTGTTCCTTGACAGCTTGAGCATTTATTTTCCTTTCTATATATTAGTTCTTGTGATTTGTGAAAGGAAAAGAGCCCACTGTCATCAATACTTTGCAGTACTTCATGTACTGGCAACTTTCGCTGTTTGCACTATGATGTAAGTATTTATTACAATATTATTGCAAAGCTTTCGGTCCGTTAACCCGGGCCTTCATCAGTGCAATCTTTGCAGTAATAAATAGTTACGAATACGAAAGCTTTGCAGTAATAAATACTTACGTGGTGTACCTTCAAGCTAATTTACTTATTTGATGTCACCATGCAAACGTACAAGAAAATTATAAATTCCCAAGGGTTGCGGAACCAAGAAGGAACTTCTTCACTTCGCACTTCGTCCCATATATAAGCTAAGGTTTGTCATGGGCAAAAATGTGGGCTTCAGCCCCCCACCATTTGTGCTGTGCTTGGGGGCCCTGCTCCCCCCGAGCCGGGTTTACCCGAACTTCCCTAGAAAGTTAGAAACTTATATCCGTAAACTAAATAAGGTGCTCCTAAATAGGCTTAGAGCTGGCGAGTTAGTGTTCGATAGCACAAGGATCAGCCAATCGGGGAAGACGTCCGCAACTTGGTCAGCTCAGCCCAGGGTATAAATACGTTCCAACAAAAGGGAAAACCGTAGTAACGAAGGGAACGTTTTCTCGTGGAAATGTACGACCATTCACGAATTTCACATGCAGCCTGGTTAATACTGTGTGCATTAGCACAGCTTAATATGTATTTCGCGATTTGCTTTAGTGTATAAAAAACGATAGCCTGAAAACGAGGCGGGCAGGTACTCTGTTGTTAGCAATTTTCTTTTCCACAGAGTAAATTCGGAAAGTGACCTTTATATGCTTAATTTAGTTACTAATACACTCGATACGTTGTAAATGAGCCGTTCTTTTCACGCTTTATTCTGAGTCGCGAATCTCTGGAGCTAGGACTAGGTACTAACGCAGGCAGGAATACTATTTCCATTTTCCATGCACTTTTATTACGCTCTCCCATAGAACGGTTTATACCTCTACGGTCTCCCATTGAACCGCTTATACCTCTACAGCCTTCCACAGAACGGTTTTATACCGCGTATATTTAGTGATCCTCTCCCCTAGGCAGGGTACAAATTACGACGAATTAGGACAATGTGTTTAGACGGGGCAACTTTCAGCCGCAACATGCAACACAATTTGCGATGTGAAGTGATTCAAGTCTATTCAAAGATACGTTTGGGCGAAGTTGCGTGAATGAAAATGCTTAATTTTGCCAATGTTAAGTGTGTTTCATGACGTGTATTCTAAAGATAGCAATGATGCAAGTGCAGCCGTCTCATTTGATGGCATCTTCTCTATATATCGCCACCTGCTGTATGTAATTTAAATAAAGAGGTCCGTCTCGACTAAACAATTATCTGGCATGTGGCTTACCGCGCATGTGACCGTGAACAATGTGATGTGACACATGTCCATCATTTGAAATGTAATTAATTTTCACCAGGTGCTTTCTACTAATACCACCAATTAGCAGAGTAAAATCATAATCTGTTTATCTTAATAGGTCGAGGAGACGCAGCAATGCTCTGTATGACAGTTCTAGATATGGAGATAAAATCTGAATTGCCGACCGTAGACTGAATTGGATGTAATCTTTTCATGCAACTGAAACAATATGTTACGCTTCTGTGCTTAGTAGGAACCAACTTCAGTGATAAATGTTACACCCAAAACATTCTCCCCCCGCTCCGTACGAGGTTGCTCCTTACCAGGGACATGTTGCAGTGCTCGGAAGCTTTCGTCCAATTGGATAATGCTTTTCTATATGCTTTCTAAAGAACGAAGCTCTGCTATTGGTTGAAACAGCCAAGAAAAATCATTCTTGCAAGGAGCTGCGACCCTACTCCCTTACCAGAAGCTTAATTGGAGGGGGGGTGGTTATTAATATATTCGTCTTATGACTGACTAATTTTTTTTTAGCTATTATTTCTACGGTTGTACGAACATGAATGTATATGAATATACACCCCCCCCCCCCCAATTAAGCTTCAAGCGACAGCCCTGACGGTACTAACGAGCATCCTATAACTTGACCCTGCAGCTCTTCTTAATTCTTTGTTTAAATTGAAAGCTTAGCCATCATAATGTCGTTTTTATCAGTATTTTTTTCGGGGAGGAGGAGGCCTTTCCAGATCAGTATTTACTACAAGCTACTATTGATTAGAAGGAATTTTGACAACGAATGATTTCTTAACCAAATTTCCTGTTGGGCTGCTTTAATGAGTCCGTGTGTCATCGATTTCCAATCAGATAGTGCCAGAAATAAAATAAAATGAATTTCCATTATCTTTAACTGCAATTTTAATCGGAAAAAGCCGCCGATATATCTTCACTTTTCTCTCACAGTCTACCCTGATTTATTGATCTTTGTTAAAATCTATTTTAGTTTTAACAAAGGCACTAACGATACTTTGCATGCATTCACTTCCTTTACATGTTTCCTTTTGCCCTTTAATTTTTTGTAATAACCCTTTCCTTCTCCACCTGAGCAACCTTTCACTAGTAAAGCACTATACTGAGTAGCACTTAGCAACGTTTTTGATGGTCTGTAAGAACTATCTCACTTTGGTGGATACTAACTCAGTTCCAAAGACTGAAAACGACGCTTTGAAAGTTCATCCTCAAACGTAATGCCGGCACAACTGCTATCCCGCTGTTTACCACAATGGAGTTTTCCTTTGACAGTTTTGACTTCCTTTAAAGAAAGACCGATTTCAGTCTGGATTTATACCTGGATCATGCTTGCGTGGATCCTCCTAATTCTATAGGTTTGAAGAGAGACCGGAGACGGTTGAAAACATGAACTATTCTTCGCCAGCACTCTTAAGGCCGCTTTTCACTTAAGGGTTTCTTATCCGAGCATGTTGAATATTTCTGAATTTTATATTAATACTTAAAACTTCAACAAGTATACGTCAAAGATGCATGATTTTATTCTATTATTCAATAGTGAAAATTCATTACGATCTCAACTGTGCACACGCAGCACGTTTGAGAGCAAAACAGTGAAAAACGCTCAAGTGCATGGACAGCAGCTTTTAATGTATGACATGGAGTAAAGCGTCCAATTTGATGGATCATTCGGTGCTAAAATCAACGTTTCTTAATTGGATTATTGGTTTTATACGTACGAGATTTTAAGGAGTAATGCTTATGTTACGCAACATGCGTCGCTTGCATCAGTTACTGATTACTGAATCAGTTTGCATTTTTTCATTTAAAAAGTTTATTATAACATAATTGTATATATGTGTACGGCCTAGTTGAATGCGTCTCATTGATATCGAAAGCGTCTCTTTGTTCAGCACTAGGTATATATATATATATATATATATATATATATATATATATATATATATATATATATATATATTGAACTTGTATTGTAGTCTAAAGACTGACGTCTATAAAGTGAACTCCTAGCTCGCTTCCAACTAATCAATAATAGTTTCTAACTGCATTCTTGTTTCTTACAGGTATAGTCGGTTTACTCAAGTATTCAAAGATCTCGCTCTCTCCCTTGAAGGGCCTTAGATACACCGTTGGGTACAGCAGCTCGAGTTGGTTTTCATTAACATTGTGAAAATTGACTCTAGTCTGGGGGAGACCCACAAGGTTTAAAGCTTGACTCATGCATGGCTGTTCCTATTCCGCAAAACGACGTTAAAATGAGATCACAATCAACTGACAAACGATAGATTACTCAAGACCTGAAAGAGCCTGATAACCTGCAGGGCTTTTGAAATATGCTGATAATATACTAAGCTCTAATCTAGAGTATATATGTCAATCTAACTGAAAACTCTAAATGTCAAGTAATTGGATCTGAAATAGACTGAGCATGTTGTTAAATAACCTTAAAAAAACGAAAGCTGTAAAGCGTCTCAGTTTACTTTTGCCTAAAACAACTCGAAGTTAAGTTAAGAGGTCAGGTCTTAACATTCAGTAAAAGCTGAAACATTTTTTATTTATACCTTTGTTGGTTTCCCAATTTCCATTATAGGATTTTTGTACCTAAATGTCTCTCTATCAGTCTGACATGAGGGAAAATATTGCATATCAAGTTACCTTATAGATATATATGAACTGATATGAAGAATTTCTGGTCGATGAGAGAGATTCAGCTTGAACTTTGATTCTATCGTTGAAGATGGAAATCATACTTACTAGACGGGCATTATCTTTAACATACAACTCTTCCTCCAAATATAAAGTAACTGACAAACAATTTTAATAGTGGTATAGTTTGAAAGATGCAATGGCAATGGCTGTCATATGGTTTTTGTAACAGTTTTTTATCGTAATTAATGAGTCTGGCCGGGACTATTCATGCAGTATAGCTACGTCAATATGTTTGTCAATAAACAGTGCGCTAACCACTGGAGTATGACCACGAGCCATAAAAACATGGGCAGATGGTGGTAAATTCTTGAAGTGTTGACACTTCTAACAAATTCAAAAATAAAAAAGGCTAAATCGCTCTTCATTTTCATCCATTAACACCGAATAAGTGACCTTAGTTACTGAATTAATAAAGAATTCGTTTTTTTCTCACAAATTTCAAAATGGTTAAAATATTAATATTAGCAGAACCGAGTGCTCCTAAAGTACCGATATTTTGGCATGACATTCTTCAACCTTACCAGTCATGATCGCCCCCCAACAATAATTTTTAGGTAAAAATTCAGATTTATTTTGGAACTTCCTAGAATTTGTCCTTCCTGGAAGGCTGAAACAAATTCCTGGCGGCGCCACTGACCTTATCGGATTAGCAATTGACGTTTCTCTGTAAGGGGCCGTTCACAAAATACTCTTTTTTGCTCCTAAATGCTTTTTTTCCATTCGTTTTTGAGATGTTATTAAGTGCAACTGGATTGTTGGACGAAAACTAGCGTAATGTGGGTTTTGGCCGTTTTGTGTTTTTTTTGCGAGAGCTTTTCATACACATGCAGGATTGCCACATGTTGATCAACTCTATGACACCCCCTCACTCCCCCGATAAGGATGTGAGACTGTTCAAACGCCCCCATAGCTAGTAAGCCAATAATCACTCGTTTTCCAGTAAATTGTAATCACAAGCTCAATTTTTTTTTCTGGAAAAATTAAATCACAAAGGAAAGTTTACGTATCCGGCGCAAAGCAGGGCCTGAAAAGCAGTACGAAGAACAATCGTTTCTTTTACAGTATAATAAATATACCAATAGATTTCGTTCAATTCTGCTAGTATTTTAAATCACCTTTAATTTTAGGTTAATCATACGTGTCCGTAATGTAATGCCTTAAAATAGCTTAGACATTCTATGCGGAATAAATTATCAATGAGGGAGGGCGTTATTGTTTATTCTACATCATATATATTGTGAAATTCGTGAAGGTTGTGATCGATTTTCGTAAATTTAGTGTTGGAAGTGTTTTTGCCTGTGACACAGCTATCGTCGTACGGATACGTAACAAAAAGAGTTTATTTTATTTCACTAAAACGTAAATAAAAATAATCGAACGGGTAATATATTCATGGACAGGCCGGACACAATAGTACATAAGCTTCGTATATGCCATATATATTGCACATCCTAAAATAGGCATGATTAAAATAAATAATTAATTTATAACATGGAAAAAATTAAACATGCAATATTAAGAAAGTTGAACCGACATGTTCATTGTGATAATTTTTTTTGTTTTAAAAAAAAATTAAGTGTGATAAAATAGAATATGACCCAAGATCTGCTTAGCATATTCTTATTTCTTCTAGAGCTGTGAACAGGAATTAATTAAAAGAAAAACATGCATATATTATTTTTTTATTGTCTTACAGCAGAAGGAAGATTAATTTATAATTGGATTTTGCTTTTTGCCCGCAATTTTAACGAGATTAACAAGCGATTTTAGTTCCGTCTTTATTCGATGCATAGCAAAAATGAAATAACGTCCGCTGAAACGCAATATCAATATATGGCAATAGATAGTCTATATTAATAATAAAGATATTCTCGAATATATAATGTCAAATCAGACCTAAATAAGTTGATAATTTATGGAATTACTAAATGTGCATAAATTAAATCGCCTTTTCAGGCTGGTTCAACCTCGCAACTAGAGTTTTTGTTTGGTTTGTTTGCTGCAAGTGGTGATAGTGAGAAGTTGTCTTGACTCATCGGCAACATGCATTTTTGTTTTTTGCAGTTCCAAATTGGCTTCAAAAGCTACAAAAAAGCTTCTATTTCACACGCAGCATTAAGTGAATACTAGTCAAAAACAGACAGTCTCAAGACTCAAGTCAGTCAAAATATCCGTATAGGTTTGGTCAGTCGGTGGTCGCAGGCTGAATGGGGGAAAACGTTGGTGGTAAGCTAACTCAACCGCAATTCATAATTGGTTTCATAGTAATAAACTTTTACGGGTGTATACGTACGTGGAATAAAAGGAGCTACGCTACGTGAGAAAAAACGATAAAAGCAGGTCGATGCAGATTTAAGTCCCGAAAGTTTGGATTAAAAAAAATTCCTAAAAAAAGAGGGCGGGGGAAACGAACGTGACACTCACGGTGACAGTTCCTCACAAGAACAGCGTCTGATTCTGCGACTACCAGTCTTTTTTAATACATCGCATGCTATAGAACAATTTTATGGAAATTTAAATTTCAAACACGATGGCGCCAATAGTGAACATTCAACCATCTACCTTAAAATTATTTTTGCTTCTATTCTACCATCCACATCCACATTTAGGACAGGCGTGAACCAGGTAATACAACAACATGCTGGTCTATTTATATACAATATACATATAACGTCATATCACAGTCTGTACAAGACACGAATGGCAAGTTTAATGTCTTCCTCGGGATTTTTAGATAATCATCACAAAACCAACGTATTTACTAGAAAGTACTACGCTTGCTAGCTCTTCCCAAGGCTCTTCATTGAAATATCGAAAGTAACAGAGATTACAGACATAAGTCCCGTTTAAGGGAACTAACCTGAGTTCTACCCGGGTTAATCAAACCCGGGTAAGCTGCGTTTGTTTGCGAATTCTAAACAAACACGAGCCCAGATTTTCTTATAAAAATCGTCACCTTCAAACATTTGTATTTTAACATGCACGTGCGAATATTGCGTTTGCTATAGAGCGGCAAACATCAAACAACAAACTTTTGAAAACAACACAATAATACAAGGAAAATTATGATAATTTTATCAATTATTGTAATCCCGTCACAAGCATCATTTGTATATTGCGCATGATGTGTTCCCCAAATTTCCTAGTTTTTAGACTAGCAAAATATATTTGGTGCCAGTCGAAATTAATTTGTTGATCACACACGTCAAATAAATTGCCACAAAGTGATTAGTAATTCGCGAATATTATTTTTTGGTACAAGGATGAAAAACGTATGTGGAATTGATTGAAACTTTGCGTATACAATAGAATAATACATCGTGAGCTTGTGACGATATTTTCTGATACTACATACGTTAATGTCATGTTTTTGGCTTCTCGGTTTCCCTTGTATAGTATTACGCAGGAAGACGGTCTGAAACCGTGACTTGCAAGTTTGGAATTTTAATAGCATTGTTACTTGACGTTATGGATTAAAGAAAGGTGCGGCATAGAGGTCAAACAATGTAGTTGATACAAGTCTTACTCGTCGTCTTTGAAAGTGAACTATTCGAGCAAAATAGTCAAATTCATTAGGAAGTCGTTGTCAGCTGACTAACAAAGCTTCCTGACACTCATAATAGCCAAGTGTGCTTGCATTTTCGAGATGAAAGTCAACATATTTCTGACATTTCAATGACCTTTTATTGTTGTTGTTCCCTTATATGGTCAACGAACGCTATACATTTGCATTAAATTTCTTCCACTTAACTGAAAACTTTCTTGACAAAAAGAAATTTTGTTAAGATATTATTTTATTATATATATAACAGGTAGAACGATTTATGTGAAAATTGGTATGAAATTATAGATCCAAAGTAATTTAATTTAAAATTTATTAACAGCTATAACCGAAAAATTGTCGTGATTCTTGAAGTTTAAATGGCAACTTTGCTGACTGATAATAAAACCATATGTAATTTTTACACCTCAGTAATTTTTTTAGGGATTATTTAATAATATTCACCTTGAACATTTGAGTAGGAAAAAGAAAGTAAATGCTATTTCAGAAACCGAAATTTGTATCGTGGGACACGTTGGGCCACTATTGACTGTTTTGTATCGCTCAGTGCGTTGACATATACGATGTTTTGAACGGAAATTTCAAATCAAGGTGGAAGCACTTTGTGAATTTTTAACGATTCTTTCTCGCTTCAAAGGCATTGTAGATATATAAAAGGCAAATAAGGGGGCGCCTTACAAAATACCTGTCAATAGAAAGTTTTTAATCGCTTGGCGTCTGCTTGGGACCGATCAAGAAGACTATTTGTATTACTATTCTGTTTATTATTAACATAAAGTGACCGTTTTTGTGCGTCCGTACGAATAGAAGAAAACATCTCTGGTTTTCACTGTCTGGCATTGTCTGCTGTGAATTTCCGTCGCAAGCAAAGTTTTCCCTGAGACGTGCGTAAATATACAAAGTCTGTGTTTGCGACTCGAAAGGATTTCATTTCTGCGGTTGGGGGTGAATTTCGAAATCGGCTACGAAACTGCGAGACTTTATTGTACTTTCAGGGTATTTTGATCAAATTATTGAAGTGGCTAGTTTCGACGAGAGATTGGTTTAAACTTTGAGTCTACGACGCGTTTGAAGTTCAGTAATTGACCACGACAAGATTTGAGTTCGATTAAACAGTATTATTATTAAATGTTGCCGCCATTTGGTAGGCTTACATAGTTGGGTTAATTGTTCGAAAAGAAATGAAGAATAATTCGAACGCGTTTTGTGGATAGTTGATATTTGTGGTTATTGAAGACACAGCGTGCATTGTAGTGCGAACAGAAGGAATAGGATTTATACCTTGCTATGGACGTTGCCGAATCGCCAGGTAAATCGCGACGACCGACCGGGTCTACGTTATTACGAATGATTAAAAAGCAAGCACAGAAAAGCCCCCACACGCCAAACCTGAGCCGGCATGCGAGTTTAAACGAACACGGTAACAGCAACAAACGTCGCTCGGCTATCGTTCGGGCTGACTCCTTCAAGAAAGCCCTTCATGTCCCTGTCGCTGAAGATAATAACACTGGGACTTTGAAAGCCCCCAAGACACAAAATCGTGATGTCGAGGAATTCGAAAGATATCACAAGGATGTGAAAAGCGCTGTTAAATATTTCCGAATCGTAGTCGAAAAGAAAATCGTGACGAAAGTTCCCGACAATATAACAATTTTGCTCGAGTCTGTTATACATATTGATGGCATGCTGGATTCGTGCCTCAAATTACAGGCATCTGCGGGACTCGTGGAAATGCGAAAAACGATGCAAGGTTGTATATCGAAGCTAGTTAAATGGGGCGATGATGTTTTGATAAAATCCGCGACCTCGTTGGATATTGAGAAAGGACTAAACCACTTGAACGCTCTGGAAAGGTCCATACAGGAATTACATGATTCGGCTATCCCACGTCTTCAGAAAGCGTCTTTGAATCGTCAAATCCGTGACTCTGTGTTGCTTCAACAACCCGAAGACGTGTTATCTACGAAAGGCGAGGTTGTCAAAACAAAATTATCAAAGTCACACTCGGATGGCAGCCTGAAAAGTGTCCTCGAAAATGGGAAAAATGGCGCTCTAAGTGCGGAAGAGAATCGTCGTGACTCCGGTATAAGCGAACGAAGTGCATATAGTGATAACTCCACCACGAGCGAGTCACCCCCCGTATCGACCCATTTCACAGATTCAGGGACATGTCTGTCGGAGGCACCTAGTATTACGAGTGTTGAGGACAGTCCACTAGCTGTACAAGCATGGTCTCCTGGTAGATCTCTCCTAGATGATGTACCCCCCAGTCCTATTAGCCCATATTCTCCCCTAAGTATTTCCCCTCGTGAAATGACCTTCTCATCGAGCAGTACCTCGTCCAGCTGTAGTCGCACCGTCAGCAAAACTACAACTTACCAACAGTCAACGCATTTGCAAACAACAGAATGGAGCAAAAAAACTGAAAAAGTCATGCATTATGTGCAAGAAAGCCAACAAGTGAACCATAGTTATCACCATAGCTCTGAGTCTCGTACGGAATCTCTCTCTAGTTTTGGCTCAAGCTTAAATGACCGTGGAAGCATGGACTTGTCTGATTCACAATCAATAGAGGAACTTGATGAGGTTCCAGAGCTGATCGGATCAAGATCAACAACAGCTCGGTTTGTAAGTTCAACAGAGAGTACAACCAGTTCAAAGAAAAAAGCACTCCAAGTGTATATCCAGGTGCTTGGAGATTATAAGAAACCTTCTGAAGAATACCTTGAACGGACAATGTCTGTGAACTCGGTTTACGATAATTACCAAGAAATGCGAAACTATACAGTGGAGAAAATGGCAAGTGCTCTAGGAGAGACAAGTGGTACAACATTCATCACCACCAAAATGCCATTATCACAGAAACATGACAAAAAACAACCCCTGTCACCCATGAATGATTCCCGAAAGACCAAGTCTTTAGATTACCGAAGTTTACCAAAAATGAAGATAAAGTCACCTATGATGCCAGAAAACGAGAAACTAGCACCTCCAGAGTTGGCAATGTCCCGTACAACAAGTGAGTCCAGTTTGAGTAGTGGTGATGAGGAATTGACCCCTCCCTTGGACTCAATAGACGTAAGTAAATTTCTGGTATTCCGTGAGGAAGCAAGTGGAAAGATACTTTATGGGGGTGTTGCAGATGCATTAATTGTGCATGCAACAAATGCAAGTAAGAAGGACTTTGTATTCTCCGAAGCATTTATTACAACATATCGTGCATACCTAACTCCAGATCAGCTGATTAGCAGACTGATATATAGAGGACATCGAATGACGGAGAAACAGCATAAACGTGCAAGTCATAATGCATTTCTGCTGTTGTTGAGAGTCATTGATGACTTAGTTGCACCAATTCCAAAGAATATTTTGGATATGCTCATTAAAGAGACACACCATTTGTTTGCAAATGGTGAACTGACATACGGCAAGTGGGTTCGAGATCGTATCATCCCAAAGAGCGAGATGCATTATCACATGGATAGCATCACATTTACAACTGCAGAATCGACCGACAAACATTGCTCAATATTTTCATTTCACAGCGAAGATATTGCTAAGCAATTAACAATCCAGGATGCACAATATTATAGCAGGATTGAAATCCCAGAGATTTTGTCATGGGGAAAAGCACAGAATGAAGATTTGGCTCCAAACCTGGCTGCATTTACAGAGCATTTTAATCAAGTATCCTACTGGTGTCGTACATACATCTTATCCTTTGAGAAAGTTCATGATCGCGAGAAAGTCTATGCTAAGTTCCTTAAGATCATGAAGTTCCTGAGAAGGTTTAACAACTTCAATTCTCTTTTGGCTATCTACTCAGCACTTGATTGTTCAGCCATTCGACGGCTGGAATTCCCAAAGGTTAGCACCGACAGCTTGGCTCAGTTCTCATCGCTCATCGAAAGCGAAGGCTCATTCAGGATTTACAGAGCAGCACTTGCTCAGGTGAAACCACCGTGCATACCGTATCTGGGCTTGATCTTGCAAGATGTGACCTTCACATACATGGGAAATAAGGATGAGCTTCCTGATGGTAAAGTGAACTTTTACAAGTGTTGGCAACTCTTTCAGATGCTGGAAGAATTCAAAAAGTTCCGAATCAGCAAGTATGAGTTTGAAAGGGACCCAAAAATAATGGCATTCTTTGGAGGCTTCCAGAATTACTTATCTGAGGATGAACTTTATAATCGCTCACTGGAATTGAAACCAAGAGCATAAAGTGATTGGCGTCCTAGCACCAGGATGGTATTTGAGGTACCAAATTTCTAATACATGCAGTTTTACAACTGTTTACAACTTTGAACTAGGATGAGGCAATTTTAAACAGAGAGATATGGTCAATTTCGAGTCTGTTAATGCTCGCAAGTCATGCAAGATAAACAAATTTCCAAAACAGAAACATAAAGGTTGCTTCATCCTTTTTTAACCACATTTTGACAAAGATTTTAAAGAATTGATGCAATTTACATACTGTTTTGTACTATTTAATTTGCAAATTTTTAAAAGTTTTAAGGCTTGAATTAATGTACATAGAAACAGAAGTTTGCACTTATTAAGGTTGAAATAGAAATATGCCTTATTTATGAATATAGATTTACATGGTATTTTTACAGCAAACCAATAAGCTATTGACAGAGACATTATGCAGAACAATTTGAATTTTTTTAATGTAAGCTTGTTGATGAAATTATATGCTTTATGATGTACAAATTTCTTATTTTTATACTAGACATAAAACAGTAAATTAAATTAAAATAGGGACAGAGTTAAAAGTGCAACACAAATTGTACCATCTGTTGGATTTGATACATCAGTATTGAAATAAATATGATTTGCATTTTGTGTAAAATTCACAAGGTGCATCTGGATTCATGGAGTTTTACCATGTTGGCTCATCTTGTACAGGCACTTGAATATCAAACAAAAAGTGCCTGTACAAAAATTTTAGCAATGTAAGCAAGATTTGCCTAAAAATGCGGTGCCATGCATTGGGTGGTATATTTTTTCATAATCATTAATTGATGTCATTGAAAAACGAATCAGTATCACAAAATGAGGTGTCAACACCTGACATTCAAGAGCTTTTTACACTTGGAGTTTCAAAGACTCCATTTGCTTGCTGAAAACCATGGTTTGAAAAATTGTTTGAGTCTGTCAACTAACAGTTGGAGTTTTCCAAACCTTGCAGACTGATACAGTAATAATCTAAGGGGCTTGTTTCCTGTTATTTTCCTGAGTATCAAAAGTTCAGAATGTTACCAATGTAAAAGGTACTTAAAGAGTGTACTTTTAAACCCCATTCATCCAAATGATTTTCGTGTGGAATGACCATTGCAAACCAAATGTTGATAGGGTATATTTTTGTAGAGCGGATGACACTAATTTTACAATTGCCAATACCCACTATAATATGTCAACTAAACAGTGTTTAATACTGTTTATCCAAAATTTTTGGCACTTACATATAATCGCATTCCGAAATTTTGCCTGTGACCTCCTTAACTAGAGGTCAAAACCAAACCTATATGATAGAATGCTTTACATTTTTGCAAACAACTTCATATCCAACATCAAGCCATTCCCCACACGTTCAGGAAATTGCTTAAATACTTGCTCATATAAACAACTTTATCCTACTGTGCATTTCTGTATACTGTTTCATTTTTCAGTCTACTCATTAAACTTGACCAAACTGATTTGAAACTGAAGTAGAAATGTAGAATACCCATTCGAAGTTATGACTCCAATATTTATACATAATCCACAAATGCAGAATGGTGCAATTTTTCAAAGAATATTGTAATATATCTTGTATGTATTTCAGCATAATATAAACATGTTATATATTAAATCTATAGTTCATGTTGAGCAATGCCATTGCCATTGTGTTCTATGAATTGTAATAAAAATCTTAATTTTAATTTTTATTCTGAACATTCGGTAAGCACATTGTTTACTATCATAGTTGCATAGTTCAGTTTTCAGAATATAATGTGAAGTCACTGAAGTGCGTCTTTATATTTTGATATTGCATTTCTCTGGTTGCATTTTGTTGCGACATCCGTTTATAAACACGCGATTGACGGAACAATTGACTAGTCGCTACTCGCTACAGACTAACAGTGCTAAATGCAGGTCTTTTTGCATATTGCAAGCATTTATAACAGATTTAACGCGACGCAAATTTTCAGTTTTTAGAACCAACTATATTTCTCCCTGAAAGGAAATTTTGGTAGGCGATCCACAACAAAAATGTACAATCGTAAAAATATTTAAAAATTGGATCAAATTTATTTGCAAAATTAAATGTAAAACATTTTACGTTTGATCTGTACGGTTACTACGGTATATGGATGCTAATATAATAGCCAGAGGCCTAGTTCTCGGAACACACTCCTCTCATTTATGCTCTCTCCTTGGGCTTGGGTTAATTACTTTCTCATTTCTGCCTTAGCATTATTTGGCAATCATTGCCTTTGGTCTCGGTTGCTTTTGGCTAACAAAAAATAGTCCCCGCATTACAAAGTAAGAGCTAGTTCAGCTATAATAGGAATGTGTACAAGAATTGCAGCATAAATGTAATATAAATAGCATAAATGATACGTTATAAGCATATATTAAAACAAGGTTATAGCGAAATATAGATAAACATGTAATTTAAATGAAAACACTGTCTGAAAAAAAGGAAAGTTTTGTATTTTTGTTAGTCAATGATTATGTTTTTTGGTATTCTATTAAGCCGTGTTTTTTCAACGATACAACTCGCCCAACAAGAGAACTAGAGAAGTATAGAACAAACTGGAATTTGAAGGTATCCCTGTTTTTATTTGGTAACTAGAGCAATACAGAACCAAAATAAAAGCTTTTCCGGAACGCCTGCCTACGTCGGCTAAAAACTAACGAGACTTTGTAGTTTCATTCCTTTGGGTGTGATAACAACTCTGGAAGTTTCTCGTTTATGAAGAAAGTTCTGTGCCCTAGAGAAATAATTTGTTTTGCGTGGGATCGGTGCGTTGCTCAATATGACTTGAGGCAATGTTGGCTTAACCTTATTTGTTTCATACAAAGATTAAACCCAACTGAACGTGTCTGTAGTTAAAGTCTGAAATATTTAAATCCTTATCCTGTTTAACGTCTAAGCTACAAATAATAATTTTCTTCGCTCTACTCGGCTGTAAAAAATGAAGATACTCCAATTGTTAGAAATAAGGTAATCCCAAGGTACGAGTTTTTAGAAATCTTGCCTTGGCTTGGGAAGTCGACGTTGACCTTTACTTGTTCATGCATGTATGAATACTGTGGTATAGCCATAGGATCTCTCAGTCATTATGTACAAAATTTATTTTGGTAATAAATAAATCTTATTTTATATGTCTGCGTCTTATTTTATATATCTGCATGCGTAGATATAACTGTCCTTCAAAGAAAGAGCAACCTGCTTTGCAAGACTCAAGAGTTTACTACCTTTCAAGTGATTATCATGCAGTGCCATTTGTATATGAAACTACAAGTCAATATTTAATGTAAATATATAGACAGTTTGATAATTTCTAAACTGTTATCCAAATGAGGTAATCGTAGGACTGTAGCATCCAAAGAAATATCCTATAGCCATATATCCTTATAATTGCAAACATTTGTTCTCGGAATATTGCAAAAATTCGGCACCCCATGGTGTGAAAGAAACATTCTCCAACCGCTTGCTTCAGATTGTTTCAAAGCCTGCCAGTTATGCTATTTATAAAATAAGGGTGATCATGAAAATTCCGCATGGGTTCAATTTCACTGATATTTCCGTCAGATTTTTTTGCTGTGTTAGACCTTAGACAGACGAGTAACTAACTACAGGGTGGAACACCCTCGATGCAAAGCTGACGCTGTCAAAATTGTCGGACAAATATAACTGATAAAAATTAACGTCATTTGATGTTATCCAATTCATGAAAAGGCCTTACGAAGTAGATACGCCATATCCGTTGGTGCACTGTTGTAAAGGCTGCAAGATTTCTTTCTACACTCGGCGCCAACCAAGGTCACGCGTAGTAGCTCTTAACTTAACCTAGTTACTCCCATGTAGCCTGCGTGCTCTCCATACGTTTGCACGCAGGGCGGCTACTCCCATGCGGCCCACATTTAAAAATTCACCACATGTAGTGAATTCGGTCACAGTCAATATTAGAAATTCACGCTTAGTAGGAAGCGATGTGCACCAGTCAGTTAAAAACGCCAAACCAACGCCTTTTATCAGGCAAAACAAACTCCCCTCCAAGCAACATCGAAACCGAAGTTACGCCCCTGTCGGCCTAACTTCCTTCTGGGCGTTGCGGCAGAGATAAATATCGGCAAAGCAACAAAAGATATACATGTGCTCACTATTTCTTGCAGACAGCCTAGGTTCTACTTCGACATCGCTCTATATCCGCCGAAATTCTGCTTCAAGTTGCCACAGACGTACCCTTGTATAAATTATCGTGCCTTGTATATCATAGTCGTGCCAGCTAAATGTCGATTATGTCGTGAGAATATATTTGTTATTTGTGATATTAAACATGGGAAACCCTTGTAGGTGGTCGAAGCGACACGTGCCACGTATCACAAATACTTATCCCGCATACAGGTACATGGACCAATATACGCACGCATTTCCTGCAGGTAATTTATTCTAAGTATCTGTCATGCCTATATATAACCGGGGTATATAAAGAATTGCTATTCCCATATTGTCAGCGTGTTTCCGTTAGCTCCTCAATGTACGCTTATAGCTAGAGGACAATAGGATACTCGTGGCTTTAATTATTTTTTACCGGACGTTCTATTAACGTAACAGTCCAGTTCCTATAGATATCCCTAGACATCCTTTGAAAGAGAGACATATCAAAGCTGTCAGTTTTCTGTTATCGGGAGACCTCGTACCCAGGGTCCGTGAAGAGAGAGCGTTGCCCGAAAAGAAAATACTCTCTAGAGATTGAGGGCTAGTACGGGCGATTTTTGATGACGGGCATAGATAGAGAGTAGTAGGAACAAACACCGGTTGCAAAGATGAAAGCACACATAGCAACTAACCGCTGACCGTCATAACATTCAAATTTGAGTTCGCCAATAAATCAAGGCAGTGCCGGCTGTTTAAACAGTTTGTGGCAAACTTCGCTAAAAAATTGCACATGCATAAGCATATCTTCTTTTTGATTACTCTGGCACGGAATGCATACTTCACCCCATCCATAAGCGGATATACTAATCTCAGTTCCGGCTTAAAGAAAAAAACAAGGTTGGAAAGAAAAAAACAAGGTTGGAAAGAAAAAAAAACTTGTTTTCTCAAAGAAGAATCGTGTCGAAACCTGCAGTATTCTTATAGCTTGGCCTTTGTCATCTTATCACTATTGGTCATCTCTTAACCCAAAAGAGGTCTGCCTTATCTGTTGAAAATACCTGTTAGGAATAAATTGGGTTGACGATTACAAGACAAATAGGAGAATAACAATTTAACTCATCCACTCGTAAAAGAGGGTCTTCTACCCAACCACATCTCACCTTCACCCAAAGAAACCACCCCACATGGGTGCCTTTGTAGGTAAATTACACACGTCTGATTCTATAGTAAACCCAGCACCATGAAGATTATGATAAGCTGAAATTACCACCACAAACAACTCCCGTGGGAAATTCTCTCTGAATATAAGGTTTGTGTCACAGTTGATTACCAAAATTCTGCACGGAAGTATACCCCACCGAGTTTCTCCTCGGAGTACCCCTCCTGATCTGGCGTATAGGTTCTGAAATGGCGATGACTGTGAAATCCTACACCGAAAGGGTGCGTGAGAGGCTCTTAAATTTAAACTTGGATCCCTACTGCACCATTGTGACCAGTGCTAGGACGCGGCACACGATATATACACCCTCAATACTACAAGCTCCCTATACTGACCCTGAGTTGAGAGAAAAACTGAGCGATTTCACTCATGTCAATCAGTGTACGTCAAAAAAGCTTTTTCATTTTATAATAATTTTCGAAGGTGTCTACTGAAAAAACTCTCATCAATCGCGTATTGGCAATCAAGTTAATCCAGAGCTTAGCGTTTTCCAAGTGTTTATCACAAGATCATCGTTTTAATCCATTTACTATATTTTCAATTACTGCAATCCCACTAACCTACCCAGCCCCTCCTAGTTAGTTTACTTATCACTAAGGGGCAAAACACATTTAGATCAAAGTAAAAAGTTGTAGTCTGGTCCTGGGAAGGAGGTTCCAGATGCAAAAAGTTCTAACTCAATGTTTGCTCATTGTTATTGATGAATAAGCAGCGATGTTCATAATACTGCCAGATTTAAGAAGGGTTTAGCCAGCTATATCATAATATCAGATGTCGAACCTGATGCATGCAGCAGGACTGGGTTTTCGAGAGGAGAAGAAAATCTTTCTTGTGTTTCTTCGAAGAGGCAAAGGTAGAAGCCGGGTCAAAAAACTCCGTCGGCGAAACAGAAAGTGTAGTAATGTTTATTTAGTTGACTGATAATACAGTGAAAACAGGGATTACATTATCTACTTGGGTTGTCAAAAGGATAATTTAGGAGGTATTAGTTTCTTTAACCGATCATTATTTTGTAGGATTTGACTTTGAAGTTCCGTCAAGTGGATCATTACTTATTTTTTCCCATGCCAAACACAATAAACGGATTTAGGGGTCGTATTTTTCACAATAATTTTTCACAATAATTTTTCACAATACGACTGCTACTTGTTTCTTGGATCTACTTCGATCGATACTTTTTACGTTGCTTGAAAATGTAAAGAAACCTCGCCGGTTTTAGGCATGAAGACTGGGTTTTTACGCATCAGTACCCTTCGAAATGCCGAGCGATGTTCGATCAGACTGGATTTAACTTTATTCTGCATGTCATAAATCATTATATTTATTGTTATTAACGACGTATAAAAGCTCAAAGGTAAAATACATCAATATTTTCGCAAGTGAAACGTGTATAGTCATAGACGATCGGTATATAGTCGGTCTTGGACTCATGGCCATAAAATAAGTGATGATGCTTGGCAGGCTTAACTGATATCACCCTAAACTTTTTCATCCCGGTGCCTGTGGGCATATTTGCCTTCTACGCAGTTTGATCGAAAACCGCTAATAGCACTGAAGTATATAGCCATGGGAGTCAATATTGGCAGTATATAATAAGTTCTATAAATATATCACGGTATTCATTGACATCAGACTTGTTCAAATAGAGACGTCCCGATTCACTTTATGATTCATCAATCATTGTAAAAAGACAAAACACCCCATTGTCTTTTAAGCGTTTAGAGAGATTTAATTTTTTCGATGCTATATGACCTACGTACCAGACAAAATTAATTAACCGCACAACTGTTCGTCCTTTCAAATAGCCAACTAAAGACTGCTGCTTCTTCTATTCTTCAGAAACTGAGAAAGTAAATATAACCAAGACGCCACTGTGTTTTTTAAATGGTTACAGTAAAGACTAAAGTTACATCAAATGACACTGCTGAGTTGTTATACACGTTGCTATGGCTATATATCATCGCATTTTAATGTTACCTTTTATAGAAGAAAAGCATTTAAAATAAATTGTACTGTGAGAGATTTCTTTATTGGCTTTGTAGTTATTACAAATTTAGAGTCATTAACGTATTCCAAAGATGGTAATAAAAGCGGGGGACTGTTGAACAATGCGCTAACAATTGTATCGTTATTACGTTATATAGTATTTAATAATGATAATCATTCAAGGACTATGTGCTTGAACCAACAATTTTGAGGTACAATTTAGGAAACAGCAGCACAATGTTGAGTCAGTGCTGGTTAGCCTGGTTAAACAATTCGCTTTTCCAACAATGCCGTTAATGTGGAGTTGTCAGTTGTATATTTATTCATATTTGAGTATCCTTTCAGTTCAGATTCCAATTTACCAAGGATCATGGATTAAAATTCGGTCTTTCCCCATACACTACCCAAAATAACTTATGAAATCTTTTTTTTTATTAGCTTGACAATAAATGTAGATCAGGTATAAGACTTTAAGGTATTGGACTATTGGTAACTTGGTATTTGTGCATCTTGAAACTCGTAATCATTTACCCATCAGTCTTATTTCCATACTTACAATTTATGATTCCCTTTTTATCATTTCCTTTCTTTTAAGCGGGAAAATCAGCTGAGTTTCTCGAGTACAATTATGCAATACATTGCATTTTCAAATTACAAATTTTGAGCCAGAACCCAGAACAAAATCAATGGAACAAAATAATTTTAAAAATTCCGCCATGTTTGGTAACGGTAACACGACTTTATATGAAGTCTTACATGAAGTTATCAATTTTTCATCACGAAGATAAAAAAACTCAACATGGCGGATAGCAAGGAGTGAGAGAGAACACGGCCTACATGTACAATAATTTCCAGGTGATATTTTGTTTTGTAGCAATAAACACTCGACGAATAAGTTTATATTAGCTTAAAAAGGAAATCTAGATCTTTTAAGGTCTTTTTGACCATGAATTTGAGGGGTGTTGCATTATTGATGGCAGTTTACAAGAAGTTCAGCAAAAATACATGACTGCGTTTTCCTTCGAATCTATTTCACGTAATAATAGGTTAACCAGAATAGTTCCTCTGCCGAATTAACAAATTGTCTTTTCTGCTGAGTAAATTCATTTTTTGTGCTTTCTTCTCCAGTCCTCCACAATAACAGGGCTGCCTACCGATGATTCAGTTCAAGTGTTCAACTCAATTTTTTTTCAGATATTAACTTTAAATAACAAAGATGGAAACAAATCAAGTTCTCGAGCTTTATCCAGAATATTCTGTCTCGGTAACATTATTTCATGTTACTAATTTTTCTGAACTCAAAGAAATGCTGATTAAAGGAAAACTAGAAGCAGCATTAGTAAATGCTTCCATGGTATATATGAAATTACAATGATTATTGATGCCAACACTATTGATTAAAAAGCTCATTTTTAAATATGACAAATTTGCACATGCATTATTGGTACACTATAGTTTTAAATGAATATTTTGTGTCCAGGCAAATCCAAAGCATGCAAAAAAATTAGGCAATTCTAACATGTGCAGTTCTTGTATTATTTTGATTGAACTCAGCAGAACTGCTGTGCAAATTGAACAGGACATTACCTTTAAGGCTAGTAAAGTAGTAAACTACTAAAGTGTTAACAAGAAAGCCTTCATCTCTACTGAGAAAAAAAATGTCTGGTGTTATTATATGCAACAATATCCACTATTTATCAAAAACCTAGTTTCAAAACACTTATATTTATAAAGGTTCCAGACATATTCCCTGTGCTTCTCGCAGCTAACAAAGCTGTGCATCTCAGTGAACAAGAAAAGATGAAAACAAGAAGTGTTTACTCAGAAGTTGTTTTTAATTTGTCTCCTTCAAACAATGTAAGTGAAATGATGAAACCACAGTTTTTAATTTGTCTCTTTTAATTTAACTCATGGAGAGTATTTATGGTGCATTTTCCCCTCCTTCACAAGTCCCAGGTCCCACAGGTTTTGTGTGAGACATTACATGATTATGCATTTCATGCCAATGTATTAAATGCTCGTTCTGTTTAATCAAAAATTTAGATTTCCGAATCTTTGAAAATTTTTGGTCTGAACGAAAAAGACCCAGCGGTCCTTGTTGTGGTTATCAATAAAGGCGAAACTAATAACGTACGGTTTTTAGCATTGCATAAAACAATGCAGTTACTTTGCAATTGTTTACTGTATTATCATTATCAGCAAAATGAACGGAATTGTTGTTTTCACTTTAGACGAGTTCAGTAATTTCACTTATCAAAGGCGAGCAAATGCCGTTGACCAGATTGCAATCAATCGCTGATGAAAACAGAATAAAGAAGGTTAGTTGATGTACTTGATATATGTCCTTATTATAGATTCATAATTCATCGTATTTGATAGCTTGCCGAAGTAATGTTGAACTTATTTTCGCCCCAGGTTTACAAGATTCCAGAAAGTGAAATGACATGTGGATCATTGACTGATGCTGTAGTCACAAGGATAGCAACGAAAGATGCCAATTAGAAATCTAAAGCAAAGTCTTCAGTCAGAGTCTTCATTAATTAAAAAACAGTCTACATGTTTTAAGCCAAGCAAAACGAACATTCGCTTGAAATGCACCTTCATTCTTGGCAAGCAAAGTAGCGATAAGTGCCAGTGACAGATCTAATTCTTGCTCGCTTTTAAAAAACATCTTACTCGCCTAAGAATACACAATCATGTTTTATAATATCACGTTTTCTTATATATGATACCGTGTGAAAGCTATTTATATAACTATAATTACTTGGGATTTTTAACCAAACCTCTGACCTTTCTCAGGACTGTTATAATCAGTAGCAGGTACAAAAGCACGTTCTCCTCCCCCTCATTTTTTAAGCTTGCGAGAAAAAATATCCTTTAAAATCACAAAAAATCGGATCCATCAGGATTGAAGCATGTGTTTATAGCTCACAACAATATGCACTTCACACTGAAGGGACTGTGTTTTCAGTTTGTTTATACCATGGACTTGAAAAAAATTGCCAGGGCCAAGGGGAAGGCATAAATTGAATTTGAAATAATCTCATCTGATGTTGGTGTCGTACTCGGTACTTCACTACCGCAGATCAGTGGAAAGATAAAGAGACAGTTATTTTTAATCTGTGGGGGCAGAACTGAGGTCCTCATAAAAATACGCGAAGCGTGCATCGCCATAAACTAAAAGAAAAAGCATATATATAGGGATATATATTCCAATATGCAAAACTATGTTAGCAACATGCATTCCTTTTCACCAACGTCATGTTTTTTAAAAGATTTTCGACTAAAAATGTACAGGATTTCTACAAACAGACACCACACAAAAAGTTAACTTGTTTCCTTCTTAACAATGACTTGGTGGTCGAGTTGAATGCCGATCACTTTCCCTTTGTTTTCGTCGAGTTTCAACCGGCAGTTTGCCACACCGGATAAAGGATCCCTCGCACCTTTGCACCCACTGAGGATTACTCTACGAACTTTGTCGGTGGAGTCCTGCACGCAATAGAAATATTCTCCAGAATTGTTATTGGATAATGGAGCGCGGCTAAGTTTTCTTCTGAAAAGGTTGTAATCCTCGAAACCTATATGAAAACTTGGGAAATTAAAGGGGAGTAGTTCTGTTCCAGATACGCATGCGCTAATATCACAGGACATGCTTTTTTGTAAACAAATGTTATTTTGCTAAGGCCTCCAAGGGTGCTTTTTGTATTATCGTTCAGACGGGTTGCACGATAAATAGGCTAAGTTTGAAAAGAGAGTTTGAATTATAAATTTCAAAAAAGGCAGTTATATCAACCAAAATATTTAGACCAAATCTTCCGTTTGACCTGACAAGTTTAGCATTAAATACAGTGGCAAAATCGATGAGCTAATGGTGAAGAATCTTACAAAGCAGATCAAATGTCAGATTATGTCCAAATGCGCCCTACTTTATGGCTGTGTAGAAAATTTGATCTAATCAGAATTTGTTGCAGAAATGTAACCGAGTATGGCATGCACTATAAAAGACTCTACCTTCAACCTCATTTTCATTAGCTATCTCCCATTCCTGTGGATTGAACTCATCTATTACGTCCATCTAAATTAAAAGACAGAGAAACTAATACTGGTATTACTATACTATAGGCCAAGTAAAATTTGCTTGGACAGGCTGTAATTGTAAAGCAGCCTCGTACCCGCGGGGTCTTTCGTTGCCAGTTTAGCTGTGAAGTCCGCAAGATTCGCCCATCCGAGTACCAAGTACTCGAGTCTATTTAAGTTTTACTATAAAAATTCGTCCCTTACAAGGTGCCCTACCTCCGGATTTATTTATTTTCCTTCCTTCTATATACAAGCACTTGAACACAACAAAATTTCAGTCCTTTTACACACAACAACTTGAAAACATCACCTTGTTTACAAATTTGCGGGCCTTTGCATCTCGCAAATCGCATCAATCAGTAACGAGCGAAAGCGAAGCGGAAAATTGACTTCGCATTAGCTAAAATTGGATTAAAACGGAACTTGGGATTATTTTTAGATGGAGAATATGCAAGACACTCAAAGTATGTTGAATATTGTCGCATCTGTTTTTAGGCTGTCATTTTAACATCACCTCCAGAAAGGCTGTGTAAATAATCAACGCACATTTGGTGAAGTTACTTTTTTTCCATTTTTACGACGAATCGCTTTGTACACGACGTAAACGACATGCTGGTATGCACTGCCGCATCGGAATGGTTGGAAACATTTACTGAAAATAGTTTGAACTGATGTAACATATGAACTGTGGAAACATGAACTGTGGAAGGAAGTATAACTCAACTGTGAACTGTGTAATATATGAACTGTGGAAGGAAGCATATGATCTTTCAAACCTTTCTCAAAGTCTCAAAGGATGTGCCAATTGTAACAGCAACTACTAGCACTGTCTAATACTTTAATTGCATAAAATAGGATTAATTTTGAATTTAATTTCGGTACGTTAGCGCGGTCGTTATCTGATTAAAACCATGCTGTTTATTAGGTTAAAATGGGATCAAGGTATAAACATTTCTTCACTGAAGTTTGGAAAACACAATCTTTTCAATAACTTCTCTAATGTACATACGCGTTGCCTTTTAAAAATCATTTTAAAAAATCATTTCGCGCAAGAGGAGGTGGTTGAAGCTGCGGGGTAAGGAAATGCGGATTTCATACAATGAAATCCTCTCTTTTTGTCGTTTTTCTGCCCCGTTTGGGAACAACAACAGTTCTATTATGCAATTTTTGTGATATTTATGAAAACATTGCCTAGTCAAAAGAAAGGGTGAAGAAATAGCGTATTGCTTACATATCGATTCGTCCTTTATGTTGAAACAACGGTAACGACCGAAAAGGTCAAAGTTTGAAGCATCTGGAATAATAATTAGTGGGGAAAATGTGCTTGGCTGCATAATTTGATATTCAGTATTGAAAAGGGTCACCATTTGTAAGAATAATCGAAACGTTAGCCGGTCTCGTTAAAGCAAATTCAAGTGTCAGCGCTGAATTTCAGGAGGTCAGTTGCGCTGAGTTTCAGGAGGTCAGTTGTATCGTTGTATGTCAACTATGAAGGTTGTCAACTTTTAACGATGTCTAAAGTATGTGAAAGGAGTAGCCAATCAGAATAGTTTCCTTCGACTTTAAATGAATCTTCTTGGTTACTTGGTACAAAGTTGCGATTTAACTACATAAAATGTACGTAGGAGCTTTCTACGACCGTCCCAGACACTGAAACTCAGGTTACTCCGAATTAAAAAAACATTACGAACCTATTTAATTGAATTCAAATCTCGTTAAATACGCAAAATATGCTCAAAATGTGTTTAATTAGGTAAAGTTCTTTTATCACAAAGTTTTTATATCAAAGGTTAAAAAACCGTTTCATTATATTAGGGTCACTACAGATACTGTCATGTTCGTACGACAGGGCAATTAGGTAACGATTTGAATAAGTGGGATCTTGCCGAGTGAAAACTATTTTGTATGGAATATTGAAAATGATGCTAGAAGTGACATACTTTTGCACACTTGTAGTAAGCAATGTTTAGCTCAAAAATAAAAGCTAATATTATTGAATCTATCAGCAAGTCGTTTGATTAAGGTTATAACTGATTTGTTTTCTCAAGCATGAAAGCAGCTATATAAGCATGCCGCTTTATAAAAATAACGAAAGTTAATTGTTCTTATGCAAATAAGCTGCGGTGCGATTAGAGGAAACCAGGGGAATGAAAAATTACTCGGATTCAATAAATCTTTAATTCTTCTGCATTCTGCACAAAAAAATACTGTAGTAAAAGTTATAGCTTTCATTGTACAAATGATACATTTTACACAATAACACAGCACGGCATGCACAACCCAGCATAACAACACGATACCACGACACAGCACCTGAACGAAATACACGGCTGGTCTAGGTAAGGAAATATAACATAAGGCAAGAAAACACAGCACAACACAAGCAGCACAACATGACACAACACAGAACAACGACACGAGGCTGTGACGAGGCAGCACGGCACAACACAGAGTATCACAACACAGGGTAACAAAAAACAGCACATCACAAAGCAGCATAACATTTCACAACACAGATCAGCGACACGAGACCAGTGAACTCAAATAAGACTGGAACGCTCGCTCTCTGACTTTCCCTCATTAATGAGTGAAGCAAAGATGGTGGAGCATGAAGCCATTCATGTAGGTATGATCCAGGCTTCTTTCAAAGGTAAATCACTGGGTAAATCATAATTGCCGCCATTTTACCTACGAAATTTCCGAGTGGAGGCCTGGATCATACCTACAAGAAAGGCTTCATATTCCGCCATCTTGGCAGTTCAAATTTTTCGCAAAGTTAGCGTTCCAGTCTTATTTCAGTTCACTGCACGAGACAGCACGGTATCACAGAGTGTCACAACACAGCACGGTCACTCAGAGTATCACAACACAGCACAACACAACACAAAACAAAACAGCACAAGATAACACAAGTATTACACAACACAGAAGCGACACGAGGCATCCCATCAAATGACAATGCAATACAACACAGTACAGCATAATAGCCATAACACAACCTAACAGTATAACGCAACTCAAAACCTTGCCACTTCGGAATATTATTTTACTCTTTTTAAATATTTTCTAAGTAAACTGGGCGTATCATTAATGGGATAAATATTACTTCTTTGCAGATTTCACAGGAGGACATAGTTTTTACTAAATCCTATTTTTCCGAATTCATTTTTTTCATTTCTTTAAACGATCAATGATGAGTAGAATATAAACGTTTCAAATTTAGAAACGTTATGTTCTCATTTTTGACAGTGAAGCAAAATTTTCATACTCGGTGAAGTTATTTGTTAACTGAGCTTCACGTGTAAAGTACATGTTATCACTCATTGCATATACAGTTACGACATTGAGTCTTTGATGAAGAGGCTGATGAAGAGTGAGTGACGAACGTGACATTTTATACCTATCGTTTCAGTTACGACAATGGCGACAATAGCGCCTCCGATTATCATATAATGCGTACGATTTTCTACCTTCGTCCGTGGAAATAATTACAGAAAGGGTATCTTCTCATCCGTACTGCCGATTACTACAGCACAATCCCTCCCTTGAATTTAAAAACGAATTTCGTTTTCTGTTGCTAATCAACTCATTCGAAACCAATTAAAAGAATGGCGGCGCCCAAGTCATTCACACGTCGGAACAAAAGGAAATTACTTCATTTGTTCAGCTAACACGTTCATTCGATTTTTTAGAAAACACCTTTGGCACGCGAGTTAATGCAGCACGAAGGTTATTTCTTGTAATTTCAACTTCAATCACCTTCAATAGGGGTAGTTTTATGCAGTTTAAGGTTGTCTTTTGGTCGACAGAGGTGCGACATGTTTGTAAATAGAGTGTTGAAGCGACGCGAGGAGATTAATTTACATTCAAAATAATCCTGGCCATCTGTGTGATGGTTATCATGGTAAATTAAATCATTCTTCGTGAAGGAAGACTTTTAATAAGCCGAGTGTGTTATCGCAGTTTTCGAGATCACTCAAGCTTCTTCTCTCGTCGATACGAAAACATTTTTTTTATTATAACCTTAGGCAAAAAGGAAATTCTTCTTAAAAACAAATCGGTTTATGTGAAATTAGAGAATAAACGTTCCCAAGAAAACGATTACTAGTGGTATTATTCATAAGCGTTTTACCATGCATGACACCGAGATTTCGGGTAGTTTTTTTTTGGACATACTAATGCAGTAAGCCTTTTGTTCTCCGTATACTTCAAGAATGGTGAAGTCAATTTATTCATAGGACCTGCAGAGTTACTTCATTGGTTTATATTAGAAGGCGATGCACTGATTATACTCTATTTCAGTCAATCTACATAATTAAACATCATCATTATTATCATGATACACTTGCTGTAGATAAAAATTAAATGAGAGCTAGCTGGCGCGCGAGAATTAAATGATCTTAGCATAGATTGGCATAAGTAGAAAACAAAATATCATGAAGAAATTGGAGCCAGATCAATAATTAGCATACTGTCGTAATTTCTAGGATCAGCTCTTTTCCCGTTTGTCCTGGATAGAGCTTTTATGCCCGGTTATAGAATTAGGTATATAAGTTTTCAGAAACCAAAATCATACTTATTTAAGCACAGTTGCGAATCACTGTCATATTCTGTCTTATTACAAACTGAGATCTCCACATTCACACGGCAGACTCAAAATTAGGATTTACGTAGTTTTCAAATCAGCAGGGATCGGAATCAGGTGGATTATCCAGGAATTGTAACCCGCGTGTTAAGCGAAGCCGAAGGCAATAACGGCTTGAATAATGGCTTGAATACTTCTGCGTTAGTTAAAATGCATATACAACTGTACATATCATGTTTCCCTTAATCAATATCACTGGATAACTGGCGCGTGCCATCAGACACACATTCCTTTTAAACAGACACAAACTCAAATCCTTGTCTTTAAAAAACCCCAAAGAATTGAAAGTAGATGAAACCTGAGATTAATGCTAGGCAAACAATTCTACCGTGTACTTGTAAACACATAATAAAATTCAAGCTGATTTATACAATCCTATTCCACCATTGACCAATATACCAGTGGCATATCAGTTCTTCTCCCCTGCATCATCAGATGGTGGTAAACGCATCTTAGTAATTAAATGGTAAATCTGTTCATCAGTTGTTGTAATTTTGAACGTAACGGCAACGAAAGACTTGAATTTGTGATTTGCTCGCCCCCTAGAAACTTTATCAACATTTGTAAACAATTGACCACGATCTGCTGTTCTGTAAAGCTTTACTGATCTACCGCAACACTGGATTATTAATTATAATTACCTTAACTCTCTTTCCAACGTTTCAATAAATGAAAATCCAGCTCACCACCCTCGTCCTTTTCAGTGTGTGACGCAGTCTCGAAGCTGCTTCTTAAGAAATCACTCAATACAAATAACGCGATAGCTTCAACTGGAATGCTTAAATTCCTTTTGAACTGACGCATCGTGATCAGAGACTCCCAATCACGTCATCGTCTCGTTAATTAGAGTGACAGATGTAGAATATCATGTGCATTTTGGGAGAATTTTTGAAGTTGGATTAGCCTGAGAAAGGTTGAGCTATGCTCGGGCTAAAAAGGTCAGGTCGACATACACAAACATGTTGAACAAGTTAGAAAAGATAATGAATGAAACCATATACCGCATATATTATTATTTATTGCATATGGCGCTTAACTTTAGTGACGCGATATCTGAAATCCGGTGATGTGATTGGTTTGCGAAAAAATTCGCAGCGAAAACTGAGTAGAAACGCTTCCTACTTTTTATCTTCGCGCGAATAAATTCGCCCAGTGGAAAACGGGCTTTAGTCGGTGTCAAAGATTAGAAATGACAGTGCATGGGTTTCTATCTTGCATGACATTCCAAAAGTTTTTAAAAGAGAGAAGCTCATATTAGTGTGCCCAAAAATATAATATTGAATTAAATCTATAGATACGTGTGATGATGATGATGACTCCAAATGCAGTCTCAACGTCAGTTTCCATCCAGACAACTCACTCGGAAACAAAAAAACATTTCCGATTCGCTGAGGACTGAGATAACTTTGGGCATTTTTGAGTTTTAGGATTATAATTGACAATAATCGCGCAAAAAACCCCGGATATTTTTTGTTGCGATAACAGGTAGGTTTTTTTCTCTTGGATAGATGTAAACAAGTGAATGGTTATAAATGCGCTAATTTATATGTGCCGTTTTTTGAAGGTAAATTCGATATTGTATAAATTATAATAATTCAACAATATATAATATTGGGAAATTCGATCTTATAGAAATGTGGTAGAGCACTGGGCTAAAGAAAATGTATTTAGCCCTTCATAACAAAATCTTCACGATCAGCAAATTATATTCGGGAACTGGCGTACTATAGGAATTGAGGAATAATGAACCCCAGGATATAACCCATATAACCCATACGACTGAGAATAATAGAAATGCTATAATAGAGTCGGAAGTACATTCGAACTTACAATCTTGCCGGACGTGCACAACCCATTAACAGGTACGGGGCTGGCTTTACTAGAAGAACGTTTTAGTTGATCATTCACACAGAACTCATTTAGTTACAGGAGAAACTAAATGCACATCCTTTTGCAATTTTTTAGTTGCAATAACGTTTACATCAGTAATAAGCTGTTGACTCTGATCTCTTCGTAAGAAAACAAAACAATCATTCGTAGGCCGGGGTTTTGTAGCTACGTTTCACTCCCACGAGGGTCTATATAGTGTGCGGCGCCACCAAGCGCCACTTTTTACGTTCGAAGTGGCAATTACATTGTTGCGTAGCAACAGTGGCGTCAAAGTTCAACATGGCGTTCATAACAACACAAAGTTGCAGAACGCCGAACTTTAAGACTCCCTGGCGACTCGAGCAATAACTGACGATGTTAAAATATTGTGAAGCATACAGAAACATGCGTGAATCGTTATGTCGAGACCACACGAGAGCCGATTATGGGAATACAGATGTAGTTTTGCCCCATAGTAAACGGGCTTTACAGATTACTAGCTTAACCTGTGATGGATTTCCAGCGGAAAACGACACGAAAACGCGTAGTTTAACGAAAGATGGAGTTCTTAAGATTAAGAGCGAAGAAGGGGAGATTACGGATAAACAGTATCGTCGACAGTCAGTTAATTTCGAACAAGAATTCACGTTTACTCCACGGCTTAACGTGGCTAGCGTTCGCATGGCCAAAGGACGCACCGGTAGAGCTCGTGAATCAATCGAACGACGAGCAAACGCGTTAGTTGCTGAGGTCCAAATGAATTTTACCTTTAAACCAAAAGTGAGCAGCCGAAGTGAGAAAATCGCACAGAGCTTAAAAACATCTTTTCTCGAACGACAGCTTATCCATGTCGAGAAACAGAAAAAGATGGTAAGTGTTTCAAGTGCCAAACATTTGAAAAATTTTTGACATTTTTGGTCGCGATTGACCCGCTTGATCGTTACATTTGACTAATCAAAGACAGAGGCCAGAGCTAAGGGTAAACGTTGTGTTTATATATACAAGAACAACAATATTTCTAGCGTTAACTGGTTTCAAACACACAACACAAATTGTTGAATGTTCATTTTAATAAACTGTGAACATTGATTGGATTATAGAGTTCTAATCATGGCATATGTGCAGTGTACAGATTTGCAATTTTCTGCACAGAATTTACAGTTTTAGTCTTCAATGTACGATTTAACATCATCAAATGTACACATTCACAAAGGCCATAACTTATTTTAATGAAATTCATGAAGTATAAGAGAAACTCAAATTTGCATAAGTCCCCCAGCATATTTGTATATGGCGGCTGTTTAACCCCGGCTCAAATCCCCGGGTAGAAGCATGTACAGAAATAAGAACAGTATACTTTGAATACTTAGCTGTACTGTCACTGTATAGTTTTATTCAGATGCAGAGGCTTTACAATGCTGGTATATTTATTCAAAATTATGGGTGCATAAAATATACTACGTTTCAGTGTGTGTCATGAGATCTAGAATTTCTTTTATCACGATAATTTGTGCCAGTGGCCGGTTGTACGAAAGCTGGATAGCGCTATCGACCGGATAGTTTTTCAACCGTTTTAGTTATCAAAGATTTAGAACCTCTAATTTAAGATTACTAAGGTTTAATCCAGGTTATACCGAGGGCAATTCGAAAAACCACTATACTGTCTTCTTTTTTATCTCAAAGTCATGATGATACTTCATAGTTTTAAGTCATCATGATACTTCATAGTTTTAACTTAATAGCAAAAACATTAAGTCCCCTTAACGCCTCCTAGTGTTTGCCTGATACACGTACTTGTCGTAAATGCTGTCAACGCACCCACAAGCCTGGCAGTGCACCACATGCCACAGCAGATCTAATCAAAATTTTGAGGCTAAAAGAACTTCCGATTCGAAGGTCCCACTTGAGAATCGATGGGAAAGATTGGCTTTGATCGTGGTTTTGACATTGTGACGGCAAAAACATCACAGTGATTTTTTATTGTTGGTGTAAAATAACGAGCAACGTCTTGCAAATTTTAAAAATAACACTCTTAGCTACATCTCTCTTGAATGATCAACTTGAATATTATGCACTGAATATGCAGTCGTAAACAGTATCGTTGTATTAAGGTTGAAAACATTTAGTTTGCTTCTTGAATAAAACGATAGACTTGATTTCTATTTCGCCGAACTTAACCACCGTTTAAGCTAAACGGGCTTGATACAACCGGCCCCAGGTAAATCCTTCCCCTATTACCTGGGCTATTACCATGTTTCGGAAAACTAAATTCGTTGCCATCTTAGCACTTTGAATTTGTTTGTTTTTTGTAGCTAAAATGATAGCGTGATCTTTGCCTATTTTTATATATCTGCGGTTTCCGCAGACACAGGTCACACAGGAAACGCAATTCAATCTATTCTCAGATCGGTTCAAGGCATGCACACGAACAAATATAAATTTGTGTCTCTTGAAATTGTCAAGCATGTTTAGCGCAAACTGTATGGCACAACTAAAAAAATTGTAATCAATCTAATGGTTCAAAGCGAGCGCGTTTACCGGCATGAAATTATTGAAAATGCAAATTATCACACATCATGCAATAAAATATTAATTAGAACAAACCACACAATATTCTAATTAAAGTTTTCAAATATTGAAACAATCTTGCAAAAGTCAACATCAAATTGTCATTCACAAGAAAAAACGTTTAAATTTGTAGCTAGACAATCACGAAGTAATGCCATTATCTCAAGCAAATCAGGGACGATTAATTCCAGTTATCAAAAGTCACAAACAGAAAAAAGCAACAAATCTGGTACGTATACATGTAGCTAAAATATATACTACCCAAGAGTGAATATTTGCTTACAACGCATACTTTATTTCATGACTAACTTCCGATTAAATATAAGCGGTGTTTGATGAAAGTATTTAAATATATTTAGCAAATGCTGTATTCGTTTGTGGTTTGAAAATCGCAATAATAGTTCACATTAATTTCAAGTTGAATCAGTCAATGTGAGTTTTTATTTCGATCAGCTAGAGAAGTGATGTTTAACGAATCTAAGCTGAACTTATTATTTTGACGAGAAACCTTTTGAGTTTTGATACCAACAATGTAATTCCTTGAAAAGTTTTATTAACTTGTGCGAACGGCAAAAAATACAGGTTTTCGGAACTGCAGCACACTGCTCTGCTTGAAAGTCCGGTATTTCGTAGTTGGAGTGGCCAGGTAACAGTACGCTTCAGGTGGAAAACAGACCTTCAACGTTGTCGTCTGGAGGTGCTCGATCAGCGATTCACCGTTCAGGTGGGCCGTCTATCATTTTAACTTAAAAATTTCCCATTTCTTGCTCAGCATGTAGCTCATGTTAAGCGCACACGGTGAGATTTCCACCTCGCGTGTCAAAAAAGATCAAACATGTTTGATACGTGAGTCAAGGCTGCATGAGGCCAAATATTCAGTGAAATTCACACTCGGAGAGTAAAGTGCTGAGCAAACAGACACGAATAACGTTTTGTTCGGGGGATAGCTCTCGTGTGCTGCAGGCTTTCACTTCGAGATAGCAAACAGAACCTCAGTATTATATTGTGAAGAATTTATGTATGCACGCCAATTCGTCCAGTTTTCTAAGATGCAGAACCGTTGCGTTTAACCTGTTTTTTTTGGTTTTTACCGTCTGTGACATCGTCCAAAAGACTCAGATGTAGTGTCCTAAAATATATCACTATCCATAATGTTATGTAATCTTACGTTTGCTTAAATAAGTCAGAAAAAAAGGCTGTTGAAAACGCTGAGACATGAATGAGGAATTCAACCATGCTTATGCCAATATATATTCTTAGCCGACACTCGCATGCTAGCTTCTTTCACACTTTCACACTTGAGTATTGCCATAAAGTAGGAAAATAAAATCAAATAAAAGACAAAGCCGGTTTTGTTTAATGATTTTGAAGAGAAAATACTAATAAATCTCCCGATTTTTATCAACTCTTCGCATGTAGGAGCAAAATGAGACGGAGAGACAAAATGAAAGTGAAGCAGACGAAATAAAAAAGACAGAGATAACAAGATCTGCTCCAGACTGCTTGACAAATGACTATTCTCAAAGACGCAATATGAAACTCCACAACACTCACCAAACTTCAACTTCACAACAGAAAGACAATTCGTTTATAAAAAACTCACCATATCACTCAGAGGAACAAAACAAACTGTCGCGTCGAGCTCACAAAAGATTAAAAACTCACCCTGGAGCGAACAGTAGTAAAGACAGTCTGCTACCAGATGATATCATAAAGCCAAGTAAAATGATCTTAAAACCCAAAGATGGTCATCGAAAAGCATCGACTGTTTCAGGTCAAGTAACAAGAGGAGCACAATATCATAATATGGCTATGTTTAAAAAGTTACGAGAGACTAAACAAATAGCTGAGGCTGCAATGAAGGTTAGTTTAGCAGTTTTCTTGTTAGGATATATGTAGGGATCTGCAAGGTGAATTACTTTTGCCTACTTGCTAGAATCAAAAGGTGTTTGTCTGCCACGGACCTTATCCAGTAGTTCGCGCTAGTCTACGCAAGAGAGGTTGGGTCGAGAAACACTTCAAAGGCTGTCCGGCAGTCGTAACTAATAGCAACAAGAAATCGCAAGAGAAATCCAACTCTAGTGATAATGAAGATGACGATGATACTGATGATATAGAAAAGGGTTGTGAGAGGAATAGTGGTGATAAAGAGGACAGTGATGGTTATATGGGTTCAGATAATGCCGTTTGGAGTGCAGGATATGAGAGTGAGGATTGTGAATATAGTTTGTTGGTGAGTTATCAAAGCTATTAGCAAGCGGTCGCCTGTTTAATTCAGTACCGGGCTTTAGGTCTAAATCTGCCACGGACACGGGAGCTATTGAAAATATGAGTTCGTGTGCTAGCCATGAACACTACATTATGGTTTATCAATAACTATTCAGTGGGTGAAGCCCAAACAACGAGAGAGTAAGACTCAGGTTGAGATCTTTCTTCCCCCCCCCCCTCGGAGGGTGCATCAGACTTTTGACACAGGAATCAGCTGCAGAATTCCGACATTTGCTTTTAAAGCTAAATTGATGGAGCAAGTGATGACCATCACACAGTGCCAACACTATCACTGACTGTTTCAGTGTGATGCGCTTAAAATTTAGGGCCCTTTTTGTCTGTGCTTTTAGCGATTTTGCCCAATTTCGACACGCACTTCGACATGCTTATGATTATAAACTCTATTTATAATCCCTAGTCACGATTCTGTCGCAATGCAACTGCAACGTTCTTTTGGACATGCAAACGAGACGACATCGACTTTAAATATCTAAGAAAGGTATGGAAACCGTTAAGATTTTTACTGATACCTTTGCTAGTACACAATTGTATTATAAAAACACACTGCTAACTGTTAAGAACAAAGTCTTGTCGACAACACGATCTTTTAGTTTTAAACAAGATTTGTTTGCACGAGTAAGCGTTTGACAATGAAAACCGGCGCACACTACAAAATCAAAAATGAATCAAGTGTTCTACGACCTATTTTATATTTATTGTATTTTGATATCATCATTTTTTAAACATTTTCTGCTGAAGATGAAACATGATACCAAATATACAGATAATAGTTCAAAATATAACGATGCTTTGCAAGAGGAGACTTTAAGCATAATTTTACTATACCCGGCCACCTTCTCATTACAATATAAATATAATAAATCAGTTACCTTGCGATTATATCCTCGCTCCAACAAATATATGTTAACAATGTCGTCAAGAAAACAATGTCGTCAAGAAAAACAGCCAGAAACCTATAACCTTCCTTTCGTTAAATAACCCATCGACAAGTTAGTGTTGTATTTTCCAAGCCAAACTAAGTCAATTGACTAAATTATTATAGACTTGTGATAACTATTCGCGTAACCTATTTCTTCTGTAGGAACAGATTGCTAACCACTTTTCAAGGGCATATTCCTTCACAACTAAGGTTAGTTCATGTTGAATGACCGTTAGTTTTGGTGCTGACTTGCGACAGTTAGTGATATTACTTTGAAGAAGACAAATAACTATACGTCCTGGTTTACCCACCGCATTTCGATCGCAATACACGGCTGGGTTGCCAGATTACTGAAGAAAGAAGCCAAAGATTGTTTTAGTCGGCCCTTTGATTTCTTTGTTTCAAACAAAAAAAACTAAGCTTGTGGTAAATAATACTTGGCTAATTTTTCATTAATCTGGCAACCCTCACATATTCAAATTTGTCGCATAAAGTAATCATTAATTAATTCAAAACATAAATATCCCTTTGAGCAGTTTAAATGCATTCCAACTGTGTATTAAAACTATACGTACAATGTAGTTGTCGACAAATTTGAATAAGAAAATAATTTTTTAACTCCCTCTGCATGTACAGGATGAGATAATGAAGGGTAATGTAATCTCATTATCTATTGTCTTAGTTGTACAAACATATGTAGATGTTCAAACCAAGCATTAATTGCTGCTGTATGGAAAAGAAGCAACCTTGGAATTGCATTAGATTAGATTAGATTAGATTAGATTTACCTTCCCGAGGAATTAAAAACATCCGTCTGTTTTTAATAATTGATAATAGTAGCGCATGCCGTAGAGATATTTCAGTATATAGCACATGAGATTTCTTTCTCGTGTTTTTGACTATATTTGTATAAGTTTTAGAGAAACTTTACATTTTTTGTGGAGCTAACTTGAAAATTACGACTCATTAGGTTGGTTTGTGCACGCACCTACGAAATTTAGCTTGGTTTGAAGATGCAAGCTCGGATGATTTCTTTCCACGTTGTCACCGCCTTGGTTCTGATGATGAAAAGGAGGCTTTTATTGGTAAGCGCGAAAATTCAGTCATGAGTGAGGAATGCAATTTAAGGCTGGTTGCCACTGCACAAAAACTAATTCATACGCTGACAGACAGAGGCCTTTTATACCAAACGACTGTTGTCGTTTGTGTATGCTCTGACTATACCATTTTACCCTCCCAAATCGCCTACGATCGTGTTAATTAGATAAAAATCCTTCATTGTCTGCATATTTACATCTGAGCTCCTCTGAAATGCTCATGAAAAAAGGACGAACTTCGGTCGGGTACGAAATTCGTCTTTGTTACTTGAGTTGCCTTAGAACAAATGTTAAAAGACAAAGAAAAATCGCGTTCCATGCAGTGATTTGCGCGCGGTCATTACGCGGTATATATGATATATGTTCGATAATGAGGAAGGGTTGACTGAGCTCAGAGGCCGATTACACTCAACACCGTTTGCCGTCAAGAAGCAATGATTATGATAGCAAATGCTTTGACAGATTTCGTAGATTGATTTGGACTTCAGACATAAAATATCTTCGCTGCCTTTCAATACTGACGTTCAAAATTTGACCCGCTTCGCACCGCAGTCCGGACCACCCGTATAGGGTGATCAAGTGCTAGAGTGTGGATAGAAAGAAATGGTTAAGGAAGCTAGGGGCTGTGTTGCCGTCCCACATACTTGCCTGACTTTGGCCTAGATTTTTATATTCATATTGTGAAGACCCTTTGGCCTAGTATGAAGGCTTTTTTGCGAGGGTTTTCATCCAATGAAACTTATAAAAGTGCTTTTGTGTTGATCTGTTTCGGATTCAATAGCTCACAGTGAGCTTGCTAGTGGTAGTAGGTTTTGAGGTGAATGAAGGAACGCCTCTATCTTGACCTAGTCTTGGGTAGTGTAGGCTTTAAGTAAGAAGTAATGTTTAGTAAGAAGGCGTTTATTTGGAACTAATCGAGTCTTTTACGCTCCAGAGGATTACCGCATCACATCAGCCTGCAACATTTTGAAGTTACTAATCGAGCATTCCAAAGACCAATCACCAACGAGCATCCAGTCAAGCGCCAAAACGAAATCGTCGATAAACCTCAAGGGAAAGATTGGTTCAGCAAATCAGCGATCGTCATCTTGTTCAGTAAACACACAACGATCTCGATCAAGTAGTTTAAGTTCAAGCGAGCGGCGGTCTCTGATGAAACAGGTGCCGCCACGTGCTATCTTGCTTGCCCTGCGGGCGTGCAGGCAATTTATCGTGTGTAGGAACAACGAGGACATTGATGGTCAATATGAGGTAATGTGGGAAAATAGAGTAGTTTGCCTAGACTGAATCGTGAAATTTTTCTTGCATCTATCATCTGTATTCCTTTTTTTAATTAATATGTTAGACAATTCACTAAAATTTTATCGTGTTTTAGAATGCTATGTTGACAGAAGAAGATTGGGACAGTCTGATTGGTTATTACTACAAGATAATTCAGTAGGTCTTCCTACAATAGCGGATATTTTATAATTTTACCTTTTTTAGATGTCTCAAAATTGATGTTTTTCAATCAAATGTTTTCATTTTTAGTAAGGGCAGCACAATAGAGGGAGGCGAGCAATACGTTGAACGAAGTGAAGAAATGTTGAAAGAGGTAAATATACTGAGCCAACTGAACGTAATGAACTTTATAGTACTTGAACGTCCGTTTACTGTCACTAATTTCGAAAAATTGACTGAAGTAATTACTCTCTTGGATTTTAATTGATTTTGCTGCATTACTGTTACTGTTACTCCCTCATTCTCTAGATATCTCAATTTTTTTTCAGATGCGAGAATTATTACCTCAGTTGGACCTCGACGGAGTGCGCAACGTATGGATTGTGAAACCTGGCGCCAAGTCACGTGGACGCGGTATAATGTGCATGGACATGTTGGAAGATATTCTCAAACTTGTTAGCAGTACAGTTAAGAAAGAAAATCGATGGATTGTGCAGAAATATATAGGTTTGTACTTCCTCTGAGACAAATCATACTTCTCAGCTCTCGGAAAATGGATTTCAATGAAATACTTTACCTGAGGATAAATGGAGAGATGGCGTAATTAATTGTGTCTATTTTTTTAATAGAACGTCCGCTGTTAATATACAACACAAAGTTCGATATTAGACAATGGTTTCTTGTCACTGACTGGAATCCACTGACGCTGTGGTTTTACAAAGTAAAGTTTAGCGTTTTTACCTCCTAATTTAGTCGTCTGTACAGACCGTTACGTAGTTGTTGAATTATTTTGTCTTTTTTAGGATTGTTATTTAAGATTTTGTAGTCAAGAATTCACCTTGGATAATTTTGAACCGTAAGTTTAGGCTCATTTAGTTACACCCATTGCTGCTCAAACTGTAGTAACATAAATATATTTTGCTGAAGAAGTTTTCTACCATCATTTCCCTAGTCTTGCAATATAGAATGCATTTTACATTTCTTGCAGATGTATCCATTTAGCAAACAATTCCATACAGAAACATTATCAAAATGGCGTACGTGACGAACGATTACCTGATAACAACATGTGGAGTAGTGACAATTTTCGAGATTATCTCAGGTAAAAAAATACTAAAAATCTTTTCACAAGAGTCCAGTAAACTCAGGTAATTTCTCGTTAAGCCGTAATTTCTGCATGTTTTAAGGAAAAGAGGTAATGGAAAATTATGGGAGGAAGTGATATATCCAGGCATGCGTGAAGCAATCGTTTATACCTTGGAATGTTGTCAACTTAGTTTAGAGGCAAGAAAGGTAAGCTGGTCTGGTCATTTTAACGTACTCTTTGCTCTATAGCGTGCACTGTTAAAGTAACGTGCTATAACGTGCACAGTAACGTGCTACAGTTTAAGAGATGAAACATCGCTAACTGAATCTGTACTTTATCGTATACTGAAGCGAATTTTGGGTTTTCTGAGCATTTGGGCAAACAATGACTTTGAGACAAAGAATTACGTTACATAACGTTACGAAAAGCTCGATGTGGAAAATAGGTCTAATGTTTGACGTTTTCTAATCACCTTACAGTATATATTTTCTGAGAGAAACTCAAGAGTACCTGAAGACTCATTGAATGACTTGGGCTTTCATGACGACAACGTCTTTATACTCACCCTCTATTACAATTTAGAATTCATTTGAGTTATACGGGGCTGATTTTATGTTGACAGAAGATTACAAGCCTTGGCTGGTGAGTTGAACATGCAAACAGAATAAGATTAGGGTAGAAGTTATTCTTTTTAATGTACTCATTTTAGATTGAGATTAACTCAAGTCCTGCGATGGGTGCTAGTACAGCAATAACAAGAAAACTCTGCGCTCATGTTATCGAGGACACTATGAAAGGTGAGGAATAACAAGGCATGCTACATTAGTCGCACACCTATAGTTAGTCTTGAAGAATCGTTGAGTAATCACTTTAGATTTCTTTTTCAGTGGTTTTGGACAGAAAAGAAGACAAAACCTGTGACACAGGAAAATTTGAATTGGCCTTTAAACAGGTGATTTTGAGAATATCATGATTCTGGGGCATCTATCTGGTTGGAGAGAATTTAAGTACAGTTGCATGGAGTCGCCATAAGGGATGAATTTTTTGGCAACTTTTCCTGGTTTATCAAAAAAAATTTTTTTCGAATTTTTATGCATTAACACCATTCTATTTGTTAACCACGAACCTGGCTCGCTAATGCTATTTATATCTACGAGACTCCCAAAACTTTCATGCAAATATGTTTATTGCAGCCCTATGTTGACGCACCACCATACATTGGAATAAATTTAGCTGTGAATGGTAAAGCAATATTCTCACCGCATCTTTCATTCCGGCGGCAACCAAGTGCAAATCGTATTGAAAAACTGTCACGGCCTAGAGAAAAATATCCAGCGAAGCCTAACGATGATACGTCCACGACTAAGTCCGCGCATGACGCGACGAAATCCGAGATCGACACGACAAATTGTGAGCATACGACACAATCCGAGACCATTACGACGAAAACGAAACAAAACACGAAAGAAAACCGAAACGACGACATGAAAGAAGATAACAAAGCTAAAGACACGACAATTTTAAAATTGAAGGAAAACAATCTTACTCTAAATTGTGATGAGAAATCAGGAAAATCCGACTCATTGCTAAACAACATAAAGCAATCACGCAATCATGTTATGAATACGTATTTGAACGAGCAGCCAAGACGTTGGAAGTCCGTAAAACTTCTGGATTCTGAGAAAAGTTCTGAGACTGGAAAATTGACCCAACTACGGACCTTCAACATGGATCCAAATATTAAACCTGCTGGCAAAAAGACCTTTCAAAATAAGTTCGTTAAAACGAAAAACAAGGGCAAAGCTGCCAAAAAGATGAAAAAGTGGGGAGGGGAACACTCGGATAATGGTTTGGACCCAGTGGACAAAAATATCCCCCGCGTTAACAATGAGGGTCATGTTAAAAGAAAAGGTGATCACATAGACAATAATAAAATACCACCAGCAAGGTTGATATCAATACCGGACGTAGGTACCCCTAGGACAATACTCCGGTATACAGATAAGCGGTATGGACAGGGACAGACCGTGGCTATAGATATGGGGCCTGAGACCATGCTACGAAAAAATGCAGAGACTGTAACTAGTTGAAAGGTAGTATATGACCCGAAGGGAACACAGGGTGGTGGTTGAATACGAGATTATAGATGTGATCTTTTGAAGATGTAAAATCCTTAGAAGTGAAATGTTCGTTACGAGAGCTAAAGACAATTTATCGATGACTAAATCTGCAAATTACCACCACTCCAGATTCATAGGCAATATCTATATTGCGTGCGATGGACTGTGAAGAGAACGTATTAAATACAAATGACTTCAAAAATACTGTTGTGAATTTAGATTTTTTAATTGCAGTTTATTGTTTAGACCAATGCATAAACTTTCTTAAAATCACGTCTCGAAAAACCTTTTTAGAAACAGTTTCTCCATTGGTGGTGTGTGACCTAGGCCACCTAGATTTGTAGTCATACAAATGGCAAAGGAGTTCTCACGATTGCATGCAAGGCAGTGTATTTATTCACGGCATCACAGAGTTCAAAGTTTGACACCGAAAAAAAAACAACAAAATTTTAAAAACGTCCAAGTTTTGAATTTGAATGGCGACACACTTTATAATGAAAAATAAAATATAAATAATTTTCTATGCAAATATATTTTATATAAGAGCTATCAAAGCTACCGATTAATTATTACAGTTAGTTCACAATAAGTTATGTTGATAAATGTTAACTAATGAAAATATCTATATTAATTACATTGCCGTCCTATTTATTATTTTCTAATTGTTATAACCTTACCATAGTTACCCTAACCGACCTACTGTTTGACGCCCCTTTTGCAGTCGCCCTACAATTTTTGAATGGAAACATCACGTATGTCGGACTTGAACACTCGCCTGCACGTTACGAATCCACCTAAAACTTATAAATCAGCGAAAAATGCAGGAACGTGTTCTGGTCACAGACACGAGTAAACCTTAATAAAGTATTTATTGAAGTTAAAGTCACGGGAAAATGATGAATTTGAGACGGAGAACTAAGAAGAATTTATTTGCGGATGGTTTCCTCTGCCAGAATTCTATTCAGTCCGGGGTTCTTCTTTGAATTCAGCATCCCCTTTCAGCCATTCTTCGTTGCTTCCAGCTCCAGAGAATTCATATCTGTGGTTGTATGTTGTTTGTAATATAAAATATAATCGTTATGATGAGAAAACGTTTTCTGAGACTGTTCTTTGAACTAGTTTCTTTCAAACATTCTTGGTTTAGATTTTCCAACCATTTCGCATCATCAAGTCAAAATTTTGATACATCGCTGTGACGCTGTTTATTCCATGCTCATACCTCTCATAAATATGCTCATACCTCATAAATATGCTCATACCGAAGGCTTTTAAATCTCCTTTTCTTTTACGGCTACTGATCTATATATGTCCAGTTACAGGTACTCTCTAGCGTACTCCATGACTACGAGTTACACGTGTAGTATAGCCATGATAATTATCGTTGATGAATAAGCTCATTTTAAAATCTTGGTTCTCGTGGTTTAATATTACGTTTCTTCATGTATTCTAAGAACTGATCAGGCAGTTCTTCTAACACGTCCTTTGCCAGTCTCGCGCCACTCATGACGTCACCACGATTGTTATGGCCGCCCAAATAATCGCGGAATGGTACGAACTATATGACGCAGTATATGCAAATCAGTAATGTCTGTATCCCTAATGGGGGGATATTTATATATATGGAGGTAAGGGAATACAGAAACAATAGTGAACTTAAGCAAGTGACGTAAACATAAACGGGCACGAGTAACGTCAAAAAGACTGGGTCAAGGATTGTGATTGGTGAAAAACTTCGGGTCAACGTACCTTTAGTCAAAAACATCACTTGCTTAAGCTCACTATTATTTCATGACTTACTTGTACTATATCACGCTCAGCCTCTCGACCTCGCGAAGAAAGTCGAATGACATCACCATCAAGAACTTCCATCGCTAAAAATGAAGTTTTGTTTTTTTTAACGATTACCGTGCCAAATGGTTTGAGACTTTGAGGGATGAAAATAGGGACTCTCGTAGCCATAAGATACTAGTATTTGAATTAATTAAGTTACCCTCAAAATCAGCCGGTCCAATACCAACTATGATAATAGACATCGGCAAAGATGCTGCCTAAAAAAGAAGATATATAGTCATGATTACACACACATAACACATTTACCTAAGCACAACTAGCAACGAACATGCAACAGACTTTGACCAGTGCTCTTTAAAAGGCTTGTTCCCAAGCTAGCATCGTTCTCACTTCGTGCTCGAAGATTGTGACAAGTTGTAAGAGCGCTTTTTCGACGAGCTTCTCCTGAGTTCTGACGTCAAATATCTAACTTTTTTTCGAGTATACGTAGAACTTTTAAATCTTGACTGAGAGCCCAAAAAAATAATGTAAAATACTTACATTTACGATGGCTTCTTTGGTTTGAGCCAAATCAGAAATAATTCCATCAGTCAGGATAAGAAGGACAAAATAGCTTATTGAGAAAAACATTGTTTAGGTAAGAAATAAATTGTACATAAATGACTAATTTCTCAAAGATCCCAAGTGTTGCTCAATGCAGTTCGCGTTGACTTGACCACACACAAATACACAATGAAATTTACTTACTCATCACCATGGTTACGTCTGACGCTATCACCTGCGATCCTAGGGCAAATAAACATTTTTATTACCTATATCCATAGGCAGCCCAGGAAGCATGCGAAAATTATGTATGCATGTTTATATAGCATATAAACATGTATACATAATTTTCGCATGCTTCCTGGGCTGCCTATGCTATATGTTGTTTAGGCATAATACATCGTCATTTTTTAAACAGCAAACTAGTTATATATACCTCGCACAGCTGTTGATAACAGGAGCAAAGTTTGTTGGACCTAGAAAGATTTGATTACATCAGGAACAATGAAATGATTCACATGATCAGATGACAAAAATAACTTCCAATTAGTGAAGTTAGACAAGTGAAAATTTTGTTCGTAGTCTGCGTAGTCAAATAATCCACGATATAAGAATGAAATTGAGCCAATTCTTTGAAAACTCTGAATCAGTAAATATGAATTTTGCACAAGATTTAAATAAACTGATTTTATCCGCAGTGGCCGTAGAAATATTTTCTACAATATATAATTTACAGTATATATGACTTTCAGTTAATTTCTATGTACGTTTGTGGTTGAAATCAAATCATTCGCAATAGAAAAGACTGTAGAAGAGACATTTGATCTATAGTTACTTGACGTATCAACATACCATACAACTGTACTCGCTGAATGCACTCGTGATAACTGTGGATCACCCCAGCAACACCGTTACAATGAGGATTACTGGGATTCCAATTCTGAAGATATAGAAGATGTATATGACTATCATTTTATGTAATTTAGAAGGAAATATTGTCATCATATGCCTGAAGTTAAATCGTATCGTACCAGCGCAAACTCGTGCGAGACTTGCCATTGAGGCGGGAGTCTGGCTCCAAAGCCAAACGCGGGAAACTGTTTATCTCTGAAACAAATAAGTCAGAGTTGTCAAGATTTAAAAACATTGCAGCAAAACGTAGAATAAATAATAAAATTATCTGAGGGCGAGTTGATCTAAGTGTGACAAACGTACGTGTCATAGTCTTCGCATATTCTACCCACGGCTGTCAATGCTTTTACATAAAGATTTTGCTCATACGGGTTTATGTAATGCAGAGAGTTGGGGTTGTCCTGGGCACCTAAAAATGAGAATATTTTATAGTTTAAAACGAGCAGGAGATCTTATTTAATGACTAAAAAATCTGCCTGCTCATAGGTTGCTAAGGAATAAATCTGAACAAAAGTATAAACATGTTTTAAATTTACCATTTGACGCAGTAAAATCGACAGCGACAACAAAGTTTATTTGGGTTCTATAGGCAAAAGGAAAGATTTTTTATATTCAATTATTTTGTGGGAGTTTTTTGTTAATGCAAATAATTCTGTTAATAAAAAAGTCGTAGTAAATAAAATTCGTAATAAAAAATTTCCTGGGAGGGGCGTACACTCTTATAACATTTTATCACATTCCGCCCCTGCACTCTGCCTGCATGAGGGACTGAGGATTTTCACAAATAATTCTGTTAATAAAAAAGTCGTAGTAAATAAAATTCGTAATAAAAAATTTCCTGGGAGGGGCGTACACTCTTATAACATTTTATCACATTCCGCCCCTGCACTCTGCCTGCATGAGGGACTGAGGATTTTCACTTTATTTCAGTCTGGATCCGCTTCTTCTAACGTTTACGGATGTACTGGAAATTGAAATAAAGATGCAGTACTAACCCCCCTCGAATAAAATCTAAAAACGTTGGCTGCTGTTCGATTGTGCACAGCATAAGCGTGACCTATACAAATGAATAAAAGATAAATTGGGTGATACGTGGAAGTAAAGTAATTATCTATACTCTGTTGTTCTAGACAGTCAAGGGTTGTTCCGTAAGTAAAGAATTATATGTCACAGATATGGGGGAAGGGGACTGTAAGAATTCTTAAACGAATGTTAAAAACATGACAATGTTTTGCTGCCATGCACCCCACTGGCATGACTGTCAATAATGTGTCAGATGCAAACAACAGTTTTCAATAATCCGGTTTTCATCAACTGAGAAAAAGTAAGCGGGTTATTCGTTATTTGTGTACGGGATGTCTTACAGTTCCAGAGTTTGTGTACTTTTTCTTCTTCTTCGCCTGCTTCTTTGGACTGACAACCTGCGAAAAAACATAAATCCAAAAGTTAAAATTATTTCACAATCATTTCTCCCCAAAACACGGAGTTTTAGAAAGTGTTTCTATATATTTGTTGAACAAATACATTATCCCCGAACATATAGATTCAAAATAGCTTTTCATTTTGCTTTTCTGTTCTAATGGGGAGTCGTTTCGTTGTCTATTTCGTTGTCACATAAGATTTAGGGAGTTTTACTGAATTGGTGATAAATTTAGGCACAGCCATTACCAAAATTAGCTACTTGATTCATGTGACGATGAAGCATGTTTGGCGTTGCTGTACGAAGCAAATTTGCAGTGATTGGCAGTTCAAATGGAGTTACTGTTTTTCCGTGTAATATATATCAAATGTTTAAAAGTTTATAGCGTCGTTACATAAGTTATACTAGTTTAGTTAATATATATAATAGTTTAATGAGTATATTTTAAAAAGTATGTAGCAAAGTTGTATATAAATTTGGAATGTGAAGAATTAAAAACTAACTTCAAAAAAACACTCGTCAGACAATTTTTTAAACCATTGCCACGCACAACATGACTCGTCGCGATCATTTATCACCTGTTAAACATATTTTAGTTAACACTTAACATTTACCATTTTCACAGTTTAAAAAATATTTAATTTCGCATAAAATTTAATTGAAACCAAAAATTTAATGCCTTTACGATTTAGGGAGAAATTTAGTATCATATATATGATCAGTAAATGTATGATTAAAAATGATTAATTTTTTAATACAGTTCACTGGTCAACGTTACTCTATACATTCACGTGTTTTTTAGGATAAGAAATGTGACATACATCCCACGTGATCCCCTGCTGTCCATTATCGTTCATCTCTCGTAACGTTGTTGAAAATTGACCAATAAAATCATGCCTGAAAAGCAATATGAATATATAAATTGGACAATTCTGTCTGCGGCCCAGACGCATCGTGAAGCGCAAACCATGGTCCATGGTCTAATGACCATGTGATTGTAATTTGTAGATGCGAGAGATTTCAAATAGAATTAAATCAAATTATGAACGAGAACGAAATTGATTGTAACGAATAGTAAAGAAAGTGATGAAAAATACGAAATTTACAGTCCTTTGGCCCTGATTTAAGTTGGTTCATTATACGTTCGGTTGCATCCCTCGCCCCTGCGTGCTTTAGTTTCTTAAATCAAGGCCTGATTCCACGCGGGCGCTGTTTCTCGGCGAAATATATCATTTCGACCGCTCGAATACCTTAGGTGAAAAATTTCTCCCATGGGGGCGTGGAATCAGGGCTTTAAGGTTAAAAAACAATTCGCAGTGAAATAGTGTAAATTAGACAGTATTTTCTGTGATCATGGTTTTTAGACAGGGTTCGATTAAATTCGTAATGAGTTTTATATAATAGACAGTAAAATACGAAAAATATACGGTAGATATTTTTCATATTCTTATTATACAATATCAATTACGTGATCACTTTCCAGGAATACGAAGTTGCATAAGTCACGATTCACGAAGACGTGTAATATGCTTTATTTATAGTATTATTGACTGCACAAATTTTCTATTCATTAAAAAATGCATTTTTCTGATCAAGCAACACACCATGCACGACGTAGAAATATTTTAAGTAAAAGAAAGCGTATATATTATATATATATATATATATATATATATATATATATATATATATATATATATATATATATATATATATATATATATATATATATATACAGTAGGAGGCAAAAGTTTGAGTCCAGTGACTGTATTTCATTGTTTTGGCAGCATACATTAATTTTCTACAGAAAACCTTACCTATAAGTGAACTAGAAAAAAGTAAGTAAGTAAACTGAAAAATACATGCTGTACAACAACTATGAGATGTTATGATATTCATTTAACGTATGTTAATGTGCAAAGATGCATTACATGTGAATGCTTTGTATCCCTCTTTTTTGCTCTTGAAACGGCCTTTATTCTTGCTGGCATAGATTCCATAGGTTTTTTAATGTCGCACGTTCAATACCTTGCCAGCATTCGTTGACCACTTGCCTCAAGTCATCGTCGCTGCTGGGTCTCTGCCTCGCCCTTTTCCCGTTGAAACGGTCCTAGAAATGTTCCATAAGTTTTAGATCTGGAATTTGAGGTGGAAAGCCAGGAGAACGAGATCACCAGAACGAGTTTGCTTCTAAAAGATTTCTGGCACATAGAAGATGTGCATGTGCTTAGGGTGATTATCATGTAGTTAGACGCGCGATTATCTTTGTACCAGATGAAATTCCATGTCCTTGAAGAATCGGATGATACTTTTCCTTGATTAGGATCCTATTATATCTTTCAATATTGCCAAACCCAGCATGACCGAGGCAGCTAAAAGTTTGCTTGAGTAGGATTTAGTTTCTTCGAACCTCTCCATGCAAGGTTAGTTGCATACCACCCTTTGAAATTCTCACTTTTTCTGCGATCTTACGAGGAAAGAATCCTTCAATACTTAATGCAACTATTTGTCCTTGTGCACCATCACTTTGCACTTTTTCCCACCCATCTTGGGCAGTGTAAAGGAATGAGAACTTTATTTTGTTATAATTTAGATCATTAGGACCAAAACAGTGTGCAATTAATATGGTTTATAGTACTGAAACACTAGCACGCATGTCTTTACTCGAATACGCTGCCAGGATTTAATACTGGAATTCTACAACGACTGGGCTCAAACTTTTGCCTCCTACTGTATATATATATGTATTTGCATATGATTACATTTGCATGGTATTTCAATCATATTACACAACATATATGCAATTCTAATTAGATTTCGAGTATCTATCTATCTATCTATCCGGGGCCAACGTTTTTGCAAATAGGTGTATATATATATATATATATATATATATATATATATATATATATATATATATATATTTATCACATACTTGTGCCTTTATCAGGGCGATAACAGGGTGACATAAAAACGATATCGTCACTGATATCGCTTTTTGTCACTGATATCGCTTTTTGTCCCGCTGCATTTGCCGCTGTCAAAACAAAGATGGCTGACTCGAGCAGTTCGAGGTTTGTTTCAGTCAATGTCGATTGCTTTATAGATCAAAAAGAAGTATGTGATAAACAGGTTATCACAATCGAGACGAGGTGATATCAGTTTTATCGCTTTCAGGACGATATCATAAATGTCCCTCGTTCGCTGCGCTCACTCGTGACATTTATGATATCGTCCCTCAAGCGATAAAACTGATATCACCTCGCCCCTCATGTGATAACCTATACATATATATATATATTAAAAAACTCCAGACGTTTCGCCAGTTATGGCTTCTTCAGTGGACTAATAACATATCAGATAATCTATCCCCCATTTATACATAAAATATCCCGTGATACCAAATAAGCTAATCTAATTGAAAGGCAAATTCTGCCTATATATATATAAGTAAATAACAAAATAAACTTTGGTAACTATATCAACATTTATTCACCTCCTACGTTTCGGGGCATGCCCCTTCTTCAAGGATTAATATAGAAGTCAATGGCCTATACGTATATAGTAATTACCCTACATATTATTCAAAGTCTCTTACATTTAATCCCCGAGGTACAAACGAATCTAATTTGTACACCCAAAATGCCTCCATTTGTGTAGGCTTATCAACATTGGTCTTATCAATAATGATAACCCTCACATCCCTTAAACCTTTATGCCCAGGGCCAAAAAAATGTGCATATAAGTGCTCCGCAGCCATTTTTCTGCCCCCTTGTTCATACTTCCTCATCTTTTATGGTTATTAAACCTCTTTCTAAAAGATGTAATAGTACTCCCCACATAAATCTTAGAGCAACTGATACACCGTATTACATAAATTACGCCTTCTGAATCATAATCAAAAGAATAATTTATCCAATACTTATTTATCCCATATTCAAATTTCTGCGTTTCCTCTACATAACAACAGAAATGCAGCCGCAGAGGAGACATGCATGCAGTCAAGCAGGGCTATGGAAACGAACATCAGAAATTTCAAGCGCTTTGTTTAAGATCTTGAGGTATTCATAAGCATTGTATTCATTCAGGAGCAGCAGTTTGTGTAAAAAGTAATATGGAAATCGATTTGTAATGTCGTCATCTTTAGAATCATTGCTCAAGCCCATTCTATTTAGAATAAGTTGAGTTGGTCGACGGTATTTTCTTTTTCGCAACGTTAACCACCGCTGTAATATCCACTTTACATGCGGACAGTTGTGTGTACGAGCATGGTATTCATGAATTTCCTGCATACATAGCGACAAATAGTAATCATGACGAACCCGTATTTTTGAACATTCGAATATATTAGGAGGCTGATGTGGAGTTACCGCTTCTTCATCATTAAAATAACCAGGACAATCACTTATTCTTAGATCTACAGCACCCCAAATATTATAAACATGTTCTCTGTATTCATGTTCTCTAAGTGGTGGATGATACAAGTAATTGTGCACCATAAAATAGTCAACTACGCGATCTGGCAATTTAGGAGCTGGCTCATGATGAAGTCCTTTCTTATTTTTTGAAGGATTTTCTTCTTTATCGTTTAGACGGTAAATGGCATCATTCTGTTCGAATGAATCCTTGAAATGAGGATTAAGTTCGAAATATTTAGCCATTAACCCATCTTTTCTTACACTGTCATAAAAGTAGGCCAGATACACTGGGTCTAACCTGTGAGCGTTCGTGCAATTTATTGGTAAACCTGGAAATGTCTCTGCAGCTTTTTTATGGACATATTGTAATACAGATATTCCTTTTACTGCTGCAATATGAAGCGGGGAGATTCCTTTGAATGCTGAACCGCAAGGAAACTCTGATCTGTATTCTGGTGTTGCACTAAAGAATGTTAGCATCAACTCTTGAAATACGATTCTTCGATCTCTTGTCCTTGATGCTGTCAAAGGAACTGGCCTATAAACGTCATGTCCATGCAAATATCGATTTAAGTTTGGCGGCGCAATAAGTTCTGCATACTTGATATCTCCCAAGTAGAGGATGGATATATCAAAAGCAGTGAAACCACTTCGTGTTTTTAACTGCATGTCAACTCCGGCATTTTTAAACCATCTTATAGCGGCAAGATTTCCACCCTGGGCGGCTCTATGTATTGGCAAATATCCCTCAGCATCAAAGCAATAGTTTAAAATACGAACACCATTAGGATGACGATCGATCAATCTTTGCATTGGAGAACGACTTTTATTTCGAGGTTTAAAAAAATTACCAATATTTTCAGATACGAACGAGAGCCTGTGCAACTCCGAAATTGTATGAGGCATCCCACATTTGACAGAAATACTCGCTTCAAATATTTTCAATACATCACTAACTTCGTGACCTCCTTTTTTGAGATGGAGTAACAAGGGAGACAAAGATTCATTTCCTCGGCAGCTTATATCAACGCCAATTTTCAACAAGGCGTACAAACTCAACGGCATTCTTTTCTCAATGACTATACGTAACATTGACGCACTGTTAGCATCACACTTTGAGATACTTGCTTTTTGAACCTGGATCAAATATCGTGAAGTTTCATCATAGCACGTAGTGTGGCACGATCTAAACTGACCGTCCTTTGTAGTGTAGCAACGATAAGAAGCAACGGGATGGAGGTCATTAACTGGTGATTTAACCAACGCAGACATTAATGGAGTCAGGCCAGTAAATGAGTCTTTAAAAAGCGTGTCTGCCCCAAGTTCAACTAGGTACTTCACGGCTTCATCAAAACCATTGGAAGCAGCAAGATGCAAAAAAGTTAAACTATCTTTTTCCAATTTGTACGAAACAAAAGTTTCCCTGTGATGTGTTTCAAACAGTATCCTAATAATATTTAAGCGCCTTTCCGACTCTTTCCTTCTCTTTTTTTTATCAGAAAGATTGCTATCTCGAAAAGCCATTAAACATGGGGAAGCATTTATCTCGCCACAGGGGGACCATCGAATACTTTGCCATAGAAGACTCCATAAATCCTCATCCTTGAAATCAACAAAATAATTTAATTTGGCTACATCGGCCGAACAATGTTCGACGGCTTTTTTAACCATCTCTAACGCGACTAGCCGTTTTTCTTCTTCTTCCTTTAAAGTATCATTTATATACTGAACAAAACGTGCCTGGTCGTTTGCTACAGCAATGCTGAGAGCACTATACCGATCACAATTTAATACATCTAACATGTCAAGAATTCGTTCACTTGCTATTTTTTTAGCCATCTTCCATAATCCATATTTTGCACTTATATGAATAACTCTATTATCGCATTCACAACTATCAGTGAAGCAATACATGGTGTACAAAAAATCTTGCTTGTACATAGAATATATGGAGCACATTTCTGTGCTAACATTTTTCAAAATTTTTCTTCCGCACTTTGTACTAACATTGGCACCGTGCTTTAACAACAAATCAACCATCTCAGTATCATTTTTTTCGACGGCATCCATGAGAACTGTCTTCCCAGAATGATGCCGACACTCCAAAGATTCCGTTCCATACGCTAACAAAATCTCAGCGACCTCAATTAGCCCCCTGGATACAGCAGCATGCAGAGCAGTTTCACAAAAAATTGTGTGGCTTTTTTTTACTGCAGAAGTTAGACTCAGTTTTGAGAACTGTTTTGGTTGACATTTTTTACAAGTGTCACGCAGCCCTACAACATCCAATACAAACTCTAATACAGCTTTTTGGTTTCTTGCAGCCGTGTGATGAAGGATGATAGAATCAAACGTTGCACCATGACTATGAAAATACTTAACCACTTCTAAATTACCATTTCCTGCCGCTAAAAGAAGTGGTGTGGGATAGCTCTTCGCAAACTTGGGAAAACTTACATTACTTTTCATTAGCAGCTCAACTACATCCACATGCCGATTGGCAGCTGCTGCGTGATCAAACTAAATTCTTCGATGCCTGCTGTACTCCAAACAAAAGAAGGAACTCGCTCTAATTCTTTGTAACCTTCTAAAAAGGAACTTATGTCGGCTCCGTAGTCAATAAAAATCTTCAAACTTCGAACGAAACCTTGAGATGCGGCGTAAAACGCTGGCGTTTTGTTCTTTAAATCGAGGACGTCAACTGTTTGGAACTTCTGGCAGAAGAAATGAAGTACAGGGAGATAAATGCTCGGCTTCGTCACAAGATAATGTAGTATGGTTTGATTGGTATGGTTATCACGCATTTCTGTAAGATTAAAGAGATTCATAGCCATTTCTTGCATTTCCAAAGCCTTTCCAGACAAAATGTGCATGAATAGTTCAGTTAGCTCCTCAAACGTGATATCCATGTGTTTTTTAGGGATATGCCGAAGTAAAAATTTAGCAATACTTTGATGACCATTAGTTCTGTTAATTGAGAGGACAGAGGCCTGATTAATCAACCAATCTGCAAATGATTGATGATACAATCTAACTGTCCCATCACGACCAAATCGCAAGAAAGAAGACACATGGTCAATACGCTTGGGAATATCTTCAAGCTGATACTCACTTTTAAGTATTTCTTGAACATCTTCAGTCTGAAGAGGCGAATAAGCTGCCAATAACACCTCAAAAATGTGACGATACAGCTCGAATCCTTCCACACTAAATAGTCTGTTGAAGAAATTGCTGTACAAATCAAACAGACTTGTTGGTAAAGAGCGGGAGTCAATTGCATGACCCGTATCATTCATGTATTGCAGAGTCATTTTTACAAACAAAAAGTTTCCTTCTGCTTGTTTAATCACTTTATCCAGAAATATTCTTCATACCATCTGTTTTTGATCGAATATTCATCGCTGTTAACAATCTGTCTAAGAAATGCGTATTCTCAGATATAAAACGTGATATATAGTACCGAATATCATCTACATTTCGTTCGTCTGTGGCATACAACGGCGCCCTATCGATCATTCTAGGAAGTTTTGATGTAACTGAGGTCAGATTTCGGGAGGTTAATACGACCTTCAACCACTTTGGAAAATGTTGTATCTTACTGTCTAAAATTTCCATGATTTCGGATGTTTTTAACTTACTTTCGAAACACTCGTCCAAGGCGTCTATTACAATAAAGCGGAGCCCATCGGGATGCTTTAGCTTTCGTAAAGGACCCACTATTGTGGTGAAGAAACAGCCCGCGGGATCCTTGTGACAACGACTATCTAGTTCTGTCCGTATTTGTTCGTTGTTTTTGACGTATTTGGCATATCCCGGGATCCGAGCTGCAATTTGGTCAACTAAATTACGCACGAATCTTGCACCATCGCGTTTTCCCTTCTCGGAGTATTCACACAGATGATAGCCAATGATATTATCGTGTATGAACAAGCTTGAAAATGGTGAACAAATCAGTTCTGACATTAATGCTGTTTTTCCTGAACCAGGCGCTCCAGTTATTAGGACACCAGCACTTTCTTGGTCTCCCCTTCTTTCAAAGATATTTTCTAATTCATAGAAAAACCATTTTCGACCAACAAATCCTTCTCTTTTGTATGCAAGGTAGGGGGAAAAATCGAATTCTTGCAATTGGAACTGATGTAATGGAGATTTTTTATCAGCATTAGGGCAACCTAAAATGTTTAAAAATCTCTTTAGAAATGTTACATAATTTTGCATGTCATTTACTAATTTTACTTAAAAAGCATGCAGATACTTGAAATATTTAATCAAACAGGTTAACCTATTTTGAAACAAATCAGTTAGGACCATTGTTTAAACTGACTGGTATTCACTAGAAATTATTTTACTTATGTTTTATAAAACATGATAAAATACATTGAAAGTTAAATGAAGATTCATTTATTAAACTTTCAATTAGTTTTCCTTTTAATGTAATCAACAGTAATTAAGATTATTCATATTAGAACAGCTTTTCTGTATAGAGTATGTGAAACACAATAAAGGACTTACTAATTACATACAATGAACTTATTTATTTATTAAATGCTCACTTTAAATTATCTTACCATAATCTGATATTATACTTGATCTATCACCAACTTGAGAAAACATAAAAAATGCCATTAAAGAAAACAGCTTCACAGGAATATTATGCAAAAGACGGGACGATGTAAATGGCAACAATGCAAGAAGAACAGAAATTACTTGAATCAAAATATTCACCAATTTCTCACGTTTTGCAAAAACCTTGAATGTTTCCCCTATTTTATCTTTTGCCTCTTCTATTTTATCTTTTGCCTCTTCTATTTTATTTTTTGCCACCTCTATTTCCTTTTTCAGTTCTTGACTGTGACATTCCTGAATATGTCGACATTCCTGAGAAATCTTTAACTCTTCACTTGGTAAAATCAAGATATCTGTGCTTTCTATTTTTTTAATAGCTTCGCGACAGTCCTCTATTTCTTTGACACAAGCTAACTCAGGGTCTGTTATTAGCCAATCAATGTCAGCAAAAGCGTCTTTCTTTTCTTTGTCTGAAAGTGTATGATCTGGTGCATGAGCCCACTTATTCCGCCAATCTTTAACAGCACCTAATGGAGACTGCTGAATCTTGAAATAGTTACAAAATATGAACAAGGTAAGAAGGGGTCCACTATCAGTGGTAGAAGGGTCTTTAGTTGTAGCCTGATTTTTTCCTAAATCAGACATAAACAATTTGGCAATCTCCCAGTATCCATGGACTGGATCATCCCATTTACTTCCATGACTTTGATGCCAAGGAATGTCACCTTTTCGTGGAAAAACATGAAATGTTTTTAACATCCGAGCCCAAATGCAAGATGTTGTTAATTGTCCATGAGGATTTGGTTTCTTACCAAGGCTATACTTGCAATGGCATTTGACTCCAGGTCCACCAACTCTTTTTGTTATTAGGGCATGAAATTCTTTCATTTTTTTCTCAGCATGCTTGCGAAGGCCATTGCTAAGGACAACAAGAGCTTCACCCACAGCCATCCAGTTAAGAAAATCAGGATTATTTCTCATTCGCGACAAATCTTTAACACTGGGACTGCACATTCTTTTCACTTAAGTCTAAAGAACATGTATATCAACATTATACCACAATGTGACATGTCAAGGCCCTATCATGATTAGGTTGAGTTTATAACTCTGGACATGACAACTAAAAGATTGTGTGAAAACATATAACACATCATCGACCTTGCTTGCTTGCCATAGGTTAAAAAGGATAATACCTGGCAATATTTTATTATATTCTGTTGATGTGTCATATTTTCATCTTTTTTGGTTAAATATGTGAACTACAGGGTGTCTCAAAAAAACTCTTAAACTAGTGCAACAGTTAGAGTTTACTTTTAATGCCTATATAAGCACCTGGTTGCAACCCCAATGTGCATGTTTGGCATATAAGCATTTTTATGCATTATCAATAGGTAATTTCAATAGCTTTGGTGTTTTTTGGGACACCTGTTCAGACACCAAGCCTAACAAGATGCTAATGAACGATGTTATTTATTTTGGTCATTAAATTAGAAATAACATTTACAAAGGGCTAAAATATATACTAAAATTAAATCACTAGTAAAATTCTTTTCGTCAGTGTTTTCGTCATTTGCACTTCTAAGCTTATTGCAATGTTATTTAAAAATGTTCGACACCTAGTGTGCATTTTTTTGTGTGCATTCATTGCAAAATGTTGACAACATACAATATTAAAATTGATAAATTCTGCTTGAAGTTAAATAATAGACCTAAAATATATTATGTTGGGAAAGTGTTTGACATCACACTTTTAATACGCCTTTCAGCTACGATTCGAATCTACATTCTAGAATAAAATGTTTATAAACATACCTTGTTTTAACACGAATTTTTCTTTCAAGCTAAGTCATTGACGATGACGCTTCGTTGTTGTTATCAAGTGACTTGTTTTTCTTTTGCGATGCAGGAAACATCTTACGCTACGAAATCTTAATATTCTTAGCTACTTTACTATGGTGACAAAACGTCTGTAATTCGGTCCAGAAACAACAAAATGTGCAAGATTTTATAAATACTTATATCGCATTTCCGGTCTTCAGCGTTGTTTTGCAATTTGCATTGAGTTGTGTTGTGATCAGTTGTGATTGAGTTCTGTTTTGCAAAACTTGCTCATTGATCTCTATATGCGTAGAAAGCTGGACGCGATTTTTTTTACATGCATGGCTCAGCCTCGTACACACTGCAGGCTTTCACATAGATCAGTGGCTAAGCTGAGCGAGCGCGCTGGGAATTTTTAATTATTTATTAATTATTTAATTAGTTATTTACGAGGCTGATGCTGTGAGTGATGCATGCTCCAGTTATTAACATATGCATATCCTCTGAACCAAAAGTATTATTCTTCCTTCTTTAAAAGAAGGTTAATAACCTTGGTAATTGGTATCACTTCATGGGAGCGCGTCAAAATGATAACATCTTTTCATTCATTTAGTTCTCAAATGTGTCATTTCACTTTTGCGAATTGAGAATGCTACTTTGAGTTTGACTATACAAAATTTTAATGGAAATGTATTGGAAACGAGCCGCTGACAAAAGACTCACCCTCCATTTCTATCCCAATCGTAACATTCCACAAGGATTGACCTGCAAAGTCAACATAATATCATTTTCAGTTTAATAGACAACTTGCATTATACATTTCGCGCCGTTTTATCCCCAGCTTTCCTCTTTCAAGCTTCTTTATAGCAAAAGTTTTTTATACAAATTTTGGCGGTGTAAAAACCAATGAATTGAATTTGAAAAATGAAAATAGATTTCCGATACATACCCTGGAATTCATGAATGTAAATGAATTGCCATAAACGTACCTATCATAATCGCCATTACACAGAGCTCTTGATAACACAGAAAATGCCTTCCACGTTGGATTTAAAGTATTCTTTATAACTTCAGTTCTATGAACTGCTGTAAAACTAAAAAATATGTACAACGTCAGTGAACACAGAATGTTTATATATTTATTATTATATAAATTAATTTTGTTAAAGTATCTCATAGATAGGATAAACTTGAAGGAGTTAAACCTCAGTAAAAAAGTCGTCGACAGGTTTGTTTTATTTCGATAAACTGTGCATTAAAAATTGAATGATCACCTCGAATCTTCGTTACATCGATAAAACACAAGGAATGGATCTGATTTTCCAAAGAAATCTTTTTTGTCAAGTTTGTTTGCTTTGAAGTGTAGAGTTACGACATCCTATAGCAAGGAGAAAAGATCAATAAGACAATATAGATTGTAGCATATGTGTTTGAAAATTTTATGGAAAAAATCTTAAGTGTTTATGCAGATAAGTATGAGAAATGTGATGATTACCCTACAATCGCTAACTTCTTCAACGGTAACTACAAATAAATAATAGATAAAAATACATAGAGAGCCAGTGATAAATGAAGGGCGGAGTATTTTGGACAGCATCAAAATTAGGTTGTATGTCCAATGAAATTGGAAGCTGACGAGTCTCTCAGCAACATTAATTAGGTCTAGTGGAATATCACATCTATATAAACTTGTAATTTAAGTTGAACACCATAAAACCAGACTTTATATTACTATTATTTGCTTACGTATTATCGATCCACACTTTGGCATTTCTTTATTTCTAAGAAAAATTATTTTATCAATACGGCAATCAACTCTTCTGATATAAAGTCAGGTACAGCAAGGAATCGTTAAGAGTCACCTAGAACAAAAGAGCATTTTCTCCACTACTTACTCAAGTTTTGATTCAAAATGTCCGCCATGCTCACCAATAATAGACCCAAGTGTTGTATCCAATCTACCGATGAAATCCTTTGAATATAAAAGAACGTCGACGTTATTTGCAGGCGTTTTTATCATTACAGTTGAGAAGTCATTATTCAATGTCATACAATGGTTAACATATAGTTAACTCAGCTGTCCTAACTTTTTATGTAATGGTTGTTGCCAAATGCGTTTGGAAAATATGAAGCAATGCAAGGCCATAAGGATACAGGTTGTATATAAATAATGATATACACTTCTGACCTAACCTTTTCTTTCGCGAAGATTATTCTTTTATCATAATAAGAAATGTCCAGTATTTGTTTTCTGACAGTCGAAACTAACCTACTATTTATAGATTACACAGCCCCCTCGTTTTCAGGCTATTATTCCGAAAATTCAAGATATTTTTAAACATTTTCTTATTAAGTTGCTTCAATTGGGAAATTCAATAGAAGATTTTAATTAAACTTAATGAGAAAATAAATAGGATGAAATCATTTTTATTGAAGCGAGGTCCTGACCCTGTGAAAAGTCAATAATTTTCTTTAAGAAAATCAGCCAGAAACTGCTGTTGATATTGTAACAATCAGTATTAGGACTCACGTGATCTGACAAACTTGCTGAGCTTGAATCTACGTCATATCTAATAAAACGATAGAATATTGTTAAAAAACAGCCAAGTACGGCCACTCGCGGTTCGTGGGAGCGAAAGGCTCCCAGGGCCTGGCCTAAAGAGCTAACACTAACATGGTGTATCTTCACGATCCTTTAACACCAGTTTTCATCTACCACTGTTAACGAGCTTTATAAAATGTGTCTATGACGCGGACGCCGGTTACAGTCACCAGTGATAAAAACAGCCTCTGCCTCTGGAATCAAGAATCCTATTTTACTTTGTTTCCAATACGTTTCTGATTTTGTTTACCTGTTATGTTTATCAACTACAGTACAGACAGTAAGACCAATTCTCATTAGTGAATCTTTGCGATAAACCATCCATAGAGGCACAGTTTTTCCTGTCTACGTCGTTGATTTAAGCTCTCTATATTAACTGATTCCAATATGCGCTAACAAGCATCTTGGGCGAACTATCTGCGATCATACGTTGTGCCTAGGGGCACATAGGTTAACCGCCGGGCCTCTTCTGTTATTTAATGCACGCTCTGCGCTGCAGTGAAGCACTTACACTTGAAATCTGAGATGCTGTATTTCTTCAAAAAAATAGTCCATGACAAACTTCTTGACAAAAATTGGATTTAAAGTGTTCATTATCTTCTCTGTTCGACCAAACTAATACGAAGAAAGAAAACGATCAATTACGGTTAGTTAATTTGCTATATACCAAATCTTACATGATCCATGCTATGGAGAAACTAATTAGGGCATGCCTGGTTTTGAACATTTCATTTATTTCTATACCTCTCTCCATTCACTTCCATCTGTTGCTTTTATAAAAAGAACAACAACTAAAAAGAGATTAAAATGACAGTGATACATCATTACATTTTACAAATGTCTTGACCCTGTAGACTATTTAGCATGAGAGTTGTTAGTTGAAAGTTGAAGTAATAAGAAATTTTTTATGAAATTGTGTTGATTCTTATTTGTAAACACCTTGAAATTTATACTAAATTTGGCTCAGTGAATATATATAGGCTTGTAATCACCTCGCCTTCGGCAACTAATTGTTAAATCAATAAAAGCTGGGGTTTTATCATGTTTTCAATTTTTTTGGCAGAAATACACCTTCCATTTGATTCCTCTTCAAGATAAAATTCAGTGCTTAATATTTTAAAAACTAAGTTTTCAAACACAATCAGCTTTGCAGAAATACAAAGTTTGATCATTGAAACAGCAGCATAAAATTTGCATGAACTACAACTGACCTCCTGCTGAAAGAAGAGCTTTAAAAACATCACAAAAACCAAAGTGCATAATTAATATAAGGTGTACACTATATAGAGTATTCACAGCTAGTATAATCAGCTTAGACTATCTTATAAGCTAATGCAATACATTTTAATGCAAATTGTCTAATTTAATTAGCTCTATGGTTAGCCACAACATAAAATGTTAACAACACATAATTAATTAAAGATTTCTCAGATTTAAAAGTGAGATGACTTTGATATAATCTGAACCTATATTTGCACATTTCTATATTTTACAGAACTGCTATCTGTGTTTAATTAGACACTGATAAAAAAATATTGATTTGACGTTAAATATTAAAAACTTTTAAATAATATTCAGCCACTGTACATATTAACATAATATTTATTGACAAAAACAAAACTTCAATAACTATTTACTGCCTATTACAGATCATACAACAAACATCATAGTTTATGTGCCATTTTAATCAGAGTAATTCTTACTTGGATCTGACTTTGAAAAAACATCCATGTCTGCTAAATTTCTAAAAACAAATATGACATGTTAAAAAACATCTCAGCAAACATATCAGTTATCAGAGAAAGAACATTTACTGTCAGTGAAAAAATTACATGTTATGATATATACTATATATAATATTTCTAATATATTATTACTTATTAAGTATTACCATTACATTATTACTATCACTCATACAATATACTTATAATTTATATTTCATTCATTTGTTGGACAATTTTTTGGTACAGTTGTTTGTTACAAAGGGTTGATCTCAGCATGGCTTAATTGTCTTGAGGAATTATTTTATAATGTATGTCTCTGCTGTAATACCTATAATAGTTTTATCAATTAAATTTATTCATATCTAGACTACATTAAACATCTATTGCAATTTTGTGTAACAGTAGATATATTATGCTTGTAGTTTACCACAAATAATTTACAGCCTGTATGCATATTCTTACATTTAAATGACTATGGCTAGTGCTCAGATGGATTTTTCTATTGAGGAAAACTGTTTATATATTCATATATATCAAAACTGTTTATATATTTATACTAGAAAAAACAGAAATGGATTTACTGTGAGATGTGGCAGTGTACACACTCTATAGACTACCCTATTAGGGCTGCAAAGGGCTGCAAATTTGGGTACAAATTGAAACTTCAGGGTATTATGTACCACCAAAATTAACACTAAATACAAATATATGAGTCTTTTTTGAGGCTCTGACAATCTATCTACACCTTATTATCTAATTTTAACAAATTTGTAAACAAACATACATTCTAATATTCCTTACATCTGGTTTGTACCCCCCATACAAAACCACACTAGAGGCTTGGACATGGACATTACGTTAGAATACCCAGATTAGAATACCCAGATTAGAGTACCCCAGATTCATTGCCATCTAATATTATTATCATAATCACTTTCTTTCGTACACCAAAATTTAGACTTGATTTTTTATAGCAGATGTACCAGATTACATAGTTCTTTGAACAAAACTGTTAAAAATAGTGCACAAAAATAGTGCACAAAAATAGTGCAGTTGCTAAAAAGGGTAGCAAATGCCTATACACACTGGCAAATTGTTACTTTTAAACAATTAGAAAATGATTCTAGCGAACGTTGTTTTGAAGTTAGAAATTCCTCAATTTTAAAAATTCATCTCGCTGAGTTTTTACACAGTAGGAATTCATAATTTTAGCTACATCATGCTTGGAATTTGAATTCCAAGCGACTTTTACGAGACGCAAAAAGTTAGTATGCTAATTGTAGAACGATCTCAATAGCTACATGCCAGTTTTAATTTCATATTAAACAACTAAGTTTGGGTTAAAGCCCTAAAACGATACAATATTTACATGGTTGTATTATAACAGACATGGATATATCAGGACGGAGCGGAGCAGACACATATCCTATAGAAATTTTCCTATCGTTTAAATGCATTTAAAAATAAATATTTCACAGATGCCTCTCTAAAGCTACATAAATCTAATGTCGTATATCTTTCTTCGCAAAGAATGCTCGTAAAAAGCTAAATACAGAGAAATACTTTAAACATTCCTGCAGTTGATATAATACATCACACGAAACCAAAATTTGCACCCTGTTGGGCCGCCTTTGTATTAGCTGATAAAAGTAATGAACTATAGACAACACAGCAATAATTCGTATTTGGCAAGCTGGAATTCGTAAATTCTAAGCTATTTATCTCGATACTTACGTGCATTTCACACTTATCTCGACTTGGGTGGCAGGAATAGCATTTTGTATTCGACTGCTAGAAGAAGGATCTTCGACAAGCTCGTTGTATGCTGGCGGGGCGGTAGGATAATTGCCAGCCATTTTATGCACGGAGGTACACCGGCTCTTAGACGATACTGTTAATTATAACATAATACGTAAATGAACATGACTTGATGTGTTTTTACTTTCGTGAATATAAACGCGCCTCCAAAATGACCCAATATTTGAATTGTTGTTACCTATTTCCCGTTTGACCTCGACAGGAAGTGTTTTCTTGTAGTTTAATGTAGTTTTTAGTCTCCAGTCTTTCATTAGACGACCCACAAGACGACCGCAAATTCGAATGCAAATTGTAATTATTTGCGGTTTTGCAAAACAACACACAAAAAACAATTTGTTCAAGATAAAAAGCGGATAAACATTGTACACTAAACACTAATTTGAACAAAAATCCATAAAACGTCAGCTTCTGCAAAATTAGAATTTATTTATTTAGTACAACAGAATAAGAAAATATAAAATTTATGACTGTTATCTTTATTTTTATGGCCATATATGGAAGCTTAACGTTCAAATTTCAAAAGTAATATTGCTAATGCTTTGCTTAAAAATGGAATTATTCATTAAAAACCTTTACATACGGAGATATGTCTCGGACTAGGATATTAATATTATAAACTCGTCTCAGACGAACAAATTGATCTGATGACGTAACCGGTCACATTCCTTGTCCGAATTTTCCTGTCTAAACAGACTGGTTGACAGGAATTCGCATTTAGACGGATAAATCAGACGAGTTTCTGAAATATCAACACGGTCATAAACGGAACAAGGCTAAGAGAAAATAAACAAAATTATTATCGTAATAATTACGATACACTTTTTAGCATCACCCACCCAATCCACCAATCTCCGCCCCCGAACTTTCTCGCCCAAAGAGACGAGTTCGGGCGAGTGTTATTCAGACGTGTTTTAAATATCCGAGCACGGTCAAACACATAACCAAGGTAAAGGAAGTAACAAAATGATTATCGTAATAATTACGACACTCTTTTCCAGCACAACCCGACCAGTTTTTGTGGGTAGCCCGTTCGCGGGCTAACCACTATGCTACGCAAAAAACGATGAGCGATGATGCATGTCTGTCCGCCGAGTTTGTTTATCTACGAAAGAGACTGGGCAGAGCCGAAATTTTGTTAGCTAGTTTAGTGATGGGCGATACCAGCTTTTTCAAATCGATACGATACCGCTTCGATACCAGACAATTTGTAGTGGTATCGATACCAAATTTCGATACCGATACCAGAAAATTGGGCCGTTTTTTACCGTTTGTAATTTCATATACCATACGATAATGTGCATTTATCCACTCACATTTTTGGTTTTTTCCTTTGTTTTTTCGCAAATGAAAAATGGGCAGAAATTATTTTGATTGGTAGCATATGATTAAAGAACTAAGTAACAAAAAAGTGACGAACAAAAAAAAAATAAAATTTTTTTGTACTTTTTGGTAGAAAACGCTGACCTAAAATACTGTAGGCTCAGTATCGAAATTTTGCGACTACTTGGTCAAGTATCGATATTTCCTGCAAATCATAAATATCGGTGGGTATCGATACTTGGTATCGAAGTATCGCCCATCACTATTGTTAGCCTGATCGGTGTAATCTGGCCTAAACTTTCAGATAAATTAATATCGCAGAAATGGTATTTCATTGATTATTCTTATGTCTACTTTGTTATAACTGTATCCAACTAGCAAACTAGCCCATTTTTGCCTTTGCGTATGGCATTAGAACGTAAAACTGAGCGTCATGCAGTTGATTTCCCCGCCATTATTGCGGCCTATCATTTGACATTGAACAAAAAAATCTTTGCCAATGCTTTGGAGGCTACCCACATGTATGCATTGCATACCTATTTTTTACAGTTTTACCTTCTAAAGGCCTGTTTACACTTGCGATTTTCTTCTTTTGATAGATGTGAACGAGTAGTTACGGTTACGAAAGCTCTACTGTGCACGAGCTCTTCTTTGAACATCCGTATAACCATAGATTGTCTATGGTATAACTAATTGTCTTGTCTATGGTATAACTAGATTGTCTATGGTATAACTTGTCTATGGTATAATTGGATTGTCTATGGTATAATTAATTAATTCGTTCACATCTATCAAAAGATGAAAATCGCACATAGGATCGCAACAAAAATTGCAAGTGGGCCTGAAGATGAGTTTACCTTCCCTAGTACGAACTACGAATTCGGCTGTTTGAACACCAATGAAACAAACTCCGAAAAACTTCAAATATAGCTTATAGCTTCAAAACTAAAGCCTGGTTTTAATGTCGTAATTGATCGTCGATGTCTATTGTCGGTAGTCAACGACACATAATATGCTTTGTTTAAAAAAAAATTCTCAAATTATCATTAGTCACCGACAGTGTATCGCAGTAAATTCCGATCTATGGAAACCAGGCTTTAAAACGTGATCCTCTTCGGTCGGCGATGGCGGAGAATAAAGTGTTAATCACTGGAGAATAAAGTGCTTTGATAATGATAGACTGATATAGTTTAACAACAGTCGAGAGAACAGTTATACCGACGCTTTTTTCGCTAATCTGAAGGCACTCTTCCATACCTTGGGCAAAAATCCCTCAACGTCGTGTTGGTTTTCGAGATTTGCAGGCAATTGATGCTTGACGACGAGTTCCTGTCGTACAAATTTCTTTCTGAACTGCCCAGTTTGTTGTCTCAACCTCGAAAACTCTTCTACTTTGCTGAGGCAAATCTGTGCAGTATGGCCAGCCTTACTGTATACCCTTGTCTCTTTATATCGAACTAACTGCAACTTCTTCTGTAATTTGTTCTCGATAACAAACGGGTAAGGATTAGATGTAGAATTTAGCGCTAAAACATTCACAAGATTCCCATACTCATCTCCACCAATTTCATTCACTGGGAACTCACGTGAAGTTCCCAAAATAAATCTGACATCACATTCTTGTCCATCGAGATTGGATGTTCCAGGCGAGTTCTCGCGTTCTATCCACGCACGTTTAATGTCGGCGAGAAACCATCTCAAACGAGGGAGTTTCAGCATAACTGGATTAAGCCTCTCGTCGTAAATGACATAAATATCTTTAGTCCCAACACGAACTGTGGCAGTATAGGTTTTTTTGGAAAGTTGACGCTGTTCTGCATATCCCTTACGTCTGAGATATGCCTCAAGGTCTTTGATAGCCTTATCACTTACTACAGTAAACAGAGAGTGATTTGGTGACTTGTCGACTTCTCGTTTTGCGTCTTTTGTTTTGTGTTTTCGCTCATGTTTTGGTTTTACTCGTCCCGCGTTACCACCAGGTCTACGGAATCGTGGTCGTTTAATCTCCTGCCTTCTCGTGTCCTGTCCTTTCACAGCGGAGTACTGAAAGTCCTTGATCGTTATTGGATCGCTGTCTTCATAGGAAGCCTGTGGGATGTCAAACGCGTATATCCTTCCAAAGTGGACGACAAATTCAAGCTTGCCATGGATTACTTGTTCGTAATCTCGAAGGACAACCTAAATCCATTTAAATCAGAAGATATAACTAGCAAGAACCAACAGTGTCAGTTGTATGATAGAAATAATCATATTGGTAGTGATAAAGAAATAATTTGGAAGCGCGCTCCTCGGAATAGCCTGTGTGTCCCTGGGCTATTCCCCCCATCACATGCCCTTCACAGAGTAGAAAATAAAGCGTCTTTAGCCGCGAAGTATGGGGAAAAAAAGAATTAAGACAATCTTTATTTGATTTTTTAGAAATGAGGAGGTCCTACTCTGAGTAAAATTTACGCAGAATACTAGGCTGATCTGATCTCTCTATATAGGACACTAGTTGTGGTGAAGACTATACCTTTATTTGGTCGAGAAATTTTGTACAGAAACTCTTAAAAGCGTGACTCTCTTGAAGATCGTCAACTGGTTGCGTCGCGTTTTCGAGCAATGGTACGTGGCGAATTCGCTGGTCGTGGGTTTGATGGTGATTGCCGTGATATGGCACAAGCGTAACGTGATCAGTGTTGCCATGACAATTTTCAAACGTGATCAGTGATGCTCCTCGTACGAAGCATTTTGACATGGTAGACACTTTATTTCGGAGACATTCGTTCTCGTCCGAGCCGAGCACTCGTTCCAGGACACGAATAGTTCCGATTGTGCCACGAGCTTCCACAATTAGATTCTGACCAGATCCAGGAAGCTGCGGGCGAATTTCTACGAAAGCACCACTTTTCCTTGAGAAATAAAATTTAATAATAATCAGTTCTCAATCGAGCAGGGTATGGGCCTATGGGGCCAAGTCGCGGGCCACAGAGCAACTATTGAACGTTTGTGGCGACAAGTCTGAGACTTGAAATTGATATTTCTGCATGAATAAGTGATTTTCCTTTAATTTTATTCCCTTCAAACCGTTAGTAATACTATCAATAACTTGAAGTAGTATTTTCAGGTCCTTCTATTAATTCAGGAATGACTTATTGGTTTACCTGGAGAACTCTCGAGAGTGAGTTCGTAGCGAACCATCTGCTTGGATCACTAAAGACTGGACACTAGACAATGTAAACGTTCTTTGAACCTGGGCCGAGCTAATGTCTAAAAGGGCGTCGCCGTTGCCATGGATAGCAAGCACGTGATATGCTTTTTGCATTTGTTCACTCAATGATTGTACGTCTTCGGGAGTCAGCAAATCGGAAAATGACGTCGCAACGAGTAGAGCACGAAAGTTTTCCGAAATCAATCCACCAAGAATCTCGTGACGACTTTTGAAGAACTTAAGCAAAATGTCACCAATACATTCACTCCCATCCAGTCCTCTTGCTGCACCACTTGTGTTTCGTCTTTCTTCCTGTAGACGAATGCGATCGATAATACGACGGAGAGATTGAGAACTTTCATTTCGACAATTTCCGATATCTCGATAATGTTGAACAATGTCCTGGACACAGCAAGAAGAAATATAACCGTTTTCAATGCAAAACGATAACATCATAAAGATCAACACATTGGTATTAATCCGAACGCCATCCAGTTTCCCCGTCAGACCAGTTTTACCAGCCCACATTATGACAAAGCGAATCAGCGGTAGTAACCATGGATATGTCTTGAAATAGGACACTAGAACCGCTGTCTTTATAAAACCATTTCGATCAGCTGAAATATCACACGATAATTTTAAGCGGCTCATGCTACCTCGAGGGCTTCGAAGTCTACCGAGTCGAATTACAGGGACTTTTGCATCCTTAATGAGCTTTACCCCGCCAAACGATCTTCTTAGTATTGACTCCAGTCTCTGTAAGGTTTGGATTTGAAAATCTCTGCCCGGATTCGCATCAGAGGAGACGACACATAAATCAATGTCAGAATTTGGACGAAAGAGAAAATTAGCGGAGGAGCCAAACATCACAACACTTTGATGGGGACACTGCGTGGAGACCACGCGTGCGACGACATTCACTAGCTCCAATCGGCCTTCGTAACCATGCAGGAGGTCGTGCGCGAATCTTGAGAATATATCGTGGATGCTGCGGGAAATATCGTGGGTAACAGAGGAGGAGACTGGTCCAAGGCTGACGTCAGACGTTATGCTACTTGATAGTAGTGTAATAAGAACATCGTCGACAACCCATGGGAAACTGAGAAATCGAACCTGTGAAATAAATGTGTTTATCATGTTACTTGTTTCAAACTGATTTTTGCTCGATAAAATAATGTACTTTACTCGCTTTACTACATCACTGGTATATATACAAAAACTGGATTCTGTAGCTGTGTTTGTAGAGCCTTCACGATTGGGCGGTGTTTATGCATGAGTACAAATTTCAAAATTTATATCCAAAGTTCTAACTAGCTAAAAAATCTCTCGACAATATGTCCACTTTAACTGCATGTCAGGTATTTAAGTAAATTACAATAATTTGCTCATTACTTGTGGCCTCTCATTGCTTCCAGAACCAGGTCGTTGCTCTCCGACAGGTTTGTAAGAATAATGATACCAGGCTGACGCTTTCTGTCTCATAGCGTCTGTAACCTATTTAAACAAAGAATAAAACGATCATCACCAAGCAATTACAAAGTGACAGACAACCGTTAGTTCATAGCGTCTGTAACCTATTTAAACAAAGAATAAAACGATCATCACCAAGCAATTACAAAGTGACAACCGTTAGTTCATCGCGACTGCTAATTTTTTTATTTCGTTTTAGTTTGTTCGTAATAATACAGGTAGTCGCGAAATGACACTTCAGGGGATACGTTATACACTGGAAATTCTTTTCAAAATCTTTACTATCGAAATATGCTATATCCATACTATGGAAATTTTTTATACCCATACAGCTTCCACACTATATCCATACTATGGAAGATTTTTATACCTATACTGTTTTTTCACTCCTACCTGTCGGGGGAGTAGTCTATCTCCACTGACGTGAAACTCTCTGAAAAACGATGCCCGAAACTCTGCTCTTAATTGTTGAATCAGTTTTCGAACAACAACAGCAATCTGAGTCCGCTCCCGACCGTAATCGCCTCTCAACTTATGGAAACAACCACTCAACATCTCTCCTTCACTTTTTATCCCGTACAATGCCAGTAGCGTTTGTAGTTGCGATGAATATTCAGCATAGCTAGCTGCTGCTGACTGAAGATATTGCTCGTAACCAGGAAAGACGAGTCTGGAGTCCAGACGCACAGCGGAAGTGGGAAACTCTCGGTTCATAATATCTTCGAAATCTCGAACTTCGTGGAAAAGACGTCCGAGAACTTTGTGGGAAACATAAGACGGCTTAGAAGGGACCATCATGAAATCAGGATTTTTTTTGGTAACATATCCACTTGCAGACGGCCATACTCCTGTTTTTGGCGCATCGACTGCCAACGAGTGCAATTCAGCCAGCTCGAGACATTTCGTCGATTCCACACCGCGTTCTTCAATATCAGCATGTGCTTTGTGTGCATTGTCAATAATACCTAAAGTAAAGCAGAGCGGGAGTAGGAAGAACTCGATGAGTTTAAAGAGTACAGTTTGGTATAAATGTGCTGTTAAATGTGTGTTATTGATGAACCTGGGGCCTGTTGTTCGAACGGCGTTTAGTTTAAGTTAAAATGGAAAACAAAATGATCTATTTTTTGAACAACTGAGCTGAAATATTTCGATGTGAATGTATGTTTAATTTGAATGTAATTTAAATCTCAATGGAAGTACATATTTAAAGCATAAGGTTCAGTTATTCACAAGATCTATGAGAGTATTTTTAAACTTTGGCTTATCCAGCGTTTAAGCTAAAGTCTTTCGAACCGACCCATGAAAGATAGTGAAATGCAAAAAATCATGTCTCTTAGTCATATATGCATGTCAAATCTTCGACTTTTCGTATTCACAAAATGTTCGACGTTTTACAAAAGTGGAGAAAAAAAATGCCTCCTACCCAAAGTATCACATTGTATATACTCGGCATAAAACTCAACCATATCTTCAACTGTGATAGGGCCATTTTTCTCTTTCTTTCTAAGAGCGGGATAGTTCATTGGATCGTGAGTGTCTCGTCTGGGTTTAAAATCATCACTCCAGGTGACAAAATAGAGATCACCATCAAGATCACCTCCTGTGAAAATGAAAGCATTTTTGTTAGAGTAGCGTGATATCACAGTCAAGTCAAATTATCAATTCACCCCATGCAATGTTATCGTCGCAACTAGCGTCTGGGTAGTCAGATGCCGTTCAATCTATTACAAGAGAAATCCTGTATTATACCTGCCATTTCATTCGGATGAGGTCTAGGGCCATTCTTTGGAAACACAATACAATCAACCAGATGATGTAATTCAGGGACATCAACAGCCTCGAGATAGCGCACATCTCCCGGATGTAAGCAAGGATTGCGAGTGACGACGACGGAGTGCGTGACAGTAAACCGCTGATCACTGACCAAAGGTTCATCATCGTTTCCTTCTGACGTCATATAAGAACACCGCACGAAAACCTGACCACTCTGAAGCAAACCTGTTTCATCCATGACGCCCATCATAAGCCTCGCTTCTGTGACCGGAAGTAAAATCCTACTTTTCGTGAGCAGTCGATGTATGCGTTCCTTGTACAGCGCACACATAAGAGACTTGAAGTAAGGCTCGCTAGTCAAGGATACACCATTGTCGCTGAGACTTTTATAATCAATTCCGGTACGAATTATGTTAGACATGCGCTGTAAAGCCTCCTGTTCATCCAACATCATTGCTATGAAGAATAGAAAGTCATCTTTTAGAAATCAGCTCTTGAAAAAAGACTTCAAGCAAGCCTGTCATGTTGTTCTAGTTACCTGCCAATGAATCCAGCATTCGCTTTTGCAGATGCAAGAATATTTCATCAGGTACTCCAAGATTTGACAGCAGCATTATGGTCTGCTGGTTTAGATATACGGCCTGGGGACGAGATGTTTGCAGTAGTTCCAGTCTTCTGTGCGGTGATTCGAATTTTTTCATGCTCGGTCGCACGCAAATCTGACGATCGCGCAAAAGTGGGTCGACACACAGAACCCCTTTGCAACCTGCAAAGCGAATTTGAAGCGCAGATCTAGACGCTGGTTTCCCCACCTTCAGGCAAACCTGTATGTATATTAAAGAAATATAAATTTTTGGTTAACGCTATGGACATTTGTTACCGCATTCATCACGACTTGATGAGGTGGGAAATAACAATATATAGTGAAAACTCGAAGGCCATTATGTATGTCACCAATTGCTGGTAATGACTAGTATTCCTATACTAGGTGATAACACTTTGTTGTAATAAAAGTGACTTATCTTATGGAGAATGAATACCCCGGAAAACTCTCGAATGTGCTACCCGTGCATGAAATGAACTCTATTTACTGACTCTCTGCTTACTCATGAACTCTTCCTCAGGTAGACATTCCGTCTATATATAATTACCTCTCGTGCTAATGCAAAAGATATCGTGCCAATACCATCAGAAAAGCAATATCCATCTCGTTGAACATCTTCAATCTCTCTATACCTGCTGCCCTCCTCCAGTGTTATGCCTACAGTATCGAGTGAAGTGGAGAAACACTGACCAAGACGAGACATATACGTTGCAACACATCTAAAAGAAGAAACGATTACAGTTTTAAGCGTAAGATAACTAGGAGACTACTTAGTGAGTTTCTACAATAGTAAGATCCTAAGACAAGAGGGGCAACTCGCCTTCCTCATCATTTAGTTTTGTAGGCTACTTCTTCCTTCTTGCTACATCACTACCACGTTGGATGGAAGACGCGGTAAATTTTAGATTTTTACGGCGACATTTTGGAGTTTTTTTTTAAATTTGCCTCCTTTTCATTCGAACATGGCAGAATAGGTCGGAAAAGCTTGATGTGGCCCACAACCTTTCCATAGGTTAAAATTAACCTACCTTATCATACTAAGATCCCCCATCCACTGTCGAATATCCTCAGCATCCCCTCTCCAAGAGGGTTTAACAAACCAACACCCATGGCTACGCATTTGACTATTGGAACAACCAACGTATTGATAGGTAAATCCACCAACAGGCAACCCTTGGAGCATGTATCTTTTCATACCCTCTAATACCACCTCCAGTGACGCCATATGTCCCCGGAGTTTTGAATAGTCTTCTTCGCGAATACACACAGAGATGAAATTTTCCTCATCGTAATTTCGTAGAACACGATTTAGCTCCATTACCTCCGCCGGAAATGGAATAACCCTTGTCGGAGTAAGTACCAGTCTTTTCACAAGCGCGCAGTGCGCAGGAACAGAGGTTCGGGTGATACACATACGCCTCACGTTTTGTCCACTTGCGAGTAACGTTCCAATTTCGTATCCTGGGTCGGTAAAATAGTTGTGTGTTGTACTCGCCGAGATTTGGTAAAGAGCATTGATACAACTTTCTTCATTCATATGATAAGCCATCCGCCATAATTGATCGTAAAACGATGCTGACATACGACATCTTAAGTTTGGATGGAGTCCGATCAGGCATTCGTGGGCATACCGAACTTCGGGCGGAAAGCGGGATATACGCTGTGTTTCATTGACTTGATTCTCAATAGTTATTGGGGCATAGTAAAATCTTTTACCAAAACTCTTGAGTGCTTCCAATGCATCGTAGAGGTCTGCTGTATAGGGCAGTCTCACTCTCAGACCTAGAAAACCGCCAAACGGTTTGCCATCTTCGATTTCAGTACGACGCGACCAAGCCTTTATCCAAACTAAGTCATCTATCGCCCTAGTCTCCTGGGCAATCAGGGATGTGGAGTTGTCATCAGATTCTGAGTCACTAGAACTGTCGCTGTCATCTGATAAGTTGCCAACGTCATTTGATGGATTGAATATTTCACCAGATCTAGATTGATCGTATATTGAAACAAGCTGGGGGTTGATGGTGATTGCATCGTTTCTTTCATCTAGAATCAAAGAAACCATAAAATAATGTCACATGATATGATCTGGTGTAGTGTATATGATCTGGTGTAGTATAAAATAATGTCGCATGATATGATCAAATTAATCGATTTCATATGTTGTGACCATGCATGGAATAGTCAATAAAACTTAACCATTTCAGACCATGTGATTTGAAATGGGTTGATTCGCATACAAGCTGAAAAGGTCTATTCATAAAAAATCTTAGTATTGTATTGTATTGAATTATTTAGCACAGTATGGAATATGTGTATAATATCTGCAAATTGTATTATAATATGTACCAGATTGTTCACCAAAGTCCCTTGGCGTCCACAATGATTCGCCTTCCTCGTTCTCTTCGCCAGAACTTTCATTTGAGCTCGCACCAGGTTGCGCGGCGTCTTCATTTCTAGTTTCCACGCGATTTTCATCATCTGTTTCGTTTTCGTCCTCCGAATACCCGCGAAGATAGTACTCACTAAACGAACAGTCAGCAGCTTCTTCCGCATCCCCATGAACACGACTTTTCGCAGCACTTAAAGACGGTACATGACGCAAAATGAAGAAAATGTCAGCGTAATCTTTTTGGTCTTGTGGAAAGCTTAGTATGACAAACTCGTGAATTTGATCGTAACGAAATTCGATTTTCTGAAGTTCCCCGTGTGAGTTGTAAAAAGGAATGGTGACCAATTTCAAGTCGTGGAGAAACACAAGTTCAGCACCGCCATTGCACTGGTGTTGCCACTGCTCAGAAAATGTGCCTCGCTCCTTAAAATCCCCACCAGTGATTAGCTGGATGGGTAAAATATGAAAAACCATGTTTCGGGCACGTGGTTTTTCTTCTCGTTCTAGCCACAAGCTCGGACCAACCTCGCACCAAGTTCGGACGACGTCGTCAAAGAGTTGTTCTGGATTCCGATGTGTGTGATCTCCTGGGAGTGATGTTAAGTGAATATGAATGCCTTCATTCCTTGTGCCTGCTTCGTCTGAACCCAATGGGGAATGGGGTTCTTGCAAAATTTTTCGCTCGACCGATAAAACATTAAAATGACTCCGTAATACATCAAGATAGCTATGATCTATAAGAAAAACGAGCTGGAATAAAAATATCGAATATTTATTTTAATATGTAAGAGATTGGAAGTAATTGATAAAATATAGCAGTATATTATCACTAGCAATATCCACCATCAGTACCGGAGAGGGTAATGATAATGAAAACACATCCAGCTGTTCTGAGATCATCAAGCGCCTCGAGTTATATTGCGCCAGTTATTGCGCCTTGAGTCATTTATCCCGATTCTTCCTAATAAAGGCGCGAAATGAAGATTCTAACTTACAATCGACTGAAAACGGGCAAGTTTCTGCATGCATTGTTCAAATAAATAATTACTTGTGCCGATACGAGTTATATTGAAATGAAGTCGCATAATTCTGGAATGATAATTTTGATTTTTGTTCTCAGATCAGCTAGATTAGGCATTTTAGTATTTACCTGACGATCGTCTAGTTCTGACTCATTTTCGTTGCACTGTGACGACCGAATTCCAGACAAAACTAAATTACTAAACGATCTTGAAACAGCTTCTTCTCCCGTCGAGCTTTTCAAAGCAGCAGCGCTGGTAGTATTTTTGTTGGCATACACAACAACAGAAACAGAAGGGTTTGCTCTCTTATTTCGTCTTTTCGTGTGCTTTCTATTTCTATTTCTTTTCTTTTTCTTTAAGAGTTTTTTACGCAAAATCCGACAATGCTTGGCATCTAGTTTTCGTTCTTCACACACCGCGCGTCGACGCAAACCAAGCCCGCGTTCTCCTTAATACCTTGTCCAAATTCTTTTCCTTCATTCCAAATCTTTGAATGACAACATCTACACAATATGCATACTGTAGTTGTTAAAATTATGTGTTTTCGGCTCTTACGAGCTACGGCCATAAAATAAGCAGACCAACGATCTGGGGCCGGTTGGTAGAAACCCTTACATCCATCCGTTAATGCAAAAACGACTCTGATTGGGCTGGTTCCTATTCTGTCTAACTGCCTTTTTGTACAGTCGACCCAGAGAAAACTATGTTTAATTAACAAAGCAGACGAATACTAGTTATTGGTGACATATCACGGAATTCTTATATGTATAAAACTTACATATACGTATAGAACTTACACATACCTCAGTTACATCATTACACATGATCACAAAGCGACTATCTTGTCGTCTCGCTGCGCGACCGCGGCTTTGAATCAGAGCGCGCATGCTCATAACACTGTCAAAACGAATGACCAGATTGCATGCAGGTACATCAAGCCCTTCTTCGAGCACGCTGGTAGAGATGAGTATCTTACATTCGCCAGAATGAAATTCCTTTAACACGGGTTCCTGTTCCGCTTTCCACTCCATTCCATGCGTCCCTTTACCGTGTCCCACAAACTTCTTCGGGTTTAGAAATTCACAAACAAGAGGGTCTTCTTTAATCGCTTCGCACAATTTCGTACACGTTTTCCGCATCATTACAAAGACAATGCCGCGACAACTATCGTCTCCTCGTCGTACCTTCTCGGCAAACCTCCGTAATTCCACTAGCAGTTCACAAAATCGATCGGATGGATCTCTTCTCCTCTCCGTGAAACATTGAATTCTAAGATGTCCAATTGCTTTAACTAAAATATGGTATGAGGAGATACTAGTTAGGATGTTTCTGCGTTCTCTGTCCATTGGATTTCCAGCTTGCTCAACGGACACAAACATATTATGCAAACTCTCACAGGCTTGCGCACATCCTAATACTGTATTCACTTCAAGAACGCTCAATATGCTAATTGCATGTTCAGCTAAGGCCAACCCCTTCACTTTCTGGTGTTTATTTTGGACTTCCATCATCGCTTTTCTTAAAATTCCCTTGTAATTACACGATTGTATAACGTGACTTTCCAAATCAGAGACATCCAAAAGTCTTCTTAAATAAGGATTTAATGACTTTAAGTAGTCTTCTAATTTCTTTTCAAGGTCTCTGCAACGTTAAAAGGTAGGTTATCTTTGATGCATGGGCAGATAAAATTATTCATATAAGATAATTAGAATATGCAATAAAATTATGTTCACAACATGTACTATAATAATCAACAAACATCATGTTAATGTATATTAGGATCCCTCTTTGGTTTTTTTTTATTGTAGAATAGGAAGAATGGGGTAAAAACATATACGCCACAATGTTTTCCAATAATATTTACATAAACAGCAAGATTGATTCAACATTGTTTAGAGTGCAGTTTAGGCGAGTAAAATATGCGAATAGTCGTTTCAGTGAGGCACTCGTTTGTGTACCCTCGTTCAGAATAAATATTTTGGGAGACGCAAAAGCTCCCCCCCCCCATGATTTTTCCAGTAGTTAGAAGTGAAAATTTTCATTCACAACGTACCTCTGGTAGTCATTGTGTTCTTTAAGTAAGTATTTGACCTGGGGTCGATTCCAATATGGTTGAAGATCTTGCGGGCGAGGCACAACAACACGACAATCCAGGATGCGAAGAAGCTTCTCCAGTTCGTTTCTTATCTGATCTTCTTTTACTGCCGTCACAGGCGAAGCAGAAAGTGCCAGGATTAGCGGTTTAAATCTATAGAAATGCCCGGAAATATATGGTTGAGAACAAAAAGAAGAATGACAACAGTATTTCTATATTTGGTTGAACACTTCTAGTTGCTCAGTATTGAATACTTTTTTCCCAATCTTTTCATAGTTATACACACTCAATCAATTCTCAATAGGGCCAATAGGTATAGTTCGACGCACAGGTGAAAACCGATATAAATATCATTGTAAACTAAAGATGGAGAGGTTTTGTTTAGAATCCTTAACTATTAAAAAAAAGTAACGTAACTGAGTATGTCCTTCATTGTAACTCAGAGGGGACAGGCTACACCACAGCCTCCGCAGAACCGATGCTTATACTACAGCCGTTCTAATAACTCTATCCATACCTTTCTTCTACTACTGTATATTTCTCCATTATTTTAGCATAAGGATGTCTCCCAATGCAGTTATGCGCCTCGTCAAGTACAATCAAGGATACATCAGTCATTCTAAGCAAATCTCGCTCATCAACTAGCAGGTTAAGAAAAATGTCCGGCGACATAACCAAAACGTCCACTGTATGATTGACCAAAGACTGCAAAACTTTTATCCAAGCCGGATTATCCGGGGCCTCGAGTTCTCGTTCTCCTGTGAGCACCGACACTTTCAGATCTGGTAACTGACCTAAAAGAGAATTGTACAAGAAATATTAGAATATAAATTAGAAACATTGCACATATTTAATAATTAATACTGAGTTTAGACCACATGAACGTCTTACCTTGAAGATAGTTGAACTGTTGCTGCACAAGAGGGGTCTTTGGCGCTAAGAAAACGGCCACTTTGTCTAAGTTAAGGTAGCTCATGCATGCTATTCCCATTGCTGCTATTAGCGTTTTACCACACCCGGTTGGTAAATACACGAGCGAATTCCCTTGCATAGCTTTTAGGAATAGTTTCCTTTGGTATTCACGTGGCCTGTGTTGTGCGAGCCGGCTGACTGTGCTATGACTGGTCAGCGTTACATCACAGTAAACTAAGTTCGAAGGCGCTCGTCGTGGTACTGGATTCCTCACGACAGCTGGGTCACTTGGCAGAGTGTTTCTGCTTTCAACAAGAATCCCCATTGCTTGAAGGCTTTCTTTGGCCTCAGACCACTTTTTCCATTGTTGTTCCTGCCGTCCATTTTTAAAATACACTTGATTGGCACTGAAGGACAGTGTATTGTTCATGAACGAACCCAGGCTATTTTCACACTTCCCAGAGGTCCACGAGTGGCCACGCCCTTGGCACAGAGCCTTGAACGGGGCGTGAGCTCTTTTCCTTGAATCTGGATTTTGTACTTTTTCTATCACATCTTCCAACTCTTCAACATCAATTCCTAGGTTGAGGTGAATTCCAGCTGAGCCAAGAAGTGTTAGTTTCAAACTGTTCAATCGGACAATCTGGCATTTGCATTTCCGACAATGTAAAAACCAGTTTGTCACTGGGGAAGACGCTGTTGCCATTTTCACTCAGGCCTTAAATAAAAGCAACCGATTTGTTCTAAAATGAAAGAAAATGTCTTTAATGATAGACATCCTTTTTCAGTACGACTAATTCCTTGCTGCTGCAGCATGATTGTCTCAGCTGCAATTAGTTCTCATTTTCCGGTATATTCAACTCTCTCTCAGCTTAGCCACTGCTCTACGTAAAAGCCAGTAGTGTGCCGACATTGAGTCACCGTACTAAGGTTTAATATAGCATATTCGAGTATATTCGACCTTACCAAGGTTGAATATACCATATTCCGATATATTCGACCTTATAAAGTTTGAATATACCATATTCTGATATATTCGACCTTACCAAGGTTGAATATACCATATTCCGATATATTCGACCTTATCAAGTTTGAATATATATACCATATTCCGGTATATTCGACCTTACTAACATTGAATATACAATATTCCGCCGGTACACTGCCCGACGGCGCGGCGACTGGACCTTAGAAAGATCGAATATACTATATTCCAGTATATTTGATTCAACCAAGGCAGCCAAGAATGTGTGTAAGGAACCTTTTTTGAGACGTGGGGGAACGTAGGGGAATGTAGGGGATTTTAGGGACCTCTATAGGTGAAATACGTCATTCAGAGTGGAAGCCTAACTCGGAAGAAACATTTAAGTTTTATACTTTCACTCCCAAAATATTAACAGTCGTTTTAAAGTATTGTAACGTGAATGTGTCGTACTGGGCGCCGTTAAACAGTTACCTTGATACAGATTTGTTCTGCTGAAGCAGCAGTCATAAATATTTTACAAATTCTACAGCCAGGCCGGGATAAATATTGTCTGTAGCCCTAGGAGAAGGGCAACATATTATACTGATGATTCACTTTACGTATTTTAATTAATAGGAATCCTAGATGAAAATTGTCCAATGCTGACTATACAGCCTTTAATTTAATACGGCCTATTGGGTTTATTGACTTACTTTAATCTTGAAAATAATATTCAATACCGGGAGCCATTTGGACGCAATAGATTGTCACTGCAATTTCGTCTTCGTTCACAATTCACATCTCCCACATGACAAAGACTAAAACCAACGGTATATATAATATACTGTAAGTCAACTTAAACATCAATTTTGAATTAAATGAGCAAGTCGATCTTGTAGTGTTATTTATCTATATTTGTCATTATTATACCGCCGACTGACTTATTTACAAACCGTGAGGAGTCACATATCAAATTACAGACTCGTTTACTTTCGATTCAGTATTGAAATGGTCTGTGGCTCAGTGCATAGAATCGAGATATATATAATATATATAAACTAAGAATGATATACCAGGTGATTTAAAATCCATGATCATTGGTTCTGCTGCTGATTCTCGTTATAAATAATTACATTCATTAAAATATCAGCGACATCGCAACAAGCCAAGCATATCAAATTTTAATGACTTCCAAGAAAACGCGACCTCTCTTCCAGGTAACGCTTCCCTCATTATAGTGTTTCCTGTTTTCGTTTTGCAAGAAATTTTCAACTCTTACGCTACATTTGATTCTTACAAATAAAAACGCCTATAAAATTAACAAGTCCAAGGGATATTCATTTACAGAAGAAATATATTTCGCATTCAACTATCAACTTGCATTTGATAAACACGGAGATGAACTTCAAATTCATTTGAATAAAAACAGCGTCGCTTGGTATGTGAAGGTTTCTCTGCGTTGATTTCCCAAGTCAAGAACCTCACAGTCTAAAACAACTTGTAAGTGCTAAAGCATTACAACTACTATAGCTTTTAATTGAAGTCCATGCTCTGATTGCTCTCGCGAGTCGTGATCCAGGTCTAAATGAAGTGATTCAGTTAAAATCCTTGAAAGAAGCGGGCCTTACGATGCCGGCATATATAGCCTTGACAAGTGAAATCTAGGTCATAGTTCTGAACTCTGACGAGCCTAGGTTTCCTAGTCTATGCCTAGATTTCCCGGTCTACGCAATGCGTTTCCACTATAAAAATATAGTTCATTGCTAATCCCCGATCCAGCCAACCTAACTGTTGCTTTATTCAATATTCTATTTTACCTAGACGAGAACTTAAAGCAATCCGAAGCAGCTTAGAGAAATGGCTGGTATATTCAGCAGTCAATCATCATGGTGGTTGGAATGCATCAGTTGTCAGAATCGCGTTGTAAACGCCTCAAATTTGCGATTGGCAGAAGTTGGCTCGGATGGCGGATTCCACCTCGCACTACAGCCAGAACTGGAACCAAATATCGATTCAATAATTGAAAAGCGACAGCATCCAAAGCCTGAACGACGAAAGGAAGCACCGTTCAAGATGTACTGCCTGAAAGCAGGTTGTCCTAAGGATTTAGGTGTGTATCAGTTGTTAGAGGAGCGATTCTTCTACGTTTTCAGCTCCAAATCCGTCCGCTTCCGATCTGTGAGCGGCGAAGTTGCGAAGATCAGACGATGGAAGGAGAGCAAGGCGGAACTTGAGGGAATGGGGATTCAGGTATTGCAGGTTAGTATAAGCAATAATTTATTACCTTTATAGATACAACCATCCGTGCCATCCAATGTACATTAGATGTATATGTTCCAGCATGCAATGCTGGCGGTATTATTAAATTAGATATAAATAATGATAACATTATTATCAGGTGAAGGCTTTATGGCAAACAATATCAAAAAAAGCAGCAGACGAAGCTGGAACACAACAAATTGCAAACGAAATGGTTTATTGCGAAGCGGCAAAAACCTCTGACGAACAAGTGAAAAAACTCGTTCTAGATACACCTAGAGAATATCAAAAAGAATTATTCCGCAAAGCGATGGGAGGTAACGCCATTGTTTACCTTCCCACGGGATCCGGGAAAACATTGGTTGCATCCATGGTGATAAACGCAATGTTGAAACTTAACCCTGGTAAGATGGCGGCTTTTCTGGTGCACAGAATCCCTCTGGTATACCAACAAAGTGAATATATAAAGAAACAAAACCCAAACAAATTGCGCGTTGAAATTTTAGCGGGGGACTTGACGCGTTTTCCCGGCGACAGACAGCACTGGGTCCAAGTCATAAGAAAAATTGCACAAAAACAGATCGACGTGCTGGTCATTACCGCACAAATTTTTTACAACTTTCTGAGCGACGATGACGCAACACTGAAGCTATCTGATGTATCGTGTATGATTTTTGACGAGGCCCACAACTGCAAAGGAAACCACGTGTTTGCGCAAATTATGCGAAAATATTACGACACGCTTCCGGATCGGTATAAGCCGCTCGTTCTTGGGCTGACGGCTTCACCAGCCGGCGCAAGCACGATTGAAGATACCCGCGAGCAGCTGACGAGCTTGCTAACTACACTGCGGGCTCGGTGTATCATGCCAACCTTATCGAATGACTTGGCATTGCATTGGAATAATCCGGTTACTTCATATAAGTGCAAACCATTGAGCGTTACTGAACAGGATTTGCAATCAATACTCGTCAACTACATTCAAAGTATTTGCCCGATGATTGAAAAATTGTCAAATATGGAGGAAGCTCTCACAAAGACACCAGCGTCTTCGATCAATTTCAAAGGCTGTTTACGAACTGTTATCGATCGTTGTCATAGCAAAGAGGAGTACGTACAAGGATTGGCCCTTGCTCTACACGCGATGAACATATACAGTATCATTGAGTTGAATAGAGTACTGGGACCAAGCCACGCCTACCAAGCACTTAAAAGTATTTTTCGGGCTGTAGATGATGTCAGGTTAGTATATCTATGAGTTTTATCATCGCGAACACCCATTGCATCGAGTACTGTGGCGGGCGGTTACAGGATAAGTCAAAATAAATTACTGCAGCAGGTTTCTGATTTTTCACAGATTATATTAGAACTTGAATTTAGGAATGGCAAATGTATGGCTGTTGTAATTTATGCCAAATTCGCCTCCTTGTAGAATTGTCCTTTACCATCCATAATATAAGTGATTTAATTTTCTGTGTCTCAAGACTCTTTTAAGATTCAATCAAAATTGTAGATTTCCATGCATGAGTAGCATGCCCCTGAAGCTCAGCAGATTTTTGCAAGTTCGTAAAATGAAGTCATGACTTGTACATTCTCCACAAATGTGTACATAAATTTGACGGGACTGCACATTTAGATTCCAGTACAGTTTGGTACAATTCAAGCGAAATCTTTCAATCTACTATTCAATTTTGGTTTTGTAGATCCCCGATGGACATGGTTACTAAACGCATCCTCGAAACCCAGCCTAGCTACCAAGCATTCCGAAACGAAATGAGGAGTTTTTCAAAATATTCGCTGGACGTTACCTCAGGCCGTTTCACCGAGCTTTTACAGATTGTTCGTGAATTTGTCGATCACGTGCGTAAAGATAATACAAGTCGAGCGATTATTTTTGTCCACATGCGTCGCACGTGCTTCAAGTTGCACGAGGAGCTAAACAAGGACTCCGTGATCAAAGAGAAATTAAAACCACTGGCGTGTGTGGGACACGGAAATGGGTTGGATGGAATGCAGTGGAAGGGTGAACAGGAAGTTGTCATTACGAGGTAGAAACAATGAGAAATATCACTTTCTTACTTATTTTCAACACAAAAATAGGAACACATGGATATATCTTAGAACATTCGTGATGTCCGAGCTTGGGCTGGTAAGGCCTCATCGACTTACCTAAAATTGCAAAGGATACATAAAATCTATTACTAATTAAATATTATAATGCATAATGTTCAAACTATACATTTTCATCTTAAGGTTTCATGAGGGTGATTGTAAACTTCTGGTCTCAACGAATGTTCTCGAAGAAGGCTTGGACGTACCAGCATGCAATTTGGTCATCCGTTACGATAGTCGAGGAACCAACCTAAGGGCCTTGGTGCAAAGCAGAGGCAGGGCCGCCAGACGAGCTGATAGTAGATTTGTCATCATGTGCAACAGCGAGGAGGAGAAACAACGCTATTTGGAACTTGCTGTGAAGGAAGCGAACATAGAAAGAGCCGTACGAGAGAAGGTGCTAATTTAATGATTTGAATCACGCGCAGGCATTATTTGTTGACGAGTTAATAGGGTTAAGATTATCCTGTTAGGATTAATATTGGAGTTAGGATCAAGGAATGAGGTTAACCACAACGATAGTCGTGATATTTTGCCAAACCCATTATCCAATTGTCTCAACGTGTGTCCGAAATAAGAAATATCACGTTTCTTTAGGATGAGTTTTCGATTGAAAGAGGAGATTTCTCAGTTGTTCTTATGATTTATGTCCATGTTACAAATTATGAAATATGGAAAATTTCGATAGGATTGATTTGAAAACTCTTGAAACTATCCCTTCAATCGTTTCTGACTCTTTTGATAGTAGATAGAGAAATGTTCTCTTATTATCATCCTAAGGTGGCTACAAACAGCTCAACCTCTCAGGCGTCAAAGTTTGGCTGCAAGCAACGCGCAATTGGTCCGGACGCTAAGACAACAGAGAAAAGAAAAGCCCCGGATGCGCATGCGTCAACAAGCAAAAAACCACGCATTCAGAGACCTAGACGAAAGGCATGCGCCATCTTTACTCTGCATGTCAGTCCTGTAGCGCAAATGTCAGAAGGTATTGATTTCCTGGAAGATTATTTTGATATCACAAAGTTCAAACCAGAAGGCGCAACCGGAAAAGAGGAGAAGAGATTGGAGCAGTTAAACAGGTGAAAAATTATCCTCCATAATCCCTTTTTAACCTCACTCACCCTTGTAATAATTCAAGGAAATCCCCTCTTAATAATATATATGTACCGTCCGTATATATGTAACGTTATTTTTATATCTTTAGGATGCTGAGGACATTTTTAGATGTAGAAGAAACCACACTATCAAACGAAGAAGACAACAAAAAACCAAAATCTCGAGACGAGCTCAGCCGAGAAATTGTGAGAAAATGGTGCAAGGATGGGCCACAGGATATGTGGTTGGAACAGAGGGGGCAGCCTCGTGGTAGAGGAGTTAACGTCCATCCATTATTCCTAACAGGCATTGGCGTAGGGGATTTTAAGGACAGGGGCACATTTTCTGAAGAATGGTTTAACCACTGCCACCCTGGAGGCATGGTTATATTCGAGCATGATCTAAAAAATGTTTCAGTGGCATTCCAGAATCAAAAGGAGGGAAATATTTTTAAAGTCGAGTTTCAGTACAAGGAAATCCATGATTGTATTTTGGTTGATACGGCCAGACCAGGCCCAGGAAATTGTAGTATATTTGTCTCCTTAAGAAGTGTTCCGCGTGTTTTGGAAGCTGAAAGTAAGAATATTTGTCATTTTCGCAAATACAGCAAGTATACTCCTTAACTTTTCTCTTATAAACTAAGTTCACTGTGACCCTATTATTATTATTAATCATGTTTAATCCCCCACAAAATCGTTTTCCCTCACTAAACGAGCTATTGTAATTTGTTTCCTCCATTTTTCCTCAGGTTCATCTAGCAGGGAAAGCGATATTGATGAAGACAGCAGGCTGTTTGAATTGCTTGAACAAGGGGAGATCTCATCGGACTCAGATGATGATTGGTCAATGGACAGTGATTCAGACAATGAGATGAACCAGACTTCGCATGATGCTTCAATAGTTGACAAGTCCACAGAAGAGCCTGGTACTGAAATAATTAGCAAGCTAAAACAAGTTACGAGATGGAAGCGTCTTAATCAAATTCCAATTGGAAGATACGGCCATCACGTCGGTGTCTTTGGAAATTCTCTGGTTTTGAAAATTGTTCTTCCATTGAATGAAAACGTTTGGGATATGTTCCGAACTTTGCGCTGTTACGAAAGGCGTATCTGTTTTACAGGAATTCATGTCGAACAATCAAGACCTTCGTATTTTGTCTCGGAGGTCGAACAGCTCGAGCCAAAAGTTCAGTATGCCTTCCATTGTTTGATTAGTCGCCATCCCTCAGTCAAGCAGAGGATTTCGAGCAGATTTTTTGAAGAGTTAAAGAAGACTGACGTGACGAAATGCATTAATGCACTAGCAAGGTTAGTTTGTACCAACTATAATAGAAAGAAGAAAACACTGAAGTAAACTGTCAGTTTTTTGTTAAGGCACGCTTCCGTTTACTATTTTCGCTGCAATTTGCTGTTTGATTTTCTTCTTCTGATAGATGCCAACGAGCAAATAGTTATGAATGCTCTAATGTACAAGTACTTTTATTTGAACATCTGTAACGTATCCACTCATTTACATCAGTTAAAAAAGGAAATTCGCACCTAAGGTCGCAAAGTGCGAGGTTGCAAGTGCAAACCAGCCTGGTCCCCCAAAACGCACCTGTTATAACTAGACTTTGCTTAACTCATCAATTTCCTGTATTTTCAGCATTACAGTACTGCTGGAGGACAACTATTTCGTTGACCCTGAAAAAACACTTGAATACTTACTGCAAAATTCCAAATCGTTGGGACGTCGAAAGCTTGTCGTCCCCGAAAATTGCGTGCTTATACCACGTATGGTTTTCACTCCGACACGCGAAATATATTTTTCCCACGAAGTCATGGAAAAAAACCGCGTACTACGAGATTTTCACCAACTCGATTTCCTATGCCTTCAAATTAGAGATGAAGATTTCTCCCGTCTTGCAACGCACACAGGGAACATTAGTGATATTCTGACTCGACTTAAACAGCTGTTGAAAAACGGTGTCGAGGTCGGAGGGCAATTTTATCAGTTTCTGGGTTCTTCAAACAGCCAGTTACGAAGTCATAGTTGTTGGTTTGTATCACCCACAGAACAACATAATTCTGGTAGCATCAGACAATGGATGGGAGATTTTAGCGGTATAAGGTGAGATAAAATGATGAATTACCTTTTCTCCCCGCCTTCAGTGAAGGTCCTTTGCGAGTTAAAGAATGAGGGTTATGATAATCCTAGTGCATATGACTAGTGCGAATTGTGATGGTGCTACTCTGAGTTACCTGAATTTAGCCTTCCCACCGTGGTGAAACTAATTTTACTTTCATCATAGTTTTACAAATTACTTTTCCAGTTTTCGCATTGGCAACTCAAAGTAGCACTATCACAATATTAATGGTACTCAATTAAAAAATCTTGCTCCGTTTGGAAAGAATGCATGATAAAGAATCACGTCTTCACTTTCTATGCTTGAAACCAAACCACAGAGAAAATTACAAACATTTTCCTGGAAGGAGCCCCGAACCTACCTCCAACTGAACTCTTCACGTCTTCTATTTGGCACTTATACGCTCTTCCAGTTACGTCCTTTTCTGGGCCCCCTCTGTATTTAAACTTGTTGTACTCACTTGAATAACAATGTCCCTAGATGCGTAGCCACACTCATGGCACGGATGGGACAGTGTTTTTCAACATCGACAGACACCATCGCGGTTTTGCCGCAAGAGACTGGAATTCAATTTCAAGACATCAATGATGTCGAAATCTTTGCTGATGACCAAACGTACACTTTTTCCGACGGCGTTGGCAGAATTTCCTCGAATGTCGCGCAGAAGGTATTACGGAGCTTCCAGTCATAATTCTGAAAACTCAGTTTCTATAAGTCGTAATTCTTAAAACTTAAAGCCGTTCCAAAGATCGAACTTTTCATGTGCAATCAAATGCAAGTGGACTTAAAAAAGACTTCACTTTACCCTTTAACACAAGGTTCGGCAAGTGAAATGTTTGACGTCTGAAACAGGTCTTAGTTTCTAGTAAAAATTATCAAAACTACACGAGAATGAAGTCATAGTTGCTGACTTGCTGTTTGTATACAAACATATATAGCCCCTTGTAATTAGCGTCTATAGTCATAATTCTCAAAGCTTAGCTTCTTGGTCATATTAATTCTTAAAACTTAGTTTCTTCCACTCATACTTCTCAGCACTTAGTTTCTAGACATAATTCTCAAAACTACACGAGGATGTGTTTCTCATAAAATAACTCATTTTCCAATCAAATTAAGGTGTCAGTGCTAATCGACAAGAAGTTGCCGCCAAGTGCATTCCAGATTCGGTTTGCCGGCTATAAAGGCGTTCTGACGACGGACCCTCAAATCCAGGACAACCTCATTCAGCTCAGACCGAGTATGCAAAAATTTAAGTCCGAGCACCGACGTCTTGAAGTGCTTCAAACATCGCGTCCTCAAGCTGTTTATTTAAATCATCAGCTCATAATGTTGTTGTCCAATCTTGGTGTGGCTGATGAAGTCTTTCTTAGACATCAAGAAAAAATGCTCGATTCATTAGCATGTATGTACAAAACTTGGTGGATTGATATAAAAAGGCCTTACAGGGTTGAAATAAGTTCTTCCCACCGAAAAAAGTCATCTTTTAAAATTAGAATATGCCTCTTTGGGGTTAATTTCACCCAAGACACTCAATACAGACAAATTGAAATAGGACTACCTTACAACTAAAGGGAATTTCATGAATGTTATACAAAAATAAAGTATTATAGATATAGAAGACAACTATAATCAACATGGTGAAATAGAAAACTAAATCATGATTATAGGAAAATGAGGGAAGAAAAAATTTCAATATTTCCATTTTAAATTTTAGATATGATGACAAATGAAGATGAAGCCAATCAGAGACTATCATCCGCAATCCGAACCGGAATAAACTATAAAGCTTTGAGTGAGGTTGGCGTGTGCTTGACCACTGAGCCCTTTTTTAGATCACTCCTGTGTGCTCTATATCGCGAAAAAATCCATGGCTTGCTTTCCAAGGCTCGAATATTACTTCCTGTAACTGAGGCTCGTTTAATGATGGGCGTTATGGATGAAACAGGACGACTAAACTCCGGGCAAGTATTTGTTCAGTACACAGGAATAAAATCGGAGGGTGACGAAAATTTTGTCGCGAATAACAAGACGGTTGTCAAAGGGAAAATCGTCGTAACCAGGAATCCATGTTTACACCCGGGTGATGTTCGTCAGCTCGAAGCCGTTGATGTTCCAGATCTAAGACATCTGGTGGATTGTGTGGTGTTTCCGAGCAAGGGAGCAAGACCACATCCAAACGAAATGGCAGGTAATAATGAAATTTAATTCACACTATTACACAAGGGTAGCAAACCATTGCAAGAAGCAAAAACAATATGTGTCCCTGCTGTTCATAAAGAATAGGATCATGCTTAAGAGACACATCTTGTTGTGTAATAGTGTGTATATTTGCTTTTTAGGAGGAGATCTGGATGGGGATTTGTATTTCGTTTGCTGGGGCAAAGATTTGCTACCGACGAAATCAGATTTTGCACCAATGAACTACAAAGCTCCAAAGAAAAAGGAAGAGTTGGGCCCCATTACTCTGAATCATATGACCGAGTTTATTTCAGAGTATATCAAACATGACCAGTTAGGTTAGTATTGAATGTTTTTCAAATGTTCACAAACAGCAGTTTGGCACTGGCAGACCGCAGACATCTTTATATTCTTTACTCTCATGTCATTATTAACACAGTTGTTATGTGTTTTCAGCTAGTGCGCCGTGTTTCCACCCAGAATAGTATCACAATAATAATAATTCAATAATTCAAACTTTTAAATTTTTTATAGGTATTATAGACAACACACACAAAGCACAAGCAGATGCACAGGGAACTGGTGTCGAATCAGCAATCTGTCTCCAGCTTGCTGAGATCCACTCTCTCGCAGTAGACGCACCAAAAACCGGATTATGGCAGGAAGTTCCGGTGGCGGCCCGGTTACGAGAATACCCAGACTTCATGATGAAATCTGACAAGCCTTCTTATCCCTCTCAAAAAATTCTGGGAAAACTTTATCGCGAATGCAAAAATTTCCAAGAATCTATGAACTTTCGCCCACCTCGGAAAACGGGTCACGTGGACTCAAGATTTCTCGCGCAGGGTTTCGAGGAGTACGTGGAATCCGCGCGCGAAACAATTGCCGAGTACACGGAACACATCGAGAACGTATTAAATCTTTATGGAATACAGACGGAAGAAGAATTGATGAGTGGTTGTTTTTACAAGCTTCAGAAAAAATTGGGTCGTGAAAGGCAGCAGGTAACTATTTGAACAATTTGACGATTCATGGTAATAAATTGCTGACTATAGTATAGCAATAAGGCATCATTTACAGACGATGACATATTGCACGAAATCAGTTAAGATTAAATTCATTCGTTTCTAACTGCGCGGCTTCTGTCTCCCTGAATCCACTAATTTTCCATCATTTGGCGGACTGGCGAACAATTACAAACTCGCTGTGTGTTTATGGGCCCCAGGTCGATAATTGTGGCCATCATTCACAAAATTGTGGCTATTACTTACAGATTGCTGACGTGGTACGCCGATTGATGACCGAGCTGCGAACGATCTTTCGCCGAGCGTTCTTTGTCGAATTCCAACGCGATTCCACACCCCTTACTAGCCTAGAAGTGACCACGGAAATGCAAAAGAAAGCCTCAGCTTGGTATTATGTGGCTTATCAAAGCGAACAAGGCATGGAGAATTCTGAGCAAAAGTCAAAACACTTCATTGGCTTTCCGTGGATCGTCGATGACGTACTGGTCACCATTCCACTAGTCGACCAAGGGTCACCAAAGCAGAATATCTCTGAGAGAAATGCTTATGCAACACTTGAGAACAGTTTGGGTGAATTTTTTGCAAAACAATCGCAGACACTTATGAAAGGTTACGAACATCGCCTTCAGGTTAAATCGTTTATTAATGATGCAATAAAAGAAAACTCGCGGATAACTGGTGTGGTAATGTTTGGTTCTTCTGCGACATTATTCTTTGAAGATACGTCAGACATCGATCTTTGTGTGGTGCCTTATAACGAGTCAGGATGTCTGTTGCAAAAGGATGCCCTGAAATTAGCCCGCAATATAAGCCAGCCTGATCAAATGAAACTCCTGCGTAAATTGGAACCACATTTAAGACGAGTTTACAATGGCGTGCATCTGGTCCGGGCCAAGGTCCCAATATTTCGCTTAGCTGGTTTGAAAAACAAAGAATTCGGATCCAAACTCTGCTCCGACTTGTGTGCAAATCCAGACGGTTTCCTAAAAGCCATGGTCGTATCATGGTATATCCACAATTATCCACCACTTTTGCCTTTGTTGCGCATGCTCATACAGTGGGGTCGTGATTCTGATCTAGTAAGCAAGCGTGAAGGTTGCTTCATTAACACAAATGTTCTTGTGTTTATGTTGTTATCCTTCTGTGTCCGTGCTGGTTGGGTTGACGAGCCTGCGATGGATGATATCCGCGACGATGTGGAAAATATTGGAAAAAATAAGGTGTGTTTTTAATAATTTGAAATTGTTTCTGAATTATCTGATGATGCAATACAAACAGTATCATAAATTGATTTAATTTAAAATTACCTTATCCAAGGAAAAATGCGAACTCTCTGGGAATTGGTTATCTCCTATAAGTCATTCTCCTGCTAGGACAGTTTTGTTATCCCTCGCTAATGACTAATTAATGATGCCTACGGTCGGCGCCCCCCTTAAACCTTCCAATGAGGTCTATTTTCTCTTACGATTGTCGTGAGAATGCTCCCCCTAAGCGGATTGCAGCTTCAGCGCTTAACTAGATAGAGTCTTGCATCTTTGGTATGATTGTCAAGTCAACCTGGTGCACCCCCCCCCCAAAAAAACAAATTCTGGGCTGGATCCAGCACTGACTTGCTTTATAACATTATAGATCAAAGATCAAGAGTTGATATCGAAATGGGAAAATACTCTTATGCTGTTAAAGAACAACAGTCAAAATACACCAGAAAGCACTGGTGAACAAAATCCTGACGACGCCGATGGAATGGAAAACATCGAGGAATGCCAGCATCACCACCTTAAATTAGGCCCCAGGAACACGCCTATCAGTCACGTGTTACTTGAATTCTTCCGTCGTCACCAGACCCTTCTTGACTCCAGTATCCCAGAAGCATTTGTGGGAATTCTTGGAGAAGACCAGTTCCAGTCTCTTCTAGGGGAAGGGGACTCGCAGCTACTTCACGACCAAATGCAAAGGGCTTATCATATCCTTGCACTACATTGCGACGTCACAGTTTTGCTGGAGGTATGTTCCTCCAAGTCGCAGGTCTCTTGGCATCTTACAGATCAGCTGTCGGCATGGATCGCTGGCTCGGAAAATCATTATTCCAAACTTTTTTCCGACAAGTCTGGGGCGAAAGTTCGTATTAGGCCGCGGATTCCTGGACTTGGTACTAATCTTTTGCTAGAGGCATCAGGCACGGCTGTCGCTTTAGGAGTTCTGGAGACCATCTTGGATGATAAATCTGCAAGTTTGATAGCTCAGCCATTTTCTTGTCTTGGAATGTGTTTTGTGAGTGAAGCAAATGTTATGATATTCGAAGGAAGTCAGAGCGATAATGATCCAGTTAATTTGGTACCATATTACGGTCGCTCGCACCCACATCACGATTATCTAGTACGACATGTCCCATTATTAGGAAACGCACCACTGAACACAAGCATCGTAGACCCTGAAGAAAGATCTTTCCGAATATTTTTTGACAAACTTCTATGTCAGCTGGAAGTAGTGGCACGTGACTACACGCCCATTGTGCATGGCGGGATTTTGGAATTCAACGTCCATTTTGGTCGGTTGTACACGTTTCACGTACCTAGATCCCTAACCGAGGAGACAGACCCAACGACCGTAAAAGCCGTTCAAATATCGCTCAAGAGAGGTTTCGAAAGTAAAGCCGCTTGTCTCATGTCTTTACAGTCGACGAGCCCGACCAAGAAACTCTTCCGCCTTCCATTTAAACGCCGAAAAAATCGAAAAGCAGAACTGCCACAAGCGACTAAAGATGGCGAAAAGACGACAAGAAAAAACGAAAAAAAGTCGCCAAAGCATTCGTTTTTTACAAACATACCAAAAGGATGTGTCGCCAGTATAACCAAATACCTGGAAGGTCGAGGCTTTGCAGAGAATCCAAATTTAGGATCGCCTTATTTTTTGGTCACCGTCAACGCAGACGATGGAAGAGAGTGTGACATCACGTACGATTCCGACATTCGCCCGAAGTATATCCGATCTCCGAAATTAAGATGGTTTGTCACCGACGTGAAACGGCAGTGGCAAGCACGATCAACTGTTGGCGATCGAGAATTTGACCCGGAAATGTTAAACGGCTCTGAGTGCGACCTGAGGTGGGTGTTTTTCAGTCAAATTTCTACTCGACCATAATGTTCATTTGTCGATTGCGTATCAGTGGAAATAGTGATCTCTTTCCATTTGGTCAATTTTCAGTTTTACAACCGTTTACTGCAATATAAAATTTGACTGTAGGTTGATGGTAAGATCCTTTGAAAACTTCCCTCCCAGTGCTGTTGACAATTTACCGCAAAAGAAATTCCTCGACATACTCAAACCAAAAGCAGGCCAACAAACAGCAAATGGATCATCCTACCCGTTTCTCATCAACCTCGAGTACAAAAACAACCTTCACATCATACGCCATCACGTGGAGCAACGAGTAAGAATCAACGATTATATCTTATAACTGCAGTAAAACATCCCTCGTGCAAGGATCACGCAATGTCGCATGGAAAAGCATTTAGATATTCCCTTACTAACTGATAACGTATGAAAAGAACCTTTCTAAAACAGCTTTGATCCTTGTATTAGGTCATTGAGAAATATTTCATCTGGTCTGATTCAAACGGTGTCCTAAAGGCTAAAACTATAGGCTTGACGCAACCGTACATTTTGAATTTTGATTTATCTGTTATGCTGTTTCGTGACGAAGGCGCAGGAGGATCGGAAATAAGCATCAGACATCTATTGTATTGATGCAATATCCACACTGTGTACGCAACCTTGCGATGCCTAAAGTAAAAAATAAATTGAATAATTTTATTTTTTACTTTACTTTTTTAAATTGTCAGCTGGTCCATGGTTTTTGCGATAACTAGCACATGTATATTTTACGCACAATACGTATCCCCGTTATGCCTAGTTTCCATTCAGTCGTTAGCTGTCGTTACATGTCTTTCCGTGTCTTTGGAATAATCGTGAAAGACCGATAACGAATTATGGGAAGAATCATGTCGTTTCCTGTCTTTTTATGTCGTTGAGATATGATTTGTTCTATCCCAATCGACACGGTCGTTTTCTGTTTCTCTCAGTTGTTATCGGTCTTTCACGATTATTCCAAAGACACGGAACGACATGTAACGACAGCTAACGACTGAATGGAAACTAGGCATTAGTCTTTAGACTTTAGTCTTTATCAATTTCAATCAACGATGTTTTTTGAAATTATTTTGACCTACATTTTATAAATCTCGTTAGGTTTTCACTAACAATTTTAACTCGGTTGGACAAGACGAATTTTTGGCCTCAACAACAGTGAGTTTTGATGAAGTGGACGAATATTCAAGGCTTAAAATCAACGGTCGGTTTGAAAGTGTCTTCAAGAGATTTGAAATGACCATTCAGCCTCAGATACCAGCGAATTGGACTTCCAGGGTTGAGATGGAAAAATTTGCAATGAATATTTGGACGCTGGCAAACGAAATAGCAAGACAAGCATATCAGTAAAACTTTAAAGCCCTTTCTCCAATAGTATAAAAAGTACAACAAAAAGTGGGAAGCGATCCTACTTTTTTGCGACTAATTTTTTCGCCGACCAATCACATCCTTGGATTACAAGTTTCACTTCGCATGAATAAATTTGCCTAGTGGATGATGGGCTTCAGTATAGAAGTCGAGGAATATTTAAAACGTTTACGAAAATATGTAGTAAGTGGATCGTTGCATTTTAGCCCATCGATATGAATAAACCTGCAAGGATTGCGCATTTCTGTTGTTCAGGTGTCAAATTTAGAAGGCACTCGCCTAATTTGGGAAAAGTATAAAATGAATACCCATGCACTATCTAGGTAGTCATTAAATGCGCATTCACATTTAATCATATCGATGATTTGTATATAGAACGTTTCAAAGTGTAGCCAGTGTGATTGAAGCTAATTTGATAAAATATAAACCTCATTTCAATAGATTACCGTGCCGTGGTCTGATTTCTGTGGTTGCCTGCGAATAGGCGTATATAGCTTTTTGGCAATGGTGTTTTTAATATTTTATAGCAATCAGCAATATAACGTGTAATATGTAATTTCTACGTCTGTAAAATTAAACACCAAATTTCGAGAATGCTTTCAATGTAGCTTACCATAAAAAATGAAATATAACGAATAGTCAATATTTAGAAGAACAATTTAGAAGAACAATTGAATATTATCCATACACAACGTTCACACGATTAGTAGTATTTTGAGTACTACATCTCAGTTTATGACAATGTGTTCCAGAACCACTACCTCGACCTCCTAAATCGTTCTTCTATAGGCATACTCTCCTTTTAAGTAAACAAACTGCTGACAACTAAAGTGTTTGAGAAGGTCTATTTTTGCACAAGAGTATCGGTACCTCATTTTCCCAAAATTTTTCAGTTCTGTTTAATGCTTGGACATTCTGTTTTTTATAAAAAATCAAATCTTAGGCACGTATGAATATGTATGTTCAAGAACAGTACAGCTGAAAAATTACAATGTTCTAAACAGCTACCACATAAATCGTTGAACGTCGCTCGAATTCGGCCATTTGAACGGCTTTTTCAAAAATGCCCACACTGTCAAATAATTGATTGCGGCATAAAATAGAAACTCCACACCAAGTTTCCACAATTCTGGTCTCCTGAGATGAATGCGAAACATAAGATATGGTACAATAAAATATCGGAACTCTAACAATCCTTGAGGAATAAGCACCACAGCAACGCATACGCCATAAACTATCTTCCACAATTTTGATCGATCTATGGACACAAACATCATTGTCAAGACAACGAGGTAAACAGGAATTAGGCCAACTTTCGCTTCTGGGTAAGTTTTGTAGATGTTTTTCCACACATAGAAGGGGTAATGACGATTATCAGCCAGCAGATATGGATGAACATAGGTGAAATTTTGAACAAGATAATAGATGCCAAAAAGAATGATAATCACGGCCGAGTAAAAGCGACGTTGGTTCCAACTAAGAAAGTATGATATGGTTCCAATCACTATATTTGGAGATGTCAGATGTGGGAAACTGAAAAATCCAGCAAAACAGGCAAAATAAAATATCTGTGGAAAATTGAAACAAACTTTATGGTGAGTCTTGTCACCAACAGCAATTCCACCATTTAGGAATACAAATGCAGCAAAAAACACCATGACCAATGCATATGGCCAGAGTACTCGGACTGTTATTCGTATGTTCAATACAAGTTGTTTAATGAACTCCACAACAAGATTTGGAAATTTGTTTGAGCGCTGTCCAAGCTTGAAGAAAACTACAGGTTCATACATTCGAATGGCCGTCACTCCAGCAGTAAACACAACCCAAACAATGTTTGTCTGTCGAAAAAAGAATGCGTACATACCAATAACTGCTGCTGGGATGTGATAGTCACAGAGACTAAGGTAGTACATAAGCAACACAAAAAATGTGGAGCCATTGTCAGTATAGTAGAGAAACATAAAGAAAAACAACAGAGGGAAAAGTCCAAGAACTATTGCAGTTGCTGTCTGGTAAAATTTTTCCTTTCCTTCAAGCTCCCTTTGGTTTTCACTAGCTGCAGAGCTTTGAGTCTGTAGCAAAAAAAATGAGGGAATTCAACTTAGCTTTTTTAGACATTCACCAGTGATTATAATAGCCCCCAAAATAGTTAAAATCAGGTTACTTATCTTATTGATATATTCCAGGGCCTTTTACCTTGATTCTGGGTTGGGGTGAGTAAAAGCAGTGAAAAAGCCCTGGGATCGGCCAACCGCTTCTGACTGGTTAAATGATTTTCCCTAATTTATGTCTAATTGGCGGAATATTTTGTGATTACTCAGAAATAGTACAATTCCAATATGCTTTAAAGCGACAATATTATCTGTTCTACGTGACGCAGGCATTTTGAAAATATTAGGTAAAATTTTATAATAAATTATGCTTAGTCAAAATACCCATGAAATGTGGGTATTTTGAACGGCCAATCCCAGGGCCTTCCGTCTTCTTTCTCCTAAAGTCCCAAAAGGCCCTGGGAACAAGGTTGAATTTAGGTCAAATAATTTTATGTTGAGTTGAGAATACACACAGAATGCACCCTGGCTATAGTTGAATCCGATAGTAGACCAGACATAATTTTGGTCCTGAAAACTTGAGTCTGACATGTTCATTAGCTTCAACTGGCTTTAGATAAATAAGCCTTGATTCCCTAAGCAAACACTATGTAAATACACCTAAAGATAAAAACTTCGTGAGCTACTGTATAACTACAATACCTCTTTCCTGTCATCAACCTGCAGTTTTTTCATTTCATCCAACTTTCTCATTATACGGTAGATCACCCAAATATTTCCAATGTTAAATAAAATGTTAACCATTCTTAGAAATAACGGCATGCACATCGTCTTTACCTCTTGTTTAAATACCACAGCAAGAAACTCGATAAAAGCCCAGGAACAAAAATACAATCCTGGCAAGGTAGTGATCATTGGATCCCACTCGTTAAAACGATGTGCGCAATATTTTTGTACCTGTGGGATGTGAAATACTTCATCCATGTATGGATCTGGTTGTTTGCCGAAAATAAAGACAACCAAAGCTATAGACAGAGAAATAAGCGATGTAAAACAAGGACCTAACATATTAACATTGTTAAGGAAGGCCATTTTGAACTGCAACCATAGATGAGGCAACACTTTATGTAAGAGGTATTATATAATAGCTACAAGGAAACACGCAATTTGATTGGTTAATAGGCGTCGATTACGTTTTAAAATGTCGGACAATTTTACGCGTGATATAAGGAAAAATATAATAGATTTCCATTGGCCTTACAGTTACTTATAGTTCAATGCCAGTTTATACATTTCAGTGCTCCCCGCCTTCGATTTAAGTGAAGTTATGTTAAGTTAAATTAAGTGAAGTTAAGGCCCGTTTACACTTGCAAATTTTGCTGAAATTTTATGTGCTATTTTTTCCTTCAAAAGAAGAAAATCGCATTTTATATTGCAGGAAGAATCGCAAGTGTAAACGGGCCTACTTAATCCACACAAAAGCAACTGTGTAGATGTGTGTTGGATAAAAAATCCCACTGTTGTTTCTGTGCAAAGTAAATATGGAATCCCACAAAAAGCCTGTGGCTGTGCACCGACGAAATACTACGTTAACACAAAAAAATACTTTCACGGACTGTCATCTGACGAGATGAAAATCTCCCACCGCAACAATTACAATCCCACAGATAACTCCCCTTTAGCCTTGGCTTTGCCCTTGAATTTGAACGTCATTTCTTCTGTACGGGCAAATCCAGGTCCTCTATGGCAGATTGTTTCTTTGTACACAAACCAAGTATTTCCAGCCCACAAGAAAAAGCTCAGGAAACCAAACAACTACAACGAAAAAGACAAAATGAAGTACAATATATTTCACTGATCATACCCAGTGAACTCTATTTTTTTCATTTTACTGATCATACATCATATCACATTCATTACATTATATTGACAAATTACCGAAAAATTTCTCGCGCGAAAAAACATCGCGCAATTTTTGGCCGCCTATGATCATAATTAGACAACGAGTCGTAGTTGTCTACGAGCGAATAGTCAACGAAGGCGAAGCCTGAGTTGACTATTCGCTCATAGACAACGAAGGCGAGTTGTTCAAAGCTTTGAACAACTGGCCCCTGCTGGTTGTTGACCCAGCAGGGGCCAGTTGTTCAAAGCTGAGCCTGGGTTAGCGCTAACCCTAGGTTAAATGTTAATCAACTGTTTTGGTTTAAGTGCTTCTGGACCACTGTTCGTTTTAAAACGTTACAAAATATGGCTTTTGTCGGTCCAAAAAATATTTATGGAAAATGATATGCAACTTTGTAAACAAGCAATTAAAAAAAGTAAAGGTTTGCTTTAACCCAGGCCCCAGGGTTAAGCTTAACCGGCTTTTGAATAACCGGCCCCAGATGTTCCGGCAAATAAGAACTCTTATCTGAGAGTATTCGTAACTACTCACTCAGGCTACGTTCACACGGGACCGGACAAATTTGGAGCCGTACTTGAATGCGTCCTGTTCAGGTGTTCACACAGTGAAAACAAATAAAAATTAGATCGGTTCTACGTGTTCACACGAGGAAACCGTACGAAATCGAGCACGGTCCCGAATTCGTCCAGTCCCGTGTGAACGTAGCCTCATGCACATCTATATTAAAAGAAAAAATCGCACATAAATTTTTATTTACGACTAGTTCGAGTCATTTCGCATGTTTTCAGATTGCCTGGAAAGTATAAACATAGACAGCCCAAATATGCGTAATAATTTAAACGCGAGAAAGGCGTGGAGAAATTGCCGTCCTTGGACTACCTATTTAGGCAGTCCAAGTGCTTGTAAAAGTGGCACGGTCAGAACTTCTATCTGTGCTTTTTGGGAGTGTAAATGGGGCTTTTTAGAAGAAAGCTATTTTTATCCTGAAAATAACATATTTGTCATTAATCTCACTTCACAATGAACTATAATCTTTGTACATCGCTGCCTACAGAACACATAAATACTATTAAAAAAATATAAGTGTGTAGAAATAATTATAAGTGCAGTTGCTCTTCGAGTTCAGTGACGTCGGTGATGGCGAAGCATAAGATCATAAATCTTGTGAATTTCTTTAAGAATTGTTAAATGTAGTGAATTTACATTGAAAATGTTATAAAGAAAGCCAGAACGTTTCAAATTAGCGAACTGTAGCTCATTAATTTACGCTCGACTTGACAGCGATATGACGTATATCACTGACGTCGCTGAACACACATCGCAACTGGACTAACTTGTATTATTTCAAATAGTATTTTTTGGGACATTGATTGGGATTCTATGCAATAAGTAGAAAACTACACCGACTTACAACAGATACAAACCAGCATAATTAGCTAGTTATTGAGGTTTAAAGATTGGGTATTTGATAATTGATATAGACACATCAAAGACTTACAACAGATATTATTAAACCAGCATAATTAGGTTTGTTTGTAACTTTACAGCCATGGCATGGGTCCTCGATTTCACCTTTAAGTTTGTGGACGCCATCAGCCCATAGGCCCGAGGAACAAAGGCAGAGCAAAGTCAGGATAACGGTAACAACAAGATCCTAAATCGAACACAGAAAAAATTTTTAGCCATATGTTGCGACATGATGCGACACACAGTATCTGCAAATGTCAATTTAAATATAGGTTAACTGAATGGCCTATATGTTGAAATCATAGAAGGTTAGAAGGTGTTCTTTAATAATAACAACAATTCTCACCGCTGTAGCAAATGATACAAGATGTCTTTCTGTGCTATCACGATCATATGGATCTGTCGGGGCCTCAAAGCAAACATAGTAAGCCATTGCAACAATGCAGTAAATGCAGGTCACAATACCAACACCGACAAAAGACTTTGAAGAACTTTTCAAAATTGAGGGAAGTTCTATAGATGGGCTGTTTGTTGCGCTGCTCGTTCCATTACATGAAACGTATACATCAATTTTTTCAAAAGGGTAGCTAATCTTTTTTTCCACTTTACATTGACCGACGGTTGCAGTGCTTTTACCTGTATAGCCTGCTGTTGTTGAAAATACAATTATGGCAGTAACCTAGAAGAAAGAAAATGGTAAGTAAATTAGCCACATACACTAAAGTTTATCAGATGTTTATGATAAGTTCACTCACACTTGATTTGCGTGCATATATGGGAAGGCAATCATGCACATTTAGCCCATGCGGATGATTCTCTCTACTTGATAACTCTAAACTGGTATTTTCTCACTTTTTCACTGATAATGTATTTAGTAACAGAAAACTGTCTTATAAATGAAAAATGTAAGTTTACGCTTAGACATTGAAGTGTCAAGACACAAAAAGCTACACTTTGATAACAAATTATGCCTAAATTCAGTATATTTTCAAAATATCCTAGAAATTCAGGAGAAATTTATTAAAATCAGGAGACAGGAAAATCACATTGTATGAATTTTTTATCTATAATACTGAGCTGTTTTTATACTAGGAATTACTTGGAATTCACAAATTTTAATTTCAAATTATTTTAATTTCAGTGAATTGCACACGCCAAAATTTTGAAACATAATGACCACTCAGTGATAATGCTTGCCTCGTACCCAGGCACTTTATATATTGCGCTGTTTTGCGCTGCTAAAAAGCCCTTGTAAAAAGCCCTTGTAAAAAACCCTTGTAGAAAGCCCTTGTAAAAAGCCCTTGTAAATAAAATAAATAAATAAATAAATTGAATCTAAATACAAAGTCTCATTTGCGAATGCTAAAGAAACGAAACATGGATTTGTTAGTCTAGTCCTATGTGCGAAGCCCTTCAAGCAGGATCTAACAATGTGTGTGGATGTTTCGTCTAATCCTGGTCCTCAATCTTTTGATAATAATCAGTTGGATAAGATGTCTCAACATCGAAAGCAGTCACGTTTGATGAACACGTTTCGACCCGCTAATAATCCTGAGGAGCTTAGTTCAATGCTTGGGCAGTTGAATCTACAGAAAGGTTGGTTGTTCCATATGACCTATAGGAGTGTCGAAGTCATATGCAATGAAGGAAATGATAATTCAGTTTTGTCGAAGATCTGGCTTCGGATTGGTTGATTTTTATACCCAGATCAGCTGGAGGGATCGATACTGGGTCCACTACTTTATTCATTATACACATCCCCACTTGCGGACATTGCCGGAAAACACAATTTGAAGTTCCATTTTTACGCGGATGACATCCAACTCTATGTTACCTTTACTTCATCATCTGGTGAAAACACAAACTCTGCTCTACTTAGTATTGAGAGGTGTGTTGCTGAACTCGAAACATGGATGACCTGCAACAAACTTAAGATGAATAATGAGAAAACTAAAGTTATTGTAATTACGTCTCCTTATCGTCCACGTCCTTTGATTGATGGTCTTCGAGTTTCTGGTCATTTGGTTGTTTGTTCGTCGACGATAAAGAACATTGGGGTTCTTTTTGACGAACATCTCTCCTTTGGACCCCATGTCAGTTCCATCTGCAAAGCGGCGCGGTTTTTCCATATACGCAATATTTCAAAAATTAGGAAACTTCTTACCGAGGACACGGCAAAGATTATTATCCACGTTTTCGTAACATCGAAATTGGATTATTGTAACTCTTTGCTGTACGGTCGGCCTAAATATTTGATTAAGAGACTTCAATCGGTTCAGAACTGTGCAGCTAGAATAATTTTTCAATGTAGAAAGTTTGAGCACGTGACCCCTCTACTCAAGGGTTTACATTGGCTCCCAGTTGAACAAAGAATCAAATTTAAACTTTTGATTATAACATTTAAAGCTCTTAAGGGACTGATGCCACCTTATATTTGTGAGCTAGTTACACCCTATGTTCCCACCAGGACCCTTCGCTCAGCGGACCAAGGTCTTCTTTGTCAACCGAAGTTTAATCTCAAGACGTTTGGAGCACGTTCTTTTTCCATCTCTGCACCTACCTTATGGAACTCAATGCCTTCTGATTTGAGGAAGATAGACTCATATAGTGCTTTTAAGAAACACCTTAAGACATGGCTTTTTAATCTTAGTTTTAGTAATTAGGTTTGATTCGTCTGGTTTTATTTGTATATATTGTTAATTGGTGTTTTATCACTTTTACCTATGTAAAGCGCTATTGAACTCTTGGAAATGGCGCTATATACCACTTTGAACGCGCGGGAGAGCCAGCACAAATTGTTTTCAAGCAGTACTGATATCAAAATATTTGCATCAGGGACAAAATCAGGAACAATTTTTGAAATCTCAACATTTGTTTTGAGTGGCGCTTGACAATGGCTCGACTTAATTTTCATAACTTCGTCGCTAAGGAGCCTACCGTATTTACTCGTTTGAATGCCGCGGCGCTCTTTAAATTTTTAGAACTTCAGATGCCGCGATTAATCGAGGGCGCTCTTTAAAAAATATTATTTGTGAATTGTAACAAGAACTTTGAATAAAAGGATTTGAAAGTTAGATGTACCCAAATGTCCCCATTTTGACAGCGAGCATTTCATATAACACCCTCGCACAAATCACTGGAATCTCTGCCTTCACGACTGACGCCCCAATCGGGGGCAGCGCTCATTCGAGTAAATACGGTATTTGCTGTTCAAATTTAAGGTTCGAGGCGCAATCGGGCCACTTCATTCACCAAATCGTGGGTCCCAGCAAACATATCATCATGTGTACTGATCAAAGCTTGCATAGCTTCAAATCTGCTTTGTAAGACCTCTATATCAAGGCCAATATCTTCCATACACGCCGGGTGGGATTCAGCCCGGTCGTTGACACTGTAGTTTCGGTTGATATTGTTGTACATAGTTTTATTAGTTTTATTAGGAAAACCGAGCACGTACACCGACCTGACCATTGAAAGATAAACTATTAAGCTTGCCAGGATACCAAGTTACCGTGAATTCCGATACGCTGCTATCGAATCTTCTTGCGTTGCCACCAGGCTGCCACTATTTGCCATGTTGTGCAAGAGAGGATTCAATAAATTGCTTAGTTCAACGATTCATAATCATTCCGCCAAGATACTCTCTTTTTGTCATACACTATGTTTCCGCTGATAATATGGTTACATATTACACCTATATTCCAATCAGACGTGCAATCTTTACCGGTTTGATCAGAGCTACTTTGCACCATTTTGCACACAGCTAGCCGTCGCCATATTGAGTCTCATCTCCCCCGACACTCACGTTCATATCGTCAGTTAACCAAAGTCTCTTCAGGCAACCAGAGGATTTCACCAGCAAAAGCTTCACCCAAATTAAACTCAAGAAAAGGCAAGAATATATATAGTACGCCAAATTGGCGTAAATAATACAAACTGCCACGCCAGCAACCCGTCAACTTTCCAACAAACTCTACAATGCTAGTATCACAAGTGCAACATAAAATAACTGCCTCTGTCCTACATAACTTGATGCTATATACATTAGGCAATATAGCTTATATCATTTTGCTCAAGTTCAAAGAAATAGTGACTTATTATATAGGCGCGCCGGTTTCATAATCACAGCTTACTTACGTCTAAACAAATTAATGCCAAATGATCTTTTTTCTTACGAAAAAATTACAAAATTACAACACTTACTACTTGTATAAGCTTTATAAACCCACGAGTCTCTTTGAAACGATTAAAGTTAGCACGAATTTGCATTTTTGGAGCAGTTAAGTTTAACTTTCGAATGTGCCAGCTACTCGAAGTATGCTCAATGATCATTCGATGACATCAGATCAGATCACATGAGGTTAAATCAGCAGCGTTCTCACTTTTGTACGGAAATTTCCTTAGAAAAGTTTGACTTAATCGAGGGGAGGGGGCAGTATTTAATGTATTCTTTTCAAATGTTCTTTTTCTCAGGTTATTTAAAGCATCCCCCCAACAGTAAAAACTATGCATATTTAAATTGTGAGAGCAGAAAATAAATGCCGATTGCGATCTGATTGGTCGCGGTAAGTAAACAATTACGGCAAATCGGTTTTATAAAATTATTTGAACTACATTTTGCTTGGTATGGTGGTATGGTAGAAAACGCGGGTGCGGATAGGCGGATGTGGATACATTCGTGCGGATAATAGCGACCTTAAGCAAAGCGTAGTTTTAGGACGGGGACGTGAAAAAAAGACGAGTAAAACTGGGACGAGAAATATTTCCCCCCGTCGCAGAATAATATGTAAACAAAGATTAAGCAAACCTTAGTTTTACTACGGGAACGTAAATGGTAGTATGTTTACACTTATGACAAACGTTTGATCAAGAAATCTTTCTTTTCCAATGGCATCTCTTGGTGTTGGATGGTTTGATTTACGAAGACGATTTAGTTTTATTGTATGATCGAAATACATCGAAAAATCCTGTCTTTCAACCTATTTTCCAAACTCATGGCCACAGAATATCCAATGGCAACAAAACCATCCTGACTCCCAAATGGTTTAATCCCTATAAATTTGTTTGGTCCTGCAGGTAAGGAACTATATGCATGTATTTAATATCTATATTTTAAACTTAAAATTATATCTAATTAAATGTATCTGTGTATTAATTGTACCAAATAAATATATGGTACACTATATTACTGTGTATGTATAGCAAGTTGATTTTTTTTATCTAGAGGGTAAGCAGCATGATGACTTGACTACCAATGAGCTACTATGCATCTATGGGGATCCAGCATACCCACTTTGGGTACACATACAGGCACCATTCCAGTATGCTGTGTTAACACCTCAATTGCAAGAGTGTAACAGCTCATTAAGTGCTGTTAGGATGAGTGTGGAATGGTTCTTTGAGGATATTGCCAAATATTTTCAATAGATATATATTTAAAAAGTTTGAAGATTGGTCAGTCTGCTGTTGGCAAGATGTACATTGAATGTGCTATTTTATGAAATGCTCTTACATGTTTATACAGGAATCAAACATCTGTTTACTTTGACTTAGTAATGATAATTCCAAAAAAGCTGTAATATTTTGTTGTCTAGCAGAAGACAATAATATGGGCTAGGGCCATTCAGATCTTGCAAACTATATTTATGTCACCATTATAAAATGCAGTTTTATTCTTATTATGTGTATGCAATGTACCCTAAAAATTTTAATTTATATGACTATTCTGTTTCTAAGATACCATTATTATAAAATTACAAAAAATAAATATTTACATTTAGGAAAAGAGCAACTGCTCAACAATTAATAAATGTAACATATAGTAATATATTACACCATCAACAGCCAGAACTTTGTTCTTTTGTAATGGTGGATTTATGGTACAATAATATAATTGTTATTAATTAATTGTTCATCATACCAAAAAAATTCATCATCTCATTTTGCTGAGATTGTTGCTGTTGTTGCTGTATCATTACGTGAAATGTCTCCATCTACTGCTGGTGCTGCATTGTCAACATCAGCTGTTCTTGCCTCATATTTGCTTCATCAATACTCCATTTTAATGTTTTTTTAACTCTGACATCTAATCATCCATGTCTTTCAAATATTTAATTGTGGCACTTCCATTACCTTTAGTCTTTTTTCCCGCTTTCCTGTTGCATCTTCCTCACTTCTCCTTTCCCAGACTTTCTTTACAGCCTGTACCTTTGTTTGTTCCACTTGATCCTGTGACTTCTTTGCAATTCTGCATGATTTCCCTCCTTTGCATAACGTTTATTTCATAGTGCCATATTACTTCTAAAATGATCTTTACCATATGGTATACCCAATGTCTTTTTCAAAACTATAACAATACAGGATGATGGTGATTAAGAAAAGACAAAAAATATTTGCAGATTCGGGCTTTTTTGTTGTTGGTGTAGTCAGTAGTCCTGTCAAGGTCTGCATATTTTGACTATTAGTACAGAAAAGAGCTGCATTTAATTAATAGATTAATCGCCTAAAAATAACTATATAATTTCTTAAATTTACCTGCGTTTTAAAAGTCTTTTCGATGAAAAAACACAGCTCTCGCCCCTCCAATTCTGCTACGACGGCAAAAAGTATGAACTACCGTTGTAGCCAGCGACGGCGACTCGCTAATTAACATTAACAAGTAGTTTTTCAGAATGCATATAAGTGAATAATTATTTACTTACTTCTTGCTTGTTGAAGGTACAAGTTCAGCCATATCAACAAAAAATACCAGAATCCAAATGAAAATTTACGACGCCGTGAAATCTGTAAAAGCACAGGTAAAAGTACGTCGTCAACAAGGTGACGACGCGCTTGTTTTGCGAGATATTTATGCCCAGTCAGCAAAAATTGGAAAACTGAGCAAGTGCAACTGAAAACAGTGAGTTATCACGTTTGTAACATCATCAGTTTATATTTACCTTATATTTCGTGAGTAATCAAATTTAAGCATTAATCGTGCAAAAATACTTCACTAGTACCATAGGGAATCGTAACTTCATAATTTCATAAAGATGTTGTCACAGACAAGTTATTTGGGACTTGTACTAATCTGGTAACAATTTCATTCCCATATAGAAATGCATATGGGTAGATATTCGGAAAAACGTTCAACCACAGAAGGGAATTATTCCCTTGGCCTTACCGTTACTTATAGTTCAATGCCGGATCAACTGACAACAGTCTCTAACGCCATCCCCTTGATTACAGCAGATAATGTATAAGTTATACATTTCTGCTCCCCCCGCCTTAAATTTTAAGTGAAGTTATGTAAAGTTACGGTCCTACTGACTTGATCTATACTAAAGCAACTGTACGGTATATATGTGCATGTGTTAAATGAAAATATCCTACTGTCGTTCAGTCTGTGCGAAGTAAATCTGGATGGAATCCCACACAAAAAAGCTGTGCACAGACGTAATACCACGTAAAACAAGACTTTCACGGACTATCTGACAAGATGAAAACATCCCAAACTAACATTTAAAATACCACAGAAAACTGGCCTGTGCACAGCCTGGATAACATAAAATAGATTAACAGAAAAGTTAATACGGGCCCTGCTTGCTTCCTAGAGAAAGGATGACCTGAAGTATACGTAGGTTATTAATTGTAAATGAAATAGACTAGAGACCCTAACTACAGTTTGGTCCTCAAGGCACAGCTTCTCCTGGTACTTCTTGACGTGGAATTTCGACCTGAGGTTTTTCTGCTGTAATGGTAGCTTCAGGCTCTTTGTGCCAGATCGTTTCTTTGAACACAAACCAAATATTTGCACCCCACAAGAAAAAGCACAGGAAACCAAAAAGCTATAAAGAAACAATGTAACAGATGCAATCAGAAACTAATTCATGTTATTTCTCTGGGAGCGTGAGTCCACCGTCACCATTTATAATTTTCAGTGAGTATCCACATAATATGATCAAGTGATTAGCTTTTTGTAACAATAGTGAACAGTTTTCATGATTGGTTCTTTTGAAATTTAATTTCTAAAGATCAACCAATATTTTGACGAATAATATCGTGTTATGGCTTATTTCCTTACTAAATTGTCAAAATGAAAAATTTTTCATGCAAGTGTTGAAGAAGGATGTTATTCATCTTTGCATATAGCTTGCCAGAGTAAAATTTGAAATCCATCACATTGAAAGTGGTTCTAAATTTAAAACGATAAAGTTGTGGCGCATATACGTACAAAGTATATGGTGGGCATATAAGGCGAATAGGGAACCCCTAATTACCGCATCGAGTTTTGGCCCTGAATACAGGTGTAATCCCTTACTATATAATAACATACGAGATAAATACCAGAAAAAGATCAAACACATTGCAGTTACAATCCCCGTTTACACTACAGTCAATTTATCGGCACGGCACGGCACGGCTAAAATTGGTACCCGTACCCAATTTTATTAGTGTTCAGGCTACCACGAGTACTCATTTCAGCCCTGCCGTGCCAGTAAATCGAATGTAGTGTAAACGGGGCTACAGACTCAATAGGCGAGTTACAAAGTAAACTAAAGCAAGATGCGAGTTGGAAAACAACGGCGTTTTTCGCAACTAAAATTGTGTTTCTACAATTCAATTCTACTTGCCTAAAATATGGATTACGTTTCATAAATGTTAGCCAATATGGTTCATGCATACATTACATTTAAACGCGTGAAGTTTAAAGATTGGGTATTTGATATAGATACGTTAAAGACTTACAACAGATATTATTAAACCAGCATAATTAGGTTTGTCTGTAACTTTACAGTCATCACATTGGTCCTCAATATCTGTTTCATCTTTAAGTTTTTGGACACCACTAGCCCATGCAGTCGAACCACAAAACCAGAACAAAGTCAGGATTATGGTAATAGCCAAATCCTAAATTGAAAACAGAAACACCATTTCCAGCCACACATTGATTCAAGGAGCATATAACTATATTTACATATATTATTTGTACATGTCAACCTAAATATACCTTATTTGGGACTATATGCCTTAAAGGTGAAAACAAGAATTGTGCATTCCATTTGATTGTTCATTTGGTTGTTTGCAATGATGTGTTTGAAAGGTCTTAGTTGACTGGGAGAAGAAAAAAAGAGGATATTGTAGTGTTTTGGTCAAGTGTACAGTTTTGGACCAAAAATTTACATACAATACTCCACAGTTTATTGCTCTTCAGTTGCCATAAAAGAAAGGAAAATGCCTCATAGTTGTTTGATTGCCCATAATTTGAGAGTAAATTTTAAATGTAATTGCAGACAAAGTTTACTTTATTTTATCAAAATCATAAGATGGGTGTTTGTGCCAGACCATGCAATGAACAATAATTTGTGCCAGTATGTTTAATACCTTTACATCATATCATCTTTACAGGCATTGTGATGGACTTCTTATAATTAAAATACTCACCACTGTAGCAAATGACATTATATCTCTTCCTGTGCCACCAGGTCCATATTTGGCTGGATCCTCAAAGCATACATAGTAAACCATTGCAACAATACAGTAAAGAAAAGTCACAACACCAACAAAGACAAAAAATTCTGATGAACTTTTTAAAACTGAGGAAAGATCTTCTTCTTTCTTTGTAGTGTTAGTAGATCCTTCGCATGCGTAAGACACATCAATCTTATCGAATGAATAGCTAAATTCTCCTTTCACTTCACATTTGGTCCCATGCACGGAAATGGTTGCAGTGCCTTCACCATTATAGCCTGCTGTTGTTGAAAATGCAAGTATGGCAATAACCTAGAAGAAAGAAAATAGTACAAGTAAGTAAATGGCTACATGCACTAAAATTTAGGTGAAAATTTTGCTATTTATATATAGACAGTTTATCAGATGTTGATGATCATTTCATTCACATAACTGTTTATGATTAGCATGCATAGAAAGTCAATGATAATAATAGCCCATACAGATGTTGTTACAGCCCTAATTTGATAAATTATATGTACGTAATATAGTTAATGCAATACTTTATCAATATTTCTATTATTAACAACCGTACTAAAAGCTTTTGTCGAAGACTTAAATAGAGATTTGATCCACTTAAATAGGCATATTACATAGCCCATAGCATTTTACGCTTAAAGGCGGGTCCTTTGTCGCTTGAAAAATACCTAATAATATATTCACCTATAGGGCATAAAAATTGAAATAAATATATGGCCAAAAATTGATTAGGTGGTCCCATTAGCATTGAACAATGTTATGCTGCACCCCATCAACTGTATTGTTAACAATGTTTTTGAAGTTGCAACAGTATTGATGGTTCAACTAGGTTCAACAACATTATTAACAATACTGTTAACAATACCGTTAACAATACTGTTCACAGGGTGCAACACAGCATGTTCACTTCTTGACTTCAACAACATGCACCAACAGACATTCCTGTTCCAGCAGGATATATTAGGGAGATTGATCCATGTGGACTGGATTCTGGGCGAATCATGCACTGCATTGAACTATATTATGATACTGAACACATTGTAAAAATGTGACTGCCTGTGCATAAGACTTAATTAAATCACTTAAGGCTCTTCGACTCATCACAAAATTAACACACAAGCTGGTTGCAAAATATTGAAATATATGTATTCCTAATTATGCTTAAATTTATATTTTCTAAATATTTTACAAATTCTGGAGAAATTTATCAAAATCAGGAGACAGGAAGATCGCATTGTTTGAATTTTTCATCTCTTTATAAACTTTCTACACTTGGAATTCCTACATATTTTAATTTTCTTGAATACTCCAGAATGAGAATGCTATCAGAAGTGTAAGATTTATATAACAGCCTCTGCCCAACATATCTTGATGCTATATGCACTACACAACACAGCCCATATTCATTTATATGCTAAAGTTCAAAGAAAGTATATTTATTATAGGCGTGTCAGTTGTTTCATAATTACAGCTCACTGCGCTACGTCTAAACAAAGTCCAAAAAATGGCGCCCAAAAATGGCTTGTCAAATTATTCATATCTTCTCTCTTACGAAAAAAATTACAGCACTTACAAATTGTATAACCTTTATAAACCCACGAGGCTCTTTGAAACGATTGAAGTTAGTATGAACTGGCATTTTTGTAGCAGTTGAATATAGCTAGCTTAACCTTAACGTTCAAATGTGCCAGCTACTGTAAATATGCCCAATGACAATGATCATTCGATCATTCGATGACATCATTTGATGATTGATGAAATTCCAATTTCGGTCTCCGAGTTGATGAAATTCCAATCTCGAAACCAGAGCCCGCGATCCTCTGATCGTCGGGCTCTGGTTTCGACTTTCGAGAGATTGATGACATCTCGTCATAGAGCACTGACATAGAGATTATACATAACACCTCGACTTCGTCTCGGTGAATATTTCCCGATAATCACCTCGCCTTTGGCGAATAATTGTTAAATATCAGTGAATATTATCGCATATATTGAGGCTAAAAGAAGGCTGACATGGAAGATCTGTACCTACCTGTATTAAATCCCGCAGCTATAAAAATTTTGACTATGATTTTAAGCATGATATTGATTCTATTCCATGGCTGAAGATAGTTTCTATCGATGATCCTATTTCTGATTGGCAAATATGGAAAAGACTGTTTCTTGACGTTGCTGATAAGCATGCTCTCAAAAAAGAATCAGGAAAACTCATGCCCCATGGCTTTCCGTAAAAATCAAAAAGTTAATATGAGAAAGAGATCGACTAAAGCGGAAAGCAGTTTATACAAACGATCTGGAATCTCATCAATAGCCTTCTTTCACAAGATGGAACTGAAATTATAGATCCAGTACTCCAGTAGCTATTGGTAATGTTTTCAATCAACACTTTACTGAAATTGGACCTGAAGTTAGCAGCGGAAATCCCAACCACCAGAACGGTTTCTTTAACATTCCACAGTGTAATAAGGTTTTTTAACTGCATGAAGTTAGTCTAACCGAAATATTTGGATTAATTCAGACATTAACAATTTCTAAAGCTTGTAGTCTTGATAACATTCCAGTCTGATTAGTGATTACTAAAACTAGTTAATTTTACTACAATTGTATCACTTACTCATATAATCAACCTAGTAATTCGTAAAGGGAAAATCCCCGTTGACTGGAAGTGTGCCAGGGTAACAGCAATTTATAAACACGATTCCTATCGAGTGGAACTATACACACTTCAAATTCAAGACAGGAACAGTTGATGGAAAAATTAGTCAACTATAAGTCTTCCGGCAGGAATCGAGCCTACGCTTTTGCGATGCCGGTGCAATCACTGCAATGCTCTTGCCACTGAGCTACCTACAGAGGTAGCTGACAAGAGCAAGCGTGGTTAATGTGTATATGATGGTATTAATGCCGGGAATATTCCTACCCTCACCTATTTCTGGCTTGAATTTGAAGTGTGTATAGTTCCACTCGAGATTAGGACCCTTAAACCTCTAGAATTTACCTGCATCGAGTGAAGTGCTAGCTATGCTTGATGCCACTGATAAATGGTACACAAATATGGACAGTGGGTTGATAAATGCTATTCTATTCATCGATTTGAAAAAGGCTTTTGATACAATTGATCTTTTTAGAGACTATCTTTCAGATCCTACGCAAATACAGTTATCAATAGCATACCGTCTAATACTTGCAAAGTAGTAACATGTGGTGTTCCTCGGTGGTCTATCCTACGTCCACTACTTTTCTTGTTATATATAAATAAACTGGTGTCAGGTGGACCTTTATTTGCTGATGATACTAATTTGACTTTTGCGGACAGTGATCCAGACAGGTTAATCTCTGTTGTAAATGATGATCTAAAAACACTCCAAAATTGGCTTAAAGTTGAATATATTAAGTTTGAATTCGACTAAAGCAAAATCTATGTTCATTGCATCCAGAGTCCAGACAGAAATTAAGTATTATCCCAGAAGAGCCTAATGTCGCTAAATCCGGAACGAAAATCGAACGAGTCAGAAATTAGTGTTTAAGTGTTTAGGCTTGGGACTGGACGAGAGTTTGACGTGGGAGTATCATGTTTCTATTATAAGTCTCTATAAGTATATAAGTCTCCAAGGTGAGTCTTGCGAAGGCCAAAACCATTACTACCTCAGTCAACCCTCTTGATATACAAACCAGTTAATAAAATGGTTCCTAGCTTCTTGTCTAGGAAATTTACTTCAATTTCAGTGATGCATAAACATAACTTGAGAGGCTCTAATCACAAAGTTTTTGTTCTAAAGAGCTTTTCCTATAAGGGCGCTATCCAACGCAAAACTTACCCGTCGAACTTACTAGAGCTAAATCTCTCGCCGAGTTTAGCTCTAAAATTTTCTTTGCAAAAATATTCGAGATTAATTTTCTTTGCATGTATAAATTATGTAGTATATTTTTTACATAGTTTGATATAAACGTTTTTTTAATATTTAGGTATATAGATAGATACATGTCTCCATTGAAGAGCAATTTTTAGTGAAAAGGACTTCGTGTTTTAAATAAAGATGATATAATTGAATGCAAAAATCAGTAAAATGTTATATTTGCATAACCATTGGATTAGAATTATTAAGACCAACCAAGTTTCAATTCTGAAATTTTACATAAAGCTGGAGTGTGTTCTAGCTATCCTAATCTGCAGTTTAACGATGGCGCTTCGCCCTGTAAAAGACGAGGGCGTGTTGCCATTAGTTTATAAACTGAATGGAGTTAACGGTATATGCATCCCAAAACGGTGTTCATAACAAAGGCGATTAGAGTTTTCAAATATTATTCAGATATCATAAGATCGAACATGAATAAACAAGGTGACTCAACAAAAAAATTACTGAAAAGAGCATGGAATTGCACGCTCCACTAAACATCACAACAAGCGTTTAATATGCTAACTAGTTTTTATAATATTATAAATATCTATAATATTGTCCTTCTTGTGCACGAAAATCCCACCAGACCAAATGTTTCACTGAAGTGACTCATCTGCAAGGATATAATTAACGAAAGTTGGTAGAGTTGGGGAGAAGAATGTTTGTGAAAAAGGTGGGGACATGACTTCCACTTCAGTTGTAAATTTCTATTGAAAACGCTCTATGTATAGTCTCGGTAGAAAAACAATTAAATTAAACACCTCATGTATATAATGCATTGCTCGTCGGTTAAAATACGCGGTACCTAACTTGCGAAATAAGAACTGATACCATTGGCATAGGTGTGCTGACTTCTTCTGCGTGATAATTTTTACACAAATCAGTTGTAATTATTCATTTTCTACTTACTGTGAAACTCGTCTCGTCGAGGGTTATGCCAAGGAGTTTCTTTGAACAAAAACCAGAGATTTCCCAACCAAACAAATAAATTTAGAAAACCGAGAATCTGTAAATGAAAGTGTGAATATACCAGTTACAATTTATGTGATTTTAGCTATTTCATATGCCTGAATATAGGAGAGAAAAAATTACCAAACCACAAAACAAAAAAACACTTACAACAGACACTTTTAAGGTCGCATAGTTGGGTTCCCTTTCAGTAGTACATGTGAAAGAGCCCTTGCACAGCGGAAAATGATCAGTATAGGTTTTGGGGTCTGTGTCATCTTTGAGTCCTGGTAAGCCTGCAGCCCAAGCAACAGAACCAGCAAACCAAAATATGGTTATTACCACACTGACGAGGAAATCCTGTTAAGATTTAGAAGAATGAATGAAAAGCAAAAATACCGCATGTGAAACTGTTGGCATATTTTTTAAAACTACTGTACATACACATAGCAACATTTGTGAGTTCAACTCTGAACTTGAAAAATTAGGTCAAGTTCTAAAATAATTAGATCACTTTACAATCATGTTTTATGTAAATTTTCTATATTTGAATTGTCATATAGAATGAGGGTTTACAGGTTTCCTACACATTTCTGCATGTTTGAGAAGCAGGAAATATTTCAATTTACTGTTTAAAACATTATATTTTTTGGGGGGGATGCTGAAAATGGTTTTCTTAATCTAGATTTGGGGCTTGAGCTTGCAAATTTTCATATAGACATGTAAGTGTAAGACTTGCACTTGGACTTGTTGGTACAGACACAAGCACAGTGCTGGTGGCATGGAAATGTTTTCAAGCATTTTCATATATAGCTAAAGTATTCAGGAATGTATATTATACTGCTCTAGAATGTTAATATATGATAGTATAGTCATTTAGGCAAGTAGGTGGGACACAATGCCAGAGTATTATGACGTATTATTAGAATCAATTTGCTGATGCAATTGGTCCAAATCAGTTTTGATCCTTGTAATCCTGCCAGACCTAAAGCATTGCCAATTGCCAGCAATGAGAAAAATTGAAATTTTTGATATTGGAATTCCCATAATATTTTTGAATTTGTTAATTTGAATTTGTTCTGCAATTAAATGCCAAATAATTGGGCTATCACAAGCATGGGCTACAGGGATATAATACCCTATACCTATTGCACCTTGATCAGGATTATATATACATAAAATAATATATTATTAATAATTATATATATTCATTTACCACAACAACCCAGGAGCACCTTCCAACATCAGTGGAGTACATGTTTTCAGCATGATTTTCGAACGCGGCATAATAGATACATGCTAATAAGCAATATAAGAATGATAGCACACCAGTGAAAACAAAAAATTGTGCTTCACTCTTATGCTTGGTTGCAACATCCAAATGCACTTTATCTTTGTTAAAGTCTGTACAATTTTTTATTACATGTAGATATGAGATATATATCATATCATCATCAAAGGGATATTGAAATTTCCCTTCAACCTTGAATAATGTTTCGTTATAGGTTTGGTTAGCACACTTGCCACCTGGGGTAAGTTTTGAATTGACTATGTACTCGCTGTAATAACCAGCTGTTGTTGAAAATGCAAAAATGGCTACACCCTAAAAAATGACAGATATAAAAATAATTAGGGTGAGATATAAAAATAATTAGGGTGAGAAACTCGTAAAAGTGCAAATTGTTTTGATGATCAAAAAGTTTTTTTATGTTTATTATTATACACAGTGACAGGAAAAAACGTGACAATCGATTGCAAAGTAGCCCAACATAATTGTCAAACGTAGCTTTGCTTTATACAATATAGATTAAGTTGTATTTAAATTTTTCTAAGGAAATTTTCTGAGACACTGGACATTGCAGAAATGTGAAATCTTGCTATATGTAAAAATTGCAAAATATTATGTTACTGTATGCCCAAACCACACATATATATCAAAACTCACTTCCACAACCAAAAATATGAATACAATTGTTTGCGATATGTATACACTAGCGGCAGAAAATTATGCACAAGTTTTGCTTTTAAACTTACTATTTCCAGAATCTTTATAAATGCTCTTGGCTCTTTAAAGACTGCGCAATTTACGTTTCGGTTCATTATTTCTTGAACGAATTCCCAATAGGATATAACGTAGTTTCACAATTGTGAAATGTTATTTGCGAAAGAACGAAATTGAAAATGCCAACGTAATCCTGAATAAATCTAAATTTGTACGTTTATAAATTTGGTCCCAGGACCACGCCAGGCATTATTCCACATAATCTATTTATTACATTCCATAATAAAATCAATAAATTAAGTATCGTCGGTCGAATTATTTTTGTAACCTTTTATATTGTAAAAGAAAAAATCCTTTATAATAAATTTTCTGGAGCGTGAAAGAAATGTTTAGTTAAATAAAAATGTTAGAGACTGGAATAGTCCGCATACATTTGCCTACTGCAAAAGAAATAACTTGACAGACAATGTTTTTCATAACATTTTATTTCATGTCTACTTCACAATTTAGTAGAATGTATTTGGTCGTTTAGCAACAAATTTCGATTTGAACTGAGATTTCACAATCCGATGAGGCAGGGGAAAACGGATCTTTGAGTTCTGAAACAAAATAAGTAATGAGAATGGATTGAGTGAATAGATAGATATACGTATTGTTGATATGCAGAAACAAGAACTTAGATTAGCTGGTTGACACTTGGCAACCTATGTAAGGCCTTTGAGTGCCACTAGTTTATCAGTATTTAAATACTGTCAGGTGTTACCCTCTTTAAATAAAGTCTCTCACTCACTCACTCACTCACTCACTCACTCACTCACTCACTCACTCACTCACTCACTCACTCACTCACTCAAGGAATCTATCACCTAATTTCCAAATACAATGTTTGGGAAATGAAGAGGTTTTTTGATCAAACATTTCATAAGCCAATACTGGCTAAAAATACAAGGGGAGTTCTTTATTAATAGTGAGTTTAAGATGAACCAAATGATGATGCAGACTTGAAGTAATACTGCTCCAATTTTCACAACTTCCCAAAAGGAATCCAAAACATAAAAAGCATAATGAACAGTTCTCTTGTGACACTTTTAAGAAACCATGGCCAAATTGAATGGGATTCTTGGGACAAAACATTCTCCAAAATGAGACTAGATCCGTGCAGAAGGTTCAACTGCTCTCTAATAATTTATTATTTTACTGTGCATTACTGTATGTATAAAGGTATATTGCCATCACATGTTCAAAGTACTTGGACCACCAATGATTATTTTCTGTTTAATTGTTCCCCCAAAATGCTAGCTTCTACTGGCCACCAAGGGAGGGATGGAATATTTGCAACTGATATGTAACTAGGACTATAAAACTCTAAAAGTCCCAGTGCCTGACATATTACATGTTCATTGTAGCATGTTCTGAGATAGACTGACACCACTAAAATAGGTATGTCACTTTTGCCCTTTACTTAAAAAAATCCTATAAGCAACACATCTAAACTTTGCATCCAACTCTAAAACCAGGGTTTCCAGCCTATCATTATATACTTACAAAGAGTTGTTTCATGTGAGGTCTACGACACTTTGATGCTGGGATAACTTCAACTTTCAAAATTTGTATTACAGTGGCACGAGCACGATGCCTTGCAGCCATATCACGATCTACAAAAAGTACACTTTGTTTATTACACTGATTGTTTGCAATAACACAATTAAAAGGCTTCAGTTGATGTAAGAAATATTGTAGTGTAATGGATTGTTGCACAGTTTCTTTTTCAGTTGGCAATTTTGTTTGATTGATCCTCATTTGAAGAAAGTTATGTGATTGCAAAAAGTGAGTTAAACTTATTAAATATATCTTAAAATATATCTTAAATATTAAATAATAAATAAATGATCTGTAATCTGGGCTGCTACTTTTTAGTGTTGTGCATACAGTATGCACAAAGATGTAATACCACCTTTTGATTGTGATTGATTGCTGTCCTAGTTTTTATACATTTTAATGATCCTATTAGTTAAAATTTGGTATTATCATATATTAAATAAAATATTAATGAGAAAAATATTCCAATTGATGATTACCAGTTTATGTGAATTGGTTTCCAAAGGTCATTGTTGCCATTGATCATGAATAAACAATGATTGAATTTAGTGATTATTAATCAAGATATTGCAGTATAGATTTTGTGGCACTTACAGCACAATGTTACAGCCTCTGTGACAGTCATGGCCCGATATTCACGGTACATGTTATGGGAGCCACTTCGAGAGTCATATCGTAACCATATGCCAAAGTTCTTTATCTTTAAGGGGGTCTTGTCAAACCTCTGGAAGACAAATTATCATAATGTATGTTATACTCAATATTTATTTTTATATTTAATAGTTCAATATCTCTATTAAATTTCCCTCATATTAAATTACTCTCATAATTACCCAATATTCAATGTTAAATTACCCTCATATATACACTTCAAATAATGAAGAAATATTTGCAACAAATACATAACTTAGACCCAGTTGGAAAGGTATAAGAAGCAGACATGTTGCATATTTACTTTGGCAAGTACTCTAAATAGGCTGATACCATTCACATTAGGTATGTAACTCTGCCCTATACTTGCACAACACAAGGACTTTTAAAGACAATTACATCTTTGATGGTGAACTATGGTACAAAAACTTCTCAAATGAAAGAGACTTGATTTTTAAGAAAAAGGGGAACTTTAATAAACTATTATGATGCATTTGTAATATGAAAATAAGGAATTGAAAATTGATACCTCACTGATATCAACAATCTCCCCATTACTTTTTTTGACTTTCTTCAGCTTTGCCATAAAATACCAGAACCGAGACTTAGCTGTCACCTCATCAGGAGCAAAGATGTTCATCCGATAAACCGGTGGGTTTGGCAGCTTTGGTGTTGGGAGATGCCGCCCAACAACTTTGTACTGTTTCAACTACATTAGTGAACGAAAAATTATTGGAAAAATGTCGAATTGATGCAAACATCTCTTGGGCATACAGGTTTACAAAGGCTTAAGCTCTTGATTTGATATAGCATTTTATCAAGTCCAAAAAGTTGAACTATTGATGTTTACATTATTTGGATAAATAATACAGTATTCTTGTTCACATGGATATCTGCGGCTTGTTGTATAAACCAGTAGCTAACTTTTAAATTTCAATATGAATGTAGTATAGGGTTGCTGGAGGAATCTATTTATCCAAAGCCCCCTTAGGTTATTAAATGTTTAATAATGCACCTCAATACAAGAAGCAATCATTGCCTTCAAATATCCAGACAAGCCAATGTCCAAACTGGTCAGGTTTTCTTTGTAAGTTTATCATTTTAGGATAATTTGTGAACTCACTACTAGCATTAGCAACCCCTTTCTGAGGTATTACAATTTACAAGCGAGGTTTATATATGTATACTCGCTCTCTGTTGAAATATTCAATGTTGTGTAACGACGTATTCACAATTTTTAATTTTATCATATAAAAAATACCGTGAAACCACAATTTAATTTTTCACCAAAACATATATTTCTAATTTTCAATGTTAAGCGAAATTAAGGACAACTCGCTAAATAATAAAAGTCTATATGCCCGCCATTTTGAAAATAGCTCAACGTTGTTTGGTAATAAAACCTATGAAAATACTAAACTTCTATTTAGAAGACGCTTCAACCAGTAGGAGAAGGGTTCAATCTTTATAGTTTGCATCGATTACAAAAGTATTCCGAAAAAAAGGGAGAAAAATAGCTAATTTTACTACCTGACCACTCGCTTTCATTGTGACACGAGGATTCAGAAAAGAAGAGAACTGAGCGCGCAAAGCATGCCAGGTAATACACTCACTGCCTAACCATACCCCCCTAGGGAGACGAAAGAGTAAAACTCGGCTTGATCAGTGGCTTGGATAGTTAGTAAAAGAAATAAAGAAGAAAGAACAAACTTTAATATTCCCCGAAAATAGAAAAGAATTAAGGAAGATAAAAAAATAACACGGCCTGTTTATGGCCATTTTAAGAGCACATCAATTGTTATTCCCAATTGATCGCATATAAAATCCAACTTAAATTTAATTTCAAATACATAATTTCGACGTTTGGGACGGCACTTGTAGAGAAAGTGGACAAACCTACTGCGACCAGCATATTTTATGCATATACTTGTTTGGGACTGCCCCCAGAGACCAGGAAAGCTTAAATACGTTAAATTTATCTTCGCTCGCAAGGCTTGCCACTGTAGCTGATTCGTCTATGACGCGCTAGGCGTGTGGCATACAGCCCACTCTGTTTCTCACTGAGACGTAACGGTTAGGTGCACATACATCATGGTCTGGGGGCCGTAGTGCATCTCCCCCTTAGGCAGCCGTTAAGATGTGAGTTATGGGGGGGAGTTCTTCCTATAGCAACTGTCCTTGCACCTTTCGCAGTTGTAATCTCTGCTGGTATATCGCAGCTGGTTATATCGCCAGTTAGATTGTGGCATAGAGCTGGATGATCTCTTTTTGGTGTTTTTAGGTTGTTTCCAAAAATTTTTTCTTCTTTCCAAGCTTTTCTTTTACATACAAAAAACACTGTTATTAAACATATATGGAACGGATATGATTCGAAAAAAAAATTGTGTCGACAAAAAAACCACCTTAATTAACCCTTAAATACTCTCCCCAGTCTCCGCATGGCTGAGTCTCTGAATTAAACAATACCAGAGATCATGAACGAAGACTTCACCAATGTTGGGTATACCAGTGCAATATGGTAATCCAGGTTGTATCCCAATGGTAGACCATATAATCCCAATGAATCACCCTGAATTCTTCTGTAGCTAAATTTTCATTCCACAACAAGAAACACGGCATGTTTATGGCCATTTTAAGAGCACATTCGATGTTATTTCCAATTGATTGCATACAAAATCCAAACTTTGATTTAATTTCAAATACATAACTTCGAAGTTTAGGACGGCACACGTAGAGATAGTGGACAAACCTACTGCGACCATTCGACTCCTCGCCACAATGAATCGAACCACGCAGGTAACATAAGCTCAACCCAGAGTTATAGCTAAACTTAACATCAGCACAGGGGGTCATTTTCAACATCTCCCCGCTCAATGAAGGCTCATCGAGACAATTAACCGAGCCCATTACATACTTATACAAACATTTTGGACACTTGATGTCAGGGGCGGCGCCAGCCGCCCAAGCGTGGGGGGGACTTTTCGACCGCCGAAGGCGGGAGAAAACTAGGGGGGTCCGGGGGCATGCTCCCCCGGAAAATTTTGAAATCTAGAGTCTCTTAAATGCGTTTTCCTGCGTTTTGGGAAGTCTTTTTTTCTGAAAACCTATGCCACTTAAGCCTAAAAATAAGATGACCAGCTTTCTACAAAGAGTCAAGAATGAGTTAAAACTTTCACAAAACGTTTAAAACTGTATTGAATTCACGTTATATGTAAGTAAATAAGATATGATCTACATAAACAATTTAAAGAACAGAGTTTAAGTGCATAGTCGTATCCATGTCTACAGTGGAAGCTTTCGAGGCTTTGCCAGCTTAAATATTTCCACTAATTTGCTGAGTTCTATATTTGCTGCCACATCTCGTTCACAGCTTATCTGGACTAGATCCTCAAGTCTCTCAGGTGACATGGCAGCTCGCAAATAATTGTTTATAATTTTTACTTTGCTATGTGTGCGCTCACATGATGCCACTGTTACTGGCAAGGTAGCCACGATCTTAATGACTTCGAACAAGTCGGGATAAAGATGGTGTAGGTCATCATCGCTGAAAACATCGAGCAATGAGGGCAAACAGACCCAAGGTGTAACTGGAGAATTTTCATTGAGGCCTTTCTCTTTTCTTTCCTTTCTTGGTTCTTGTGTTTTTTGTATGCATTCTTCCAATCATCACACTGCTTCGATTTTGAAAATAGTAGGAATTGTTGACCAACACGATGACTGCTACGCTTATAGAACTGAGCTATCTTCTCAACTTTAGGGACATTTTCTTCAGTTAGGTTTCGTGGATGGAAGGTTGCAGAAAGACTAATCATTTCACACGCTGTTTCAGAAAAGCGTTTGTTCAGCTCACTTTGTATCTTGTCCAAGAAAGGAAAATACAGTTCTCTTTAAAACAATCTAACGCTGATTCGCCATCTGGTCGGTTGTTTTGCAGAGTAGACATATCTAAAATGGATTGGCCATCAGCAAGGTGGGTGGGGAGTCTTCGGCGGCGTTTGGTTTGCGAGGCTGTTGGACTTGCATCACTAAAACTAACATCAAGGACTTCGCTGCCCCATTTTCGGCAAATGAATTGGCTTCTTTTATAAACAAGTCGAACTGTTCATCAGTGCGAAAAGATGCAATCGTTGCTTTCAGATCCTGAATAGCAGTAACTCCTGATGTTAGATCCATGTCTTCTCTCTGCAAATATTCTGAGGCATGTGTGCTAAGAGAAAAGCACTTCACTAAGATTTGGCATGCAGCTACAAATCGAAAGGGGATTAAACGCACAAGTAATCCGGTTGCAACGCTGTCGTTGTTCTGCTCAGACTCTTCCTTGAACATAGATAAAAGTGCTGGATATACATTCATCACAACTTCCAAGTTATCAGTGCGCGCAGTCCATCTGGTATCAGAAAATGAGTGCAGAGCAGTCTTGCCTGAGGTAATGCCGTTCGCTTTCAAATGGTTTTCATATCTTTTGTGACTCTTAGGCGACCCTTCCATATAGCGATAAATGTCCCCGATTGTCGTAAAGATTTCTTTGACTAAAGGAATCGTTTCCACACTTTGTTCAAGAACAAGATTAAGCTTATGGGCAAAGCAATGAAAATAGATTGAAAATCAGCTCCAGCTTCCGTCAAATGCCGTTGCACTCCCTCGTCCTTGCCGGACATATTTGCAGCACCGTCAAAGCCTTTACCAATGAGATCTATTAATGAAAGTCTGAGGTCTTTCATAATGTCTACGATCACCTCAGCTAAAGAACGCCCCTTTAAGCTGGACACCCTCACAAGCCTGATACACCTCTCAGTTATCTTAAAATCCGTTACATATCGCAATATAACGGACATGAAGGCCTTTTTGTGAGAGGTAACCTCATCACACTGGATGGAGAAATATTTTGCCGATCGGACTTCATTACAGACGACTTCAGTAATGAGGTTGCTAAGAATACTGATCATCTCATTTTGACTCACATGGGAAAAATACGAGACATTCTCGGGATGCGTATCCATCCATTTCCTCAAGGGGGCGTGGTACTTGGAAAGAAATTGAAGCTCTTCAAGGAAATTGCCTTTGTTTTTTGAATCATACGACTCGTCATGACCACGGAAGGACATATTCTGTTTAGCCAAATGTCGAACAACGTCGAAAATCGTTTCAACGATTTCTCGGTTTTCTTTTCTCTCCTGCTCCTTTCTTTCTCTTACTGCTTCCGCTTCCCTGTTCAATTGCACGTCGATTGGCGTTGCTGATTTGAATGAATGAATGCGCTCTGTTGAAAGCGTATGCATCCGCGAGTTAGCATGTTTGCTTAGCTTTCCCTTTTCTCCGGTAGCATTCTTCCAATTTCTGAAGCCAGTCTTTGTGAACGCATCATCCGAACTGCCGACTGTAAGAATTGGTTATATCATGCTTAAATAAGTATCGTGCTTAAGTATTCGCAGTTGCGTGATTCGGGTACTTGCGTGATTCGCGTATAGCATAATTGAGAGGATCACACTATATACTGTATTAATACTGTATACATATATCAACATAATAATCTTTTTTTTAATATCACAAATATATATAAATATGTATATATAAGTATATTCTTACCAAGTTGGCCAAAACATCTACAAGAAAAACAAAACGCGGCGTCTTTAGCGACCGAATATTCTAGCCAAGAATATTCTTCGTACCATTTCTTCTGAAACTTAAAGTTTCTTCCCCCTATTGGCGATGGTGGAAAGTCTATGGCGGGTCTCACCGGTCCAGACTCAAGAATAAAGGCTCTATTTGCCTCACACACGTTTTCATTCGATGGATCTCTCCCTTCAAACATATTTATTCTCTATATACTTTCGTAACTTGTTCACTTGCGTGCCGACGAGCTAATAAGCATATGTTGCGCTAGCCAAGGAGACCTACATAAATCAACACTTTCGGGAGAACAATTTCCGACACGCTTAATTGCAAAATAACTTATTAAATTTGGATAATATACGATTCAATCAATCATTGCTTTATCTTGTGCAAAAAAACGCCTGAAGCAGCTCTAAAGTTCAAGAGGTCGTTAAGGTATATAATTAAAAATGCCACAACCTTGTGTCTCTTGTTTCGTATAAAATATTGCTAATATATAAATAAAACCACAACATTGCCCCCCCCCCCCCATATTTCTCATCGGTTATGAGCGAATTGGAAAATTGATTTGGAGGTGGACTGGGGGGGACATGTCCCCCCCAGTCCTCCCCGTGGCGCCGCCTCTGCTTGATGTCTTGCTCAGCACGCAAAGCATCACCAAAACCAGTTATTTGTTTAAAGACTGCACCTACTCCTTCAAAAAGGTTGGGACAAATACCCAAGGCTACAATAAACTGGATAACAGTCTTGAGGATTTGTTGATCTTTCACGCTCAGATCCATTACGGCAACTCGTGTTTAGCTATATTAATTTAAGAAGATATATTAAAAGAGCGCAAACATAACCGATTAAAGATCAATCGTACAGATCTACTATCAATGTTTACTGTTGACCCTGTTTCCCTGCTCTTTGAAGTCGGTTCTTGTCAATGAGTATACCACAAAACGACAACTTCAATTCCTGA